CCCCCCCCCCCCTTCTCTTCTGGAATGCCTCTCGCTCTGCGTCCCTGTGACGGAGTACAGTGCCTAGGCAGTAGACGGTTTCCCTACGAGAGTATGTTGTTATATTGTAGTAGAGGCCAATGCTTGATGGCTATGCTAGCCCGGTCGACGCACCCCCGAGGCTTGCTTGCTTGCTTGCTTGCTTGCGTGCAGGATTCCATGTCCATGGCGGGCGGGCGGTTGCGGAAGTGGTCCGTCTGCATGAGCATCACAGTAGGGAGATGCTCTATTGCATTTATTGGTACTCGTAGTTTCGATCTTTTCTTGACGGCCCCGTGCTCCATGGTTGCAGTGGGGCATCCATTGATCGTACAGTACGGAGTACATAAGGAGTACGCTCCCAGTAAGCTGTGGGGTCGGGTATTGTTAGGGGGGTTGGATCCGGTGGGGTGCATAATCCGCCCAAGGGCAGCTTGAAGTGACCACCACGTGACGTGAGGCGGCGAAAAGACCAGAAAAAGGCTGAAAGGCACTAAAACCGCAGTGCAGGGGCCGGGGATTCTGGCTTTTCGGTGGTTGCTCCTCACGACCACCGGGGGAATAAATCAATCACTGCTTAGCGATTCACGTATAGCCTGGGCGAAGGGGATATACCGAACATTTGTAGAGACGAGTCGGATGCAGTGGCGACCTGTCTAGAATATCACCAAGTATCGGCATTATTCAGTAAGTCAGTTTCTATTCTTCTAAAATATTTCCTAGTCAATCTTGTTGGAAAGTGAAATCTTAAGATTATAAAGTTACGGGGTAGTGGTGGAGTTCTCTAGGGTAAACGAGACAGTACAAAAGTACCACGCGATTTGCGAATCGCTATTGTTGGAGCTCTGGCTGGAACAGCGGCACCCAAAATACAGGCACCAAGAATGCACGGCTTGAGGCATTTACCTCGGTATGTGGACAAACTTCAGGTTGGTCATACAGGAGAGGAAAGACATGCTTGTAGTGGACAGATCGATATCTTCATGTGCGCGTTGGGCTACAAACAAACGCATGGCTAATCGCCAAGTCAAGGTACTATAGAAGCGCTCATTGGCGCTCATGATGGTGCCGCCGCTCGTGTGAGAACAATACCTTGTATTTCCAAGGAACATGCCCATAGTAGGCTTTCATTGCTCCAGATCGTCGAAGGAGTAATTCTGTTGTCTTCTCCTTTGATGTGTCATCAATATTTCAACAATCCTATGCGCTTCAAATTTTCCAAAGAGGAGGCTTTTTCTTCCGCTTCAAACCGCCGCAGGCATCCATACTTTCACGCCGATATCAGTACACAGGCATATTCGGTCTGGAAGACACTGGTTCGGTACCGCATGGCGACATGGGACATGGTCGCATCCGCTTAATTATCTTCGGTGTTGTGAGATAGATTCTGATTACAAAGGATCTTGGTTGCTGGTGAGGCTCGCGTATACAGTTTCGTCGCACACCCTCGAAGCTGAGGAGGTATAGCGTCCTACCGGATAAGTCGAGAAATATTCGCTATAAGGTGCCTGGACATCTTTGGGACCTTCTTATGCCTCCGGTTCCTTGAGTACTCTGTGTCAAAAAGATGCGGAATAGCTTCGCAGGCCTTCGCATCCTTAGAAAAGAGTGTGCCGCTTGGCTGGTCCAGATGTGGTTGGCTTGGCCGGCGCAATCAATTGACAAAGATATGGAGAAGTCGTGCTCTGTAAAAGAGCCCCAATCCAGCTCGGATCAGTAATTCCAGCAATTATTAGACCTATATCATCGGCCCAAGATCTTCCTGAGATGAGCACCATGACTATCGCAATCCGCCTCTAATGGCATGAAGTCGAGTAGGCTGCTCACTCCTGAATCACTCGTATCATCATTTCCAATGGCTGCGCCATGGCCATCAATCCCCGGTGCCAGAGACGGCTTTTGTTCGAATTTCTGCACGATAAGTTTCGTCAACGTCCAGTAGCTGTCGGCAGATGTTTCAAACCCAGCTTCATGTACCGTTGAGCTTGCCATCTTGGAGCGGATGTCATCCCAGGTTGTCTTCCAATTCGCCAGAGCCATCTTGATGGGGATGAATGCGGCGTTGTTTCCGGCACCGGAAAGAGAGGTTGGTGACGTCCTATTCAGAGGATTCCCGAAGAGGTGTATCCAGGAATGTGTGTACAGAACTGCAAGTGGTTAGTAGCTCGCTGAAAGATGCGGGAAATCGGAGTCGAAGGGAACACAGGATGGTGAAAGTTGAACGAACCATGGATCAAATACAACATATCCCAACAGCACAATGATTCAGTCTGGAAGGCCAACTTGATTTCCGACTGCGGCAGAAAAAATCTCTGAAAAGCATCAATCAATTTCATACGCGGTGGAGGGAATAAAGACTTTTGTAGCATTTCAGTATAGCTTGAAAGCTCAAAATACTGCTGCTCGGAAGGAAGCTGAAGATCAAGTTCACAGTAGCTGATACGGGGTGGCACGTTGTTGAACATTCCCATACCAGAATCTAATGCAAGCAACACATTCATTGTTCTGTCCCTCAAGCATTAGCAGATGCTTCTCACCTATCTGAACTGAACTTATCGCGATGGCTTACCTGATCCGGCATTCAGTTCGCACCCAGCGCTGGAAGGATACTTCATCAGGAACCGTATGATTTCTGTGCTGAGCGGTCGGTAAGCCAAAAGCTCTGGCTATCTATTCAACAGTCAGTCAAGACCACACATATACAGAATCACCGCATACGTTAAGCACCCTCATGTAGCGCTCCCTTCTCGCTCTTCGACGACCGGCCAAGTTCCCCGAGAAGTACTGAGCTATAATCATCAAGTAGGCCCCTTGGAACATCTGGAACTGATAGAACAGTGTATCCTCGTCAGGGGCTTCTGCAAGATTGATACTGCCAATGTATTCTTCTCGGAATCCTGAGCAGTTGAAGATATAGGCCTCTATGATGTCCAACAAGCTCTTCCAGGAGGCTACTTTGCGCCGATCAGAAGAGTACATGGCACCCAGGGCAGCAAGTGAAATGAGTAGGTGTATAGGAACTATGGCAGGTTCAAATGAGGGACGATGCACAATTGGGCAGTGACGGTGGTAATTGCCAAAGTACAGTGACAGACAATGGTCCAGCTCCACGTGCGTAATTAGCTCAATGGCAGAGTAGACTTCAGGACCCATGCTTTGATTTTCGGGATATTGAGTAGCGAGGCTGGCTGTTGTATTTATCAGAATTTGCCTGATCTCAAAAGCACGCGGCTCGAGGTCCAACGCTAGGCTAGATATAAGGCCTCCGGTGCTGGGGATGGTTGCAAGATCAGCGTTGAGTGGATAGGACCCAAATGTCAGCGTCTCAAATCCACCAAAGAACGAGTCGAAGTTGATACCGTCGTAGTCAGGAATGCTCGAACCAACAAAAACATTGTTTCGATCATAGTCTTCGCTCCAACGGGAGGCTTCGGAGCAATCTTCGAGGGCACCGACTGTCCCTTCATCTTCTTCAAGATATGATGGCGTTTGCGTGTCTCGGATGGGGAAGGATTCCACGATGCCATCTGGATTGAGTAAGTGCTGAATTGGAATGGCGTCTCGGCTGGTAGGTCTTGGTTGGTCTTGCGACCTTGAAGTTGCTAAGAATGAGTTAGAAGTGGACGTGGCATAGCAAGACCGAGCCATACACCGGATACATTCCTTGCCTAGCTCTTGACAACGGGCACAAGGACTTTCCTGGTTGCATCGCGTCCTGAGCTTGACGCAAGACATGCACGAGGACCTCTTCCGGCCTTTGCTTTGGCCTTCTGGAACTGGCGCCTCACCACGTTCCTTGCACCGAAACTGATGTGCTCGGAGAACATCGCTGTGGAGGTCTTATTAGACAGTGCTTCGTCTTCGTGATGATCAATCTCACCTTCGCTTAAAGCATTTGGAGCAAAACGGGCAGGTAAAGGGTCTCTGTGCCACGTCTAGAGGTTGGTCAGATCTAGGGAATCACATAGACTGGGGCTTTCTCTAACGCTGTTGTTGGTGGCGAAGCATATGCGCCTTTCTGACGAAGGACTTTTCGCACGACGGGCAGTGGAATCTTTCACGCTGAGGCGGCGCTTGAACTTGATCCATGTTTGTGGGTTTGTCACCACCTAGGCTGTAGTGCAATTGCGGTCATGTGCACTGACTCCAGAGGGCTAAAACATCAAAGTTCCGCCCTTTTCGGTATCTTTGAAGTTGGGCTCCGCTGAGAAAGTAGCAGTCCCCTCTTCCGTTAGAAGACCAAGGATGAGGTAGATTGTTAGACCTACGGGTAGACACCCGTTTGACAGACCGCGCCTTGGGCAGGCTGAAGTTTGGGAACTAAAAGCGGATCGAGCGAGTACGAGGCGAAGAGGACCGGCCAAGGACTTGTTGATTTTGCAAAGTACTCTGTAGTGATGGCAGACATGGGGATAGACACTAATCATAGGCGAACACAGCCCTCACCAATGGAATTATCTGAAGTGGAGGACTTGTCAGTTCTCTCTGGAATAGCTTGAATCTGGACATCCACATCGAAGGATGACGAAAGGTCTGCGAGGAAAAGCGACAAGTGGCGTCTGGCGGCGTACGTCTTGCCTGAAAAGGCACCGTAGTTGGCTGATGTGTGAAAGATTAGCACAGCAAGGTCTGGTATTTTGATTTGAAACAACGGTTGCTGAAGAGTGGCGAAGGTCTCTAAGCGAGCAAGAGCCGGAAGCAAGCTGAAGCAATCCGTTTTTCCCAAGGACGGAAGATAGATCCCAACTTAGGTACATTTGTTAGTAATAGCAAAGGGTGTATCAAATAGCACCGAGGAGCTGAGAATGAGAAATGGAAGCAGATGGCGGGGTTTGTGGGCGCGAGCGATCGGCGGCAAGGACCACCCACAAGCGCCCGTGCCCCGGGGCCCCGTCGCTGCCTCCTTAGTCGTTACCAGGTAACCGGTTAACCACTTACGAGTAGTTGGCGACTCCCTTCCTTCTCCTCGTCTCTTTGCCCTCTGAGTCCTCGCTCCTTCCGAGTTGGCGTCCCCGAGTACTACCTGCCTAAAGGTACCCTGTACTTGGTAGGCAGTCGCACCTGCCACTGCCACTGCCACCCGCCACCCGCCACCCGCCACTCACACGTAGATGCCCTGCACGGCTGAGGTAGAGGGGTTTTCCGGGGCAGGCTTCCCCCAACCGAGCCTGCTCGTAAGTACAGATTATCATAATTTTCCTCCCGCGCAACCATCAACAAGGATGCCTGTGCACCGGCTGCACCGGCTGACGCAAATGGAAATCCTCTTCCAAGGTTCAGACCTGATGGTGCATGGCCAGGAAACAAAGCCTCGTCAAACCTTCCCTCAGAATTCGCTCTTCCCGCTCTCCGCCTTGGCATTTAAAGCTCGCGTACCTTCGTGCAGCAAGGAAGGGGCCCGAGGAGAGCCCAGAGATGTGTTCTTAGCTCGTGCACAGAGGCTACTTCCTGAAAGTCTATGCTGTTTCATCACAGAGGTAGAGTTTGTGGACATGGGACGTGTGAGTCGAACGCGGTCTAGACAAACCAAACGTGTCGCAAAGGCTGCATCTACGGAGCCCCTAGTCCATTATGCGGACCTGTGTATCGCACGAACAAGGTAAAATGGTGAAGATCTCTCGACCGGATCACCGGTTCCGCTGCGAGGTTGAGTTCACAGCCTTGTTATATTTCTCTCCTAGCAGGATTTTCGCGAGGCATCGAGATGCGAGTAATCCCTGCCAATTGATCTACGAAAAGCTTGTCACAACTTTTGCGGCTTGGACGACAGGGAGGTCTCATCTATTACTCTTTCTGTCGAAAGTACCTTATGCAAAGGACGGACTTTTTCGCTTTAGCCTCAGTGAGGCGAGTCAGCACTTGATCGCCGTGGCCTCTGAGCCCACTCCTTAGATCTCGATTTCATATTTCGTGCGACTATGATTTGCCTACGGGATAAGTCACTAACTGCCTCGAAACCTATCAAGCGAGGTTATCAAGCCCAGGTATCACATCTTCAAGGCTGCTGATAGACGAAAAAGAAGTACAAACTAGAGGCGACGATCCCGCGACGTTACCTTCTAAAAATATTTTGTCTCAAAGCATGGCGCATCCCGGGGAAGTCATGCCATAGTTGTATTGAACGTCGCCATATCAGCAAAGTCAGCAACATGCTTCCTGCTTCCCTCCGCCATATTTGCATATCATCTCAGTGCCATGTCCCATCGAGCCATTGTTGGAGATGCCTCATATCATAGAATTGAGGGTGATCCCTGTGTGGTGGAATTGACAGGGCTCAGGCACGACACTTGTACCTGTTGGCTGCTTCACCTATCTTGCCGGATGTGTTCCAAAAAACCAAAATATTTCTCCTAGTCAGCGCTCATGGACAACATGTCCTCGAGCATGCATAGACGTCAGCAGATGGGATTCTGGTCTACAACTAGAATAACAGCTACGCCACGGAACCCAAATGACAACAGATTTTCAATTGACCCTGAACTAACAGACTCTCAACATCCGAAGGCTATCTTGAATCTTGATGCCCTATGGGAACCTGTCACGTGCCTGTCGCTTGCCCAGGCGGCCTACCACAGTTGAAACCGGTTCAAATCAACGCGAAAAACTCGGGATCGACCTTAGCCTGCATCCTCCACATTTCAAGTCAACAGTGTTTCTCAGCGGGGCTGGGTCAATTACCACCGAGCTAGCTGAACTGGCAGCTATCGACTACCCCCACGAATGAAGGATGTGTCCTTTGCGTGGCGTGGCACGTAAACTCTCCATGTACTCGTACCTGAAAGAGCCAAGGGATGGGTACTCGGGACGGAGTCGTTGTCATGGAAAAGGCGCGGGGCTCGGCATTCAAACAATAATTCAAGTTGAACCAAAACACTGATCCCGTGATCAGAAGATCTGCCGCGATCAATATCTATGTACGAAGGAGGGCTTCTTGATTTCTTGTCAGAGCACGAATTTCTAAGCTCTGACTGATGACCTGAGAGAACCCCTAGTATTCAACATGGCTCAAGAAATCAAGGTGATGCTTTATGGGCTAGGAGCGTAAGTCGTCTGTGTGACTCGACTGCGGGCTTGGCAGCATCAAAAGGATCCCTACTAACATTGATGGTTTTCATATTTGCAGCATTGGATCATTCTATGCTTTCATTTTACAAAGAGACAGTCGTGTACGCTTGACAGTCGTGGCTCGATCAAATTACGAGGCTGTCCACAAAGATGTATGTTGTTGGACCCCGGAACGACCCTCTAGTAGCGGCAAGCCTTATTGACGCACTCTCTCAACAAGGGCATCCGTATCACAAGTATGAACCATGGGAAACACCATTTCAAACCAGTAAAAGGTATAAACATCAATCAACTGGCAATCGGGCCCTGTATACTGACTTGGCTCTTGATAGTCGTGAGGACACCGGCCGAGGCTGGCGAGACGTATGACTACATTGTCCTTGCAAACAAAGCTATCGATCAAGAATCCGTTCCTGAGCGAATTGCGCCTGCCGTTGATGAGAACAAAACGACTATAGTGATTGCACAGAATGGAGTGGGCAACGAAGATCCTTTCCGCGCCGCTTTCCCAAAGAACGTCATTCTAAGCTGCGTGGTATGACCGTGATAGTCCCTAACACGAATCTTGCATTTGACTATTTGACCAGGTCTGGGTTGGCGCCGGCCAGAGTCAACCGGGTATCATTGAACATAGAGCGTCAGAAAATACCGAAATCGGCATATTCCCCAACGAAGCCTTGGAGGCCACATTCGAGAAAGCCAAGCTCGATGAATTCACCAGTCTCCTGTCAGCGGGTAAAACACCCTTCACGGTCGAAGAGAATATCCAGATCCAGCGCTGGGAGAAAGTCGTATGGAATTGCGCTTGGAATTCCTTGACCACCCTCACAATGCTCGACACCCACGCATGGTTGAAATCTTCCGATACCTCTACACCGATGACTAGGACACTGATGCGGGAAGTAATCGACGTCGGCAGGAAAGCAGGTGTGCCACTCGAGTACAAGCTGATCGATACATTGATTGATAGGATCTTGGCTATGACCACTATCGGCAGCAGCATGCAAGTCGACTGCAAAGCAGGGAGACAAATGGAGGTTGATATTATCTTGGGGACTCCGTACAAAAAGGGGAAACAACTCGGCGTCCCTACACCGACACTGGACGTTCTTTATACGTTGCTGTTGGCGGTAAATACGCGAATGAAGGCCTAGGACTCTAGTATCGCGCTATCCGACGATATGGTGAGACACAGGGAATGGTATTCATATGCAATTCACCGAATTGTATTCATAAGTGGGGATTGAGTGCTCGACATGATTCTTTATAGACTTGAGATAGTACCATCTAGCGGTTAAGGGATCTCTAGAATCGGGTGTTCCGTAGGGATCAGGTTCCAATATTTCTATGTCCAGCACAGCTGATCGTGATAGACACTCCTTTATATTTGATTCGGAGTTTTCGCGAGCAGCAGAAAGGATACGTGCGGCGTTTTCCGTCCGCATAAGGCTGGGATGATATCATCGGACTTTGAGGACAAGAAGCTTCTCCAAGTTTTGTGGCTTGAGGCTTGGAGGTCATGGCCGCTCTTCGGTTCCCATCGAAAGGTTGAATTCGAGTCCAAATTCTAGTGTTGGGTATCCACGGTAGTCCGTGGACCTCGCTCCACAACTCACAATGCCTGAACCTAACTAGAATACCTGTTGAAACTTACCATGTGGAGCCAAATCACAAGCGGCCTCACCGCCCTGCGAGCAGCAAAATGAGGAAAGTGTGGGTGCTCGCTTAAGGGGAATTCCCTGCCACCAGTACAAGATACTGCCCTGTGTAATTAATGGCCACGGCACGGGGACAGTGGGGTGAGCTTTATGATTGATATCCTTCTCCCCCATATTCTCGCAGATCTCACATCTATGTTGGCCTGCCGTCGCACATAGGCAGGTGATCCCCGTGGGGTGAATAAGGCCCTGCTCAGCGTGATCATCATCAATTCCGATCTGTTTCCTGGAGACAAATTAACTTAAATAGGGCCATCTACCGAGTGTAAGACTACTCTTTAGCCAGAACCACAGTACTCTGGTTGGAAACTCTTCCACATTTTTCGACCACGTCTGCAACGTGACCAGTTCGGTCCCCTGCAACTCTTCAATCATGGACGACAAGCCTTCCGTTGAGGACGAGGCCAGGAGGCCAAGTCACGGCTCATCTCGAGTAGAGGAAGTCGGTGCAGAAAAAGTTCGCATTGAACATTCTCACATGGTCATGCCTGAAGCTCTCATTGGGCTTTCGGAAGAAGATATCCAACAAATCGGGCGAAAAGCAACCTTTAAACTGGACTGCTTTATCCTCCCTTCCATCACTATCATGTATATTATGAATTACCTCGACCGCCAGGTAAGCTTACATAATTCTAAGGACGATCCCGCGCTGACCTGCACAGAATATCGCGAGTGCCAAATTGGCGGACATCGATGTGGACCTCAACTTATCAGCTGTAGAGTACCAGACATCTGTGAGGTAGGCAAAGTGAACTTTATCGTACTTGGCCGCCAAGTATGTTGACGGCCCCCCTATAGCATTCTCTTTGCGGGATACATCTTGATGCAAGTTCCATCGAACATCATTGTTGGAAAAATAGCCCATCCAGCCGTCTATATATGCGCCGCCATGGCCGTTTGGGGTCTGATTTCCGCACTGATGGCCGTGGTCCATAATTTTGGAGGTCTCCTTGCCTGCCGATTCTTTCTCGGGTTTGTCGAGGTAAGTAGCATATCTATGCATAGGGTCCAGGAAAATTGCTCACATATTGTCAGGCCGTTTTTTTCCCAGGCGCGTTGTTCTACCTCTCGTTGTTCTACTCGCGAAAGCAATTTGCCCTCCGAACAGCTATACTTTACTCGGGTTCGCAAATTGGAAATGCTTTTGGTGGTCTCTTTGCCATTGGGATTCTGGAACTGGACGAGAAAAGGGGACTCGAAGGCTGGCGATGGGTAAGATATAGCATTCTTCTATCAGGCCCCTCTAACAGGCAAACAGCTTTTCCTAATCGAGGGAGTTCTCACCATCTTCCTAGCAATACTATTCGCATTCATCCTTCCCAATTCGATCAAGACGCTCAAAGGATTCTCCAACCAAGAGAAAGAATGGGTGGTGTGGAACTTCGAGTCTGATCTTGGCCAGCAAGATAATTCGAAGGAAGTGAGTGGGCGCCAGGGCCTCACAATGGCCGGAACGGATCCAAAGATGTGGCTGTTCATGACCCTCTTGACATCGATCTACATCTCCGCTGCTGTCACGAACTTCTTCCCATCCGTGGTTGGAGGCCTAGGATATTCGAGGAACAAGACCTACGGGCTCACAGCACCACCCTTCATACTTTGTGTCATCTGCATGTTGATCAACGGATTCCACTCGGACCGGACGCAAGAACGCTACCTTCACATCGTCTGTCCTTTGGCCATCACCGTGGTCGCCAATATCATTGCCGTGTCTACCCTGAACATCGCAGCTAGATACGTCGCAATGATGCTGATGCCTGCCTCCTTCTATTCCGCCTCGATTGTGGTTCTCTCGTGGATCGCCAGCAGTTTGAATCAGCCAGCAGTGAAGCGAGCAGCAGCCATTGCAGCAATCAACGCAGTCTCCAACACCCCCAATATCTGGACATCGTACCTGTACCGTTCAGCCCCTCGCTACATCGTGGCTTTCGGTGTCAACCTAGCTGCAGCCGTCCTGGCCATCCTGGTCGCAACCGTTATCCGCATCTACTTGCGCCGCGAAAATGCAAAGATGGACCGCGGCGAGGACGTAGGCAAGAGTGGTCCCACCGAAGCGCAGAAAGCTGCCGGCTTCAGGTATACTCTATAGGCAAGGAACCGACGAACTTCGGGATGTTAGCCCTGAGGATGAAGAGCCTTGCATGGTTGATGGCGCCTTGCTGGAACGTTCTCATGGGCTTTCTGTAACGTTCGCACGGCTCCTTTCCTTGATTAGGAGCTCCAAGCCTTACAAAGTGTACGTAAATCAAATACAGTTGTTCTCAATTCAAAGCGACTACTTTATAGTCATTCGGACCGAGCCAGTAAAAGGAAAGAAACACTTTCTACTAACATGAATGTGTAGCTACTACGCTTGACCAGTACACCTCTCAGAGATGAAAACAGTTCACGAGAGATTACCATACCCGCTCCTCCCCTCTGTCACACGAAATACATACCACCAATGAGAAGGCCTTACTACCTCCCCATCCAACCCCCATCAACAGTAACAATCTCCCCACTGACATAGGCACTGGCCCTGCTTGCCAACCAAACCACCGGGCCCTTAAAGTCCTCCGCTTCACCCCATCTCCCCATGGGGATCCTCTCGAGGATCTGCCTCGCACGAGTCTCATTCTTGATCAGCGCCTCATTCATGTCCGTCTGGATATATCCCGGCGCGATGGCATTGACATTGATCCCCTGGCTAGCCCACTCGTTGCTGAGCGCCTTGGTAAGCTGCGCGACGCCGCCTTTGGCGCTCGCGTACGCAGGCACGGTCAGCCCGCCCTGGAAGGACACGAGGCTGGCGACGTTGATGATCGAGCCGCGGTGCGGGCCTGGCCGCTTGAGCATGTACGCTCCAAAATCTCTGCACAACGTGAACACGGTGGAAAGGTTGACTTGCAGCACTTCCTCCCAGTCGCTGAGCGGGAACTCATGCGCTGGGTGCCGCCGCTGGATCCCTGCGCAGGTCACGAGGATGGACACGTCGTGCCCGTCGGCTAGGATCTTCGCGGCGAGACCTGACACTTCGTTCTGCGAGCTGAGATCCGCCGTGTAGATGGTTGCTTTGCGCGAGAGGCTTTCGATCGCCGTTTTGGTTTGTATGTTGCTCGTGTCTCTCTATATCAATGCTATAGTGAGCGCTCTGGCCAGGCCACGGCTGGTTCCAAGCCTGAAGGTCGCAAGATTTCATACCTGCACCAAAATGATATCTGCTCCTGCTTCCGCTAATGCAACCGCCATGGCGGCACCAATACCTCTTGTGCCACCTGTTATCACAGCAGTCCTCCCTTCGAGGGAGAACATGCTTGGAAATGAAAGTGACATTTTGGGCAGTACCTTTAAGCTATCTAGATGTCCCTTAAGCTTGTGCTGTCTCGTCGTGGTCCTGACTTGGTGTCAGTCTCACGGTCTGGATTGATACTCTGGGTCTTGCTGCTTCACCTTTTGAAAGCGTTTCGAGATATTCGGTAGTCTTGGTTCACCAACTATCTTTCATCAAAATCACCTTAACGGGACGAACGGTATGTCCCTTATGGCCAGCGGGCCGTATGAACCCCGACAACGATTGTTTCTTTGTCAAGACCGAAATGACACTGTCTGAGGAACAAGCAAGTGACCCGGTCTAAATCAATTGATTATGACGAAAATGGATGAACGTTTGATGTCGCTTGTTCCACGCCTCACCCCTACAAAGTTTGCTCGGATCAGACGCACCGAGCGGCGTCTGAGGGCGACATCGGTGCATATCCCGACATCCCGATTTCGTCAGACGCTGTGTCCAAGATTACTTCTCCACGTGGGAACGCGTCCCACGTAGTGGGTAAGTTCTCTGGGAAAGGCGGAGAACGTGGAGGAAGCAATAGGATAGTTGAAATAAAAACCCGTGGGGGGAGTTTCAGACAGGTGATCTTGGTATTCTACTTAGTAAATGGCCTAGCTATACCACGATCGACGCTAGTAGTGAAGCAATGGTCTCAGCAAGGGGAATGGTCTGAAGCCACTAGCTCGTACCCTATGGTCGCCCGGAATGGACTACTCCCACGTTGGTATATGACCCGACCGCTCGTCTCGAGCCCAACCCTGTCCCTGTGTAACGGCTCTGAACTCTGTGGGGGCCGACTATCAGGTTTTAGGCGTCCTGATGTGCTGCGAGCTTGGCTCCAGGGCAAAAGCGAGAATGTCGGAGGACGATATCCGCTTGACGTGAGATGGGTCACTTGGACTGGGGAAACAGTTGACAGGCATAATTATAAGACTTTCGCACCAATGGATTTTTAGACGTCAACAGCGAAGACCAGCCCATAGCAACAGAGCAGCGTCATACATGCAGAACGCTTCTTCCAGCGATGCAGTTGACGAGACATCATGGACACCATGGTCTCGGGCTACTGACCCACACGCACCATTAATATTTACCACTCCCGGATGCTACCGTCTTCTCCATAGAACTCCTTACATTGCCAGGCCTCTGTCGTCTTAGAGATCCTCCTGACAACTTCCTCATTAATCTCAATACCCAGCCCTGCACCTGTTGGAGCCTTGACGTAGCCGTTCTCAATTGCGAATACACTCTCGTCGACGAGGTAGGTGTTCAAATCCTCCTCCCCAGCTTCGACATTGTAGTGCATTCCCAATGACATCTCCTGGATTACAAAGTTAGGGATATTCAAGGCGACCTGCATGCTCGCGGCGAGAGCGATCGGTCCCAGGGGGCAGTGCGGTGCAATGGCCACGTCGTATGCTTCGGCCATGTTGGCGATACGCTTCGTTTCGGAAATACCTCCTGCGTGTGCGATGTCCGGCTGCAGGATATCGACGGAAGCATCTTCCAGGAATCGCTTGACGTCCCAGCGGTTGTACAGGCGCTCGCCCTGGGCAATTGGGATGGTCGTGCAGTTGCTCAGCTGCTTGTAAGCCTCAGGATGTTCTGCAAGGAGGGGCTCCTCGATGAAGAGTGGCCGGTACGGCTCCAGAGCTTTGGCCAATTGTTTGGCCATGGCTTTGTGTAGGCGTCCGTGGAAGTCTAGACCGGCATCCAGACCGAGCGATTTGACAATTTTCAGCCGCTCGACGGTCGAGTCCAGTACGGATGGTGAGTCCAGCCAGTTGACATCCTCGGTGGCATTCATCTTGATGCATCGCAGCCCCTGGGCAATGCGAGCTTTGGCAGCGGTTTCGATGTCCGAAGGCCTGTCACCACCGATCCACGCATATACCTGGACCTTGTTGCGAACTTTCCCACCAAGAAGCTGGTAAATGGGGACGTTCAGCTTTCGTCCTGTAGAATCGTAGTCAGCAACTGAGTGGAGGGAGTTCTGGCTTTCTTCAGGTTTCATGCCGACCTTTAAGATCCCAAAGAGCGATATCGATCCCAGAAAGAGCAGACATGAAGACTGGGCCTCCGCGGTAGAATCCCAAGCGCCATATCGTTTGCCAGATGTGTTCAATATCACTGTGGAACAGTTGTAACTTTAGTACGACCATGTTCAATCCGGCTGAATGTCCAAGAGGGTAGAGAGACAGACTCTGCTTCATATCCGATAATACGATCAATAATCTCGTCAAGTGCACCCTCCACCGCTTTGGTATGGCCCTCAAGCGTAGCTTCCCCCCAGCCGTAGTTACTTTGATCATCTGTGATCTTGACAAATAACCACCTGGGCTTGACTCGGAAGTATTCTATGCTTTTGATTTTGGCTCCGGCCAGGTTGGGGACGTGAGGAGTGGCGCCATTCGTGGTACCACGCAACGACTTCAGTTGATCAGTGGCCATTTTCACTGAGACTAATACCAAAGCTGGTCTTTTCAGAGAAGATACGAAAGTGAAAACGCACAGATAGATAAATTTGATGTAGGTTACGGAAAACAGCCACAAATGCTAGCCATCAAGCTAAGGTCGAGTTTGTCTCGAGCAGATGACGTTCTTTTTGTTATGTACGAGTCCGCAGTTCTCACCAGTGTAGTAATGTTATGAATTAAGGATTCACGGATCGCGTGACGCATCGAGCGGCGCCCTATGTCTTGTGGCGGACCGGATTGCTTGGGGGAAACGAAGGGGCAAACAAAAGCATCGGTAGCAACTTTTCCGGGCTGCGAGAGAGAAGAGATTCGACTCCCCACGAATATAGAATTTCTGGCTACTTCGTGCAGATGAGGAGAGCTTGACTCAAAGGTATAATTGTGGCGTGGGGGTCCTACCGGCTTGTACCTTGACCAGGGTGCCAGCCCTTTAACCGGGGGCCTCCTCGGGACTGGAAACTCTGAACGATCGATTCAGGCGACTGGTTAGGGAGGGGCCGGAATCCCTCAGGTACTGAATACTCCATTTGCAGTGCTAAGATGTCATGCTCCGCTTCTTACTCCATTACTCCATACATAAAATCAGCCACACCTCTAAATCCTTGCATCATTACCTCGATTTCCCCTCTTCACCGTCGCAGACTTCGTCCCCTCGGATCTTTCCAAGGAGGATGGAAGACTCCGCTTGTTCTTTCTTTTGGCGGCACGGGGAAGCGGTGTGACATATCCAGATCAAGTGTAGTCGTACCCTGGAAGTATCGGAGTCGGTTCACGGCCCACGGCCCACGGGTGGCCATCCGAAGCTAGCTTCTGGATTTACCAGGATTGTCCCGTCATCTTTGGGAACGTGATCGTATCAGTTTGGGGACTTGATGTTGTTTCCGAACGGAATGTTGTCTAGGTGCGCGATATATACCATTTCCTCCTCACTCAAGTCCCTGCTTGCTGTGCAGCGTTAGTGTTCGCTCACTCCCTTGCCCACGCGGATATAGGCGCTCAAAGATAGACACACTTGGAGAAGAGCAAAGGAGATCGGAGGGAAATGGATTACAACAAGAGGATTAAGAAGGATGCATTAACCTCCATCACATCGCTTTCTAACTAGGCAGCTCATTACGACTCAGAAGACACAACATCTAGGCAACAAGTCCGAAGTCAGCCACGTTCCATAGTCTCAAACGTTTCTTGCCCTTTTGCTCACCCCTTGTATTTGAATCCGAGCCGAACATATGCCCTGGAAACACATTGTCAGCAACCAGGTTAGTATCTCAGAACCCATGGAATCATCCACGGCTGGCTCCTCGGAGCAGCATAATGGCATTCCGAAGCAGATCGGCGGCTTCATGCAACAATTCCCATCTTGAGTCACGAAATGCTGTCTCCAGGATTGCCAGCACGCCCACGACATTATTGCGTCCGTCTTTGATTGCGTCAAGCCCTTGCGGAGTCTTGACGGCACCGACTGTTGACAGAAATACGTGCGCATCTTTGACAACGGCATCCAACTGGAGCTCGCTCCCATCGTGTGCCATATTGAGCATCGACTGACTTGGACTGTGTGACAACGACGAAACTGCGCCTGGAGACGGCGTTGCTTGAATTAGGCTCGGAAACGGTCGAAGAACGCCATCCATCGCAAAACCATATGACCAAACGACAAGCGCCGCGAAGTACGACGCCCATGGTCTGATCACAAGATGGTCGTCTCGGGCGTTGTAAAGCTTCTTTGAACCATCCTTGGTTGGCGGGATCACGGATCTCAATAGCTGAAGGGCATGGAAAACGCCGACACTGGCACTTTGGCCTTTTGCCCAGTCAAATATTTTACACTTGACTCTCTCATAGTCGGCATTTGAGACGGTTCTTCCAAATAAGCGCTTTGAGCCAGCAAAAATCTGACAATCCATAATATCCACATGCATCGACATATGGCTTAGGTGGTGTAGGACATACGCGGCTTTAGCCATATCCTCTTCTCCAGAGCCAACATCATGCTTTTGCCAGGGAAGAGATGCTTTTCGCATGTGTTCAAGATTCTCGTCAAAGTCCTTCTTCCAGAATTCAAAGGCTTTCGTTAATGGCGTCCTCCAACCATCTGGAGCCCCCATAGATTGGGAGACGCCGAGGCTCGAGACCTGGAGGTCTCTCTGGTGCATGTGCCATGACACTGACAGCAATCCGGCCATCAGAATCATTCTTCCAAAGTTGTTCGTGCGCACACGCCTTCCTGTCAGTGTCTTTTTGAGCCCATCAAGAAACGTGGTGGGTTTGATTCCGTTTGCATGAAGACTTGCTTCGACTCTGCCAACTTCGGCTGCCGAAGTCGCAGACCAGAGGGCATCATCACATGGTAGAGGTAGCCTGATCTCGTGGACCACCATCATGGCAGCATGACCGAACATGGTTGCGTGAACCGCGTCAAGGTAGAAAGCAGCATATGCCGCCCGGCGGGTAGCTTCTGCTGTTATCCAGCGGCTCCACCATTCCTCCGGGGTTGTGGGCGTTCGCCAGGCATCCTGATTGCCCGTCTCAATCAAGGCAGTTCCTCGTCTCATCAGATTTATAGTAGTTGCATAGTGGATGTGAGAGCGTTCATGTAACATTCGTGTGGAGTTCATTTTCTCGTATATTTCCAGGAGGAGAAGCGTCTGAAAAACCCACAGTTTTGATGGAGGATGAAAGTCATTGTGCATAAATACCTGCCACCGTAAGTGCCAGGCTATAAATGTGGCCAACCGTGCTGCCGCATCGGTTACTTGGCGGCCGTGGGCCTTGTTCAGGTACGCTGCACCAATGGCCATGACCGCTAATAGTAGATAGTCGTGAGTGTTTTCAGCAGAGAAGGTTGGCTGATGTAAGATAGGCATCTGTGCATGAAAATGATACCAATATGACCCGATATAGTGCTGCATGGAACGGAGGCTAAGAACATGGTCCTCCGCGTCGAGATTGCCTCGGAAGATTTCTTCTCTTAGCTTTCCAACGAAGCGGTTGTCTCCATCGTTGAATGTCAGCTCCATCAAATTGAGTAGTGATTTGCGTTTAGCGTACGACAGCAAGTCACTGTCACTCGAGATTTCCAGAGCCTTGCTGATTGTCTCCTGAGGGCGAACTTGCGCGATATCGGGATAGCTCTGGTCAAGCGCAGGATCTGTAAAATAGTTGGGATAGATGCCACTGTTAAAGGCGTCCCCAGCACTGGGAAAGCCCAAGCCTCCCGGAACGCCCATTGAGAAAGCGGCAGTCTGAAGGCCTCCAGCGTCTTCGAAAAGCCATGCAGTAAACTCATCTCGGACAGACGCAGGTGAATCATTAAAAGCTTGATCACTTAACGTGGGCACCGGGAATGTAGGTACTGCTTTATCCTGAGCTGATTTATTTCGGGCATCCCCCAAGATTCCGACCCCATTGCTCAGTATTGTGTGATCTGAAGTGTCGAAAGCAGTTTCGGTGAGACTGTGAGACCGTTGAAGGGATAGTGTGGACTCAGCAGGCATATCAGCAAAGCCGAAGTTTGATGGTTGCCTTGATATTCGAGGTTCTGGGTTGACGTAAGATGGTCGGCGCATCGCAGGTAGAGTTTGCGGAGGTCCACTATTTGAGACATTTCCTTCTTGTGCTGGTTGCTGTATGAGTGCTTGAAGGTTGGTCGGCTTGAAGTTAGATTCTGAGAAAGACGAACGGTGCAAGACAGACGATTGTAAGCCTTCGCTGAGTTGCTTGGGTGTCGCGAATATGTTTGAGACCGGAGAGCCAGGGCTATTGGCATTGCCATCACTCATTGATGACCGTGGAGAGAGTGGCTCGCGACTCGTAGCATGCTGTCCTGAGGGAATTTTCCCCCGATTTTCATGTCGTTCTCGATGCCTGATACAAAGATCCTGACGCACGAAGGTCCGTGAGCAACCTGGATAGTCACACTTGAAGATTTCCTTCGGGTTGTCTGTGCCCACATTAGATAGAGATATTAGTCTTCGCTGGTGCAACCCGGAGCTTACGATTGAGCTGGTGTCGGTACAAATGTTCGGCGCGTGAGTAGTGACGGCCGCAACCGGCATAAGTACATTCGAACCGGCGTCGAGTCTCATTCTTGCTGGAGCGCTGTTTGGCATCGGAGATGGAATTCGGATGCGAGTCCACCTGGGTGTCGGTTGCTGTTGCGCTCAAGGAGTCGTCGATGCGTGGTCGCTTAGGTTCGGACATATTTAATTCATCAAGCTTGGGGTACGCATAACATATTGATAATGCTCACTCAACAGGGATCGTATCGATCAGATGAGCTCGGATGGGGAAATTGATGCGTTGGGAGAAACTGAATGAAGAATGGGCCAATGAACCATCAGTGTATGATACAGGTGCTAGTACGACGACAAAGGCCCACAGGTTGAGGATTCTGGTGTGTCCCAAGGAAAAAGGGAACAATCGGTAGAAGAGGAAGCGTGTCGATGGAGCTATCAACCAAGCACGTTGCTGAACTTTACACGACCGTGGTTAGGATTAGATACGGTACTTTGGTCGGGAAGTCGGTATTCCTCGGTGCTCACTTTCTCACTCGCCCTAATATTGGACTAACCGCTATATGCCTAGTGCTTCGCCAAGCATTTCCGTTCCCCGCAGTCACCTGATCATAGAATAAATCGAAATGTGGGGTGGAAGCCTTCCTCGACCACCCAAAATACACGACACAGGAACTGAGCCACTGGGGAGCTTGCCCTTACGAGCATAAAGTACTCAGTATTGAATTAATTCACTTTTCTAGTGCCCATTCCACGCAGAAGCGACATGACGAGATCGAATTCATATTCCTCTCCAGCCGATACATCACTTTTTGAGGTACAGAGTTTGGCTGTTGCAATAGGACTTCAATCCACCTACGCCGAACTCAGTCCCAATCCCACTCTCTTTGTGACCGCCAAAAGGTGCTCTCGGGTCCAGTTCAAAGTGCGTATTGACCCAGACATTCCCAGCTTCAAGCTGCTCTGCGATCTTGGTGGCTCGGTCAAGATCAGCTGACCACACCGAGGCACCGAGGCCGTAGATCGTGTTGTTAGCTTTAGTGACAGCTTCCTCATCGGTACTGAAACTCAGTAATGGGACAATGGGGCCTGTACTATTGTCAGCAATGCGTTGAAGTAGCCGCTGGAGTTCCTACCGAAGGGCTCTTCAACGACCAGTCGAGAATCGTCCTTTGGTCGGTCAATGATCGTAGGGGTCTACAAGAGTCAAAGTTAGCTCAAGGTTCAACTTGCTTATACATGGTGGCCATTGAATTCGAAGTGCGAGGTTATTGTCTGTGATCAGAAGAAGCACTTACAATGAAATAGCCTGGGCCATCGGGGTTCTTGCCACCAATTGCCACGTTCCATTTCTCTTTCTCGATGTCACTGAAGAAGCCCTTGACTCGTTCATATTGCATCGAGTTCTGAATGGGTCCGAGGAACACACCCTCTTCATTGCCCTCACCGAGCTTGAGCGTCTTGGTGTGTTCCACCATCGCATCGCGGAATTCATCGAAGATCTTCTCGTGGACAAAGATACGTTTGAGTGCGAGACATATCTGTCCGGAATTCAAAAAGGCAAGGGTAGCAATCTTGGGTGCTACCTCCTTGATGTCCACGTCGTCACACACTACGGCGGGATCATTTCCTCCCAGCTCCAATGTGACACGCTTCAACGTCTTGCTTGCACTCTCCATTACCTTCTTACCGGTAGCACTAGACCCAGTAAAGCTAATTTTTGCAGGTCCAGGGTGCGCAGTCAACCAAGGACCAAGGCTGTCATCACCACTCAGCGCTTGTACTACACCCGGTGGGAAATATTGCTGCGCCAGCTCCACAACTTTGAGTCCACTGTACGGTGTGAAGGGTGAGGGTTTGATGATGATCGGATTACCCGTGACAACGCATGGAGCGATCTTCGAAACGCACAGGAGGACAGGGTAATTCCACGGGACGATGCCGACCGTGGTTCCTAGTGGTGTGTACCTCACGATGATCTTGCGGCTCTCCTCATCAACAATCTCTTCTGTAGGTAACTCGAGACCGGCCATCGTTCGGATGATGGACAGTGCAAAGTCCATTTCGAAATGGGCGAAACCAATCTGTTGTTGGCCCACATCAGTCCACATCCCAAACCTGCACCAGATCCTTTTAGGGAGACCAATTTACTAACCGGTTTGCCTTGCTCCTTGGTCAACATGTGTGCAAACCCTTCTTTCTCCTTCTCCAGCGCGTCCGCGAAGGCTAGCACTGCCTTTCGTCTATCGGCGTAGCTGGTTTTTCCCCACGCCTTGGACGCCTTCTTTGCTGCCGCAACAGCTCGATCGACGTCTTCCGGTGTGGAAACAGGCACCTCTGGGTTTGGCTTATCGGTGGCAGGGTTGATTCCATGGCGAGTTTTGCTGGTCGATGACAGCTTCCCATCGATTACATTTGAGAAGGTGGCGAAGTCGAGAATGCCACCACTAGAGCCGTCGACTCCATTCTCAGCATGTAGGGCCATTGCACTCAGGGAGGGGGGTGCAGGTCGCCTCCGAATAGATATCTCGTTGAGTTGGAATGGCGATACTCTGTGGAATTAGTATTGGAAAGCGTAAAAGGGGCGAAGTTTGAATTTGTACTTTCGCTCTCGACCTTGGCTCTTATAAAGGACGGTCTTCCAAATTTGATTCGTATCAAACCTCGCCCGCTTTTCAGGGCCCGTTGACTTGGTCCACCAGGTGCAGTTCTTTTGGGTGCACAATGCACTATGCAGCCACAAACTGCCGTAATCAGTCTGGCTTGTACCATTTTCGACTCGGCTAGAATGTGCTAATACGATCACCAAGGCAGGTCCAGAATTTTTAATTGGGCAATTGACTCTTCCCACGGCTCAGCTGGCCGTCAGCACGACATTGGGCGGGGTAGGACAACGCGTACTCGTTTACTTCCCCTCAAATGGTCACTGCAACTAGCCTACCATTAAAAGACAATAGATGGTGAGAATCAGTAAAGGCCTCGGCGTGACCCATGTGCATGTTCTAAAAGTCCAACCCATATCGAGCTGAAGTTATCTGCTATAATATTTTCACGCTGCTTAAAGATGGTTCTTTTAAAGACGATCTACTGTAGTTTGTTTACTGGTTAGACTTTTATTGATTGAAGGGCCCCCTCTTTGTCAACCAGAATGTCCTGCTTTCCGGTGATTTCTGGAGAAGAATGGTACACCCATGGCTGAATACCCAATTTTCAAATCAATTTGCGCACGTACTCGACAGGGCCATCGTAGACGTGACGCGCTCGAACAAAGTAGTCGATAATAGCAAAGATCAGAACAGCCCCATAGATAAGACTTGCCCAGTTCATCATCTCGACGGTAGGGTTCGGACTGCCGGGGAAAAAGGCGAAGATGAATGCAAAAGTGAGGAACAACAAGCTGAATGCATTCAGTGCAAGACCAACGCGTGGTGGAAGTCTGAATTTAGCGGGAAGCAGCTCTTGTCCAGAGACCCTCTTCCAGAGAACACAACCTATCGAAGCGATGTAGCTGGACAAGATGGCCACAAGGGAAAGAGATGTGATGTTGTTAAGAGCGATTGTCGAACCGATGTTGATAATGGAGAGCAGGCAGGACACGACCCATGAGACAATGATGCTGTTCATGGGTACATCCCATCCTGGTCGCACCTGTGAATTTGTCAGTCGCAAAATACGAAACGGAGGAGTCAATACGTACATGTGCAAACCACGCATGTCCTGGGATACCTTGGTCTCGTGCGAAAGACCATAGTTGACGACTGGCTGTCGCGGTTATGCCTAGACCAGATTGTTAGTACACACATCTGTATTCGACTGGAAGGTGCATACTTAGATGGCAGAAAATGGCAAGGATTATAATGAGGGCTGACAGAACAGAGGCGCCGACATAAGATTCGGTAACGGTATAAAATACAGCGATGTAAGGCTGACCGGTTGGCGAGTTGATTACGTCATCGATGTTTCCCAGGGTAAAGCAGAAGCTGATGAGTATGATCCAACCCATGCTACCATTGATGATAGTTGTCAAGATCATGCTGCGTGGTAGAACTTTGGATGCATCTCGAAGTTCCTCGGACATGTGCACTGCACCATCCGCGCCAAGTAAAGGAATCATGACAGCCAATACACCCACAACGGCGGATAGACCATCGCTACTCCAACCGCCATAATTGTTGAATGTGGTGAAGACTTCGGACGCTTTTCCCCTCGGACCCAAGACCCAGAGGGTTATGAGAACGCCAAAGAAGCCGAAAATGTGCAGAATCAGGACGATACCCTCCACCAAAGGTAGCCGTTTCACCAGGAAGGTGTTAAAGAAGACGGAAAAGGTCGCCACAGCGAAGGTAAGGAGAGTGCCATGCCATTTCTCCGGAACATAAGCAGGATTGTTGAGGATAACAAGGCCCTGGATTTGGGTGCCAGCCAGGAACGCCGTGTTTGCGGCGCCGGTTTGCCATCCAAGCACGCAGAACCAACCTAGTTTATGGTTAGATATGTCTGCATACCCAGCTGCGGGATTCTCACCAACGATAAAACTCATAAACTTCTGATATCGTCTGGGCGCAAATTCGGAAACCCAATGATATTGGCCGCCGGCTGTTGGTGCCCTGCAGCGTTTAGATCAATACACCAATCTTGGAATTTTGCGGCCCGATGCTACTCACATCGAACCCATCTCAGCCATAGAGATGTTAACAGCCAGAAATCCAACCCATGCGACAAGGAACATCCAGATCATTCCTGCAGTACCGCCGTTGATGAGACCAATTATAGAGGTTCTGCGTGATATGAGAATACGCAACAGGATTTGTTTAGCGTGATGCCTACGCACCCAAGTATTGTTTCCCAGCTATTCATCAAGATCATAGAGAAGCCGAATATAGAGACGAAACGGAAATTTCGCTGTCACTCTTCAGTTAGATTTGCGCATCATAGGAGCCAAGGTCTGTGAGGGTGCCTACCCTTAATTCCTGGGCCTTGCCCAACCGAAACATATCCCGTTGGTCATCAGCGGTACCCTTCTTTTCGGCGGAAACATTTGCATTTGTTTCTTCAAGGTCGATCTGGGATGTGACCATCCCGTTATCCTTGGGTTGGTCCATGATGAAATCCTTCGCTAAAACAGCGTAGGGAAAGGATGGATAGTCACAGAGGGGAAAGCAGAATGAGTGTGAAGGCGGTGCCAGTTAGTGTTCAGGAGTACTGCCTGAGTCGTTGAGAAGACAGGGAGACTCGGGGGCATTTGAAGTTCAGTAACGCAGAAGGTTAGTTGCCATGTGTCAGACCAAGACCATGTGTTGGGAGGCTTGGTCTGGTACTCCGTACTATAGATCCGAAGTGTGTTCGCAGACCTAGCTGGCTTTGTGCAAGTCTCGCTTGTCAAGGAACTACAGGGGACGATGGCAGACGCATAGTATTCTGTACTCAAATAGCACTTGTATCACTCCCGAATCCGCTTCCCAAGTAATGGAGACCTTGCCCGCCAGAGTATCGCGGCTCAGAACACCCACACGGAAAAGCTATAATCTATACTCAATCTGGTCCGCGGTCCTGGATTTTCGTCAACCCGACGAGGGCGTGAAACAGATAGAAAGACTAGAGGCGCCCGATTTCAGGCATCGTCAAGCTTAAGCACGCCACCCTTCGACTTAGGGCTCAATCATTGACAATCGTTGCTTACCTCGTACACGAAAGGTCTGAGCAGCTTTGCGGCCCAATGAGGGAGACGTCAACCTCTGAGGCTAGCGCAAGAGCCACAGGTGAGGATCCACAGTTGAGGAAAGGGAAAGTTGGAAGGGTCGGAGATCAAGTGATGCAGTTGGTTGATGGCAGAAGGCTTCACGGCGAGGGGGAAATTCAAGACGGTACCTGTTCGTGGAGCCCCACCTGCGCGACAGACACCCGGCACCTTATTCTTGTGTGCAGCAAGATGGCTTGGTGGATGAGCGAGCTAAAGGCTGTGGCTTTGGAAAATCGAATGCATGATATTGGCATGCAGCAGGAGACACACGGCCCTGGTATGCCCTGGTATGGGAGTTGAGCACCCTGCTCCTCGCGAGTCGCAAGCGCATCAGGAAACACACCCCGGATCAAGAAGACGAATCGGCAGAAAGGAGACGTTGGGTAAACGCAACCGCCGGACACCTCTTCATGTGAAGGAGGTCCCTAAGCTGCTACCACAAAGAAGATCCGCTGTTGAAAGATCCCTTGCTGGTGATAGAAGTCTCGACGTTCACCTCGAAGGGCCTGTATGTTTGCTTTTTCTGGCACCCCCAATGTCAGCTGTCGTCCAGGACATCTGGAACAGCGCCAAGGCTTAGCTATCTCTGGGAACCTCGCTGGTGCGCTGGCGGATAGTCCCCCTGCCAGTTAGCGCGACTTACTAACGATGCCTGAGAGGGCCCGAGCTCAGGCTCGCTAGGCGACGGGAGGGGGGAAAGGGGATGGATCGCGGGCAAAGACAGCCGAAGTGATCAGCGCACTTAGACCCAGCCCAGCCGGTTCTCTTGGGCGCACCCTGGAGCTCCTAGCTTCATGAAGCAACGATCGACCTTGGCTACTGCTGTACCAGTACGGTGGCCATCTTGAACTTGTGATTCGGGCGTTCAACGTCCAATGTCCGTCTTCTGACACACCACCTTGTATTCAACATACAATCTATTCAGTCACGTCGTTGTCATAAACACGGTTTTATACCATTTCGGAAACAAGTTCCACGGGTGTCAGGAAATAGACCGCCAGAACCAACGGTCTGCGAAAATTGGACTTCGTGGCCCGGGATGTTTGATTGGCAAATCCCATCCACCACTCAGTTAAGCTTTTCTTGAGCATAGTTAGACTTCGACTCTTCTCTGTGTCCTATCCATTTCTCCGTGCCTCGATGAAACCCTAAACTCAGGTTCACCTATGAGGAAAGCTGGTGCAGCTCTTCAGAACCACAATCTCTCGAAATCTGAGCCATCCCACGGGCCGAAAGGGCTGGAGAATCCCCTGAGTACTAGTGAGTCCTCCCAGATCTTGGAGCTCTGGGTGGTCAATCCATCAGCCACTTGGCAGAATCATAGAGAACGTAAGTGGCTATGCTGTGTTCTCGTCACGCCTTCGTTGCATGAGGGCGTAGAGACGTAATGTTGAAGGTCAATTGCCCAACAACTGGACAACTGGACAATTGGACACTAAGCGTGGAGCTGGAAAAAGCCGAAAAGCGATATGAGAGGGCCACTGGGCCACTACGAGTAAGCTTCACCGAGCGTCGATATTCGCCACGAATTGCCGCAGAAGATCCACTCTCGTGCAGCCCTTCCCCTCGAGCAAGGACCAGAGAAGCATAACAAGGAAAGTGGCCATACTACGGCTCCACCGCTGCTGTCAAGGTATGTACTCGTACTTGCTCCCACTGGTGCAATTCGTCTACCCAAAGCTGAGAACTTCAGATGTACCAGACTGTCACAGCTGGTTTGGCAGGAGCTTAAATGGCTGTCCGAAGGATGGCACAACTTCAGCTGTGGGAATGATCAGCATTCCAACTGCTCGACCTGGGATAATGCTGACCTTGAACCTACGAGAACAGCATACTCTGTACGTGGATTTACGGTGTGTGTCTGTCCGAGTATTTGTTCTCGTAGGGGTCGTCGCTTCAACTTCGCACCAGCCCTCGTCCTTGCTGCTTTCACCATCGCGCCAAGTGTATCAAAACCAGCCACATATTCTGATCCACTTCGGCAAACAAGGGACAGGCCTGGATAAGGTTTCGGCATCGTTGGATATTGTCTGACGGCGTGTGGAAGTTTCCTTGAAACTGGTGCTAAACCTCAATAATGGTTCAGGCACACGGCAATCATTGATCAAATGTCCAGATCAGTAGCGCACTGTGACATCTTCTAAGCATTGAACCAACAACAGGACCCTGGATATGAGGATTATTATGTAGAACACTCCCGGACGGGCCACTATCGACTGCCGCCTCCATTTCTCGACGTTTTACGACCTCTATACATTCGACCACCGATTAGGTCACTACGATGGACACTTCTGGTGCGAACGAAAATCGCTTTGCAAGAGTAACACCCGACAATCATGCGGGGTCTCTCTGGATTGCTTCCTTGTTATGCCTAGTCTACTCAATCATGACGTTGTCGTTGAGAGGGCACCTACGATGGAAGATGTTTGGCATGGACGATTACCTTGCGATACTCGCCACGGTATGATTGTAGCGACATGCTCTCTACCAATGCTAATCTTCCCTCTGCAGACTTTCCACCTCGGCGAGGTAGTTGCAATAATAATTGGATTGGATCACGGGTTGGGGCAGTCTGAAGAACTGTTGAGCGCTAGCGATCTCTCAGAAGCGAGCAGGGTACAGTTGTTATGTGCCAGTCTTCAATCATCTTACTGACAACGTGCTCAGTCAGCCTTTGCTTCCCAAATATTGTTCCTTCTGTCTGCGGCATTTGCGAAGGCCTCGACCTTGTACCTGATGATGAGACTGTTCAACCTGAGCGGTCCAAAATCACGAAATCAAACTCGATCCAAGACACTTTATATCGTCGCTATAACAATACTGACGATCGTGGGGCTTTGGGCAATACTGTCAATCGTGGCGATATCAGTCGACTGCTCGGTCAATGGCTTCATTCAAGCTGATCAGGCTCAATGTTCGCATCAGGTACGTTTTGGATATCTAAGGCAGGTTTCCACATCTGACTCCAGCATAGTTCCTCCGGTGGCAGTTGATTACCGCGTTCGACGTTGCGACGGAGTGTATTTTAGTGATTGTGTCGATCGCGATTGTTTGGCCCGTACAACTGCTCTTGTCTTTGAAATGCCAAGTAGTGCTTGCCTTTGCATTCCGCTTGCCGTACGTTTCCAGGAAATCGCACAAGGCCGGCGAGACTAACAAACCTTTAGTGTCGCAGCCCTTTCTATCATCCACCTCAAATATGTCTCGGATTACACAGTATCCAGCAACCCCGGAATTGCTTTGGTGCCTGTCTTGGTACTTCAGCAAGTCCAGCTTTGTTGGTCCCTTATTTCGGCAACAATCCCGAACCTGAAATCCTTTGTCAAGAGCTTCAGTAGTAGCTTTGGTATCCAACTGGACCCCTCACTCACACAGGCTTACGGATCTGGTAGACTTGGCCGCGGCACTGGATACGAGCTTGGCTCTCTAGGCCAAAATGGAGGTTCCAAATCGCGATCAGGTAATCGTTCATACAATGACATCGAAAGGCCAACAACACTTCCACGGCAGATGCAAGACAACTTGAAGAGTCACCCAAATGCAAGAGATCAAGAATCTATCGCCAGTGCAGGAAGCCAGGATCACATCATTCGCAAAGATGTGCAATGGAAAATTCACTATGAGAATAATGACGAGAGAATCTAATCGTCTTAGAGGAGGGATAGCTTTAACAAGAGTGGCGTTTTCTTGGATGTTATGCCGGGATTGGCTTTGATGAATTGACCGATGGTTACATGGGGATGGTAAGGCAAGTATCCCTAAAATGTGTGGACATAGACGGAACTCTTTGCTTGGACTTGAAATGGATATTTTACATCTTGTATAGATAAGAGGGCTGGCACCAATCACGAAGGATATGAGGCGTTATTCCAGATCACACTTGTTTGTGTAAGTTTGGGGATCGGATTCCACTGTGGAAAGCCAAAGACCTTCCAGTGCAAGATGGTCCGTGGGAAGGAAACCAGTCAATACAGGATTGAAACGCTGAGATGTGGGCCTATGCAGTTACAGGGGAACTGTGCGGTGACTTTGTGATGAACCTCGTACCTTACGCAGTTATAGCACTTGGCGACCAAGGATGGTAAAAATTTGTTTTCTCTCTCATATTCACCCTACAAATTGATAACGGATCCGAAACTAATGCAATGTGAGCACATTCGCACACAAGATCCGGAGCACAACTGTAGTCTTAGAGAATGGGCATGTGCAAATTTCATCGACGCTTTCTCAACATCCCACAGTCTCAACTCGCGTGCAGCTCGGAAGGGGGTACACTATCGGGACCCACTTGTGCACTGGCAATAAGCGTAGCTTAGCTTTGACCTAGATTTCTCACCTCTCCAGGAAAAGCAAACACTGGGTCTTGCGGGATGAACCCAAACGTTGCCAAATGTCGATGCGGGAAGTCTCAGAGGCGCACCTCACGACTCCCGGGTCTCGATGAGGGGATTGATAAGCAAGGCTCGAAGATTCCCAGCTTTATCGGAGTTGGAAAACGGTCGACGCTCAAAGACGAGGTCGCGCCACCGAAGGTTTACCAGCTCTTTGAGGTAGCCGGTGGCTCTCCCGTACAGCGTACGAGGCACGCTCTCCATGCCTACTCCGTAGGAAGGAACTTGGTTGACCCGAGGAAAGGGGCTGCGTCGCCATCTACCTGGGCACTTGACTACTGCTAACCAGGGGCGGAGGCGGTCGGTGTGCAGGCATCTCGTGCCAAACAGCAGAATGCGAGACCTGTCGCCAAAGTACTCCGTACCAGTCATCCTATGGGATAGAAATCTCCGCTGAATGTTGGGGTGACCCTTGGCTGCATCCTGTTCCTCGATGAATGCTCCTTCACAGGTTGGCTTTGGCCCCGTCTGGGCACTGAGACTGCTAAGAACACGAAGGTTACCGGAAACATGGGCTCTTCCGAGGGTGAATCTCACACCGTGATAATGCCCTTTCGACCCAATCAACATCCAGCAGGACGATGACATTCGGACTTGGTTACCTGCCCAGCGTGGCGCAACCAGGTTCAAGCCATGAGGCACCGTTTGGCTCCTACCGAACGTCTACTAGTAGAACATCCGCTAGTAGTCCGGAAATAGCGCTGAGCTAGAGCAATGCACTATAAATCTTGGCGATATCCTGAATCCTAGCCTTCCTCCAAGGCATGAACAACACGCGCCAGCAACGGATTTTGCTACAATTGATAGCTCGATGCTTCCACGACAGCCATCGACCGAGTAAGCGACGATAAATCTTGGGTACACAGTTACACGAATTTAACTGGTTTCAGGCTCTGCACTGTTATCAGGTTTACCCCCTTTTATTCGAGACCCGCATTCCAGGGTCATACCCATTTCTCAAACACATCCTGGTCATAACGTTGGACATCCGAAGTGGGCTACCACTGCTAGAGACTGCTAGAGATTGGTAGATACTGACAGTAGTCGACATTATCGAGCTTCTCCTTATCATTTGTTCGCGAGGAGTATCACATCAACCATGCCACCAGCACCTTTGCCGCGTGATTTCACGCTTCGTCGTGCGAACTTTACGGATCTACCTGCAGTTGCAAGGACCACGTCGTTGGCGTTTTGGGACGACGTTCTCTTCGGCCGTTTGATACACCCAAACCGGGCTGCCTATCCCTTCGACTGTGACAAATACTGGTACCGTCGCTTCGTCGTAGACTGGTGGGATCCAAGTCATGTCTTCCTAATCACCACTGCTCCCGACACCGACACATCCAACGGTGATAATGCCCGGGGCAGAGAAGTGGTTACTGGGCTTGCCCACTGGAGTCGGATTGCCCCAACACGACAAATTAACTACAAGGCGGGCTGGGAACTGAGCTGGTGGGATCCAAGTAAGTGTTTCAGCATCTTTTCATTCAGTTCTTCTTGCTTGTTCTGCGATCGAGATGGAGTAGCACATGTCCAAGAATTGGCATGCTCATCGATGCTGCGTCATTCGTAATTGTCTGACACAATGGGGCTGTCCACTTCCTTCAGGATTGAGCTGTGAGTGTTTTACCACAAGAGCCAATGTGCTGGAATGTCTTGTCAGACTGCATAGAGAATCTCTCCCGTCTTCTACGTTCTGAATTCTCCCCGCCATTCCTCCGGAAGCGACATTGGGAGAAGAACGGAGTCGTCAACGACGAGTGAACTCGCCAGATCGATCCACTGGTTTTAGCTACTAGACTTGCCATTGACAAACATTCCTTCATCGTTCACGTCCATGCACGAAAATTTCAGGGATTCCCAATAGCACGCTCACAGAGACAGGGAAATCATCATAGGATATTGGAGGGACCATCATCCACCAACCATAACCATCGTTGCACCTCACACTGACATTTGTGCCTCTTCCAGGGCGGCTTATCAAACCGTTAACATCTTTCTTCGTCCGAATTTTGACGGCATTATCGCCAAACCGCGCCGCGTCACCTACCTACGAGAATATCATTGAGCAATCCTACAACTATGTCGATCACATATGGACCGGTCCACGGGCAGAGTCCTGGTATCTTGAATGTCTCGCTGTTCATCCGAAGTATCAGTCCCGCGGCCATGGTCGCGCTCTCGTGTCCTGGGGCCTAGACCAGGCACAGAAAGAGGGCATAGCATGCAGCGTCATCTCTGCCGAAGGCAAGGAGCAATTCTATCGAAATTGTGGTTTTGATTCTGGGCCCGTGGGGAGAGGGGGCGAAGGGGATGGAAATCCAACCAGGGAGGTCGAAGGGGGGATTGTCTTCTTCAAGGATAAGGTTGGGGTGAAAGTGAAAGCTCGACAACCGGGTGATTGGACCTACGGTACAGGATCATTTCCATGGGACTCATGGGCACAAGATCTGGCCAGAAAAGAAGCGTCTGCAACTGAGACGGAGGCGGACCAGTCCTGGAAATCCGAGGAAGGCTCTCCCTGGGTTTGGCAGGAAGCCTAAAACGCTTTCGATTAACATCTCAGGCAGGACTGCATAGCAGAGCGAAGCATGTGCGTGGGTTGCGATTGGAACAGAGCTCGATGTACAGTAAATCTAGTATTCCTGGTAACAATGGGTATTCCACTTGCTTCCATTGAGTAAAGCTACCATCTTTTTGGGTCTTCTCACCCCCATCCTTGTCAGGGTGAGTAGATAGAGTCTTGTGGTAAGCGAACAAGGCGGTTAGACGAATGTATGTCGACATACTCTCAAGATACTGTACTGAGGCGCAGCCGCGGCAGTGGCATACGATCCTTAAACCAGGGAACTGGCTTTCGTGGCGGCCTACATGTACACTGAAAAGGCATTGAGGGCATCCCTGCCTGCAGAAGGGAGCCACGTTTTCGGTAATCAAAACATGGCACAGTAGTCCTGGATTGTCGGCTATCCCAATCTATGACGGATTCACCCCCGGCAATTCGGTTTGATGCTGTTTCCTCCCTAGGAGCTCCTCATGCTCATGGTCTTCGGCATGTAAAAGTCGGCAATTGATCCTGAAGGCCAATCGTTTAGGTCGGTGGCCCAGATACAAGGCCGGAATAAGGTTTATGCCTGCCCCAGACTTTTGACAAGTCTTGCTGTGGAGGCAGTACCTATAAACGCCAGTGGAAGCGGACGTGGTGATAGGTGTTCTGTGGCGTGTGGGGGTCTCCCCACGAGGCCCCCACGGCCCCCAAGTTCTCTGTATACAAGTCACCCTTTCTGTTGAGATGCTCCAGAATGTCGACGACCAGCGGGACTGCTGCCGTCTGTCCCCGGTAACCGACTGCCCTGGCACCTGAATATAGCCAAGCGAGCAGACTACTCCATAACGACTCCTGGTCTCAAGTTTTGCTCGATCAAAGTCGAGGAGCAAAGTTCAATTGCCGATCATCTACACCATGCGGGGTAAAATGCCTTGCAGAACGGCACCGCTAAACCTCATAGACTCGTTAGGCTCCCTCCGGAAACCAAGCCGTCAGCAAAAGAAGGCTGGCGTGACTTCATTTCGTTCATGCGACCCCTGTTATTCGTAATAGTTAACCTTGGACAGACATGGGCTGTAGGCTTTGACTTTTCCCTGGCGAGAGGCAACAGCTTCTGGTTCGTTGTTTTTCGTATCCGCTTCAGTGAAATGATTGCATGCCCAGATCCCACTGACTGAACCAGCTGCTCCATCTTTTTCTCTCCACGTTCGTCGAGCTCACACCTTCTCCCCCATTCTCATTCATTGCCGACGTCACATTCTGGGGGATATATATTCTCTTGTTGTAGCATCTCACTCTGCAAATATTCTTCATCATCAGCATCAACCTAACCAGTAACGACAAGCAACACCAACATCACTGGTCGATCATGGCAAACTTGGATGACAAAGCTGCCCATCTGGCGCACTCGGAAGATGTCGAGTCGGGCCGCCCTTCGAAAGACAACATCCAACAACGGAGAGAATCCGTAAAGCACGGCGACAGAGCGCTTGCAATTCTCGGCGATGATCGTGTTGAGTTGACCGAAGAAGACGTGAGTCTACAATTTCACACCACTTTTTGCAGAAAGGCTAATTTTGCCACTCCAGAACAAAAGAATTCGACGCAAGACCGATAAAGTCATTCTTTCCATTCTCGTTTGGGTCTATTTCCTCCAGATCTTGGATAAGAGCGTTTTAGGCTATGGCGCTCTCTTCGGCCTGCAAGAAGATACCAATCTCACCGGAGATCAATATTCCCTGGTTGGATCCATCGCCCCAATCGCCCAACTCGCATGGCAACCTTTCTCTTCTTTCTTGATTATCAAAGTCCCTCACCGTATCTTGATGCCGTCGCTTTGCCTTGGGTGGGGAATTGCCCAAGCTTGCATGGCCGCTGCCCATAACAATGGCTCCCTCCTGGCTGCCCGCTTTTTCCTCGGCCTTTTTGAGGCAGGCTGTCTGCCACTTTTTAGTGTCATCACCAGTCAATGGTATCGACGAGCTGAACAGCCCATCCGAGTCGCCGCATGGTATGGTACGAACGGTCTCGCTACAATCGTTGCATCGGCACTTTCCTATGGCTTGGGATCAATCAAATCCGATCTTCTGAAAGAATGGCAAATTATTTTCCTTTTCGTGGGTCTCGTCACTATTGTCAGTGCACCAGTTGTTTATTGGTTCCTTGATAACGACATCCCATCCGCTCGCTTCTTGACGGAACACGAAAAGGCACAGGCCATCGAACGTCTCCGTGCCAATCAGACTGGTACAGGTAGCCGTGAGTTCAAATGGGCCCACGTTATCGAAGTTGCTCTGGAGCCTAAGACATACCTCTGGCTTGGAATGGCTCTTCTCCTCAATGTTGGTGCATCTGTCACCAATACTTTTGGCCCCTTGATTCTCAAGGGCATCGGCTTCGACAAATACAAGACCTCGCTCCTAAATATGCCTTTCGGCGCAATGCAACTGGTTGCCATCTTCATCGCCTCATACGCTGCACAAAAGGCAAAACTCAAGTTCGCGGTTTTGGCTGCTCTCATGCTTCCTGTCATCGCAGGTCTTGCCGCCCTCTACAAATTGCCTCGAGATTCTAGCCACACAGCAGCTCTCATTGTTTGCTATTATCTCCTCGCTTTCATCTTTGGTGGCAATCCGTTGATCGTCTCCTGGATTGTTGGCAACACCGGCGGCAGCACAAAAAAATCAGTTATCATGTCACTTTACAACGCCGGTTCGTCGGCAGGCAACATCATTGGACCCCTACTATTCAGCAAGAACGACGCTCCAGCGTATCTTCCCGGTTTACAAAAGGTGCTCGCAATTTTCGTCACCATGGTTGCTGTCGTCTTGATACAATTCGCTAACTTGATGTTCCTCAACAAACTTCAATCGAGGAAGCGAGTCAAGAACGGAAAAGCGGCCGTCATCAAGGATCATTCCATGGAGGACACCTATGTCGCCATGGACGAATCCGAGGGTGGACAGAGACTGGGTGACAATGCCTTCCTGGATCTCACAGACCGGAAGAACGACGAGTTTACTTATATCTACTGATTTATAAGCGCTACCATCTCATCGTGTTTACGTTTGGTCGATGTCGAAACAGCGATGTTGAAGGGTTTGCAGGCGATACTGTAATTGTCTTATAGCGATGTTCGAAAATGATAGACCCAGGGCTAACATACGCTCAAGCCAATGGATACAAATTCTAGACTTTTTTATTCAAGCATCATCCGAGACCTTAAAAAGCTGCTAGATAAAGGCCAACCAAAATGTCGCCTTCACAATCTCGACTGTAATCTTGCCCATCGTCTTCCATTCTTCCATTGACGAGTGAAGTTGGTCTGAAGAGAACAGATGCCACCTCTCCTATGAAAGAGAGGTAAACAGTTGCATGGATTCAAACAGCGCGATAACAGACTTAGCTCGGTGAAGCATTGACCAAGGGGTAGACCAATATAGCCTGCCGTCTCTGTCAAAGCTCGATCTATGGATAGGATTGGTGGTACTCTTACAAGGCTGAAATAGAGTGAGCTTAGCCGGGCGGATGAAAGTGCCCGTCTCAGTGGAAACACTTATGATTTAGTAACGTTTAGTTAAAGCCCCGCCCTATCTGAGGGATTTAAGAGGCCGGTGCTGCCCACAGTTTCACGCTTGGCCCGAGGCGCCCCGGGCATGGCTGGTGAACATGCGACAGGCTAATTAATGCATGGCGAGGGCGATCTGTGTACTGTTTCCCTGTTTTGCCTGTTTGCCTCGCCGCGTGAACGCAACCTTAAATCCAACCAGACAGGTCTGTACATTATCTGTGGCATTTCTCTCCCAAGACCACAGTGTGCACTGCATTTACTCTTTTGAGATAGCTGTGTTTGAATTAACCGCTGATGGAGCCTCTTTCATCTTGCTCACCACTTTATCTCGCTGTCTGCGACTCTTCGGCGGACGGCCTCTGCGAAATAACACTCCGGGAGACCTCAGCTTGAGTTCGAAGGCATAGCTAAGGCACCCATGGCATCGAATCAGCCCCCAGCCTATCCGGCAGCGTCTGGCCAAGCAACTGCTGAAGAGGGCACATTCCCCCAAAGTGAACAACCGACAGACGTCCACATCAACGAGGATGGCATCAGCACCCGGCTCCACGTCGGAGGTGAGTTGCGCGACTGCCCTGTAGCTTGCACAGTTGGCCTCAGTGTGTATTAACCCAAGTTAGATGACGGACGCATGGAAATTGATATCAGCAAAAGCGACGCCAGGCTTGTCGATCAGCTCGAACATATTCGCTTGAATGCTGCACCAGAAGAGCCCGAAACACCCCCACAGTACGAAGAAGGGAAACTTCTGGCTGTACCACCACTGAACATCGTCATCCAAATAGTAGGCTCGCGCGGAGATGTCCAGCCATTTGTCGCGCTGGGCCAAGTCTTGAGGCACAGCTACGGCCATCGAGTACGCCTGGCGACGCACGGGGTGTTCAAGAAGTTTGTCGAAGAAAATGGCCTCGAATTCTTCGACATTGGAGGCGATCCGGCCGAATTGATGGCATTCATGGTCAAGAATCCCGGGCTCATCCCGAGCATGAAATCCGTCAAAGAAGGTGACATCAGCAAACGACGGAAAGGCATGGCCGAGATAGTTCGGGGATGTTGGAGCTCTTGTGTAGATACTGTTGACAAGCCTGATGCCGACGAAGACTCCACCAAATCGAAGTTGTCGCCCTTCGTCGCAGACGCCATAATCGCAAACCCACCCAGTTTCGCGCACATCCACTGCGCAGAGAAACTAGGCATTCCTCTCCATCTCATGTTCACGTAAGGATTTGCACCTTTTAACCCACCCGCCAGCATCCACACTAACCGTATCTTGCTGCACAGTATGCCATGGTCACCGACGCGCGACTTTCCCCAGCCGATTGCTAACATCAAGACCAGCGACAACAGTCCAAGTGCCACAAACGAAAGCAGCTACACCATTGTCGAGTTGATGACGTGGCAAGGCCTGGGCGATATCATCAATAAGTTCCGGCGAGACACTCTGAACTTAGGAGAACTTACCCAGGCCGCGGGAGTCACACTAATCGAGAGGCTTCGCGTCCCATACACATACTGCTGGTTAGAATCCTTTACATAGAATAGATCCAACCACGATGGAATGCTTACTTTGAGTATAGGTCCCCCACTCTCATCCCGAAACCGAAGGACTGGGGTCCGCATATTGACATTGCAGGCTTCTATTTCCTCTCTCTAGCAACTAACTATCAGCCTCCCACAGATCTTGCTGACTTTCTAGCGGCTGGGGAAGCCCCCGTCTACATTGGTTTTGGTTCAATAGTTGTCGATGATCCCAATGCCATGACTAATACGATATTCGAGGCAGTTCGAAAGACCGGGCAGCGCGCATTGGTTTCCAAAGGATGGGGTGGTCTCGGTGCAGATGATCTCGACAAACCTGACAATGTGTTTATGCTCGGAAATTGTCCCCATGATTGGCTCTTTAAACACGTGTCGTGTGTGGTACACCACGGCGGAGCTGGGACTACGGCCGCAGGTATTGCACTTGGGCGACCTACCGTCATTGTTCCTTTCTTTGGCGACCAGCCATTCTGGGGAGCCATGGTTGCCCGTGCTGGAGCTGGTCCAGCGCCAATCCCTTATAAGAAGCTTACTGCAGACGGCCTTGCTACTGCGATATTCGAAGCAATTAAGCCGGAGACATTAGAGCGGGCAAAAGAACTCGGAGACCGAATTAAGGCGGAGAAAGGCACGGAGGAGGGAGCCTCTAGCTTCCACAGGCAAATCAAGGTTGACCGTTTGCGTTGTATGCTTGCGCCAAATCGGACGGCTGTGTGGAGGGTCAAAACCAAGAGTAAGGATCCACAGCAGGTCATCAGGTTGAGTGCCTTCGCTGCCACTGTTCTGGGAAACGAGGGTGTTCTTGACATGAACAAGCTCAAGATCTACCGCCCATGTAGCTGGCATTCGGAGGAACTGGTCAAAGAGACTAATGTTAGCCAGGCAAACCCCTTGACCAGCGCAGTAGGCTCCGTGGCCACTGGTGTGCTCAACTATCCAGTCATTGTGGCCAAGGCATGGGGCGGTGTTGTGTATGAGCCTTACAAAGGCGCCAGAAAATCCGGCTGGCGCGGCTTTGGTAAAGGGCTAAAAACGGGCCTCGGCGGGTTTCTCTTCCCCCGACAAGGTATAGGTTTGAGGTCGTATACTTTCCGCTCCATCTACGAGCATTACAGGAGCAGGATGGACTCGGAGACCCTGAGTTATATCCTTGCAGCACGCTACACGGAAGGATTGGAACAGATAAAAGCTTCGACGGAAGCAGAGCGAGCAGTGGTGATCGGTCGCTGGAAGAAGCTCGCACCTGACTTAAAATGAGCCGGATGGCACTCATTATCAAAGATGTGCAAGCATGACTAGGCTGGACGCTAAAATGAGTGGACGACTCATCAATCTCCAGGAATGCGCAGGCTCATTCTAGTTGGCTAGGGCTGCATCGAAAGGAACTGCATCAAAGCCCGGTTTAGCAGTCATGTCGTTGGGCAGCCCGCCTCTCATAGTGGTGTTTAGAGTTCCAAACAATACTCAAATCTCCCTCTCCATGGGAATGTTTCAACACTATTCCAACAGACAGAAGCCGCCTGTCCAGATACCGTCCACACTTGAATGTACTCACATCGCGCAGAGATGGTGATGGCCCCCAGCCTGCCGAGGTTCGTGGCAGCTGTGAGTGGTGACATTGGTTGGCCTCGTTCGAGGCGTTCATTCTTTCTAGGGCACGATGTGCCGATCTATCTTCGCAGCAATTGCGGGTGCTTGTTGCTCTGGGGCCCTCGGTAACATGACCTGCTCGCGACCTCCGAATGCTAAACAGGATTTTGGTGTGAGGTCGGCAGCATCTGGTCTCATGTCATGCTAGACAATAAGGTCTTAACTCCCCTGCAGCGGCGTTGGCAAACTAAGTACGGAGTCCACCATGAGTTGCAGGATGTCGGCTTCCTGGGGCCCCTTATTGGCTTCATTGGCCAGACTGGCAGCAGGGTTCGGGCCTTGCGTCTAACATACCTACAATAGGTAATCCTCAAGGTGTGGGAATCTAGGATCGTGTCCATTCTTTTCTATGTGTAGATAAGATTAGATCAGGGCGTCATCTTGTTCTCTAAGTCCCATCGACATTTCTCCATAGTCACATATCTCATGCGCGTCCAACCGATCGTGTTTTTGGACTTGACATACTATCAGTGTCAATTGAATGGTGTGATAAGGATTGCCCTGCCATGTGCCAGTCTGAGTGATAGTCTCAACCGTCATTCCATTGTGTTGCATTTGATCCTAGCATTACGATCGGTAAATCAGGTCGGAAACGCCGGAGGACTAATTTGTGCAGGGATTCCTCATATGAGGTTTGTGGCTTAACAATTACCCCGAATGCTGATCGACAATGGACGGTGGCGCAAAAACTGATGGTACACTATGCCTTGATATAGCATTCCTCATCGTGGTGTCTAGTGCCCGTGCCTCGACATCTGAATTCGAACTAGTCAACGCGTCATCGGAGGGACTGGTTTGCCGAAAGATGGACGTCCTTTGCCGTTTCAGAAATGAGAAGCCTTTAAGCTGTCCGTGGTGGCCTTGCCTCAATTTGAAGATATGTGGTGGTGCGATTGCAAAAACCAGTCCCACGACTCCCAAAACTATAGTGGAGAGAAAAAATGTCCTGGTGTTCTGGGGGAATGGCAGGACAGATTCATCCATCGAGAACAGGCCTGCGGTCAACATAATGGGAGACATGAACAACTGCAAAACGAAAGGAGAAACAGTGCTTAGTCAAAGAACAGAATAGTGGAGCAATGCAAATGCTTACTATCATAATCACCGACAGCGTCTTGCTGTCTTGGGCCAGTTGCTTCTGGATATTGCCAACATCAATTGTTGCATGAGTTAGGTGAAGTTCGAGCTAGAGGCTCAGAGCAAGATGTTAGTCAACAGCAGCAAGTTTCTCTGACCTTGTATATTATCATGCGCCAAGGAGAGCGCTAGGTAGAGCTTACATCTCTTGTAAAATCCTCACAACGCACTGCCTGCCCCTCCAGCGTCTTCTTCAGAGCCTCTAATTCCTCGAAAATTTCTTGTATTGCAGATATTGAGCGATACGCAGACTCAGATCTGCGAAGGTCATGAAAAGTAACGGCATTCTTCGAACTGAACCTTTTGCAGGAATCGATGGTTTTTGATAAACCGTCTAGAAGCTTTTTCGAGAGCTGTCTAGCTTTTCTCGTGAAATTTAGCGATTTGCGCACGTTTTCACTATGTTGATCAGCGTCTTTTGAGGAGCTGTATTTCCTGACCTGCGACACTTGATCGTGCTGAGCCTAATCGGTTGGTTAGGATTGTACGACATATTAGATGGAGTTGGGACAAGACACACCCGTTCATAGTGTCGAACGCTCTGCCACACTTTCTCTACCACTTTTTGCCACTCCGTTTTGACTTGCTCTAGACGGATCCTGAAGAGCAATAGGAAATAAATTCTTGGATCCCAAATTGGTTTGTCTGCGTCTTCTTCACCTCTCGTAAGAGGATCTGTAGACAAACCCTCGTAGCCTTCAGTTTCATCTTTATAAATCGATATGCTGTCCCTACCTTCTCCTTGGTCGAAATAAGCATCGACGAAACAATAAGCATCCCAGATCCATTCGTTTCGACCCGCAACTACGCAGGAAACTTGAGCTTCATAGAGAATGTCACAGGTGCTCCGACGCTCATTCCAATCTAGGAAAGAAACATCTTGATAATGGCGAAGAGGATTATTGTTCATATCCCTACGAGGGTCTTCGATCGCATGACTTGACTCCCTCAACGCGTAGTATGGCAGGTGAAAAGCCAGTTGATAGCTAAGAAATCCTTTTGGCTAGATAGTTATTCGTCAGCTTGCAGCATTCAGTGAGAACGAGCTTGAGATGCTCGTTCTGATATTCTTACTGATAATGTTGCTGCAATCAAGGTCTCGTATGCCAGATGTCTGAAAAGAGCAGCCCGCAAAGTAGGAGCTTGGTTTTCTGATACTGTCCCAATGAGCGCATAAATAGACCAGCGATCCAGGTCGACCAGATAGCTAAAGACATGTCAGCAAGAAAGAACCCGTTGACGAAAGCAATTTTCTTGTTTTGACATACATCAGTCGTCGTTCTGCATCTGGTTGTACAAGCTGGCTTTCATTCTCATTGTCAGGAGTTGAAATAGCGGAGGCCCCGCAAGGTGTTACTTGCTCCGGAAAGCGCTGCATTGACAATAAGTAAATCTCTCCGCTTTCTTTCACCACAAAAGAGAAGGGTCTCTTACAGGAGCTCGCAATTTGTCGTAAAGACCTCTTGCCGTCCACGGCCCACGAGTGTCTCTGCATCTGATCGTACCTCCGTTGATGCTTCGTTCGTCTAGCAAGGCTACGAGATGAGGCGCCTTAGAGTCCTGAAGGATGTCCAATGATGCTCCAGAGCAAAATCGACTGACTTTGTCAGCTTGCGGCACGCATATATTGTTAGTGTCCGGGCCTTGCATGAAAGTTCGAGCAAGAGACACTCGTCCTTCCTCTCCATCCTCGCGTTTTAGCGTATTAATATATGGCTCATTTTCGTTTTTCCGGATGAATTTTTGGCGTTCCTTAAACCTGGAATCCCACTTGACAGATGTCAAATTCTCAAAGCTGCCGCATAGTATCCGAACCCCTGTGTCTGACACGCCATCCTCCATTGAACGATTCCTCAATGCTTGTCACAGCTAGGGTGTCGGACAGAAGCTATAAGGCCCCTGGAGCCAACATGGAGATCGTGATGTGAGTAGACAATAGCGTTTGGCATAGTGATAATGTTAGAAGAACTAATCTGAGCGTACAATGGTACATCCTAGATAGTATTCCAATAGGGCACTTCTTGTATTTCATTTGAGCGCCTGAGAGAGCTGACACGATATGGAAGGGCGTGCTTTCAGGATAGGGCCTACAGGGACACATCTCTTCTTCCCTGTGTAACATCTTGGCCGGAGTTGAGATAGCAGCGACCAAAGGTAGCTCCATCCTCATCTCTGCCTCCCTGGTATCACAGATCTTGCAACCGTATGGAATGCCTAGATTTGGGCCTCGATCTGAAGAGAAAGCGACAACTGCCTAGGGACTCACGAATTTCTTGGTTGATACTGTCAGTTGACCACTTTGCCAGATGTTTGAACGTTGCATTGTCTGATTTGCAATTATTAGGCTGACGATGCTCTCATTCGTCATTGGTTAATATTTGTAGTTGGGTGCTTTGGCAGTAACTTGCCGTGGTCGCCCTAGGAGGGGAGGCCAAATGATAGTGTAGCGCGACCGTTCAGTTACCAGATATTCCTTCTGTTATTATGACGGTTGTCGCGCCTCACAGCATGCACCACTCAGGTTCGTATGCGAGTCGTTGGTGCCCAACGGAGGCGCAAGGCAAACGCTTCCCAAGGTCATCGCCTTTTCCCGAAATTTTGAACGATTCGCGGGTGAGGGCCCACGTTCATGGATGCTTGGGCACGCTTGTACAAGAAAGATGGCATTTGATAGAAGTGGTTGTGACTAAAGAAGGCGACGAATGCGGTCATCAAATCTTGAGGAGCGAAAGCAACCTGCGGTTTCCGTGGCCTTGCATCTGGGAAGTGGACGGCATCTATAAATCAAAAGAAGCACGATACACTAAATTCGGTTTGCGCTATTGTTCATATAGTTCACAAGTAAAAACTCGGAGAATATTGACGGCATGGGTGTCCTACATCTTCCGATAAGCAGATGTAGGTTGCGGCCAGTGCACTGCCGTTCACGCCCACGAAGCTCACTGCCGAAGTGGAGTTGCTCCTGTGCGCTCCTGTGCGGTCCCTAGTTGACCAAGAGATAAGTAGTTTGAATTCAGGCTTATGGGCTGTCGATTTAAAGCTGCGCTCAAAGATCTGGAGCCGTCGAGGATCTGTTGACTTAGCGCTGGCATGTGTTCTACCATATGACCTGATGCCTGCATGCTTGACGATCGTGTGTTCGAGTCTGGCGTAGCTCAACAATTGTAACACACAAGGTAGGTAGTGCTAGACATGCTGCTACGCCCCATGAGGGCCATACATCACACCAATGGCAGCCTAGCCGTTTTTGTGCGCATGACCACACTGCGTGTAAGGTTGTTTCAGGTGAGCTCCCGTCTCAAGGTCAGTGCATCGACTTGCGCATCGAGATATTAGTGGCCAAAGGCCGAAGGCGATTGCCCTACCATGGTAAATTATGCATCTCTGAACTAGAGCTCGGCAAAGTTTTACCTCAAGCACGAGCTACACGTGTCCCGAGATGATAGGAATCATCGTATAGAAAAGGTAGTCGAAGTATGGTCTGAGCGCACAATTTCGAAGCATTTGCCTTGAAACGTCAACAGTCCTTGCATTGCTGTGACACCTGAGGCCACGCGATTTGGTTTTCACACTCCGAAAAATGTGTTCTGCTGGAAAATGGATCTATTCTTACAGATTAGGCACGATTAGGCACGATTAGGCATTCCAAGTTGAGTCTAGCATTTGAGTCCGCGACATTATTCAACAGATAAAATCCCAAGAAAATGCCTGTAATATGCATACCCTTCTGGCAAAAGATAATCCTCAAGGTAGCGGAGCTGACACCTTGGGATATTATCAGATGCTGTGCCGTCACCGCTTGACCGCTCAGTTCCAGCCAGATATCCAGCCAGATAATGTCTTGACCGAAAGCGCCGGATCCTTCGTTGGCGTTGCTATGAGCGCAATACTCCCGGGCTTCCCATCTTGTTCCCCGATATGCTTTCCATGCGCTTATTATAACGTTATCTGCTGAATCGGGGCTAATATCGATACGGTAAGGTGCGAAGACGAAATCTCAGCTGCGAACATTAAGTAGGTGCGGGCCAGCGCTAGTGATATTCGGAAACTCGAAGTGGTTACCTTGGGGAAGGAGAGCTTTGCGGGGAGGCTTGATGACTCAGGTGAGAATTGCATGGATAGAGGCGGGAAGGATTTACGGACTCGGTATCACATTCGAAGGGAGGATTTGCAGTGTGGGAACTAGAATCTGAGTCAAGAAACCGTGATAATTACTGCTTCAGACTCCAAGATGTCAGTATTGTGCAGTGAAATGCCGAGCTTCTTGGCTACATTTTCTTCTCACCCTGAAAATGAACAAACCCTTGCAGACAATCACGTCCAAACTTATTAGCAGTTTTCGTGTTGGAAAACAGTGAAACCGTGCTAGATCAGGATCTAGCCAAGAGGTCTCCTTTGCCAAAATGTTGAAATGGTGTCCCAAAATTCATCATTAAGAGGCGCGCAAAGAGTGTTATTCGAAAATCCTTCTTGACCAAGAATCCTGACCACCAGAAGTACTTTGTTCACTAGTCGTTACACAATTCCTTCCAACATTCAACATTCCTTGGCAGTGGTGATCTGGGCACGAATACCGGAATCAACTTGGATTTCCCCAGTGCGAAGGAATTATCATATCAGTAGCTCTCCTACACCACCCGTAGCTATTCTGTTGAACACGAGGTGTGTCAGTTGAGAATACGCCTAGCTGCACTACCACCAAGTATGCCTGTCTTGTTCAGTGTCCAATCAGTGCCATTGATAGCTCCAAATTCGGCACTAATCAAACCAATATGATGCGAAGCTTTCAACAGCCACAGTATGAGTTCTTTAGATGCTTTCTAATTCGTCCCATGTATAGCCTATGTGTGAGGATAATTGGACGGTGGCGTGGCAAGCCTACCCAGCAGGACGACCAACTGACGATTCCAGCTCATCTGCAAACCCATCGGACTGGTGATTTGGCTCGGGGACTGGGCTCTGATGTGATTAAAAAGCCCTCACCTCTCTAACGAGTCCGAGTACCCTGTCCAAAGCGATTCAGACCCATGTGAGTAGTCCGAGCCGCGTCAAATGATCAGCACGTTTGTAACACACATGTCATTTGTGATTTTATTGTAGCCCGGACCTGCTTGATATTCTCTTCGGGACCAGTACGACGTCCGTGAGCGTGACATGAATATCAAATGAAATTAAGAGGTTGCTAGGAAGCGGTCCTTATCCAGGTATGGCTGTGTCTCTTTCAGCCTGTCAAAACTGACGAGCGGTGGCAAAAATGCTAGCACCCGACAGAGGAGTGAAGTGGGCGTAATTTGGTCCAAGGGGAGGGAATACGATGTTAGGCGGCCCCACCATGCTTCGGTCTAGACTTCATGTAAGTGAGTCTCAGCCTCACCATACACGGCGGATTGTGCCTTGCTGGTATAATACTTATCCCAAGTCCGATTACCGCAGGCAATCCAGGGTGGTGTGGGTCCTGCAAATTTGCTCGGACGTCTGCCATAACACAGGTCCCACGCAAATTCCAGGGATGGTAACCATTTCTTGTAGCACGGCGACGGAATGCCTTAGAATAGGTATGCGCAAATATCGTCATCACCATTGGGAGCACAACACGTGGGCCTAATTGATGGGCACTATGCAAAATCCGTCCTAGTAGCGGACCGCATGTCGCTGGCGCGCCGAAAAGACGGTCAGCATAATCCTGCCGTTATACTCGGCAAAAATTCCCTGAAGACCTTGTCATTTTCTCGATGAGCTGGAAGCAATATTATGGTGAGTTATATTTCCTGGTTTCAAAATCAGATTGGCTCCGGATGGGTTTCGCGAGAATTTGAAGCATCCAGTGCGCTAAACTTTCCTCAAATCTGCATTTCAGCGCCTCCCTGGGGCTCTGACGTCGTATTGCTTTTGTCGTATGCTTGTTCAGCGAGGTCTTGAGAAGGACGACCAATTTGGGTCCTGCATATGCCACAACTGCGTATTGCAGATGCTAGAGGAATGCTGGGACAAGCTTGCTGTTTGAACATAAAAGCTGACTTGCTATATGTTTCTCGTAGCCACCGAAGTCAAAGAAGAAAATCATCGTCTTCATTTGGACATGCGTACGGCCAATCTAGTTCCTCAAGAACAATTCCTCAGGATGATAATTCGGTGGCAGTGTTGTTGCGGGCAAAATCAAATATCAATCCGAACGGAGACATGTCCAAGTTGCGCCAACGCACGTTGCGGCAATTGCCACACGCAAAGGGTTATTCGATAAGAAGGCCATGGTTTCGCAGTAACACTAGGCTGACATGTTGGCCTTATTCGGGTGTGTCGCGTACAAGGCCGAGGCTGAAATGGAATCTGGAGTCTACTGAAACCAAGGCCCACATACCGACCACGATAACTTCTGGTCAATACGTTAGAGGTGGAGCCGCTTCGTTGATGGAGAGACCGATGTACGTACTGGCAAATGACGAACGATTGAGCAGGACGAGCCGTTGTGGAGGCCGGGAGAGTCGGGGAAGAAGAAGTCCAAGGCCTATGCTGACGTTGCGTCTCCACGCGAAATAGGTGGAGGGTAGTCCAGAGCGAACCCAAGCCGACCTCCCAAGATAACCTCTATTCAACAGCTGGTCGGAAACTCAACGCCAAAGGAACACCGTACGAAACCACATTGACCGTATCGACACGTGCGGGCCCATCTAGGAGGAAAACTTGGGAGCAGTGGGGCGTTAATTGCGTTCACAAAGTAGTGGCGAAAGCTTGAGAATGCCAGCAAGTAATGTAATACTTACTTCAACGAACACTTTCGTAGCCTAGGCATCCCAGAATGACAACTATGCGCAGTCGCAACATAAACTGAGCTTTGACAAGTGATAAGGTTCTCAATGCACGAAGGAACAGCAGAGCGACGATCTTAAAGGCAGGCGATGAGTTGTCGTTGAAATATACATCGTGTGACCGGTTGCCTGGCCAGGTATGCTAGCCTCGTCTGGGCTAAGTCTGTGGAAACTGGAGTCACCAGAGTACCAATGAGTATTCGGATCTTTGAGATTGGACATGTTCATCTCATGTACCCATGCATCCTGGGCAGGGGGTGCCTAGTTTGTGCTGGTCACGAGTTGAGCAACAGCTAGATAAATTCGCACTAGGCTACAGCCTTGGCAAATACTATGAACATTGCGGTACGAAAAAGGAACCCATCTCGAACGCATTCCATCATTTGGATAGTGACTTCTAGATAGGAATGCCTGCTTCATCCACCCCTGGCGGCTCGGCTGCCGCCTAGCTAGCGTTGTCTCTAACCAGGATGGTAACACCCAAGGTAGCGTACCCACCACTGGTCCACAGACTCATGGCGATCATTCGTGCGCGAATACACATCAGGAATATCGGATTTCCCACCACGAGAAAATGTGGGAAGGCCTCGAGGCATGATGTTCCGTATGATTGGTACCGCACGATGCTTGGCAACCATGCTGTTTGGGGTGTAGTCGCACCTAAATCGCACACAAAGGTTCTGTAGAAGCATCGCCGTCCAGTGAAACTTTCACCTCTCTGCCACCACCGCATCTTGACCTCGTCTTCGCCCATAAGGCTGAAACTGCATAGTCTCATGAGAAATCTTTGGTATTTATATTCGTTTTTGAACGATGGCCTGGCGCGGCAGTCCACGACTAGCCCGGGCGATACAAGAGGTGCTCGAACAGATCGTAAGTGCCTGTCCTCAGCACTTAGTGGAGGTAGGCGACGGTGATATTATACAGCAATGCTAGATGAGGCACGTAGGCAAGGATATATGCCAGAGTCGCGGGACCGACAACGAGGTCACGAGGCGCGCCAGCTCCAGTAGAATCATCAACACCATGATTTTGGTGATGGGGCTCTACAAGTCAGCCTTGCGCAAATCGCGTCGACGAAGTCAATTGCGAGCGATGGGGGACCTGTGAAATACACGAAATAAGGTGGATAGCGTACCCACAGCTCGTGCAAATCACCATGCGCGTGACTTAGCCGAGCACCATGAAGAACATCATCCCGGGAAGCGTTCACATGGTATTGGGAGGCCCGGAGAGTCACCGGTCGGTCTCCGCACTGCGTTTTCAGGATTCACCGAGTCTCTAGGCATCTTTTGGGCCCTTGAAGCAATCACCTTTGGTAGACAGTTTGCGCAACAGCGTAAGGACTAGGAATTTGCGAGGTTTGAGGCTGACTGTCTGAGACTCATGCAGGGCTGGGAATGCGGCCTTCGCTCACCCTCTGGGGTCAAACCGTAAATGGTAATTATGTTTTTCGTTCTCAAGTAATCTAGATAGCCAGACTGGGCCGCCTCCTCCTCGGCTCGGGGAAACCTCGTTCAAAGAGAATGTATTTAATCAACACCTACCGATTTCTATGCATTGCCTATATAAATATGCACGAAACCTCCGAAAACAGACTTCCTACAAACAATTTGCAGTGCACACAACCACTACAGACCTGTCGCTGCCATATCTCAGGCACTTCAGAACGCATGCAGACACGAAACTCGGCACGCTAAAAGAAAAGTGGCACGGCACAAAGCGACATCTAAGTTCTGCCCGATGTCACCCAAAAGTTTAGCTGCGCAACACCGTGATCTACTTTGACATAATTCGAATAATCTCATATAAGCCTTATTATTTACTGCTCACAGGAAAGAGCATTGTAATGCCTTCCAAAGCAGTCGTTGAAGGGGAGGAAGGTCTCGGCGACCATTTAGCGATGCAACAAAATAGGCTTAGCGGCTAGCTGTTACTTGGCAAAGAGCCCACGCAGTACTCATAAAAATCGATTGTAATTATAAATTAAATTGACCCAATTTTAACCAACAATTGCAAAGCGGCTATAGCTCAGGTAAGACACAGCCATACGGCTAAACAAATCACGTAACTAACGTTTGCCAAGTTGGGAGAGCGTCAGACTGAAGTTTAACTTCGGTTCAGTATCATCTGAAGGTCCTGTGTTCAATCCACAGTGGCCGCACTTTTTGGTTTCCTTTCTTTTTGTATTCTATAAATAAAATAAATAATACACCCTTTGCGTTCAGATTTATTCTCAGCCGGAATCCTATCAAATTCACTTTTTGTATACTGAAACTCAGCAGCAGCCCTAATAGTAATATTAAAGAAGAGAATATATACTTAGTCATCAATCAGCGCATAGAATAATATCTTACCATCGGGTTGTGATGATGACGCGTCTTCCAGTGCATCAATCTCATGCGCACTTCAAATCGAATAAATCAATGCTGCCCCTCTCCGATGGATGAAGTGGCGTGTTCACTACCGAACGTCAACGGTGCTGTGGGTATTTGATCTCATGCAGACCTCTTCACCTTTCGTAGCTTCAGCTGAGTGCCTGCTGAGTGCCTTGAGCCCGAAAACAGTTGTGATACCGTAAGTATTGTGTATGAAGATCTTTGCAACTTCCGCACCTCGAAGATAAAGCAGAGAAGACAGAGAACTCTCCAGATTGTTGGCAATTTCAGTGCTTTTCATAACTTTGCTGTCGAGACCGACGAAGCATCACCTCGAAAGCGCAAGAGATACAAGTCTTCGACAGCGGTCGCAAAACAAATCCATCCCTCCAACTGTTCCAACCCCGAGCAGCGATGGAACTCAATGCTTGAAGATTTCCGGGGCCCTGGAAGTACCTTCGGAAGAGATAAATCTCCAAGGCTCAGATGCCGCACTACAATTCGCCATAGAAGTGCTATCGGAGCTGGACGAGAAAGAGCTGGATTCATTTATTCATTTTCTCAGAAAGGAAGACGGGGACCATGATACAACGAACCCGCGACAACTCCTGACCGATGAGACCGACCACTTCCGTACACAGGAGACAACCTTTGCCAAGGAAGACGCGCATGGAATTGCACAACCTGCGGGCGATCCGAATCATATGTGACCTTAGACTAATACTACACTGTCAGTCCAGAGAGGCTGGAGTTACCAAGTTCTGGGACGCGGGCAGCCAGACCATTCAGCTGCTTTCCAGAAAGTGCCTGGGCCCGGATGTCGTCTTTGCATACGATTGGCATTGGAGAGGGAAGGGGAGGTAAATCGACTTGCCCTGCCTCACGTTGGAAGAAGGAAAAGCTCCAGTTGCATAGTCAAATGTCTTACTGTGTTCTAGAGATCTTGCCACTCCCTTTCCTGATTGTGGGCGGCCGTTGCGCAAAGAAGCATTATCAAGAAGGCAGAAAGCATTTGGTCCAAGGTCTCAACGTCAAGTTCAAAGGCGACGTTTCGAAAAGGAGTTCGAAGACCATATTGTGCGGCGCATGACGGCCTTTGTCGACCACCCGGTGGCAGCAATGTTCAATCCGGATGCTGCTCTGAACTTCGTGATGTGCCTACTAGCAATCCCGCTCGACGAGATATCTTTCACCGAGACAGGAGCAAAATCTCGAAAGGGAATGCCAGGTAGTGCTCCACTTAAAGAAGTCCACGAATACGTGACAATGGAAGCAGGTTTCAAAAGAGAACCCACAGTCCTTGAATATGATTCTGCCTTCGTGGAACGCTGCAAGAGGATCTTTTCAAGTTTCTTGACGCAGGCCAGTCGGTGGCCAGCGCTCTTCGTACCAAAATCAATGACAGCATTTCCAAGAGTTTGCAGCAGTCGGGGAAATTCGCTGCAGCTTATCGCCGCCGAAATGCTGACCGATATGGGTTCGAATTCAAAGAACTCTGGGATGCAAAGGAGGTCATGCTTACGGCAAGAGGGTATATCTCACTGCACTTATCGGAAGAGAGGGGTGCCCTGGAAAATTTGGTTCCCTTTAAGGCGAGGAAAAAAGGTCTAGCTGCACAAGCAAAGAACGAAAAGACAGTCATATTCTTCACCAAGACCGGAGTGGAATTGAAGCCCGGTGGAGATTTGACTGTCACCCTCTCCATTGACGAGCTCCGGAAACAGCAAGGATTTCGACAAGAAGGGGTTGACCAGCATCACAAGGAACTTGCTCGGAAAGGAGAACTGAAGAGGAATGGAAACGGCGAGTTTGAATTGATATGCATGATGAACAGGTGAAACTTGCTGTGATGGGGATATGAAGACTTACAGGGTTCGGTCCGGTGTTCGGTTTATTATCGACTTGGTGTGGGTCTCGGGAGGGCCGCAGTAGCTGAGCAGGTTGGAGGGTTTTAACGATCCCCTTTCCTGTTCATCTATTATCGAATCTGCTGATTTGTCTCCGAGGCTTTCGACAGATCATCAAAGATAGTGGGTGCATGGCCAGGAGTAGCAAATACATCGTTAGAGATAGCTGACGTATTGTCATAAGCTTCAATCTCGTTGCTTGAGGCATTCAGACGATTACCTTTGGGGAGATACTGTCCGGGTCTATCTTTCGGCGGTTCTATGCTGTGTCCGAGCATTGAGAGCTACGTATGGGAATATCACCCTTACCAATGATGCCCTACAATGGTGGGTGTATTTGCCGTCGTAAATAGCACACCTCAGCCCTAGCATTGAAAAGCAAAAAACATCCCAATGCTTACCTTTGTTGCTTAATTATGTTTATGTTCATCCCTAACTCCGATTTTGACCGTGGCCGCCATAATTCTAGTCGCCCAGAACTAATATTTTCAGACCTAGGCCGTGAGACAGCGATTTCAAGCCGTTCACTGTTGCTTCTTACGCCCTGCTTGGCATGATCTAAAGGTGAATCATAGCAGAGGGGGAGTGTCGTTTCTGAGTAGTTTTGGGTAAGGAGGGCACTCCCCATGCCCTGCCGTAGCTCCGCGCTCTCTTAAGTTAGGTCAAATGTTGACGCCCGAGAGGGCCTGCAGCTTCCCACCTAGGGGCTTGGCGATGGTGCTGCTGAGCCTCAGTCCTCAATTCTATGGGAACGATCTTCATCTGCCACGGGATATTTCCTGTTTTTTTCGCAACGGGTAGCACCATGGCTCCGAGCCGCGCGTTATGCGAGAAGTTTGGAATTGTTTTTGAGCGGCGGCACCTTCATCCTCCATCTCACCGAGCCATTTTCGATGACATCGAAATCTTGGGAAAGACCGATTACAACAAATATTCTACGAGCGTGACCATCGAGTCAAAGGACAAGCCTTGGAGGCATTCTACCAAGAAGCGGGCGGAAATCATTACCGAAAAGGCAATACGATGCCTAGACGCAAATAAAAACGAGATGGGTTGGCGGCTAGCCTTGGAGCCTGAGATTCTGTCCAGGTTCGAGGTTGAAGTGACATGGTATAGCTAATCTGGGAAGGAGGACGAATGCTGACAGTTATATAGTATACGTTGTCGCGCACGCTTATGGAGATCCGAACTCGAGGCAGCTCTGACGGTCTCTGACACGGCTCGTCCTTCCTTAGCAGAACGCCGGGAAAGACGAGGTGTCTGTTCCTGCCCAGTTCAGGCCAAGGGGGACGAAAGGTAAGCCGGGCAGAAACCGGTATGTGGAATCTTCCTTACTTATCTTCCTTAGATTCGACTCTGGTCTCAACAGTATCTTCGACGATCGTGCAGATGAGCTCATAAATCATGATCCTGAAATAGCAAGTCAGCTTCCCGGCCGTCAAAAACCAGATCGAGTCTACGGCTTTCGAGCCACTGCTAGATTTAAACGATTGCTTTATTGTACTCTAAGCAGCAGCGGAACTCTGATCGGCGAAAGCGTGAAACATAGTCCATTTCCGAATAAGAACAATAACGAGCCGCTGCTATTCCCCTTCCTAGTGCTCGAGGCGAAGTCGGAGCGCGGTAACGGCAGCTTTACGCAAATTGAAACACAGACCGCTTTCACAATCCGGACCTTGCTTGATCTCCAGTACGGCCTTAAAAAAGCCTCTGGTCCAGGAAGCCAGTGGAAGGCAGAGCCGTTAGTGTGGTTCATTGGATATAAAGGAGAATATTGGCGCATTTCGGCAGCATATGTTGACGATCAGGTGGTACCACACCGCTTCGTGAGTCGAGTCTGACTATTTTAGTCTTGTTCTCTGCTGACAAGTCACAGCGAATTATCGACGGTCTTTGGGATGGTCGACTTACCAAAGAGGAAGACTCCTTACGGCTACTCTTGATTATGGACTATATTTTTGACTGGGCACGCGATGTACACCGGAGAGACATTATAGAAGGACTAATTTCCCTTGCGGAAACAGTAGCACCGAGTCTTGCAAATGAAACGGATGTTTTCAGTACTGCTGATCCATCGGACTTCACTCTCCTCAACCTTGAACCTCTGGAACCTGAAATGGCCGAGGCTTCCTTAGCCACTTCGATTGAGATGAATAAGGCTCTGAGCTTCTTTGATGGGCATGGGTATGCAATACGTGATGGCAGACACATGCACCATACTTTCTATGGTCTGGAAGTTACAGTTGACAATGTCCGGGAGATTTTGCAATTGGCAAAATCGCCCGCTAAAAAAAAGGAGGTGATGAAAGCATTGCGAATCGCCTCGAACCACCATGACTCGATCCGTGTTTCAAGATCATGCATTGATACTATCGAAAGTATCTGGACTGGGTGTGACAGGGCGTACACGTCGTCTGAAAACCCGCTTGAAATGTTACAGTTGCGAATGATGTTTACGTCCTTCCTCGGCGATCGGGGCCATGGATTAGGACGTGAAGATCCAACTGTTTGGGATCATTATCACGAATTAACTATTGTCGCCGTCGCGGACAGCGCGGTCGATATCTTTGGGGAGACGCCCAAGAGGGGCCCTCAGGTAGATGAGGAGGGCTTAATCCGATTAGTGCAAGAGATTAAAAACGCTCAGGTGGTTGAAAAACTCGAAGCCGCGGCCACCTGCTGGAGCCAGTCTATTTCACACAAAGCCTTACCTAGAGAATTTTCTGTTGCCAGTGTTGATGGGAATATTACACCTTGTGTTGGTGCAATTGGCAACGAAGCCATCCTGAAACCTAGTCAAGCACAAGGCCTCAGACTCCCGTTGAAAACTTACCAGAGTTTGAGGACAGGTCATCTACAACACGAAGCAAGCTTTATGCGCGTTTCTAGATCATCTGACGGGCCAGAGATATCAAAGACCTCGACTCACAAATTATCGAATTCCACATTAGAGACATCCGGGAATTGGGGATTCCTCCTGGTTGTGAAGGTCAGATCCGTTGCTGGAAGTGACGTGTTCAAGAAACGGTGCTTTTATTTACTTGATTCATCATCGCCAATGCTTAGCCAGAATGAAAGTCACGAGAAGGATCTGCATATACTGGACCAAGGAAGAGCATTGGAGATAGAGGCAAGAAATGATCCCATACCGACAAAAATCTATGCAAATCTTGCAAATCTTAAGAGAAAGGTTGTGGCACCAACCCTGGATTCAAATTTTGCGCACTTTTATACCAACGCGATTCTTCTCTCTTCGGGTTTAAAGAGGTTGACCTGCCAAAACCAGGATAATGACGGGCAGGAGGAACTAGCCCAAGCACGATATGATCAAATGCATAGCGATCCAAAATGGCCGTACTCTTTTCAAGAAACAATCCACTCAGTCTACCAAATTGGCAGAACATACGGAATCGAAACCATCTTAGATGGAATGAAGGAAGTGATGGTCGACGAGGAGACACTAGATGAAAGTGCGTATTCCGTGGAGAAACCATGTGCGGGAGGATCTTTTGAGAAGCCAATCGACGTTGATGCATTGACTTCGGGAGGATCTTTCGAGGAGCCAATTGACGTTGATGCATTGACAATTGAAAATGGGGAACAATCGACTCCATCCCAAACGTATAGCCTCCCCCGAACAATGCAAAGTCTCGGACGACGACGCAGCAGTTCTGATGGAATGGTGGTACTAGATTTGAAAACGAAGAGTGGCAACAGTCCTTGGGCTGGGTCAAACAAACGACGAAGGAAGTGATGAATCGGAATCGTTAACGTTACCCAGGGACTTGGTTTAGATACTTGCTCTTTCAAACTCAACTAAACGTGCCCAGCTGGGCAAGACTTTCCTCAAGTTCCCAGCAAACTTGATAGTTTTACGAAGTGTTTTCTGATATGGGAACCAAACAAGCTATCCGCTATAAGGCCCTATTCTTTCGCTTGTTGCAAATGGGACCGATATCTGCGAGTTCGGCTCGGCAACAGTGTTTGCATCTAGGAACGTCGCTGAATAGTCAATACCCTACAAAAGTGGAGTTGGATGCCGCCGTAATGACGTGCCCATCTCCCAAGCACCCAAATGCCCGAACCTTGTTTTACCCTGACCTTTGCAAAAGTCCATTTCCGCCTGTAGACCCGATAACTCGCGTGAGTCATGATTAAGCAATTTGAGCTGTGGCTGTGTAAAGTTAACCCTATACATAATCCAGCGCCCGCGTTACCCTACGGTGGAACTAACATCGGGCCGGATGGATTCCCGGACTAGTCGCGCAAAATGGTGTCATATTTCTCCGCCATCAACGTGCAGGACCCAGAGGTGTTCGAGAAGGAAGGGAGCGACAAGATCGTGGGGGTGAGCAGCGTCCGCTTCGTGGCGAGGAGTACCGGGGAGGAGTTGCGACATCCGCTGGCGCAGATTGTGCAAGTGGATTTGGAGAAGGGGATGATGACGGAGATGAGGCTCCTGTATTGGGATGTGGCGGGGGTAAATCAGGCGCTGGGGATTTGAACAGGCTACGAAAAGGGTCGATGATGGAAGCAATGACGGAGAAGCGTGCTTGTCCAAGATGCGAAGGCACCGAGCAAGAAGACGAGGTTGAGGCATATCAGGTGTATTTCAAAGTCTATCTCTCCATTCTCTGTAGCTTCTCTCAATCCCACAGCTACCGAGGCAGGTTACCTCTCTCTTTCTCTCTTTCTCTCTTATACGCTGAAAGGACCTCCCCTTCTCTGACCCCTGTTCCGATGCACGTGAATATAGCGGCGAGACCATGGTCCGCCAACGGTACCCAGGGTCGGAGAGAGGCCAGCTAGGTGAACACATGCTAGAAGGATAAGATAGGTACTATAGAGCTGTCTGAAGCCATTGATTCCATGCATAGTCGTTGCCGGGAATGCAGAGAAGAGTACCATGCACACAAAACAGAGGCTCATTTTAGAGGTCTTGCTGAGAGACAGGTGTAGCCGACCGCCAGGAGCCAACGTACTCGTTGGCCTCGGCCCCTTTTTGGGTCAGGTTGTTACTCAGTGTTGTTCAGGGTGCTCCGTAAGGCTCAGTTTAAGCTCGGGTTAGAGCGGCCTTACTTCATCTTCTGGGATCAAATTGGCTGGTAATTAGGTTTGTCGTTCTCGAGGAAGCTAGGTACTCGGTGGTCAAGATCGGTTGCAAGTTGATGCTTCAGTTCAAGCTCGGCCATGACATATATTTAGTGTTCTGAACCACATTGCAGGCAAGGTGTCTTGTGCGGAGGATATGCCGACATTCATCCCGTATGGGAGATCATGGTCCAGCCGTCGAAGCAACCCCTTTCTCATATCCGTTGCTGCAATATTCACTCCAATGGGTCTTTGCGAGGGTCTTGTCCTGACTCAGCATATGCAAATGACCACCTTCACATCGCTACTTGACACAGGTGTGATGGGCTACGGAACGCCTCCAAGATCCGAGTTGGGCTTTTCGCGCCAATGCTGGGGCTTTCGGCCTGTGCAATGCCCTGGTACAACGGCCGTGATTGAGTCAAATGCTACTTCAGCTACTTTCGTCAGCGACGACTACCACCGACGAGTACCGAGGGTGCTTGTCGAGCTTTATCAAAGTGGCCTGGCACTGCAATCTAGAAGCATATCAAGCTATTTCGACATCCAAGCGAGAAACCACCAATATGAGAATCAATATAATATCAGTAACTCTTCCTATGCTGTCGACAGCTTCCGCTCCATGGGGTGCAGAATCTTGGATGACTCCGTCTATCTCGTCGATGGGTTCGCGGTTGACATGACAAGAGGGGGAGTAGGATTCCGAAAACACATTGCTCTAGCGGGACTGGTATTTGGTGCTGAGTGTGATGAAGACATCCTCTTCACGAACCCAAGACCGTCTGCATCAATACCAATCTTACCTTGGAGACAAGCGTGGCCTTACTCAGCAATACATATGATCCCTCCGATCCAGGTAGTTATATTGTAGACCAAGGTGGATTCTTTGATGTCAACAAGACCAGTCCGTACCTTGACGATTGGCTTGACGATCTACAGACGGCATTGCTAGAGCATGACGACCCCAGTCTGCAAGCACGAGTATATAGAGCGGGATGGTGGATGGAAGAGTTGAACATGTACTATCTCAACATCACGAAGCTTGGGACCAACAGAACTGCCTATGAACTCGAAACTTGGACATCCCTTCCCAGCAAAAAATTCCTTTTCTATAACCCAAAAGGATCGACTTGCCTTTGGAAGCTTCAACTCACTCTTCCAAGACATTCCACATGCCCCCGAATACTCAAACGGATCGCTTATGGTCTCCAATACCTCTTATTCTGACCCTCCCTATCATCTCAATCCCTTCAACATGACGAGTGTCAATTGGACGGACGTGTCTCCTCTGCAAACTGGCGCATTGACAGGTGACTATGCAAACATGACCAACCTAGATGTAAGATGTGGTCTGGTACTCGGACCAGCAAAAACGACTTGATGGCTCATCCAGTAACGTTGTGGAGCCAGGGTCGTGGTGGACTCGACCAATCTATTCGTGCGCAAGCGCCACAAAGGTATCGATTAAGACTGCGTTTGATCCACAACGCGTCCAACAGCAATACTCTTGAAAACGTCAAAGCCCTATCTATCACCGGTAAGAACTATCCCAATGGAACGGCACTCCCACTTTGGGGCGTGGAAAACGCCAATATGAAACTCTTCGACCTCGCTCCTCCCTTCTACGGACTGATTTCCCCGGACAGGGAGATTAGTATCAACCTGAAAACAATTCGATCCGACCACATATATGTCCCGGCCTCAACCAGCACCGTCTTGGAGGCGGGATTGAGCAGCATGATGGGGGGAACTGACTCAAACCCGGGCGTAAAGGGGCCAGCACAGCTTTGGAATACTGTTTACGGGTCCATCTCAGGGGAGTGTCGACTACGGTGCTGCCACCGATTTGGCTCTTCTTCAGAAATGGCTAGCTCTGTCCTCGAACACAACGGGGACAGCACAGATTGTGAACTTGATTTGGACAGATCTGGCAACCAACTACTTCACTGGGACGAGAAGTTGGCTCACTCCACGAGACTATATGCCGCCGAATCTTGTTAAACGCCAGGACCGAGGGAGCAGCAGTACCGACCTTGATGGAGACATGGGAGACGTCGTGCCAGTTCAGGTTTATGTTCGCTGCCTCCGGTACCATTGGGTCAACGGAATTCCAGCTTTTCTGTTTCTCCTCTTGTCCGTTGGCATCGTCGCGGCGGCGGGTATCGCCACGATCGCTGGACGTGGAAGCATTTCGCGATTACGCCACTACATGTGGAGTCGGTCACCAGGGCACACGTTGGATCAGACTTGCGTGTTGATGTGTATATCACTACCTAGGTAGGTATGCTCCTGTCTCGAGTTCGGGGCTGTACTGAGAATGACCCTGGATTGATGAGCATGTTACTATTCATGAAACATCTGAATCCCTGTTGGTGTAAATGCCAATACAATGATCTTCCATCGTGTTGAGGGGCGCCCCCATTGGGGAACTCGGCGCGGCTAATTATCTCAACCCCTCACTGACATTTCACACGCGTGCTTCAACTGCGGCCTCCGACCTCCGACCTCCGACCTCCAAGTCTTGATCATGTCCATCAAGGCCATTTTCTACAGCAAGTTTGATCCACATCAAGGTTCGATAACCAACATGCAATGCGTCGAATTCTATCTTCGTGAAGCTAACACTCGCTCTCCTTCATTTCAGGTCGAAAGGTTGTTCATCAAGTCCCCGAAGGCTCGATCCCAACGGGTTCCGAAGTCCCCTCGAATGGCGCACAGAATAACTCGAGCTCGAATGCGCTACTCAACTTCTCTACCATTGCTCAGTTCCTCATCCCTCGTCAATCACTCTGTGGAAACCTCATCTCACTGTCCCCGCCACAGTTGACCAAGAACACGCCTTCTACACTCGTCCTCTCATACCCCATTTGCCTGACCTCGTCCCATTATCCACGCAATGAATTCATCTTCAACTTCGCCCTCGTCCTGGGTGATCCTTCTACCATCGATGTCCCCTCCTACAAGTCGGTGGTCAAGAAGCTCGCCCACTTGATGTGCAGTCTTGAAGAGCAATCCCATTTCCTGTCGGACGATGACTCTCCTCCAAACACCGGGAAGATCTACAGCCTGTGTGAGATGTTGATGGAAGACCTGAACAACTACTGTGAATGCATGATTCCCATCGACGAACTCAATACTTTGAATATCAAATTGTTCCCCACTCTGCCCAACCCGGCCAGCGTCAAGCCCTGGCATGTGCCCCTCTTCACGGTCCGCATCGAGACTATGGTCGACGAGAATTGGGACCTGACCATGCTGCGCATCATTCCTTTCATTAACGGGATCAACAGTGTTAAGCGTATTGCCATGCTGGCGGATGCTGATCTGAAGCTTACCAAGAAATGCATTAAGCACTTCCTATACTACGGCTGTGTTTTACTACTTGATATCTTCAGCTTCAACAACATCTATGCTGTCACCGCAGAATTCGCCCACACGATTGCCAAGGACACAGAGATGCAGAGGGAGTGCGCGAGGTATGTGAACATGGCATTCGCGCCAGGTGGAGAAGACGAAGCCATCGTCGACGGCAGTGCGTCTGAACGGAGGATAAGCGGCTTGACTTCCACCACTATCGGGCTCCAAGACGACGAGATCTGGCCTTTAACCGGTAAGGGAGATCCAATTGATGGCGTGGGCATCGTGCAATTGTTCGCCTGTCTGAGACAAGGCTTGACCGTGCGTGAATGGTACGGCCGAAATGCGAACATGCTAGCCAACATCGACATGCGCCGCTTCATCACCTTCGGCGTCATCAAGGGCTTTCTGTACAGAGTTCACCGCTACGCGATCAGAACCCAGAAAGGGACGGTAGGGACTATCCCCGGCCAGAGGGGAGGGCTGGATGACAACGAGGACGGCCAACTCCTCACACGCAGCATGTCCAGCGAGAGACACTTTTCAGAAGCACCCTTGCTCAGTCGACGAAGGAAAAGTAATCATCATCACAATGGCGACCAGCGGAACGGGAAGGGAAGTGGAGCAGGTGAAGGTTTCCAGTTCTTGAACTCGCGTTTGATCGAGTTCCTAGACGGCACGCATTGCTTCGACGAGATATGTACCGAGCTGGATATTAGTGAGAAGGAATTGATGGAGAGGTTGAAGACGCGGGAAATCGGCGAAGCTGTCATCATTTGTAGGTAATGACCATGTGTATAAAATGAATGACAACGACTTATATTTGGGCTGTGGGCTTGGCCTGATCTCCATCGATTACGGAGCTCTGGCTTCCATATAGAGGCAGGGGATTATCCCAAAACAACTCAACTGTCCGTAACCACGTTCTATATGTCAGGGCACATTTCCGTCACCGCAGCCCCCACGGTTCACGACACCACATCCGTCGGATACTCCAAATATTTGGTAATCAATCCCCATCCCCTCGTCCAAGACCAGCGGCCCCCTGAAAATCCAAAAACAAAACTTGAGAGGAGTGGGGTTCGAACCCACGCTTCCTTTCGGAAAGCAGAGAATCATATACTAATATAGTGATAGTGATATTGACTTAAATCTGCCGCCTTGAACCACTGTTGTCATAATTGTCAGTAACGTGCGCCTGCGGGCCAAAAGGTAATAGGGGAGACAAATTACCTCGGCCATCCTCCCTTTCTGGGGGAAAATTTTGGGGATTTTCTCAGCGGTGCAGTTACATGTAATGCACATTTTGCAGACTGGCTGGGGGTGCGGAGTTGGCGCAGAAGTGGATGCTTCTGGGGTATGCAGGGGCCTGAGAGGCTGAATGTTTTGGGTGGGGTGACATCGATGGCCCTCGGGCAATAATTGGAGGTTACGCTTGCACTCAAGGGAGAAGGCCCTCGCCACGGTAATGTATTGAGTGCCGTATATGCATGTTCTATATTGAGGACTTCCTCGAGGTATGGGCTTGAAACTATTTAAGCACTTTCTAGCACGACAGCCCCAGGTGGGCGGATTTATATACATCAGCCAGCCTAGGACTTGGTCATCCGCATAATTCTCCGCTTGTCAAGTTGTCCAAAGAGGCCACAAAATGTCATCATAGAGAGGGATATCTCATATCACAGTCTACTCTGCTCCTCTCTGGACAGAACCCGACGCGAGGGCCCACCGCGGCTTCCATCGCCTTTGGAAATCGCGGCTGAAGTGGGCTTCCATGCCCATTTGCTTGTCTGGCGCTCCGAAGCTTTCAACTCAAATGCATCCGCTGTATATTTACCTAGGACAGGGAGGAATTTGAAGGCGCTGTTCACAAATATTAGCGTGAGCTCCGTGACGACAGATTGGGGCTTGGGACCCAGAGAAGAAACCGAAAGAGGGGACGCTTACTGTCCACTACCACCACAAGCCATGAACAAATTCTCGTAATCGGGGTGATAGTCCACGATGAAGTCGCCTTTTGGCGTGTCCGTGTACCAGCACAAACGGCGGCGCAGGAAATCTCGGTCACGGAGCCGGGGGAAGAATTGCTCTAGACCGTGACGGAGGGCCTGCTCTGCGTCGGCAGGGATGAACCCTGATGTGGCGTTATTGTGACTGAGTGATGGAGCAGAGCTGGAGTCCGCCTGGCCGATCGCAGATGCATGTGGAGGTTGTGCCGTTGTCGTCTCATATCCATAGCCGTGCCTTGCCATCTTGAGAATGTTGGTGCCCGGCGTGGGCGGGAAGCAGAACCAGCCGGTACTCAGGTTGATGATTACGGGACAGTTTCTCATATCGTCGGCCTCTTGTGAAGTCAGTTGTAGGAACCCTACAGGCTGACCTGTTGACACGGAGTTCCGGTTCATATTCAGCAAGTGTGGCGTCCACGCTCCCATGGCAATGATGGTTACATCGCCTAGTATTGCAGCTCCTGCCTTGGTGCGAACACCGGCGACTCTTTTCCCAGCTGTCAATAAAGACGTAACAGTTCCGTGGCGGCCACTCAGAAATGAAATACCCGCGTCATTGCATCGCCGAGCTAGGTAAAGAATGCTTTGCTCCGCATCAGCCCAGCCGCAACTGGTGTTGTTATATCCTACCATGTATGAAATATCACCATGGATCATCGGGAATCTTTTCCTTGCCTCGTCTCCTGAACATTCCGAAACAGATAGGTCTAGATCGCGCAAACTCTCGCAAGATTCTTGTATATGGATGCCTGTGAGTTTCGGACAATGATAGCAAGCTGTTACGGTGAAAGAACGGTGAGAACTCTCTTGCCCAGCCTTTTACAGCCTCCACCGCCATATCTGCGTAGAATTGGTCTGCATAGTCTGGCCGAACGACCCTGGAAATATCGACACTGGATCCATCCGGGACGGGAGGGAGATATCGGTCTAATATCGTGATATCTGTATACCCACGTCGATTTAACTCAAGGGCTAGGGTGAGTCCGAAAACTCCGGCACCAATAACAAGGACTTTAGCATCACTCTTGCAAGACAATGGGGGCATTTTCGTGGATAAGGACACTTGTTGTCGGAAAGGCCTTAGGTCAGTCAGCGTCTCGTCCCTTTTCTTACTCCAAGGAAATGTTAGTACAATTATGAAACTTTGGAGTTTGACGCTCCGAGAGATTAGAACGTTAGATGGAGATTTTGTAGGCCTCCTGTGTTCTTCCATAACACGGAGTTGTACGGTCCGTGTGGATTCCTAGCTTTCCGCAATCCCATATTATTCCCGGAGAGGAGGTCGGAGCTACCTACCCCACGGATTGAAGCAAAGAGGTTGTTGCATTAAGATTCCCATGTGAAATTCCAATCCAGTGAAATATTGGTATCGCAGGTTCCTCCCAGGATGCAACCAAACACACTTGCCATGTCGGAGTTTGTTGATGGGAACAACCCTCAGGGAAACTCAATTAGGACACCGACCCTCAGCCGCTTAGGGCCTGCCTCTAGTCAGCGCGCCTTCATCGACATTATTAAATGCTCGAGCTGTTCTCCACCAGCAGAAATTTAGCACTACCAAAATCCTTTCGTCAAATTCGTCGAAGCTACATCCTGAAAATCAGGAAAGTCAAAGCGGTCGAATTGAAACACCGAATCTTCCCAAGACAGTGGTATTTGATGGCCTTGTGTGCCGTCCATCCGAAGCATTGTTGAATCTGCAGGGCGAGGCGTTGCAGACGTCAAAGGAGAAACGAACTGGGTATTGATATCCAATTCGATAGCATCTGGTTTGTCAGCGGAGGTGTTTATTGGAGATGATGCTGCTGCATAGCCAAGAAGATCCCAAAGTAATGACGAGTCAACTTTTGGTGGTGAAGATTTTGCAACTTCATGAGCTTGGCATGGAAACCCATCTGAAAGCCTTGATAACTTCGATACCTGGCAGAGATCAATCAGTTATTAAATCTCACTACTCTCTTTGGAAGACGGCAGATGTACCACGTAGCGAAGGTGAAGATGTTGAGTCGCCTGGACATTGAGAAAAGCCTTAAGACCCTCAAAATGGCCTGATGCTGCTGAAACCAATTCAGGGTCTCTGGAAAACTGGAGGAAAAGACAAATTGTGGCTGCCACGGAAGCAAGATGTCCTATGAATGGATCGAGAATTGAGAGTTCTTTCTCCACGCACATCTGTAGGATACGTGCAACCCATGATGAGTGCAGGATTGCCTGGTCTGTCGCGTGCTGTAAAAATGACGGAGGACAAAGCCTGTGACGGCCGTTGGTTTTCCTTAAATGAAGGAATGGATGGTTGGCCACAGCCCGTACAGAATGGTAGACAATCTGTGAGAAGATCCATGGGGCCCAATAATCACGATGCTTCTCTAAATCTGCAGGGAATCGGTCATAGAATTTGACTGTCTTGAATCGATGAGCCGCTGGGTATGAAGTCTCGAGTTGGAACATATCAGAAGCAATTTGTTGATAGGTGGAGTTTGGCGTCCATGGTTCTTCCATATGCCCATGTTTAATTGTTTTGAGATATGCCGTGACACGGGCCCACATTGCAATTAAGCGCAAACAGTAGAAATTTATCCCACCATCATCCAGGTCTGGCGTCACGGAATCTTTCATACTGGTTATCTCTGTTCCTGATAGTGAACTGTTCACTGGTGGTGGTGCTGGTGGTGCTGACGGGTACGGTGTCGTGTTGGGCATTATGTTGTTTGGAAAGCCTGGCACTGTTCGAAAACTGCTACCATGAAGTTTATCAAGCATAAGCAAACTCCAGGCGCACCTGGGAAAGTCTTCGGGATTCGACTCGGATGCATGCGACGAAAGCAGGCTTGTACAATTTATCATTCGTGCACCGATTCCGACGGCCATAAACGCCCTACCTATCATTCCATCTTCATGGCAGGTCAGTCACATGAACGTGGTCAATTGATTAGGGCTAACTGACCTTCAATCTCGTTGAGACTGAGCAGACAGAAAGTTCTCAGAACGTCTAGAGATACTGTGGGATGTGCCGTCTGTGGGAATAACATTTTACTGGCCGAAGCTTTATAATACTCCACAGCTTGAGCCTTGTCCCGGAAAAAGAATGAATTATCACAGAAGCGTATAGTCAAAGCAAAGAAGCTATGTCGAAGCATCGGCGAGAATTGCATTACTTGTGAAGGCAGAGTTGTTATGTCGAAAATTGAGAGTGCTTGGTCATGGATCTTCTTCGTATAGACGTCGACTAGAACTTGGAGGACTGCGTCTGGCGGTTCGAGTCTGCATATTGTCAGAGATGCGTCAGACTTCTAGACATCATGCCTTAGATACGCAGGTCATACCTCTCCTCGATTGATCGTAAGGTGTAATTGCTGCCATATGGTGGCTGTGGAGTTTCTGGAGACGTTTCAGACAGGGACCCTTGGGCACGCCGATGAAGGACGGGTGGCTTTTCTGACCGCCTGACGCATCAGTCTCTCAGCAACATCTCGGTATATGGAGATGTACTTGATTGTATCCATCATAAGATCCACTCGTGTTTCTAATAGACGAACATTGTCTTGAACGTCATATCTGTCCTGGGAAGACAACTTGTTAGTAGGTATTCTGGTATATGTACGTCTGAAAAGCGCATACTGTGGAATCATGTGCCTGACTGGACTTTTGTATCCGGTGGCCATCCTCCACTCTCCCGTATGTGCATCTTTGCCCCAGACGTGAGCATGCCGAACAAGTTGGTTTCTGGCCTGGACATTTCGCCTTCATTCTCCTACCCAATGCGTCAACAATAGCTAATGGAGGTATACACTATTTGGATCAACGGACCTAGACGGCTCCATGATATTCGGTACGGCGGCGCATTACAACCAACTGGAAGTGACCGACAAGACCAGGTTGGACGAGGGGTATGTCAGACAAATCGATATCAAGGTGAAAGCGCCAAATTCTGAAGAAGTCAAGCGCGGAGAACCAGTTCCGTGTTTGGTCTGACAAAATGAATCGAGATATCTGCAACGATCGTCACAATCCCAGGCTGCAAACAGAGATCACGGTGGGGATTATCAGCTTTGTTAACTTCCCTCTCAGGCCTCAGCCGCGACTGGGGTCTGAGGCGGCCACTTGGGATACAAAGCCATGATCAGTGATGCGATTGTCTACTTCCGATTGGATAAACGGACAGCTACGGATACCAAACTCCTGGTACCAACTGCGGACACGTGCAGGCCTCCGGAACTCTACTCTGGAAAAACAAAGCTCTCGGTGTTGAGATCTTCGCTGATGGTATAGGCAATGTAAATAGCCCACCTCTTATCAACGGGACATGTGTGGGAGAACAAGCCCCACGGATTGCGGAGTAGAACCGTTCCGCTATCAAAATATCCACCTCCGGCCTGTCCCAGGCAAGAATGATAAATATGCGCGATGGAGCTGTCTCGGAGCAGACCTTTCCCGTATTCATAGGGCTACTTGAGAACTTTTTCTCTATAGCATCAATCTTTGACTTTGCAGCGATCAGACGAGCGACACGACTCCTGGGGATTGCACCACAGCCAGCGTTGCCGATGTGGAAAAGTTTGCCTCCTATGACCTAGCAGCTGTCAGCACGAGGACGGACGCAGAGCTCCATGATTTCCAGTACGATGCTGCGACCATGCATAATGTTGCGGTGATCAACAATGCAATCGAAATCTGTGGTATGGGTAGATACTAGTGGCAGATGTTTTTTACCTGTGGCTTTGGCTTCTTTGTCGACCAGGTCCGTGAGGAACTGAATCTCCCTAACTAGCCAATTAACACACCACAGATGCTCATTGTCTCTATCAGTGTCGTGATGCCGCAAGTAACCAAGCAATGGAATGTGGAAAGAGCTGGCCTGATCACTGCCTCTTTGTACACTGGTTCCTTGGTCGGTGCTGTTCTTTGCGGCTACTTCCTCGACATCATCGGACGCAAACTTGTTTGGCAAGGCTCGCTCTTCGTCGTCAATATGTTCACACTTATCGCTGCCGGCTCGCCGAACTTTACTGCACTCGCAATCTTCATCGGGTTTCAAACCATTGGTGCGGGCGGAAACAGTATGTGGAATCCTATCAGAACAGTTTGTGGGCACTCAAACTAGAATAACTCTTTAGTTGCAATCGACCTGACAGTATTCGTCGAATGCCTACCTCGCAGAAAGGCATGGCTGATGACAGCACTCGCTCTTTGGTGGGGAGTGGGCAACGCTGTAGGTGGATTGATGGGTAAGAAACCTGTTTCTTCTTCTCAGAGCACGCACCTAGACTAAAATTCAAACAATAGCGTGGCCATTGATTGTGGAATTCTCCTGTGCTCCGGACGCCACACCTGCAACGTGTTCGAGTAACCAAAACATGGGTTGGAGGTACCAATACATCGTGATCGGAGGCATCTGTTTGGTCATGGCATGCATCCGGGTGTTCTTCATGAAAATGGAAGAATCCCCCAAGTGGCTTGTCTCTCACGGCGATTTCGAGGGAGGAGTGGCGGCGTTGCGAGAAATCGCACGCATGAACAAGAAGGAAGTTTCCCTGACTGTGGACGACTTCCGACCCTTGGCCAGTGTCTTTCTCGACTCTGATTCCAAGAGCAAATACGCCCAGCTTGGTCATATCAAAGCACTGTTTTCAACCAAGAAATTGGCAATCTCCACGACTGCAATCTCCATCCTTTGGATGTGCATTGGTATAGCGTACGTTCAGCTTGAATAGAAACATCCCGTTTCTGTTTCTTCGCTAACATACTGCAAACGCAGCTATCCATTATTCACCCTCTTCCTCCCCTACTACCTACAATCGCACGGCGCGAAGAGAGGTTGAATAGTCACTAATAATGATATAGGAGTAAAGTAGCGGCAAGCAAGCTAGCTAAATGCTTAAAAGCAAGGGAAGTCTAAAGATTCTACACGATCGTCTCACACACACAAAATAGTTGGGTACTACCCAGCAACATCCTCTACACGAGTGCTCCCATCAGACGCGACAATACCCTCAGCCCTTCTCCCCTGCACATCCCCATCCCGATCTCGATCCCCACCCGCACCACTCTCATCTTCAGCAAAAAGGCTAGCTATGGCCTTCATGGTGGTATTCCCGCCCGAAAACACAATGCCCACATCCCAGAACCCCTTCTCACTACCAAGCTGCCTCGCCGCAACCAACGCCCGAAACTCAGTATTGAACAATACCACCGCAAGGGGCACGGCGGCGCTTGGCTCAACTACGACTTTCACACGCTCGAAGACCAGGCGCATGGCCATTTTAATCTCGTCCTCGCTCACGCTGTAGATGGCCTCGACCTTGTTTCGGTCGCTGATGACGGACCAGTTCGTTACGCCGACGGGCGTGCGCAGGCCATCGGCGATGGTGAGGGTCTTGACGTGTTCGATGCGTTGTCCCGCAAGCACGCCGCGGCGCCCGTCGTCGGCGCCCTGGAAGCTCGGCTCGCAGCCGAAGACGACTGTGTCGGCTTTGTCGCTGAACCACGTTGCCGTTCCACCTAGGAGGCCGCCGCCGCCGAGGGGCGTGAGGACTGCGTCGAGGGTTTGGCTTTGCTTGGGAGTAGGTGGATCCGCATTTGATGACGTTGCGTCCTTCTGCATCTGCCGCGCCTGCTCGTGGAACTGCTCCTCCAGCTCCAACGCCGAGGTGCCCTGGCCGAGGATGATATCCGGGTGGTCATAGGGCGGCACAAGGATGGCGCCGTGTTCCTTAATGATTGTCGCAGTCACGGCCTCGCGCTCCGTACTCGTCGACCCGCTGAAGACCACGTTCCGTGTGTACAGCCGCGTACCCGCAATTTTGGACGGCGTGCTGATCTTCGGCATCACGATGTATGACGGGATCCAGAAAGTCGAGGCCGCGAGCGCGAGTGCTTGCGCGTGGTTTCCTGTGGGAAGGATCAGTTGTGTCTGGAGGAAATATGGGGGACACAATGCTATGGTAAATGATGGAGCTGGTGTAGAGAATGAAAGGCTTGACGGATACGGGGGGTTGTGAACGAGAAATGTGAACGACAAATCCATCATGGGCTCGAGGAGCCCCCGACATTGCCAAATCACTCATACTCCGTCAAGAGGGATCAAAAGTGAACACGATTCGAGTCAACTTCAAACGAGACAAGAACTTGGTTTTAGACCACTCACAGAGACCCAATTTAACACAATCCCAAAATCCAAAACACGCTATAACAAAACCACGCGGAGAGACAAAAAGCCCCAGTGGAAAAGGAAACAAGAAGACTCACCACTAGAATGCGTAACGACGCCCACCCTCCTGACCTCCTCAATGCCCATCTCATCGATCAGCCTGGTGATCGCATGGAACGCGCCCCTGGCTTTGAAGGCGCCGATCCTCTGCTGATTCTCGCATTTCATCCAGATGCGGAAGCGCGGAACGCCTTCACCCTCGCTGTCGTTTCCCTCTGCCGGAAAAGGAGGCGGGTTGTCGGAAAGAAACACGCCCGGGTCGGGGGACGAGGAGATCTTGTTGAGGGATTGGTTCGTGATCAGTGGTGTGCGGTGAATGTATTGTTTGATTTTGGCGTGCGCGGTGCGGATGGAGGACGGGATTAGAGGTGGGGATGTGCTTGGGTCGGCCATGCTTGACTGATATTACATGTATGATGTATGAAATGGATCTTGCTCGATCAGACTTCTGTGATTTGTGATGTATTCAGTTGCGGTGTAGAAGAGTGGTGTGCTGGTTGGTCTATTTAGAAGCATATTATGTAAGCTTGGGCCAGTACAGTAAATTGAGATTTGCAGAAAAATATTGTGCCTCGAGGGCGTGATATTTGCAGAAGTCCTCAAGAACCGTGAGATGGCGTGATGTCCGAATGCGATCGCTTAGAAGTGCATCGTGATTGAGGGGCACATGTGATACCATGTAGCCCTAGCCCGGAGTTCACGTGTTCTCGAGATAGGCAAGACGATGAAGTTGCGCTTTACATTAGGAGATGACTCACTAGCAGCGATATCAACCGTAGAACCAAGAAGAACACATACAGCGGGGTCAGATGTTGCAACGCCTTATAAATACTACAATGTAAATGTAAGTCGAGAGGTTTCCATGGGTAAAATCGCCGTGCAGATCTCCGAAGATCGGCATATTTGCACAAGTGGGAAATAGGAGACAGGAACTCTACGATTCTGTTTCTTGGAAATGAGGAAAGTGGAACAAATGGCCAAGCTGGAGGTGATGGCATTGCTGCGCTATCTTTTGTTTTAGTACTAAACCCGCAGACCATTTTGATCTGAATATGCCTGGGCACGAAGCACCAAAATCCAATCCTTGTTGTGACTAGAACGCCTGCCCTATCAAGTCACTTGCATCGCTAGTGCTTTTGTTTTACTGGTTCTCTGGTCGCAGAGAGCTGTTCACTCAGTTAGCAACAACGCAACAATAAATAGGATGGCCTAAAAAACTTACCGGACAGCCTTGCCGGCACGCCAGATCTCCAGGTTTCTGATCTCCTCCAATTCCTTCTCATACTTCTCTCTGTAGTCGGGCTGGCTGTTGTACTCCAAGCTGCGTTTGGTTTCCTTGCCAGCCTTGACGCTGTCGTAGAGGTCGTTGAAAACGGGCTTGAGGGTATCCTTGAATCTGCCGGACCAGTCGATGGCACCACGACGAGCGGTGGTGGAGCATGCAGCGTACATCCAGTCCATACCGTTGGCACCAATCAATGGGTACAGTGATTGAGTAGCCTCCTCGACAGTCTCATTGAATGCCTCAGATGGAGAGTGGCCGCGCTCTCGGAGAACCTCGTACTGAGCGAGGAACATGCCGTGAATACCACCCATCAAGCAACCTCGCTCCCCGTACAGATCCGAGTAGACCTCCTTCTCGAATGTAGTCTTGTAGAGGTATCCACTGCCGACAGCAACGCCGAGTGCAACAGCCTTCTCTTCGGCCTTGCCGGTCACATCTTGGAAGACAGCAACAGACGAGTTGATGCCACGGCCCTCGCGGAAGAGACTTCGGACAGTTCGGCCAGAGCCCTTGGGTGCTACTAGGATGACATCGATATCAGTGGGGACATCGACCTTGGTGAGGTCCTTGAAGACGGGAGAGAACCCGTGGGAAAAGTATAGAGTCTTTGGCGCTGGCTGTTAGCCTTGAAGCTCTCAGTTGAACGGCGAGCTCAAGCTTACCTTTCCCTTGGTCAGCTGGGGCTTGATGGCGGGCCAGGTCTCGCTCTGAGCAGCATCGCTGAGCAAGTTCATGACAATGGTACCTTTGCCGATGGCCTCATCGACCTCAAACAGATTCTTGCCGGGAACCCAGCCATCCTGTATAGCTTCTTTCCACGAGGCACCATTCTTTCGGACACCAATGATGACGTTGAGGCCGTTGTCACGCAGGTTCAGGCCTTGACCGTGGCCCTGGGAGCCATAGCCGATCAGTGCGAGGGTGTCATTCTTGAAGTACTCCTGCAAAGACAGTCAGACAATGGATGAAATTGGGGTGGAAGGTTGATTGGACTGGGCTTACCAGAAGCTTCTCACGAGGCCAGTCCTCTCGCTCTAAGGTACCGTTAGCATCAGATGACGAGTTACAAAGTATTTATCGCCCACCATAAACTTGCTCCTTTGTGCCAGCAAAGTCAATGGTTTTGAGACCTCGGTTTTGTTGCTGCACCGAGGGAGCTGTGAAGGCAGTGCGAGAAGTTGCTGCGATGACAGGTCTGACTGCAACAGCGGACACAAAGGATCTCGTTTGCACAGAGGCAGGAGTGGTGATCTTCTGCTTGGACGCAGTGCGCAGGGTTCTGACGAAGGTCTTGGAGGCCATGTTCGAGAAACTGATTGAGTGGAGGGAGTATGTGCGTTGCAAAAAGAGCAAAAGGGTAATGTAGCAGGTGGTAGTGGTATTAGTACTTGGTAAGTGGAATGGATGATATTATTTTTCTGGGGAAATTTTGCTGCAGGTCGAGGAGCTTCTTCACCTCCGAATCCTCTGCGATTGCTCACAATGGGCCTTGGCTCCGAATTGCGGGCTGGGGCGATGGTGGGCTTCTTTTTGCTGGATGAGGCGAGGCTGGTCGCTTGCTGGTCCGTGTCGATATCGGAGTTTTTGATTACTCCCCGGAAGCCGGGTAAGCGCAGCCACGTGATGAAGCACGTGCTGCACGAATTGTGATTTGAAGGCAGAGAAATGAAATGAAGCTGCTCAGCGACAATAACACAATCCAAATCTGGTTCTCAATGCTCCTGCACGGCTTAAATGACTTCTAAAAAGTGATTCCTTGGGCTATGACTGCGTGAAAAGCTCAAACGCCAGATGTCGATAGGACATGACAAGAAGTCTGCGAGTCCTCAACCCAGCTGGCAGTCCGTACTACCCATTTCCTGACTCCAGGGTCGCAATGCTCAAAATGCTCAGGCTTATCGTGCAATCATTGAGTCCATGCCATACCAATGGTATAAGCATCAAACCTTATCGCCCTCACCGTAGAACACGATCATAACTCTGTCCTCGAACTGCACCGCCTCCCATCGCGGTTCTAGCATTCCTTCTGAAGCCTTCTCGGTTCGTTCGGAGGTCTTCGGCGGCCTCTTTGTTGAGAGGGTCGGATGCATTCGGTTCGAGGAACAGGAACTGTAGTCACGAGGTCAGTACTCGACATGATAACTGCAAGGGACTGACACTGCTTACTTGCATACCCACAATCACTGCATTCAAGTTCAACACAGGCTTCCAGTCCTCCCGGAGAATATTTAAGCAGACATTGCCCTCCAGGTCAATGTTGGGATGATAGATTTTCTGTGTGCACTTGACCTTGGGCGGATCGTGTGGGAAGTTCTGATTGATGGCAAAACTGAATACAAAGCTGCCTCCTTTGTACATGCCCTCGTCCGGCTCAATTGTCAGAGTGAAATTGAGGATGTCATCTGGATTCGGGAATGTAGTCTTCATAGTCGTTCCTAATGACAATTCGCTCAGATCTGTTCGCACTGTGAGCATCGATCTGCGCATACTGTATTATCACTAGGAGCCCTACCTTTTTGTACTCTCAGTTGTGCAGCTGTGACTTTCTTCTTCTTCTGTGTGCCTCCCTGCGCTTGTTCATCTTTCTGCTGCTGCTGCTTCTGTTCTCTGGTCAGCAAGCCTATTCCTGTTCCTAGTGACCGGGTGTTCTACCATTGACCATATTTTCATCATCTTGGCAATTGGCTGTCGCAGTGCGGACGAAGCAACAGGGTCGGATAGGAGGGCCCTGGAAAAACAAGGATGTCTTTGAGAGTTGTCTCGGTTAGGAGAGGTGGCAATGAGGACGTAAAACAGTCGCAGCAGGCTGTTGTGCTGCTCCTCTCAAATTTTATCGATTCTGGGCCTTATGGTCTACCAATCTGAGCTATGTCGTCATCTATTTCAGTCACGGCAGCAACAAACGCGATGAACAAATGCGAGAACTGATCTGGGCTTGAAGGTCGACCTGGGAATATTGATTGTGAATTTGTAGAGTATCCTGGACGCAGTTGTCCACCAACGCCTGCGGTCTCACATGACGCAGAATTGATGCCGCTTTAAAAATAGCTCTGTGACAGCGCTTACTCGTGAAATGTTAATACAGAGGTCTGATGTAGAACAGCAGTGCTTACAACGCCTCCATCAGTTTGCTTAAAGTAACGACATGCATGAACAAGAATCTGCCTATCCTACGGTCCATTATTCCAATTTTCTGATCCCAAAACTCCATTATTTGGTCGCAGGAAGGACATCCTTTGCCATGTTCCTAATCTGTCGCGTCCGATCCAATTATCTCCTGGCAAAGCAGCACAACAGGCCTGTCCTTCCGAGGAACCAACAGCACCCGATAAATCGAATCAACGACAAGCATGCCGTCGTCCACAATAATACTCGGAAAAAGTTGTTGCTTCGATCTGTCGCTTGACTCTGCAAAAGAGGATTAGCGGAAGCGGCCCAAGGCATGGAGCGCACGACTTACGGTAAAACCAAACTGTTGCAAACTATCACTCGTGATTCCAATTGCGAGTAGACCATTTGAGAAGATCCATGTCGCCACAAGCCGGGTTCGGAAGTTCTTGTAGGAATCTTCCAAGTTTTTCTCTTCCTTTTCAACCGGGGGTACATATGGTGCTAATGCACGGCGAACGGTTGCCTCGAACTGACTATCAATGTCGGCTTGGGGTTTGTCGACTTCTTCAATCACTGCAACTTTGCCCTTCTCATCCTTGTTCGTCTTTGCAGATGGTAAAGCTTCTGCTTTATCCGAGCCCTTGGTTCCCCAGGAGACATCGTGCCAATTGCTAAAGGCGTAGATCATCAGAATGTTGATGAAGGACGGCATCAGTAAGAGATACTGGATGAAAGATGTAAACATGTGCCACGGGTCGAGATACATGAACGAAGCAATGAAGTAGAGTCCAAAAGTCGCAGCCAATGCGATGATGACAATTCCAGGTCCGCTCGAGGAAAAGAATGTCCTGATAAATTCGCTAGCACCTTGGTCGGTTATGATATCGGTCGTGTTTGTGGTGAAGGCTCGCACAACCAAGTACATTGACAGCACTATGACATATAACTGGATCACAGCGAACACCACAAACGAGATCATATAGGCGATTTTAGAACCCTTTGGTCGATTTCCGAGCGCCAGGATAAATTGAAGGAGCAGGAAGCCGAGGTAGAGATATTGCAGGATGGTATTGACGACTGGTGTGGCGGTTTTGCCAAAGGGAAAGGCTGTGTTGCCATTCTGATCACTAGGTTGGCCAACCAGGTCCATCAGAATCTTGGTGGTTAGCCAGAAAGCAGCGAGAGAAAACCAGGACAAGACGACCGAGACGATGTTGTAGATCATTTGTATGTGGAAAAAGATCATACGAATGATGTTGTGACCCGACTTGTACATCCGCGAGAAATGCATGAGCGAGTAGATGGAAGCGGCAAATGAGCCGTTGAGCCATCGGCGACGTTGACCGATGAATTCAGCAGCTCCTTCAGGAACATCAGTCTCACCGCGGGAAGCTTTGACGTAGCTGAGATGCCACTTGGAGCCAGCTTTCGCCACCAGTTCGAAACATAAGATACGATCCTCGGCCAAGAACATGTTTTTCTTGAAAATGTTCATGCCCTCAATACCTTTCTTGCCGAGCCTCGCCGACAGTGTGTGATCACCGTGGAAATATTGTTCGAGTGGGCGACCCATGATGGCTCTGAAACGGTATGCGGAGAAGGCACCAGGCAACACACTGACATAACCAAAAGAGGATTCAAGGGGCTTATCCAGAATGTTACTGATCTTGTACTCGAAATTTTGCGCAGCAACCAATGGATTTAGCAGTTTGCGACCGAAAGGACCACCACTACCCAACATGGCATGGATTTCACCACATGCGCCGCCGAGATCTTTGTCGTTGTAGAAGGCCTCCCAGAGTGCCAGGAGAGACTTTGGACCGGGTTTTGTGCCAGCGTCGAGGAGAATACAGACTTCAGGATTGAGGATGCGGCCAAATGCATTGAACAGCCAGCGATGGGAGTTGATCTTCTTGCTGTTCTTCTGCTTCAGACAGAAAATCATCTGCACGGGAGGTAGCGACGTAGCATCGTTATCGTTTGGTCGGATGAGTTGTTGATTGGCGGTGACTGAAAGTTGGGTGGTGTATTCGAAAATGTGGACCACAGTGTCTTTGCCATCCACGTCCTTCTTCATGACGCCATCTTGGTAGATACCAACCGTAGCGAGTAAATCTAGGGTGTTCTTGTCACAAGGGTCAATACCATCGAAGACGAGGCAGACGACAATCTTTTGCCATGCAGGACCACCTTTGTTCCAGAACTCGGACTTTTTGAGATTGACAATGTCGCGAATATTTTGCATGACACCATGGAGAGTGCGGGCAGTCAGGACTTTGTCTTCGTTGTAGTATGTGATGGCAATCAGCAACTCGGTATGTCTGTTATACATGGCTGGCCGCAGATTGTAACCGTTCTTCAACGTGAAATCATCAGGGTCACAGGTGGCAGCCGTGTAGCGCATATGCGTGAACTCTTCACTGCCGCCCTCAAGATCATTGCGATACTTGGCCTGAACGGCATTTTGAATGGCACTGGGGACTGGGTAGTCAATGCTGAGGACACTGCCTTGGACCAGCTTGACCTTTCTGGTAGCATATCTCTTGATTGTGCCATAGCCAGGGGCCTGTCGTTGCCGCCAGGCTTCGGTGGAGTCAGTCCGGTCATATGGTTCCTGTGGGGGACCGGTGGGGAAGCCAGCTTGAGAGTTGCTCATGCCATATCCTCCATCGTAGGGGTTATTTTGCTGGGCGCCGCCATATGTTGTCGTTGGCGCTCTGGATGCATCTCCGGCGGCGTACGATTCATTGAGGGTGTAGACCGACTCCTGGCCAGGAGTTAAGGGTCGAGTACGAGGGGGATTGTCGTACAGGGGTTGATGTGATGCGGTCTGGTGCAACAGCGAATGTTCGGCCTCATCGTCTGAAAGACGGCCGTCTCCTCGATATCCCTGGATCGCAGTCAGCGCTTCGATTCAGTTGTCTGTCGTCCATTGCTTGCACTTACACCTCCACCTCCAATATCGCTCAGCTGATGGCCTTGGTCGTAGCCTCCGCCATAGGGGTTTGCCATTGTGTGCTATGTGTGATACAGCTACACACAAGCAAGAGTGGTGGGTAGTTTCGAGGTCTGACCAGCTGGCTGGTTGGGACAATTTACGGAGAAGGCTGATATGCTGGGGGAGATGACAGCCGCCAGGGCCCGGAAGAGATGACTGATTTGATCTTGTACAGCAAAGAAAGTGGAATGACTGAGTGCGTAGCTGCAAAGGGAAGAGATCGTAGGTGGATGGTGAAGAAAGATAGATGACAAGCAAAGAGGAACAAAGAAACAAGATCTAAGAAAGCAGGATTCTTGGTGGCCCTGCGGAGTTGGAGTGCACGGATTGGGATGAAGGTGCAAGCAGCAGTGCATACGTAGCAGTTTAGTGGCGGCAGTGGTACTAACTAGTACTACGAGTAGGAATACTAATAGCAGTGAGCAGCAGTGAGCAGCAGCCGGAGAGCAGTAACCCAACCAGGACGAGAGGAGAGCCAGCGATGTTTCATATTCCTGGCTCCCTGCGTGAAGCGTGACTCGGCCATCCAGTGAGAGGCGGTCGGGCGGATTTGCGATGAGAACCCCTAAGAAAAAACAGAAGGGCCTCCGCCTCCCCTGAGTTGGGCACCTGAGAGTCGGTGGCCGGGACGACGCTCGGCGTCGTCTACGGGTAGCGGACTCCTACAGCTAGTCGTGCCATTTTCAGCTCCCATGTGCCTGCTGCAGTCAAACAGACGCTGACGATGCTCGTTCGCGTGAAGGCACCAATCGCGGTGTACGTTCGGCAGTTTCCTCGTGTTGAAGCTCTCGCCAGGCTGTGCTAGAAGCATTGATCACTACTCAGGTTTGGGCTTGCTGGCTACGCAACCAGGCCGTTCAGCTGGACCAACTGAATCAGGAAGGCTGAGATCCTTTTGGAGGGGATCGACGCCCATAGCACTGGCAACTGCTCGTACTTTCCCACTGCAAGATGCTTGCTTACCCTACTTCAGCCCTGCGATGCGAGCCACCAGGCCATCAGCTGAAGGCCCAAATCAGACAATATTGATCCTGACCGCTACTAATGACTGACGAGTAATTACTAACGACCGACTGACACAAGTGTCTGTTATCGCTGACATGCAGCGATTTTTGTGCTATTCCACGAAGACGTCCATATTTACTCGATGCATCTCCCGCAAAAATCTGAGACGTAGTTCTGGAACCCTGATCAAGCAAGCCCCTGAATATCTGGGGATGAAACACGTCTTCGAGAAAACCGGGCCCGTTGCTGTATGGATCTTAGAGTGCAATGGCTTCGACGCTTAGGCGGCAACAAGCGCTGTGGGTGGTCACCGGTAGCTACTCGTTACTGGTGCTGTATGAGTAGTGGGCGTGAAGTGGTCCGTGACTTGAAGGTTCATGCTCGTTGCGTCTTCCTGGGGGCTTAGCACCGCCTATTCCCCAAGATCGACAGTGGCTGATACCCCGATCCCCCCCGACCATGTCGACGAGCGCTCGTTTCTCCAGCATCAACCTCTTAAGCTGTAATGGAGACTACATAGAGAAGCTGGTACATACTCTACCTTGATCCTGATCGAGTGCATCTACTCAAATACGATAGAATAATCAAAGCCTCAATCGGACAACTATCGCGCTGACGAAAGTAAGTATCAACTACTTTCGGATTAATGTGCTCCTGTCATGACCGCCAATGCGTACGAGTACATTGTCCTACTATTGCGCGTGGTGTCTGGGTTATTATTTGCTCATGGAATGTCTTGCAGCAGCGCCACACTTAAGATTGCACAGATGCTATTTTCAGATCTTGCCGGCTATGTCAGGCCTACAGACACGGCGGTGCATTGCTCTCGCCACAAGCCCTGATTCTTTACACCAAACAAACTCATTTTTCCAAGTTTCATCTTCAAGTCTATGTGGAATGCGTGTACGAGGAATGCACAATTCACAAGATTGGTTTGTTCCTCTCAGGACATCCTGTACATAGAGTTATGGAAAGACACGTAAATCCACATGTACTATACAACTTGTCATCGTTTTCCCCTGATGAAAAATGGGAACTTCTCAGGCGCTGAGGCCTCCCAAGATGATGCTGGTATTGCAATAGTAGCACTTTGGCTCTATCATTATCATCCAGCCAGTTTCCTACGAGGTAGAATGCAAACATCCGGGAACCTCTCAGGAGTAATAAAAGAGACGACTCTTGCCAAACTCGACAAATCCTTATTGCTAGGTGGATTGATGCACGAGCGGCGATGAAGAGTATTTGCAGCTGTTACGGTGGTATTCAAATCGATGCCAGCCAACTTTCAGTGCTCCATGCTCTGTACTCCGTAATCCAGGTGGAATTGCTGGCTTTCCTGGGAGCAGATGGGTGGGCTGATGTTATATATCCAGCGTCCAGTCACAACCACTTCTACACAAAGAAATCTCGCTTGGTAGTATGGTGATCTGACGAACGCAGGAAAACGACATAAGCAAACGCTTCAGGGGATTCAAGTGTAAAGACTATTGTGTGAACAGGCAAGCTTAGGCGTGTTTGAAGGATTGACCAAGAGAAAGACAAGCATTTAGTGGCGTGCCAGGCCCCGCCCAGCACCTCCAGCAGCCTCCAACAGTTAGCTCCTAGCAGTCCTCCGTATCCCTGTCGGCTCGTTCTAGGGGCCAAAGGCGTCCTCATTCTTCCCTCTGGTCTTCTCTTGGGCTCCCGCGGGCCTCTCTGCTTGGTGCCGCGTAACATCTGCAAGCATTACAAGCGGGATCCACCCTGAAGCAGCAGTCCAGCTTCTTTGGTTGAGGGACACCCCTTCATTTCCCATTCCTCCACTGAGGGCATCCCACTCGGACCAAGCTGCTCCATCTCATCCCGCACCACCTTTTCCACCTACAAACCCAACCAGGCACATCCCAACGCCCATTTGCTCGCTCGTCCCTTCCCTCCTGTAAGCAAGGGCAGTCCAAGCCCAAAGCCCATCCATCCACCCATCCACCATCGCCAACGATCCCCTCCCACGCTGCATCTCGTCCCTTTGTCGAGTCGAGCTTCTCCAGATCTGCCACTGCTGATCATCAACTTCTCCTCCACCAACTCTCACTATCTTCAATCCCTTCACCAACTACTATTCGGTCATTTTCGCTCCATTCTTGACTTCGTTGTCGACGGTTGTCTCTCTTCGTTAACTGAGGCATTCCTCGCTGGTCCGCATTCTTTCACTCTCGCCTTCGCCTTTATCTTCACTTTCGCTCACTTTTTGTCACTTGTCGTCGAAATTACAAAGGCTTTCGATATTTCACCCGTTCGCATCTTCAGTTCTAGAGTTGACCTCGATCTCGTCTGCTTGATTGTGTGTTCCTGCGACCCTTATGACCTATCCTTACCGTTTCAAATCGAGCTGTTGAGGGACCTTGCAAGATATACCCCTTCTGAAAAGCGCAACGCCGTTTCAATAGCTCGTGTCGCTGGGCTGCACGACTTAGATCTACCGATTCGTCAAGTTGAGACTTAGACTAACTTCCCAGGGCCATTGAGCCTTCTTCAACTCAGTTGCCATGGCTTCTGAGACGTCATGTATGCCGTTTTTCTCCATGCTCATGGAGTCTGCTAATACGAGTGGGTAGTTTTCGACAACAAAAAACATCCCCTATTCAGGCGCTGCGTTCAATGCCCCCCCGATCCTCCAGCCTGCCCTCCCTGCAGCGTGGATGAAAGATGCTCCTTAAAAGCAGAATCTTGCGATTCATGTGCTTCGACCACTTGCGTTAAAATAGGTTCTTTACCTGGTCAGACAGCTCCTGAAAAGAAAACACCAATTGGTCCTATTGTTGGGGGAGTTATTGGCGGTCTTGCCGTTTTGGCTGTTATATCTTATCTGGTTTGGCGGTTTTGTCTGAGGAAGAAGCCTCGTGTCAACACTTGGGATCCACCGGAGAAACGAGATCAATCAACTTTGAGTCGTTCGGCCCGTCAATCCACCCGGTCTGCACATTCAATCGCATCTACCGTCTTCACGCGCGCCTCGAACGTGATTCAAATTGCCTACATTCCAGGCGTCACCGTCAGATCGCCCCCCGAGTCTCCTGGTCTTGTTCCACCCGTTCCTTCTCTTCCTGGAACCAGGTCTAATGCGTCAACGCCGCATATGGAGCAACACTTTTTCATGCCTGGAGACTTGAGAGACTCTACCTGGTCAGACACATCATTTGATCCACGCATCAGTATCGCACCAAGTCTTGCTCGCGACAGTGTCGCCGGTACCATCTACCAGAGCGATGCCATTGTACCTCCCATCCCCGCTCAACATGCATTCCGAGCCCAAGCAAACGTGGTCAGTGTCAAATCCGGCCCAACTACACCTTCCAGTGGTGCAACACCAAATATGCGAACACCCCAAATCCCGCAAGTGCCCAATCTAGGAAGCAGCAACAGCTCCATCGTTGCCAAAAATGCCGTTGCTCGACCCATTGAAATCAAGAAGGTCAGCTCAGGAACCCGGGTGCCTACTCTGGGAAATCTTGCCAAACAGGCATCACAAAAGTCTGGTACCCCGGACAGTTCTGAGAAGAAGACACCGGTTTTCTGGGAAGAAAAAGAAGTTGTGGTCAGTTCCGCTGCGACTACCCCCAACTCGGCTTTGGACTCTACTCCTGTCTCTCCTATCACAATTCCTCGACCGGCATTTGCCGGCCATACAGCGCGATCCTCAGGTGTTAGCTCTATATCTCCATTCCAAACTTCTACAACAGGAGGAACAACACACCGACATACGAACAGCAATAGCGCCACACTCAACGCTATGATCGAGGATGCCATTAACCGCGCCAGAGACCCCCAGCATATGGGAGCTCCTACACCTGCCGCACGACCTAACCTGATCAAACATGACTCTAGTCCGTTCTCAGACGCAAATGAGGTTAAGGAAAATATACCTTGATGTATTTATAGAAATTTTCATTTTCATTTGACCAATTGGGTATACGCCTGGAGGCATTCGATGATCAATTTGGATTGATCTGGACGATAGTCTATGTTAGCGAGATATGAGGCTTGTGTCTCTGAATCAAAGAACTATGGAACTTCCTGCCCCTTGACCCTTCTGTTTCCTTCGGCAGTAAACCTCGAACTTTGCCTTGCCCTCTCTGCGCAATAAAACCACAACGATAGCAAACGAGTTCCTGCACAGCAGCTGGTTCACGTCATTGATTGACGTTAACACGTGATTGTTCTTGGACTATGTACTGCGCTAGCATGTGCGCATGATTCAGGTACTAGCAGTAGCGCAGCTGACTTGACTCGGACGCGTTTCAATTAACGAGCACGCGTCTCCCACGCCCACTTCTATTTCCAGCTGTAACTTGCCCGTGCAATCGAATCACTTCAACCACGAAACTGGCACTGTCGAAGAAAATGGGCATCAAGATGGCAGAATCATCATCATCACCACGCGGTTCTTCACTTACAAGAGACAACGATGTTGTACTCCCAGATGCACCGGCAATTAGCACGCCAGTCAAGCCGGAAGACGACACCAACTCACGTGCAGCGGGTGTTGCACTCGAAGATTTGTTCGATGAAGACGATGATCAATTACAAGCTGAACTCGTGTTCACCAGCTCAAATACAATTCCTTCCTCTCCTCCTCAGCCAGCCTCAGATTCATCCTCACAGACTATCGCAGATACGCAGCAGGAGTCCTACTCAGATTCGGGCTTGATGAAACAATTCTACTCTCGATTCTTCCCCTTTCGATCGCTCTTTCAGTGGCTCAACCACTCACCGAAGCCTGGGCCGGACTTCGGAAACCGAGAATTCGCCCTCACACTACAAAATGATGCGTACCTGCGATACCAATCCTACCCAAACTCTGACATGTTGAGGAAAGACATAATACGGCAAAACCCTTCTCGTTTCGAAATCGGGCCTGTCTATACCACAAACCCAAGGGATCGAAAGACTTTGCGAAAGAGCTCAATGTTTCGTCCGCTGAGCAAAGAGATTGTATTCGATATTGATTTGACAGATTACGATGACATTCGAAGTTGTTGCGTTAAGGCGAATATATGTTCAAAGTGCTGGGCATTTGCAACAATGGCAATCAAGGTCGTTGATGTTGCACTGAGGGATGATTTTGGTTTCGAACATATCATATGGATCTATTCCGGAAGACGTGGTGTCCATGCCTGGATCAGCGACAAAGAAGCCAGAGAACTAGATGATGATAAGCGGAAAGCAATCACTGGATACTTTGAGGTCCTGAGGGGAGGTACACAAAGTGGGAAGCGAGTGAATATCAAAAGACCACTACATCCTCACATTGTTCGAAGCCTTGAGATTCTCAAACCATACTTTCAGCAAGTTTTGGTCGACCAGGAACCATTTATGACTCAGGCCGGCCAAGAGAGACTCTTACAGTTGATTCCTGATAAGGCTCTTGGTGATGCCCTGGCAAAGAAATGGGCCAGCAGCCCAGATCGTCCCAGTACTCGAAAATGGGCCGACATTGACTCCCTGGCAGCTACTGGTGTTAGCAAGAGTCTTGACACCAAGGCGTTGATGGAAGCGAAACAGGATATTCTGTTAGAGTACACTTACCCGAGACTCGATGTGGAAGTCGGAAAGAAGCGTATCCATTTGTTGAAAAGTCCCTTCGTCGTGCATCCGGGCACCGGAAGGGTGTGTGTACCTATCACGACTGGAGGTGACATGAAACGAGCAGAGGCCTTTGACCCCTTCTCGGTACCGAAAGTCACTGATCTTTTCCGGGAAGTGGATCTGTTCAGCAGTACTACCGAGGGCGAGGAGCAACATCAAAATGGGTCAGCTGAAGATAGAGTCACGCCGAGGAAGATAAATGACTGGGAGAAGACGAGCCTCAGACCATATGTTGAGATGTTCGATGTCTTTGTCAAAGGTCTGCTGAAAAGTGAGATGACACGAGTCAAGAGGGAAAGGGACGAGGAAGGAGTAACGGGAACAGATGGGATGGAATTCTAAAATCTGCCAATGCACAGGTGGTATCGACGCAACGGAAGCGTTGAATGATGAATGTATGGCGTAAAGGACAGGACAGGGAATTACTCATCTACCGAGTTAGATAGCATTATTGTTGGCAGCCAATGGTTGAGGTACTCTGTTTCCATCAGAGCGACGCCCGTGGCGACGAAGGGGCTTTCGGATCCTCCAATTTAAACACTCTCTTCGCATTCCCGCCCATGAAATCCTCGAGAACGTTCCGCCTCAGCTGTCCCTCGGCCTTCACCCTCCCATCAATCAAATCACGCTCAACGCTCTCCACACAAGCCTTCCAGCCCAATTGCGGAAAATTTGTCCCAAACAGCACCTTCTTCCTGCCCGTCGTGTTCACAAACGTAACCAGCTCGGGCGGGTAATACTTCGGCAAATACGCGCTGGTATCGATATACACATTCTCATGCTTCCAAGCTACAGCAACCATCTCCGCGGTCCACGGGTATCCAATATGCCCACACACGATCTTCAGTTGTGGGAATTTCAGCGCGATGGCGTCGATGTACGGGATCGGCCGCCCGGTCTCGCTGGGGCACAGGGGCCCCGTGTGCCCGACCTGCGTGCAGAAGGGGACGTCGAGCTCGATGCACTTGATGTACAGTGGCCAATAGTGCGCATCTGTCGGGGCGAGGTTCCACAACCAGGGAACAATGCGTAGGCCTTTGAAGCCTTCTTTGACGATATAGTGCTCCAACTCCTTGACGGCGCCGACTGGGTCCAAGAGGTCGACTGACGCGAGCCCGAAGATCCGCGTGGGATAGGCCCGTGTGTACTGTGCTACGTCCTCGTTCGAGAAAATCGTCTTTCCCGGTCGCCGCCACGACGCGAGGCATATTTGGGACACGCCTCCCGCGTCCATCATTGAGATCAGCTTGGAGGGGCTGAGGCGCTCGCGCATAAGCGCTGGGTCAACATGGCTTTGTGAGAAGAGTCGATCGACTTCGGGAAGCTAGATACATTCTTGTTGTCAATCTCCTAGGCGTTCTTTCTTTCTTTCCCACCAAGGGGACGGACAGAGATTACTTGTGCGTCTTACTCCTGCGTAATGAGCACTCTTTAAGAGTACAATTTGATTCAGGGACGCGTGGGCGGATTGGATTTGAGAAACTTACTCCCTCGGCGGCCGTCGGATTCGCCCACGCATCGACGATATACATGGCCAAAATCTGTTGAACGTAAAGTGAGATTGATTGACCGCTACAACGGTGGCTGTCAATGTGGTGACTCTGACAAACCTTTGTTACTCCTCACTCCGCCAGAGAAGAAGTCACATATAAATAAATACCTCGTCGCGAAACACTTCCCTTTTTGGCTTCGAGAGTCAAGTTTTCCCTCGAGCCTCGGTAAAATATGGGCATAAGGCTGCGAGTAAGCGGCAGGGAGGGGCGTCTTGCGTCTTGCTCAATTGTTCGTATTCGCTTTCCACAATACGGTCGCACTACTGCAGCGTACAATTAGTCATTTACTTGGGCATTTTGCAACCTCACTCTATGTAACCAGTTGGGATGGATATCTGGACAATCGCTGAAGTGAACATGATAAATAGTTGCTATCGGCTTTTGACATCGTTGAAAGTGGCTGGCTGTCTTGAGCGTCGACATGCCCTGTTGACCAATATCCATCTCTGTGAATTCTCGATTCGCCTGTGGACGATAGTAGCCTTGCAACAGCGACAAACCGACGTCATAATTCGTTATGCTATGCTCATGCACATGATCTCACATGGAAAACAGGTCTCGTATATGTTTGTATTACTCACCCGGCGTGCGGACGAAGAAAAGCTCCGGGAGTCCGCAATTCCTCCCCTAGGCGAAACCCTGGGAGAGAGTCGCTTGGTCATCCATGAGGCATCCTATCGACGGGATTGGCCCTTTGCGATCCCTGGACCCAACAAACTTCGAGTAGATCTTAAGGGACAACTGCACTAATTAATAGCCAGTACTACAATGCCACGCGGGATATGTTAAAAGCTGGACGAGGCAGAGACATATGCCACTCCTTTTTTCCAAGAGCCTTATAATGAGTGCAGCACTTGGCACTTGATCTATTTAATTTCCCGAAGGAATTCATCCATGTTGAATAGCCACATTGACGGGTGCCTGGCTCGCCCGTAGTATCGCCAACTAGGCCGAATTAGTGGAAGACTCACTGTACGAAACCCTTTCAATCACGAACAGCGGTGGAGGCGGAATTCCTGCCTGTGAATCGTTGGATCCTTTTTGGCATTCCAACTTCCTTTCATGGAACGACCTCGCGAGCAAATTCAAAGAGCGAATGTTGTACAGGTAAGGATGCCATTGTCGCGCTGAATATTCCTAGCGAAGTCAAATCGTCTTTGAAAGTAACAATGACTAGAGCTGTGACCTGTGCCGGCTCAAGAAGCGGCGATGTGATTTGAAGGAAGGGGTGTCACGCTGTTCATCGTGTACGAAATCGAAGTCGGTGTGTCAGATCACTCATGTCGCGAAGCCGCGCGAGAAAAAGAAGAAGTGCATGTCTCCATTCGAAGTGTTGCAGTGGCTAACATAGAAGCACCAGGAAGCAGATCGAGGGCCTCGAGGATCGACTTAAGAGTCTTGAGCAGCTGATCCGAAGTTCCTTAGTGGCCCCTCAGGATCCGAAGCCACACATCGAGGAGTTTAATGCACGAACACCCGAATCATTGGACTCGTCGCTTAGGTCGATAGAGGCGTTTGCATTGCGATCGATTTCGCATCAAGGCAACTTTCATGCTCAAACTTCTAATGATGCACCAGTCACACGACCAAATAATAGCGTTGGATCCTCAATGCCGAGCTCTATGTTGCTGTCGACCTCAGACACGCTCGACTTCTGGTCTGACACTGCTGCTCAGCAGATCGAGCTGGGACAGCATGGCCCTCCTGCAACAGCCATAGATCTGCAACCAAAGACGAAATGCGTCGGTGATAAGAAGTGCTCCATACCAGCTGCAGAAGCTGGGTTCTTCCTACTCCAAGAATACCTTGTCGACTTCAATGCTGCCGTACCACTATTCGATCGAGTCACCATAAGTACCTGTTTCGAAGACTGCTACAATGGCAGAGCCGAGGGCTCGGTAGTGTCTTGGATTGTGATGAAGCTGGTCTTGGCGATAGCTCACCGTTTACGTGCCATGAGCCCGCTTGGAGTAAGACAGGACACCGAGAGTGCAGACATATACCTGGCAGAGTCTTTGTCCGACCTCAGTGACCTCATCATGCTGCCTCCAAGCCTCATATTATGTCAGTGTTACATTGCGTTTGCGGTGGTGATCTCAACGTGAGTAGGCTTGTTTTCACATTGTGAAGGGATCATTCTTGCAGTCCTCGAGCACAATTCGGAGTGTTGAATAACCATACTAACTCTAATGCGTATGCAGGTCCTCCAATCCGAAGCCAGCTGCAACATTTATTTCCATGGCGCTACGCGTGACTCAAGATCTGCGCATCAATGATCCTTCTCCGATAACCAACATATCACCAAGGGAAAGGCTGCAACGACAACGAGTCTTCTGGATTGCCTTTCTTATGGATGCAGACCGGGGCTTGAAGGCTGGAAGAGCTCCGAGCATGAGTCCCGAGCTCATTACCATCGACCTCCCTGCGAGCGAGGATCCAGACGGGGCGGGAGAGATCTGTGCGATTGGCGGGGAGTTTCAGATGAATATCTTTCGTCTGCGTGCAGAGCTGTCTCTAATTATGGCTGAACTAATGGAGCTGTTGCAGACCCCGGAGGCGTCAAGAAACCCCCGATTCAATGGTGATCTGATGTGGCAGACTCTAGCGCTAAGACTGGACACATGGCGGGAACAATGGCCGGGTAAATTGACGGTTAATCAATTGCAGAAGCTCCTCCACCGATCAGATTTGGTCCACATAATTGCGGTCGAGGCTGGGGTTTTCAGCACCTTGTATCTGCTTCTAACGCCCCTTCAACCAGACACAGACTCGAAACGAAGAGCCTTTTCGCCCGAAGGACTGAAAGAACAACTTGCAAGACCACAGTCTCAGCAGCTGTATCATGATGCAAAGCGATTAGCCAGCCTGCTTAGCTCGGTCCCCGCCGGGGACGTGGCAATAAATTGGTAAGTGGCCCTGCCATTGAAGCGAGCGACTATTGTCGATAGGTTTGTTCGAGAAGTCACTGACATCCTCTGTTAGGCTGACTTCGGAGGCCGTTGCTGCTGCCCTGGCTGTAATTCTCTCATACATTGTCAGTAACCCGGAGGGCGCCACGGCAAGATCAGACCTCGCACTTGCCCAACCGGTATTGCACACTTTGAATCAGCTTAGCAGTGTGAGCAGCGACGATGACCTTGTCGGATTGCGGAACGTTTGCATTGATTTGTATCTAAAGGCGGAGAGCGCTTTGAAATAAAGGCCGCATGTTGTACATATGAGCTGGCCAAGGAGTGCCACAAGTTCAAAGCAAACTACAGTGACAGGGGAACGCCTCACCTCAAATCAACCTGCTCGGATTTTGACTTTCTTCCCTGTCGCTTGTATTTTTCATTTAGATTGACACGTTTTCGACGATAGCTAAGCCGTCTCCCGAAACGAACGACAAAGGCGTAGCAAGAGAATGTTTTAGTGTATGTTGCAGAGAATATTATCGAAAGGAGCGCGCGGTCCCCAACCTCCCTTGGCTTTTGCCTCTGCCAAGGCTCTGTATAGGGCGGCATTCTCATTATCCCTATCTGGCGCGCACGTGATCCACTAACTGAATATGTTCTAGGCAGTTCGCTAGTGGAAATGAACTCAGGACCTTGTGCACTTGTACCTAGGTACCGTACATTGTGCCCCGCATAGAATCTGAGGATCTTACAGCATCTGTATCTTCAGCTCGACAAATCCCAGCATGGGAAGCATAAGCAAACCTCTGCCGAGGCAACTCTAATACCAATCATCATGCTGCATGTTCCCAAATCAATTGCTGATGCACAATGTCCTTGAACTTGGGTTCGACCGATGAAGCACAATCGAAGAGAGGAAAGCACGTTACCACCGCGTGCTCCAACTGTAGGCGCCGAAAAATAAAGTGCGATGGCGCTGCACCTCGGTGCTCTAACTGTGTCCTGTACGAGCAGGAATGTGTCTACCAGCACGGGTTGGATAAACGAAAGATTGCGCCCAAAGAACGCTTGCTGGCCCTGACGACTTATTGCCAACAACTGGAGACTTTACTTGTCGAAAATGGCATCGCTCTACCAAGTCCACCTCCAATGCACCATCAAGTGGACCTTGGTAATTATTACTCATTATCGCTTGCACAGTCGAAGAGCAGTCCGCCAGACCTTGACACAACTATACCCAAGTTCGTGCCTGACCACGCAATAGGCACGTGGCCACGTAAGTCAACATTCTTCATTCTTGAGACCTTGTTGATCTTAGGTCTTCTCAAGATCTGTCAAACACTACACTTCCTGACGGCAACCTGTTGTCATATCAATCATCTCCTGACCAGGTAACCATCCCCAGCCAACACGGTGGCTCCAGCATCAACGGTGATTCTGAGGCTTTGATGGACCAATTATCTGGCCGGATTGGATCACTACAAATCGCAGAGGATGGCCAACTTCGCTTCTACGGCGCAACATCCAATCTGCATATCTTGCACAATGGTCCGATGTCGTTGTCGAAGTCGAAGTTTCGCTCAGCCTCCGAAGACGGTGCCAACCTGCTCATGGGTGGGGGAGTTGGGCACCACGTTGACGAAGAGCTCGAAGATCATTTGCTGAAGCTGTACCTGTGCTGGGAAGACCCCAGTATCCATGTAGTGAATGAGAGTGTCTTCTGGCGCGAACGGCGCAGATGCAAGGCGACCAATTCGTCAAGTTCCGTCTATTCAGAGGTTTTGACGAACGCAATGTGAGTCAAAATGCGACACGTCAAAAGTTGACGGTCATATTGCTGACATACATCTTTCTCATTATAGGTGCTCAATTGGCGCCACACTGACAACAAGGCACTGTCCAGACCTGCCAGAAAATCTCCCAGATTTCTTTGCTACGCGAGCGAAACTTCTGCTCGAGCTTGAAATGGATGCACCGACAATTTCTACCGTCCAGTCACTTGTTATACTAAGCGGCATAGAAGCTGCCTTGACTAGAGATGCTCGTGGGTGGCTAAACAGCGGTATGTCCCGGTTGTATAAGCTGAGTACAATCTAACAGGGGGTCAGGTATGGCAGTAAGACTGGCGGTCGATCTTGGCCTGCATCTTGATCCTCAGCCATATGTCGATGCCGGAATGATCCAAGAGGAAGAAGCAGCGGTCCGCAAAGTAGTCTGGAGTGGTGTTTTCGTCCATGATCGGTAATACATCCCATTGTCGATGCATGTGGCTGCTGACTTACATTATGCTAGGATGTGGAGCTTATACGTGGGGAGACCGGTTGGCTTGGACGACAAGAACATCACGGTCACATTTTCCGAGATCGATCCCAATTCATTGCAAGCACAAAAATATTGGTCGCCCTATATCGACGAAAGCGAAGGCCTGGACATGCCGAGTATGCTCGATCCAGTCGACGAGCTGGCAATCTGGAATGTGAAGCTGTGTGCAAACATGACCATCATCCGTGAGACATTGTAAGTCCCCTTGCAATTGTGTTAGACGTTCTTTTAACGGTCTCAGATACCCCGACGGATTGACGGATCCGAAAAGCCCAAGGCAACTCTATGACTTTGCCTGTGCCATGCGACTCACACTTTCACAGTGGCAAGTGGATCTCCCACTGTGTCTAAGGGTAGATGATTTCGATAACAATACTGTCTATCTTCCTCATGTTCTCCAAATCCAGTATGATCACTTCTCCATGAGATGGAGGCCAAGTTGCTCACAAACAATAGCATGCAGTATCATTGTATTCTCGTTATCACGACGCGGCCATTTTTTGCCTCAGCAAAGAAGCTCACCGGTCTTCTTCCTTCTGAGATTGCTGCCACCCGTGATGCTTGTACGAATTCCGCAAATTCAGTTGCGCGACTGCTTCAAATATACCGCCGGATCTACGGACTCAGGAGGATTAATATCCAAGCAGTCCACCTTATTTTTACGGTCACCTTGATACACGTGTTCACAGCCTGCGGCGCCACAGACCAAATTCGTAGCGATGTTGCATGGAAGAACCTGGAGATTTGCAGTCAAGCGCTCAGCGAAATAGGCTTGGCCTACAAGAACTCAGTAAGAGCTCTCGAAGTGATCATGGGCATGAAGAGCGAACTCCTGCGACGGTCTAGATCATCAAGGGCCAAACGACATAACCCCTGGAGCGAAAATGTTGACACAGAGTCTTATATGAGCAAAAAACGCAAAGGAAGCAACTCTGATGTGAACTTCGCTCGACGGAAATCTGCTTCCACAGAAACCAACCTTTCAACATTCGATCCTGGTATGTCTGACACTGGTCAGGCATTTAACTTCATGGACTCTAGCTTCGATGAGTTTTCTCTGGACGCGCTATTTTGGAGTGGCTTCAACAACCTGGACTTTCCTTCGCAGGAGACTCAATCCAATTTCCCCAATTCGGACGACGTCTGAAAGCTTGGTTTACATGTGACCAGAATGCAAGCCACCAGTGACTAGGATGTCACTTCCTGTCGTATATGCAGCAGCGTCACTTAGCAAATATCCAACAATAGTCTTGAGGTCCTCCCTTGCACCAAGACGCTGTAGAGGGACGGCGGAAGTAAATGCGGAAATGATCTCAGGGTTCGTAACGGCCAGCCCTGCCGTCATCTCTGTGGCGATAAATCCTGGAGACACAGAATTTACGCGAATTCCAGCAGGTCCGAGCTCTACAGAAAGTTGCTGGCAAAGAGCTTTGACTGCCCCTTTGGATGCACCATATATCCCAAGTCGCTGGGTGGGCAACGCAGCTCTCGCAGCGATGGAGGCTATCATAACAATGCTACCGCCTGTTTTCTGATCCTGCATGTGTCTTGCGGCCAGTTGGACTGCAAAATAGGTCCCCAGTACCTAAATATTCGTCAGCTTAAGCGGCTATTAGGGCGCTGAATGTTCCCTTTGTGAGACCAACATTGACATTGAGGATCCTTGCACTCTCTTCCCAAGTTGTATCCAGAAATGGCTTGTCTAAAACTATCCCGGCAGCCGTGACACTGAAATAATCAGTATGTCGGGATGTACATGGGGTATGATCACTACCAATTGTTTATCTGTCCAAAATCCTGCTGTGTTTGGTCGAAAGCCCGTGTTAAGCTTTCCTGATCGGTGACGTTTGTCCTAGACAAGGTTCGGTATCAGCATCAGCATTTCACGCTTGGGGTGATGTGTGTCCTACCGATAATACTTGAGACGAACACCGAAATCGTCAGTGATACTGAGAAGGTCTTCGCGGGGCTGCTCGAGGATGTCGAGTACGGCCACGTCGCTTCCTAACTCCGCTACGGCTCGAGCCAATGACAAGCCAATACCTCTCGCACCACCTGTCACAGTCACTCGTGAGAAACCTGGTGATGAACATCTTTACGTACCAGTGACAACAGTAACTCTGCCCTTTAAGGATAGCAGATCTTGTATTGATCTTTCCTTTGACTTGTTCATGGGGCTAAGTTGGGTTTGCTGGAAGGAATTCCCAGTCAAAGAACATTGATGGGCCTGGCTTGCACGATATTGACGTTCGGGTGGTGCCCTAAATCCTCGAGCCAGGATCAATGGTGGTCTGCCACTATGAAAGGAACTCCCCGGCTGTGTGCTTGTGAGAATCGTACTGGGAATATGACGGCGCTGGAGCTTCATTTTTGATTATCATTGGTGTTCTGCTGAATACACCAAGCCAAGTCCTTCAAGTGTGGGAGATTCATCTGTGGCCGTTGTTGAGATCAACATACCCCGGATTGGCAGTGTACTCCAAGTTTTGACATGAAACACCCAACTCGAACGAATATGTCTCATTCTCTGTACACTTTGTCGGCTGTGGATCTTGAAGGCCTACATTGCCGCGGAATTCGAAACCCGTTGCTTGGAATACTATGTCACGTGGGCCAAGTACGGGCTATTACGCCTGAGCCTCTCATGAAGTACTGTGTAAGCTCACACGATACAAGTTCGGCTTGGGTATCTCAGATGGACTGTGCCTAGACTTGCGCCCCTTAACGTTCTGATACTGATCTCTTCTGAGGCCCCAACGGAAATTATTGGGTAAAGAGATGCTGCACATGATACCGAGGCAGCATGGCTCTCTCGATCAACATAAGTGACGAGGTCAGTCATGATTGAGCACTCAAGTCCTGCTCCAAACTCAGTCGCGATCCTTGCTTTCAGTCTTTGATACCCCATATCTTTGGATTGTGAGAGAGTAGCCAGGAGCCTCGACCCGGGACTTTGGTTCGTCCAATCAATGCAGAATACCAAGGACAAGCCTTCACTGAAGCTGCTCCTCCCAGCCTCGCTGGGAGGAGAACTCAATAGGACCAGACTTGGAGTTCTGCGAGCTATGACTACCACATGTGCCTGTCACCCCAATTTTCTCTCACTGAGGCTTCTCGACACTTCGTGTACAAGGGCCATGTTTCACGCAATCTCCATCATTTACGATCGAGAATTGTCGTATTGCATCCAGTCAAACAGACGGTCGAGACAAAGTTAGGCATATCACCACTCGCTGTGCCCCATTGCCGCCATAGCCTCTCAGTCTAGACATATCATGAACGATGGTAGAACAACCAGACACGCTTTCAATAAACGTCACTTGATACTAGAGTCGAAGCGAGCAACACGTTGCTCCCACCATGGAGTCGCCCCCGGGCTGGTGAGACGGCATACAAAATGCATCTTATGTATTCATTGAATAGTGGGAGCTATGCGGTGAAGACCAAACCTCATACATACGGCGTCTGACGTTGAGGTCTAGACTTTTCCTCTTCCACGCCGACGATCTAGAAGAATCAACTCTCTTGCTAGGCTAGCCATCGGGGTCATCGACTTGAACACTTTGCAGAAAGTGCAAACAAAAAGACTCATGTATCAATCGAGCCTCCATTGAATTCTCGTGGCGATACCGGAAGCAGAACCTTTTGGGGAGACGAAGGAGGTCGTGGTGGGAAACTCAATGCTGGTGCGATCAAATTCCCCGGGAATTGAAACCCGCATCAGCAATCCGCAGCTCAAACTGCGGGGAGACACCTATCAGCGAATAACGAATCTCCAGCCATGCATCCACCTTCTCCTTGCGGGGTATGGGCGACCTTATAAGCGAGGCGTTCTGTACCATGTTCCTTCAGACGTATCTCGACATAAAGCCTTGTTGCTGCATCGCATAAGTCGACAATCCAACTCCTTCTCTCCTTACACCTCTATACCTTTCTACCAACCCCTGTGAGAATTACGAACCTTGTCAACATGTATCTCAAAACCGTCAAGGGTAGATTACTCTACCGCATAATGAGCATATGCTGTGCATTGGTACGTGGCCAGCTATTAGCCCATCACCAATATACTGCACAATCGCTAACTCCAAGGTAGTCATTCTGCATGTATGGATACGATGCCGGCGTATTGGGCGGTGTGCAAACAACAAAGCCCTTTCTCGACGCCATCGGCAACCCCACAGGCACGTATGTCATTCCGATGATTGCCTCTTCATACACCCTGGCGGCGGCCGTCTGCTCTCTCGCCGTCACCATGCTCGGCATGCCCCTCGGGCGCCGAGGCTGCATCTTGATGGGCGATGGATTCGTCATCGTGGGCACGGCGATCCAAGCGTCAGCCATGTCTGTGCCACACATCATCGTCGGAAGGATCCTGTGTGGGTTCGGCATCGGTTTCATCTCGTGCTCGGTACCAACGTACATGGCAGAAATGAGTATTGATGAGAAAGAGCGCGGCCCCGAGGTCGCCGTCCAGTGCGTTTGGCTCATCTCCGGCGTCGCGCTGGCGTACTGGATCGATTTCGGATTCACACGCATGTCGAACCAGGTCTCCTGGAGGTTCCCCATCGCTTTCCAGGCCATCTTCGCCGTGATTTCGCTGTGTGGTCTCATTTTCTTGCCAGACACACCCAGGTGGTATTACGCACGAGGCAGAACCGCCGAGGGCGACGATGTCGTAATGCGCCTTCACGACCGTCCCCTTGACGATCCACGGGTCCAGGCCATGATCAACGAGATTCTCGCTGCCATCAAGTTGGAAGACCAAGACGAGCATAAATTCAACCCCATCGACCTGATCTGGGACAGAAGTGATTTGAGGGCGGGAAGGCGCATCAGAATCTCATTCATGATCCTGTCCTTGCAGCAAATGATGGGTGAGTCTTTTCCTTTCTCTTTCACAGCCTTGAACGTAAAAGATTCCTAAGACTGACACCTCCCTTTAACTCTCAGGAATCAATCTATCAGTATACTATTCAACCGTGATCTTCGACCAAGTCGGGCTATCACCATTCCTATCCCAGCTCCTCGCTGCAGTCATGAACACAGGCTTTGCCGCCGGCACGTTTCCCCTACCATGGACGATCGAGCGCGTCGGCCGCCGCAACGTCTTGATCTGGTCGGCGGCCCTCCTGACAGTGTGCATGATCGTCTTCGTCGCCATGATCGGCCTACCCAACCCGAGCACTGCAACGCAATGGGTCGCGGTCGGTGCAATCGTCGTCTACAACTTCGCCTTCGGCTACGGCTGGATTGGTGTCCCGTGGCTCTACGGCCCCGAGGTAAGTCAAGTCATCTTATTGTAGTAGCACCAAATCTCCTCTTTGCTTTCCAGAAGGACAAACAAGCTAACCTAGCCCTCTATGCTACCAGATCGCACCCCTCAAACTCCGTCACCTCGGCGGCGCGGCCGGCGCCTTCGGCGAATGGCTGTTCAGCTTCATCACGGTGTTCGCAGGCGGGATCGCACTCCAAAACGTCGGCTGGAAGATATGGCTGTGGATGCTGCTGTCGTGCGCCGCGGCCATTCCATTCGTCTATTTCCTGTGCCCTGAGACCACCGGAAAGACGCTTGAGGAGATTGACTTGATTTTCGCGAAGCCCGAGATCAGGGATAGTGCCGCAGCGGCCGGCACGATCCGGGATCATCGCCTCAGAGGGGCGGTTAAGGAGTTTGAATACGAGGAGAAAGAGGCGGTCTGAAAGAGAGAGAAAGGAATGCCATGGCATTTTCAGAAAGGAAAGGAACATTATTGGGAGAATCGCTGAATCTAAAAGGGCCACTAAGCGATCTGGCAGGACGCCTCGGCTACACCAGCCTTACCCCTTTCTTCGCTAGTGTGGCTGTACATAACTCTTGTAGATGAGTTTTTGGCATTAAAGATATTGATATTCAGATACGCCTCCAGTTAAGTGTGCCCTTGAGACTCCGTGCATGGTCGTATGGATAGAAACGCTAAAGTATCAACTGCGTGTCGGTCAGAAGCCCGGCTGAAGCTCTCTATTGAAATCCAGTTGCAAAGAGAGATCCGACATAGATCTCAAGAGCAAATTTGAACCCAGCTCGTATGTATGCACAGCTACTGTTCCTCGCGGCATTGCAGACAACCTCGCTGGCTACTCCGTAATCAAGTCGCAGGTTACTTCTCTTTCTCCCATACAGCATTCGAGTCGGGGTCATGCAGCTGTATCTGAGATCTCTTCGATTCTGAGCTTCCCCATCTTCCTCGGAGGAACCCTGTGTTGGAATAGATAGTCGATCTCCTGGAAGGTACGGTCTTTGAGTTCAGGGATGTAGAAATAGCTCCAGATTGTTCCGAGAAGGGAGGCGCCCCCGAAGACGAAGCCGACCTTGCCCTTCAGATTTGCTTTGTCAGGATTGACCTTGGAGCAGAGAAGTCAGTGGTGATTCTAGGCCTTCTGCCCCGAAAGAGGCTTACGAGCTTTGGACTTACCATATATGGTACAACGATGTTCATTAGTGTGCCAAAGACAGCTTGGCAAGCGGTTGCAAGGCCGATCGTCTTAGCTCGAAGTGCTGGGGTTGATACCTCTCCAAGGAGTGCAAAGGCAATCACACCGATGGTGATCTGGTAGATCAGTGCATACACCACCGTGCAGGATGCTTGGACCCAGCGAGCAGCAGAAGTACGGACGACATCTAATATGCCCATCAGGACCATGACAATTGTCATGCCAACCATGCCCCCAACGAACAACTTTCTGCGACCGACAGTGTTGATCACGCTCCAGGAGATTAGAACGCCAACCACACCACATGCGGTGACTCCAACACCAAGGTCGAAGGCATGGTTTAGCGGAATACCAGCAAGTTCAAAAAAGTATGTTGAAAAGCCGAGGGCGAAGACGATGCCTGAAAGATGTTGACACGCAAAGACCCCGACGGAGATGACAGTCCGAATTAAATTGGTCCCGCGGAAGCACTGGACCCAGCGTCCTGCTTGAGACAACTCGGTGTCTTCTTCGATGGTTCTGATGATCATAGCTAATCTGGGTCCGACATCAACATCCTTGCCGTGGAGGCGCTCGAGGCTTCGCTTCGCATCCTCGATGCGGTTCTGACGGACGTAGTGCCATGGCGACTCTGGCGCAAATGGGAGACCGATGATTAAGATTCCTCGAACTTTGTGAGTTTCAAACAATTCGAGGTAGGATTGCAGAACATACCGACGAACAAGAATTGGACCGCAAACGGACCCCGGAAGGCCCAATTGTCCTCACGGCCCCCAAACCCCTTGATAACGGCATTGGACAATAGCTGACCAATGACGATTGCAAAATTGATGCCACCAGTGACCATACCACGAATAACCACTGGCGCTACTTCAGAGCAATAGAGTGGACCGATGGTCAAGTAGAACCCAAGACCAATGCCGAGGATCAATTTTCCAATGAGAAAGGCTGGCCGGCTGGTCGCAAAGACTTCGCCAAAGATTCCGCCAGTGACGATCACAAGCCCGATAAGGAGGGATCCCTTTCTGCCTACTCTGTCCGAGATGTATGAACACGCGAAGCCACCAAAGAATTGCCCGACGCTGGAGATGCTGTTGAATCCAGACAGCCAGCTGGCAGGGATCACCGGCTCGCCCTCGTAGATGTAACTGACAGGGATGAGAAGATGGCCTTGAAAAGCTTTCCAATCATGGTATTCTTACCCGAAAGTGCGTCGAAATTGGGGTACTCCAACCATTGCACCATTGACTTGCGCATCGAAGCCCCTGTTCAAAAGTCGGTCAGCTTAATAAACGTCACAGGAAAAGGAAGTCGGCGCACCATCCAACAGCGCTAAAAGCAAAGAAGATGCACCAGAAGACGATCCTTTTGTTCTGGGTCAAGGCCCCCCAGACTGATAGGTTATGTTCTTCTTCGGCAGCAATTTGCGCCTGCTCGATTTTGGGAGGAACATCTTCTATGACAGAACCAATAGCCTTGTTCTCATGATGAAGGTCAACAGGCTTCTCCATGATGGGGCCTTAGCGAATTATATGGATTGCCGGAAGCTGGAGGGTGTACAGAACGATGCCTTTGCGTAAGGACATGCTAAAGTCGAGAACACAAGTTCTATTTAACTGTTCTGTCATGTTGCTTCAGCCGTTCTATGCATATTCTAGAAAAGGTCTCTCAAGGTGTTAGAAGGGTGTGATCCCCAGCTGGGGATGCACAAAGCAGCGTATCCGGGATTCCGCACCGCCTGTCAGGGGAAAGTAGTGCAGAGGTTGGCAGCACTTGGGTAGCATTTGAGACGAAAGCGCCTTGGACGCTAACCCCCGCCCAAGATGACCAGCTGTGGCATGATGCCCTTTAGAGAGACACGTAGGATTAAGCCCAGAATGGACAAGTGGTGTTGCATTTACACCTTCTGAGCTCCTGGACCTTTCGGGCCTGGACCAAGGCTGTCAGGTATGGGCGTCGGCCTGGGTCGTATCGTGCTTGGAACGAAGTCTCTGAAACTGACTGTGAAGGTGTCCCGCAGATAGATATTGTGATTGTGTTGCTCAGATCACGACTGGGATTGTTTCGTGGCAATCAACTGACGCATCCCCCCCGCAATTGCGGGTGCAGTCAATTTTCCGGTTGGCTAGCTCGCGAATGAAAACTTCCTCCAGGATTCCGCTGACGCTTTAAAGATCCCCGGTAATCCGCTCCTCAACGTCGTTCAACCTGATAACTTTTCCCCAGATTCTCCCTGGAGATCGGGTGGAGAAGGGGTCGAAGCGCGCAACGAGCATGGAGAGCTCGCTTCGAAACATACTCCATTCCAACGAAGCAGATTTCGACCCTCAATTTCGACCTCGTGGCCCTTTATCAGTCCCTGATCAAGCGAGCGCCTCTTCGTTTGAACCACTAGAGGCTGACAACGCCTTGCCTGAGTCTAAGAAGCGAGCTGCTACGCGGATCAAGTCCTCATATCCGCGGAAGAGAGCTATACAAGCTTGCCAGAAGTGCCGTGTTCGGAGAACCAAATGTAATAACGAGAGACCATCATGCTCAAGTTGTTTGGCCATTGGCGCCGAATGCACCTACACGGAAGGCGACCACTCTAGGTATGTATTTAGGCGGCAGATCTTCGGTCCAAAAGCTCAAACGAAGGCCATTATCCTGACTGGGACAGCTTCGATTCTGCAAGCCTGGCAATATTGGACAAATTGAACACGATCGAAGAGCTCCTACGAAAAGGAAATGGGCAGGATCATGCTGTCCCGCCTCCACCAAGCAGTCTTGGAGACGAAAGCCGGGGAGCCTTGTCTCGGCTCAAGACCTTGAACTCACCCAGCCTAGAGAGAACGAAAGACCCCACTCCTTGCCATATGAACATTGAAGGGGTTCTGTCATGGTCTGTCTTTGATGATTTGAATCCAAATCTCGATCTCAAATCGCTTCTCAATACAACCGAGGATGGCCCTCAAGGAGGTTTGTTCATGGCGACGGAATTTGATGAGCATTTCTCTGAAGAGACGCTGGTCGCTCGCTTCATGGATAATGTGTTCATTTATAATCCAGTACTCGAGGAAGCAAAGATTCAACGATATATGCGTGATGCCCGCTTCAATGGCATAGGCTGGGATGCGCAATCATGTCTATTGGTACGTATTGTGCCCCGAGCGTGGTCTTGGTATTCTAATGGCCATTCAAGCTCCTCATATATGCCCATGGATCAGCTGTGGCGGCATTTGATGGCGGTCACCAACCTGATGCATCGTCATTCCGAAGCAGTCTGCAGTTCAAGCAATCGCAGTCCTTTTTCCATGCTGCACAGAAGAGAATGGGCCCTTTGCTTTGCAGGACTGGAGTGCTTGAAGCACAGTGTTTCTTCCTCGCCGGGGTCTACCTGATGGCAACATTGCGCCCAATGGAAGCTTGGAAAATGTTCGTGCAGGCACTTGCTTGCTGCCAGGCGTTTTATACCGGCAAAGGATCACCAGGGGTCGATCCAGAGGGGGAGCAGCGACTTAGGGAGAGTATATACTGGACTTGTTTCAAGTCCGAGCTGTAAGTTCTAACGATCAAGGTACTTCTGCTGCAAATCAAATGCTGATGGATGGCTGCTGACCAGAGAACTTCGCCTTGAGCTCAACGTGTCAGAGACCTCAATATGGGATCTGACATATCCTGCCTTCTTCCCTTCTCCCCCGGAGGGGCTTCGATCTCAAAGAGAGATAGTGTGGTATTTCTACTTAGCTGAGATCGCGCTTCGACGCCTTGGAAACAGGATCTTGAACTATAATTATGATACGAAACCATCGAGCTCGTTGTCAGCCGTAGTGGAAACCGTTCTCGGGTTCGAACAGCAAGCGGCAGATTGGATCCGCTCTCTTCCTCAGTCTCTTGAACTTGAATCACCCTCGGTAGGAGAAGAGAGCGAACTCCACCACTCGTTGAAGTTTATCCTCAAGGGGCACTTGCTTGATTGCTACGAGATGATGTATTGGCCCTTCGTCGTTACTGCCATAAACCCGGACTCCACAGACCGAACGTCAACATTGCCAACCTCGACAATGGATGCTTTAGTCCACAAGGCCTTGGCGATATGTGTGGAGCGTATCGACAAGAATGAGCAGGGATTCTACTACCGACATCATGGAACATGGCTAATGTTGCGTTCTTGCGCAAGAAGCGCATTTATTCTCCTCGGTGCAGCTCGGACAGAGAAGTTGACTCTTTTGATGCCAGAGGGGTGGCGTGAGGCGGTGGGGAAAGTGATTGAAATGCTCCGATTTTGGAGACGTGAAAGTAAAGACGTGGAAGACAGATTGCAGCTGATTGAAGCGCTGCTGGACGGGCTTACTTTTCATCGTTAACAAATGATGTGGTGTTTGGAAGAATAGGCGGTTTCAGAGGCCCCAATCTGGCCATATGAAAAGGACAAACAACAATAGATACATCATAGTATCAGATATCAGCAGCAATGACTGTCTCACGGGTAATGGGCAATTCCAGTGCTAATTGACAGCGCATATGAAGGCACGAGCAACAGGCACCTCGCACGGGGTTCAGGTGACTGTAACTTCGCCCCGTCTCCTTTCTCCTTCAAGTTTCTCTTCATTGCGTAAACTACCAAAGCGTGTACCAGGCCGTCTTTCCTCTCCGTTGCCTTCCTTTCCTTTGTCGGTCTTGGTGAACAAGCCGGGTGAAGTCAATGCTATGCTTCATGTTGCCAACATGATCTGACAGTCTCCAGTAGCATTTTGTAAATGCGTTGGACAATAGACATCGCGTCGCGTGAATCTTTCCATAGCTTGCCCTTTGTGAATCGAATCGTTTTGTAGATATTGGGATATCGAATGGCTTCTTGATAGCTCAACTGGTTTGCGGTTCTACTTATTCATTACATAGTTTTACTTAGCCCCGTCCTTCCCGTCCTCTTTTTCATGGAACTTCAAACTTATAGAATTGACACAATGCCTCTCGTCGGTCGGCGTTGCGTATCCCTCGCCCTTGAAGACGTGGCCCAGGTGTCCGCCGCAGTTGCTGCAGACGATCTCCGTCCTCTGCATGCCAAATGTGCTGTCTGTGTGTCTGGTGACGGCACCGGGAATGCTATCGAAGTACGCGGGCCAGCCACAGCCGGATTTGAATTTATGGTCTGCCTTGTAGAGGGGTGCGTTGCAGGCGGCGCACGTGTACACGCCGGTCGTGGGTTGGTGCTTGTCGTACTCGCCTGTAAACGGGGCTTCAGTGCCCTTTTCTCGGAGGATGCGGAATTGTTCTGTTGTGAGGGGAGCAGGCAGTTAGTCAACCAGGGTTGCTTTTAAATGCAGGTTAAGGTTGGCACAGGGGAATGCGCCCGCGTTATGGAAAGCAACGTACCTGGGTTTAACACTGCGCGCCACTCATCATTGGACCGTTGGTCGGGATACGACATTTTCTCTGATGCAGGAGTAGATGTGCCGAAGAAGGAGCTCAGGAAGGGGATTGATGGCATAGATTTGAGAACGATGGCTGCGCGGTTATTGTAGTGGAAGGGGCTGCTCGTGATCGTGATACCCCGCGTTGCAGGTGGAAGTAATCTTGCAGTTGTGTTGCCGAAAGTGTAGAGCGTGCGTACAAATGTTGTGAATGCTGGGAAACGCATATGGAAACGAGACACAGGGACAGCTGATATATGTAGGAGGACTACAAGGGCAGGATACCTGAGCGGCTCAGGAGAAAAGTATTTGAGATTATGAATTGCGTACTCGCGTTGGTATGCGCATGAGAGGCGGAGAAGCCGGTGATGTAATTGACTCTGATGATCACGTTCCAGCGCCATCATTGGCCGTTGGAGGTAGCCCCGGAAAAATATGATTCCGTAATCCAACATCCGCCAAAGAGGCACCTACAGGGGTGACAGGGCTGAGTCCTACTGCCACGAGGCTGAGCATCGATATTTGGAAGGACTCCACATTCTTTTAAAATCTATTCTTTACTTCTTTTTAAGGTAGGCGTGGTATGCAAATCCCGTTTCATGTGGAATTCCTGCTCCCAATCTCAGCCTTCAGGAAGTCTGTCTCGTCTCCAAATATATTGCGCAAAAACTCGAAAAGCTCGAGTACCGGATAGTCCTCGCCTGTGCTGCTCTCGACTGCCGTGATCAGCTTTGGCCAGATCTCTTGCTGGTAAGAGATTGCCGTGCGCGGATCGTACACGTTATATTCCAGGTCCCTGGGCTGGTTCAGAATCCATGTCCGGCGAAGTCGTGAAGCGGCACCATATTCGATGAGCAGATGTAAGGCACCAATATAGGCTTTCTTCAATTGCGGACACCCGACGTTGCGGTCACTGATTATCAGGTTCGAGGCTCCGATCAAAGAAAACAAGAATAGTGCCCAGACGCTGGATTCTTCATATTCTTGGTTAGGGTTGGCGCCACAATCAAGCACGAGTCGAAGGATTTCCAGATCTGGCAGCGTGTTGCCAATTCCGAGCTCTGATGGGCGTCCAACAAATCTTGGTCGAAGCACGTGGTCCAGGATTGGACGTCCCTTTTTGTTTTCAATGGCAGTTGTTGTCATGCTGTCCATGATATATGATGTTAAATTGAAATCAATGGCCAAGGTCAGGAACGAGCTCTCCTCCGTATGCCATGTGTAGAGTGAGCTGTTGATGTACCAGCCGACGGGCTCGAACTCATTGTGTCGTACAATGTCCTCAATAAGTGGCTGCATAATGGCTGCTACTGTCGCTGAGGATTTGTGCGTTCGAAACTCGTGTAAAGATATTGTACTCAGCAGATAACTTGCCAAGGTAGCTGCAAACTTCCCTTGGGGCCCCCTAGCGCCCAAAGCCATCATCTGCGTCAAACGAGAGCTTCGGAGAAAGGATCTGGCGTCAAAAGGTCCGCCAGTGTACTGTTGGAGTAAGGTTTGAGTTTTAGTGGACAGGAGAAAATCTCGGCACGACCTATGCAAGAAATCGACATAGAAATTAAATGCCCGATGGATGTTGCTACCACCGAAAGCAGACTGGTGGTCTGGCGTCTCAAGTAGATCCATTTGAGCCTTCCGACTCATTGAGAGAGAAGCAAGACCAAATTGAGATGTTTCTTCACGAGAATGATCCCACATATTGAAGATGGGACTGTAAGCATCGTACTTACATTCCAGTAGCCCCATACAGCGACTGTTCAGCCTCCTGGCGGTGCAGTCGAGTCGATATTGAATCTCTTCGCTATCAACGAGATCGAAATTGCTGAAGTCATAGCCCTTTTCAATTGCGAATTCAGGCCTCTCTTCATCGATGAAGGACAGGTCCATCAGATAAAGTGGATGCAGTGTGCCAAACTCTGTCTCTTCGTGAAGGGCAACTTGTAGGATCATCGACGCCTCTCGCCGATGATTGAAACTTATCGAGTTCATCATTCGTTGAAAGTACTCGTTCAAATCAGTAGGAATCACTTCCAGTTTCCTTGAAAGCCGAAGAATGTCGTCGCCATCCCTCAGGCCCGCACGTAGTTCTTCCATGACAAGCCGAACCCACAAAAAGACTCCCGAGGACTTTCGCGAAATATCATTAACGAGTTTCCTTGCTTCCTCTGGCTCGCGCCGAATGATGAACTTGAATCTTGGGTGGCTGTGTAGCCTTCCTTGGACGTATTGAAATATGTCATTCTGTGTAAAGTCTTCGAGGCGCAACTGAGGGCATCCTCCAAACGAGTCGCGAAAGATGTTCCATGGCCGGCTTGAAACGCATATCTTCACACTTGGTTGATCTGAGAGCGACGATAATAATTCAACAAGCGTATCAAGGGCACCATCGCGGCCCTGAACCTCGTCTAAGCCATCCACAAGGAGGAAGATCTTAGCAGATTTGCTCCCCATCAGAATTGAGCTCCTTAAAACATCAGCCAGTTCTGTCTCTGTCCACTCCACCGAGTAGCTATCATTCCCAGGTAATAGTGCAGTTGTCCATCTTTTAGTGTTGATCACCTCCGGAATACTCTCTGGGAGTTGCTCGAGAATTTGAAGACAAAGTGAACGTAGAAGTCCTGCTAGAGACTTCTGCAACGTATTTCCCGAGTTCCAGAAAAAGTGCTGGGCTCGTAAAAGAGGCTTGTTCTCTGCCCATTGGTGCATCTGAGAGCACGAGCTTAAATTGTCGTCCAAAAACCTCATTAGCGTACTCTTTCCCGAACCCGGCTTTCCATGAAGCCAGTAGATTCTTGAGTTGCCGTCGGTCGATGCGAGCCAACTTGGGAAGTCGTCCCATGGCCGAGGGGGCCCAGTACGGTGGCTTGATAAGATCCATTGGCACGTATCTTTGTGCGCTAAATCAACATGATCTCTTCGGTCATTCATCATTGGGAAATTCAGGCTATCAAGGATCCTCTGTTGAGCAACTAGTGCCAGTCGTTGTACTTTAAGGCTCTCCATATCATATTGCTGGAATAAAATGCTTTCGACATTTGCTGCTAGATCCGAAAGAGCAACGTGGTGAGCAGCAAGAAACTGAGTTTGATTTTGACGAAAGGAATCGATCGACATGCTCTCAAGTTTATTGACAAGTGTTTGGATGTCCCTTTGAATAGCGCTGGAGGATTGCGAGACAGCGTCCAGAATCTTGCCCTCTGTCTCTGTCGCAGAGCGTACAATGTCTAGTTGGCCGGCGGCTGTTGCCTGCTTCGAGCTAATGAATGAGTTGTTGTTAGCGCTTTTCTCGAGAAAGATCGGAGCGTCTTTACTTCATATACATCAAAAACGCAACATTCAAATTGTCTCGAGCCTGGGCTAGCGCATTGTTAAGTGAGTCGAGCTTATCCTTGTACCAGAGACTCTTGACACTCAAGCGCAGAGACTCAAGCATTGCATGTCTTGTGCCATCGACTTTTAACCGGTCGAGCAGTTTAATGAAATCGGTAGAAACCTTCAGGCATTGGCCGTTGGCTGACTCCAACAGGATTTTAGCTTTACTCTGGACCTTGGTGTCAGTTGGCGTTGGCGCCGACAGTGAGGCCCGTAGATCTGCATTCAAGGCGAGTAGAGATTGCGAGATATTGCGAAGCTCTGCATGTTCGGAGATCACACCATCGGCGGCGCTGCGGTATTCTGCTGCAGTTTTCAACGCTTTGGCTCCAAGTTCAACTATTTGAAGCACGTTGCAGGCAACTGAGAATGCGCTCAAGGGCTCCATGACCCTGCTGGATGACGGCTACTGATCGGACCTTGGACGAAGGAGCCCTGATGAATGTGGACGACGAACCAACACAAGTCTTCGCCGCATATTATCATCATTCTTCCCTGATGGTCTTGTTCGTTCTAAGTAACTAAAGAGGATGTGAAGTGAGTTGTGCATTTCGGTTCTACCTCAACTTGGTAGGTAGAACTGATGCTCGGACAAACCCTCATGGCACGCCTAAACCACTCTTAGTTAGAGAATCGAGAGTTGTCACAACTCCACGTCAGTCCCCCGCTCGCCTCACCTTATCATCCTAGCAGGCGCCAGTTTAGAATCACATTATGGGCAAGATAATCTTAAAGCGTCGATGGCGACCGAACATTCAGCAATAATGGCAACGGCTTATCAGTCAACAAAGTTGCCCAGTTGATCGGGCCGAGCCTTCTTGTCTGGCCTTGCCGCCATCCAGAATCGCAACCTCTGATCGACCCTTCATTTGCCATCGAATGTCCATGGATGTCGAGGGAGCGAAACCCTCCAAGAGCAGCCTGCTTCTTTCATATATCATTTATCTATCAGGATCCACACGGCTAGAGTTGTATTGGCTTAACTGCCTCAGTGTCCGAGCATGATTTCCAGGGGATAATCTTGATACAGTGTCGAGACTACATATCCAAGGCCTGAACTCTCTCGCCTCTTCTCCTTCACTTGCCCTCAAGTTTGCATTACGATAAATCAAATCTATGTAGACTTGCCCTTCAATATCTTGGACCGATTATCTGTAAGCTGAAACTCGTGCAACACGCCGTGGCAAGGGCCTCCCTTACAGACCGTGATTGTTTTCATTGTCAAGTTGTACATCACGAAAGCTACAGTTTGGCCCAGCCTGGACGTACACCCTGTCAGCGCGTTTGATGGAGTATTCCTCTGCCCTGTGTTCGGATGTGAGCACAGACTTACGGAATAACTCAAATGGTCTGAAAATGCGGTCTTGATGAGGTTGGAATTCAACTTCCCGTCCTTGTGTCTTCTCAACCCCTTCTCGAGTTGTTGAAGCCTGAACCAGCTACTCCCGCCGGGATAGCGGTCTTTGATGTTGTCACGTCCGGAGAGACCCTCATGGAGGAAGTGATTGGTATGGAGCACATAGTTGTCGTCGATCTTGCCATAGACCTTGTAGACCCGATCGGGGGTCACCTCAAGGGCCATACCGAAGCCGTCACATGTCGACACGTGCAGGTTCCCTGAAACATGGCGAGGCATGGGCGACCAAGCCTTCTGAGTATATGCTGTACTCCAAGAAGATTCGCGGGCAAGTGTAACAGGCAAGACAAGCTGTGGCGCCACCTCATGGCGAATACCATCCTTGTCAGTCTAGGAAATTGGAACGTAGTCATCTGTGCGAAGAAGTGAATTGGCGGTAACGGCCAAGCCTGGTGAGTTCATCCCCGTGCGGATTAGCTGTCCCGCCTCTGTCAGACAGAACAATGACGGTCGTCCTTCAGATGGGTTGGGATGCACCTCAAGATAGACGCAGAGATCGTGGTCGTAAAGGTGAGTTGACATATCCCAATTCTGGGCGGCAATGGAGTGGCCACTTTGAGTCGCACCCGGTGTGAAAAAAGCACTCGTACACTCATCCGCATTGTCTTCTAGTGGTCCACTTTGACCATGTTCATCAAGTGCCTTTGTGGACTCACTTTGAAAGCTGGCTCATGATCCTCGGGAGATCATAGCGAGCGTTCAACATAACAATATCAGACAGCGGCAGTCCGGCGCGGTCGGCAATCCCTTGAAGCTCATCCAGTCCACTAGGAGAATACCTATGCAATGCTGGAATGTAGACCTCATCAACGATTTAGGTTGTTATTGAACTTTGGCTGTCAGCAGGATGAACACGAGCATCCGGCAGAGATCAGACAGACCGAGATGGCAGCTTTCCAGGCCTCTTATAATAGTCGACATTGAAACGGATCTTTTCAGTCACCTGAGTGCCATGAGAGAAACCACGGTCGTATAGTAGACCTTTGACTACAGTGTGCTGATAGCAGCACTGAGGCTGGCTATGGCCAAGAAATTCTTCGCTTGAAACCATTTCTTCGGGTAAATCTGATACAACGCTCTTGACAGTCGTGAAGGATCGGACCGTTTGAAAGAGCCGCCTTGGTATAGTATGTGTTAAATAGAAGAAACATTGGCAGATCTCACTATTCCGCTTCCCCAAAGCAGCCATATCGGCGAAAAGTGTGAAATGGGTAATGCTAGGCGCACTTCTTTCGTTGATGCGACTGTTCCAACTGAGCGATCAAAGGACGAATCCAGCTTATAATTCATCAATCACATTTACGATGTTCGCTCGACGGCAGTGGTCGCTTTCCATCTCCCACACACGCTCAATTACCAAGATTGACTTGGAGAAATGCTCGCCCAATCGTGGTAGATGGGGTCTTTGGCTCCAATGGCTGCCATGGGTAGAGGAATTGGCCACATCTTCGTTGGGGGTGGATCTCGTTTCGAATACTTCAAGACCTTGTAGAGCTTATCTGTAATGCGTATAATAGCCGCCGCATGCGTGTCCGCGCCGTATAATGTGGCATCTGGTTCGAATACTCGCGAATAATATATCCTCGTTGCATGATAAAATGCAGCTGTGGTGAGAAACATGGAGAGCACGCGATCATGATTAGCGTGGTCTTCGTCGACACCGTGCAACGCCTGATGAGGTCAGCATATTTCCCTCGAGCTCACAGATTGCGTTTAGATTACCATCTTAATCTTGTCTAACGATGTGCTCGCAGTGTGCTGTAACCCTTTGTCCTTTTCGCCAGCCAAACGGTCTGACATAAGGCCTAAATTGGCAACAAGGCGCACGAGAATTTCCAACAGTGGGAGGTGAGCCTCGTCTCTTTTGGCCTACTCGGCAGGGTACAGGAGTTTATATTCCTGCCGTAAAAAGTCACTTGTGCCGTTGATGCATGCCACCATTCCTTCCTCGCTACCGATAATATTCATAAGTGAGCAGCTTCCCATGCCAACAATGGAAAGTCTTGCATCCAAAAAGCAGAACCAGCTTGAAACTTTTGAGAAGAGACTCCTCTGACGCCGAGCCAGCAACCCAGCCAAATGCAGGGCAGCCATGGCCTACACCAGATTCTGCAACGGCGCCCGCCTAGATGCTAAAAGATCAGTTGAAGCGAGAAAGTACATCGAGACCGCAATTGCGTCTACATCGTCGTCGGAGAGCTCGTCGGAGAGCGCGGTGCGGAGGTTTACCTGCCCCGTACCGGCCTTAGCTTGCGAGGAAAGAGCGTCGATATTCAAGTTGCGGCCCGTAGAAATTTGCTGAAGACATCTTTCGTAGTGTTTGAACGCGTTGTCGAGAGATTTCAAGTTGCCTGCAAAGAATGTGCCGAGGTCCAAGCATACAAGGCGGAAAGAACGAAAGCGTGGGAATTCGTGAAACGACGGTAGAAATGAGCATAGTAGTTCTAACCTCGATCCTTCGAACTATATCGGCTTGTGAGGGTTCGTGTGTAATGCTGTGCCAGAAAGTGACCGGGTATTTCTTCTAGCGGACCTTCACTATTATCATGCTGAAGAAGCTTTTGTGCTGATTGCAGGCTGCCCGCGTGGACGAGTGGTATTGCCGCGTCAGAAGCAGCGTCGACAGGCCCGACGCGAGCTTCAGTGCTGTCGAATGTGAGATTCATGTATTCTTCACGCGGCTGCAGAAATATCCACTGGAAAGCTGCGATGAGTGACTGTGCTGAAATCGAGACAGTGTAATCATACCATGCAGTCACCGACACTAAATGAATGGCATTTGAGGGCATGGACATCAGTATTGACTGGCGTCTTGTGTACCCCATTCCCGTCAAGAAGATCTTTGAGAACTGCTGCCATCAGTACGCATTACACGCAAAGGGAAATCAGAGCTGGTTTCGTACAGAGACCAATCCGCCGCCTTGAAGGCATTGCAAGAACGCATTGAGAGCAAGAAGCCAGGGCTGCCGATCCATCAAGCCCTCCTTGACCTGATGCCACTTATACTGCCGATTTTCCACTCCAGTCTGATTTGAGACGACCTACACTCATAGTTAGGGTCTTTCCTAGTTTCTGTCGCTAGCATACTTACTCGGGCAATTGCTATCTTCTTCCCCCGGCTGGTTAAAAACCAAGCTTTCAATGGGGAGAATTGGAACGATCAGCAAAGTGAGGAAACCCCAAACCATTGTGATAGGACCAAGACGAAGTATATGATCTATGATAGTAGGTATGTCAGAGTCTCCTTTTATCTCAAGCATTAGAACAACTTACCCGCCAAACTCCATACTTGCTATTTGACAATGACTTGCCTGACACTCCATGGGTAATGGCGTCGGCTATGAAGCCACCAGTCGCACTACCTGACCACCATATAGCAGTCCGAAGAGGACGCTCGTCCCGGGTCCAGTATTGACCCACCAAGATAGTCAATATGGGAGCCATGCAGGTCTCAAAGAAGCCTTAGAAGACTCGATTCGTGGCCAATGTCGCAAAGCTTTTAGTTGCGGCTGTTGTGGTGGTGGTAGTCATGCCCCAGAGCAAAATCATGGTTCCGAAATACAGGCCGATGGGAAGCTTCTGCATCAAGATAGAACTCGGGTACTGCCAAACAAGGTAACCCAAATAGGATATCGAGGATGACCATTGATACTGCATTCCGACGAGGTGCTGTTTCCACATGAGTCTTCTGCCAGTCAGGTTGAAATGAGCGCCATACCAAGTCCTCCCAAATCCCGAACACCGATGCTTCTGAAAGTGCGACTTTATCCATGTAGTTGAGAATGCATGTCCCAGCCATCTGTGCATTCATTATCGGTATGCGGAAGTCAGTGTGGGGATAAGCACTCTACCATGGACAGGAGGATAAGATCAAGTTTCCATTTAAGTTTGTTCGCCTCCTGAGCGCTGTAAACAAAGTCTTCAGGGCGACCGTCGAAAAGTTCGAAGGCATCATCAGGACCGTCTGGGAGACCCATGCCTTTGCGACCCTCGATTTGACCATTCTAGAAGCTTTGCTGTGTCACGGTAGCCTCGAGGTCAACCTTCCCTGAGTTGTTAAGCATCTCCATAATGTTCAGCAGTGAGTTGTTGATCTGCAATCATAAATCACAGACGCATTTAACGACCACATTTTATTCCCTTTATATTTCTAATCCAGGTTATGGGGGAGTGGGAGAGATGATCCCCACGATCACAACGTTTGAACAGGGTAGACCTCTCGGATCGCCCCGTAGGCTGCTTTGAGCCTAATGGGCGAGCGGATCCTTCTCTTTTCTAGGGCTGAATACTATCGTTGTTTCTCCATGACATAGATTGCTTCATGCTCGCAAATTATCGCTTCAGAATTCGGTAGTCCTCAATTATTTAGTTATGGGAGGGAGGTAATGGTTAGCGGTGATTCGGGCTTGGGCCTCGTTGGACATTTGGATTAGATTCGAACACTGACATTTTTAACATAAGCTACCACTCCAAACATCCCCCCCGGATAACGATTCCACCCTGCGTGTTGAGCATCAATCTTCTCTCCATCTTTATCTAAGAAAACCGCATTACCAATCCAAGTCAAATGCTGGCCTGTACCTAGTTCCAAAGTACTTAGCAGGTTAATAATCGGCGAGAGGTCAGAAGCCGCCCCAGCTTGACGAGAGGAGAGCGAGGTCACGTGCATGTTTACAACCCGTCAAAAATTAACACTACCAAAACATCTGCATGAACTGAGGCGTGAGATGTGCTTTCGCCTATATACATAATGCGTCCAAATATGACAAAGTGCGTAGCTTTCAAACGCTATGTGAGAAGATCATCAGTCACCAATCCGCGCCCTCGCCTATGCGCCCATGACTTAGGGACATCGGCGAGGAGATACCACCCTCATGTCTGCTAAGTTTGGTTCTTGAGGCTATGAAGGCCCAGCAGGTTTCTGGCCTCGTAAGAAGTGGCAAAACACATAAACGCACTTCTGATTATTCTTGAACTCTTGCCTGGCTCTCGCCACGAACACCAGCGTTTCCTCTTTACTCCAGCCGAGAACTCGCGTGAAGTAAGCCATGGAGACGCCCTCAACCGAGTCGAGCATTTGCGCCTGCAGGTATACACCGATCTCTCTTAACCTTTTATCCTTGGGCCATTTTCCGATCGGTATCTTGTAGATGTCGTGCCGTACGTTGACGAACGCGACTTTGGAAAACGCATCTTTCATCCCGGATACGCAATTCAAACGTTTTCCGAATTTTGAGCTGGCTTCGTCCAGCATGGTCTGCCACTGGAAGATATAGCTGTCTTCCTTCAATTCCTCGGCCTGACCCTGGAACCACACATCGAATTCTTGCGCTTCATACCAGCCGCCAGGAGCAAGATTGTCATAAGCCCGCTGATATAGCTGATGCCAATCACCGATACTTCCAACCATATTTCGTTGGTGAATGAAGTCGAGCGCCTTCGCAGATGGATAGGACCACGGACTTTCGACGTCATCGATGATAAATCTACAGTTTGGAGCAGTCCAGGAAGGCTGAATTGGGCTGAGATCGTTACCCAAGACATCTGATGCAGGGTTTTCGTCTGCAAAATCTAGCGCCCATATACCAGTACCCGTGCCGATATCTAGGACATTTCGTGGGTTGGAAATCGGAGATTTGTAAAGCGCGCCCCCGAGAATCAATCGGAAGATGTGATGTAGCATGTCTAATCGATCCTGTTCTTGCTCATCGTTGGGCAAAACGTAGGATCCCTCATGGTATTTGTGATACCTCCTCCCATTCTATCAATTGTTAGTCGGGTGTCGGCTTATGTTTAGGTCAGCATTCAGAAACTTACCTCGTAGACGTAGTCAAACACACTAGATGCAAGTGAGGTAGAGGTACTGCTTTGGTCGCTTCCGCCGAACGCAGAGTCACGGTCAGATTCAACTTCGATAGCCAGATTTTGTTCTGTGGCGTTGAGGTCATCGGTTACAGTCCCCACCGAAGATTCCTGAACAGTCGCGTGGGCTACATTTATCGCGGGAGTGCCACCGGCATCCGTCATTTGGGGCCTAATATTGAGGGTTCACTATCACTTCAACGATGTTCTATGATCCGTAGAAGGTTCTTAGGATGGCATATTATTAGGATGTGGAAAGGATCAAGATTTTCTTTTCACAAGACGAACCGAACCATGTTGCGAACGAAGATCTTCGAGATGACGTCCAAGGAACGATCCGTTTGATTTTGGCGGCCCGCCAATATTAATTACTGGCGACGGCGGCATTTGTGGGCATTTCACGGTTACCCGCCTCAGCCAAAGCCTAAGGAATTCGTGAGAAGTCGCTGCCTAAAATGCCAACATGGTTGGTGGAACATCTGTCAGTCTGGGATCCGGCCCCTGTCAGTTAGGGCTGCGGGTACGAGTAGCCCGTCCGAGCTGGGCTGTAACAGATTAGATAATAGCCAACTAAGGAGCCTAGGTAGTTAGACCAGGCATTGAAATGGATACGCCGAAGCCTGAGGGGCTGATTCTGGAGGAATCAAAGCGAGGACCGCGATGCTTCCGACAGGAGCGACACAGGATGTCACTCACACTGCAAGTCTCCTGTATGCCATTTACATCACTCCATCAAATAGAAAAGTTGGATCACAGTATCTACGACTTAAGCCCCGGGCTTGGGTTTAAAGTCTTTCTTGTAAGTGACTGGGTAAATCGCTTAGGGTCGTTAGCACTGCGATTGTGGGCTTCATGCCCTAGAGACGAGCTTTGCGGTCCGAATTTCATAATGGACCAAAATGCCTGAAGATCGAATAATTGCGCCTCAAATCGTCAATCATTCCATGTCGGTCGCTTGTCCACTCGATATCAAAAGCTCTAAGTCACACCATGCACGTCATGCATTTGTATTTGACAACGCATCAGTTTAGCGGGGTTGAATCTCCCCTTTAGCCTCCTGTAGACTAATTCTTGGAAGTGTTACCCGCTTTATACCTTTGTTGATGTGCGGTGCAAATCAGGCCTGCCTTGAATCTCGGACTCGAACCCTCAGGCCATTGCTCTCCTTGCGGTTAAGTGGAGTGATACCATCTCCAACGATTTCGATATCTCTCTGAAACTGAGTGTCATATAGTTCCAGGTAGCCCTGGTCACCATCCATCTTGACTTCTCTACTGCCATAGAGCCGGAAAATCAAGGCCAAGGTGACATACAGCTCTGCATAAGCAAGGTCCATACCGATGCACTGTCTCGATCCCCGAGCAAATGGCACAAGGTACTTTTCGAGCCCAGGCTGGTCAAGCCAACGCTGCGGATTGAAGACTTCTGGTGCCTCGAACACTTCAGGATCAGTGTGCATGAGCATTCCGGTCATTGAGATTGGAGTTCCAGGTGGCAAGACATATGTTTTCCCCTTCTTCATAACCTTGTCGGTAAAAAGAATCGGCTTATCTGGGTCGATCCGCTGCAACCTTGAACTGACTCCATTGCTTAATCGAAGTGCCTCTTTGATACATGATCTCAGGTAAGGCAGCTGCTCAAGTGTAGACAACGGTGGAAGCCGACTTGGATCGGGGATTGCCGTCTGCAGCTCTCCCCGTAGCTGTTTAAGAGCATCTGGTTGGGTGAGGAAGCAGTACGTGGCATACGACAAAGCCGATGCCGTTGTCAAAGTACCTGCAATGACCGTGACTTGGCCATCTTGCCAGAGACGGGAAGGAGACTTTTCTGATTCTGGAAGATCGCTTGCGAGGATTTCGTGGAAAATAGTCTTGTGGGCTGCGTCCTTGTACATTGAGCTTCCATGATGTTGTTGGATGATCTCGATCTGAGCTTTGATGTCCTGACCATGTCATGGTCAGTGGAGGTATAGTCTTCAGGGGAATGATACCTTACTCTTTGAAGCTTAACATATGAGGCCATATCTGGGTTCATGATGACGGCAGCTGAATCCGGTAGTGATTGCATGAGACTGAGGATCCAAGGCATCTGCTTGGTGAGATGTCCCATAGTGCTTCCCACCACAGAAGCATCGTGAAAGCTTGGGTCGAAGTCCTTTGCCTCGACTCGACTATCATTCCGGCCCAAGGCGTACATCTCGGCGATATCTGGATCTTCTCAGCAATTCTCATCGCTCTTGGATTGATAGACACGGACCATTTGTCAATGCAGCATACGCCAAAGATAATTTGAAATGATCACCGCGTTCCTTAAACTCTTCAAATCGCGAAACAAGGTTACGCGCAACGTCTTCAATCAATGGTTGCAGGCTCCGGACTTTGGCCTTTGAGAAGAATGGATTTAAAGCATTGCGACGCATACGATGAACCTCATGCTTGACAGACGCGAAAGCAGAATCTGGGATCCCGAACTGATTGCAGAACCATGCCCATTTGTCCCTTTTCTGCGTAGGGCCTGTGTAGATCACATCGTAGAAGTCGGGGTCTGCGATATGAACCTCTTCGGGGTTGATGCGTATCACGGGCCCATAGAGTTTATGTAGTTCTCTGATTTTGAAAGTGTACTGTCCCGTCAACACCACGTCGTAGTAAAACTCATACCTAGATCAAATTGAAATCAGTGTCTGATAATTGGTTGCGTCTTACAGGTGCCGCTCCCTCGGCTCCTCGTTGTGTTGGTTCTTGCTTGAATGGGACGTACCAGAAAGTCAGCTTCGCTAGTATTGGCCCCGGAATGTGGGAGACGGGACTGAAATATAGCCGGTAGAGGGCCAGATAGGCCAGATAGGCCAGACCCAGGATACCGGTACCAAGGACAATTGACAGCTGAGACATCGTGCAACCTGAGAATGATCGTCAGCTGTCAAGAAGTTCAGCTTCAGGCTTTCAGTTGCTGGATAGAACTCAATGTCCCCTCATGTTGCGTTGTAATGGTTGATAACATGCAGAGTTCCATTGCTTTATCTTTCTAAACCTTCAGTCCTTTCGAGCTTGATGATGCTCACCAATCGCCAATTAGGGCTCGGGGGTCATGTCACCCGTCCCTTAGCCACCTAGGTAGGTTTGTGACGAACTGGACCGGACCGACATCTAATTAGCTCACCAGTAACTAATTAATGAACTAAAGAGCCAACTAATCAAGTGGCCAACTTGTACAAACCAAGTCCGTTAGCCGAGCAGTCAGCCGTGTATAGCCCGTGTTTGAGGGCAGCGCCTCATGCCACCAATTCCTTCACAACATTGCAGTCACCAACAGGGCATCACTCTCAGCTAGTATGACAGAGCTGCGCTACAACGGGACTGTTTCCAAAGCACCTTAATGACTTGAATGACGGTGCAGTGTTCCGGTCTATGCATTCGACGCACCTTATTTTAGGTCTCCTTCCCAGGAGGAGAGGAACTTGGGCTCTCCCGTTCCGATGAGCCTTTGAAGCCACTTACCTGCTACCGACGGTTTTATTATTCAGCGGATGGAAGAGCAAGGTTGTACAGCTGAATGATGGCCAAGTGCCAGAGACATAAAGGCAATACAAACTGCTCTGGAACGGCTACGAAGCCATAAGTCACCCAGCATAAACCGCGCGGAGCAATTTGAGGCTCAGGGACCACATTCTATAGTGCCTTAGTTGCATAGTAAGGGCCGACCAAAGTCGTATGGCTAAGTCTTATAGGTGAGGACTTTCCACTCGCCTTGCTTTGTGCCTAGTCGACTCTGACCTCGCCTCTCCCAGGTGTCTACTGACTGATACTAAATACGATTCATACGGAGGTCAACAGCGGCGGAATATGGTCTGAACACCACGATACCCATATCTTTGGGCTATAGCTTAAACTTCAATAGCCCTGAGGAGTCCTTCCTCAATCCCACTTTCGCCATGAAGTTATCAAAGTCCTGGCCCTCGATCTCAAGGCTTCGAACATGGCCTTGTTCGATCTCAGCTAAGACGGGAATCCCATAGCACTGGCAGTGATGGTCCCACACGTTTTCTATGTAGTTCACTACTTTATCGTGGAACTCGTCTAGTGGATAGGCTTGTGTGAGGCGCTCGAGGCGCCATTCCTGCGACTGCACGGATGCATCATCGGTGATCATGAATTCTGATAGATATTTAGCTCGAATTTTTGTCCACAGCGGGTTTTCCTCGTTCAAGAGCTCATTGGAACGATCTGAAGAGCGGCGAAATAATTCATTGATCGCTACATCCAGCTCTTGCTGATCTTGCGGGATATCAGGGCGTACCAGCTCGTAGCTGACGAAGCCCCAAGCGAAACAGGTTTCCAGCCCTGGCGCAACAACGAAAGCATCATCCGCGATTCCGATGTCAATCGGTGAACGAAGGCAATCAACACTGGTCTGAAGCAGAAATTCGCCAGCAATGTCCATCCATTTCTCGTTCGGGTCTCCGCTCAGGAGACTGGCGATTTCGGCTGAGATCTCCATGAACCTTGGGAGAAGATGGAAAAGGCTCCAAAACGAGCCATCATGATCGATATCTGGATTGAGGACGCTTTGCTCCCACTTCGAATAAACCTGGCGCTCAAGACGGAAGCAAAGGTCGCCATGTGTCGAAGTTCTCGCAGCCAACCATCTTTGGCGTACTTCGTAGTTCCGAGCGGCTTCCTTCTGTAAGTGCTGGGCATGATTCGCCGAGAAATCCCCAGAGCGGACAGCTGAAAACAGGACGAGGAACTCAAGTATTTTAAGATTGAACAAGAGTTGAGGAGATTTCTCATAGTCTGGATGGCTTTGGTTGAAGAGATGAATGAACGCGTCGAAGATCAACACTAGCCTCGTTGCCTCGAGGTTCTTGTCTTCGTCTCCACATTCGAAGGCCTCGAGTCGCGCCTTCGTGGCCTGGTAAAGCGCATATTCCAAGATCATCACATCGACATCCAGTTGGAGCTCCACGTCTGCACAGCGAGTATCCGCCATCTCTTGCGGACAGGTCAATCGATCGTCAGAACTTCCAGTCTTGCCTGAAAATCATGTTCGATAATGATTGAACTTTGAAGTGAGACACCTTCTGTCCATGCGTGATTGCACGGTCACGGTCTCTACTTTAAAGCTGGCCGCAGTAGAGACGGTGGTAAAGGAAAGTTCATGGAGCACCTTCTAGCCCTTATAGGTGGTATTCATGGCAAATGTGATGCCTTGGCATTGAATGTGAAAAGAGCGTGAATATCTAGCTGCTGAAACACGATTGAAACAAAGGTCAAAGTTTCTACAGTCCCAGTGAACCCAACTGCCTCGGCAGATGTTCCCCGCCCCGGAGTGGATTGAGTGATGGGAATCTCAGTTGAAAATGATACCTACGGAGTACTGTGCACAAATGAATTTGCAATCAAGGAGCATAGGATAGTGTACGTGGAAATTATCCTTTTATCGCAGCGCATTTATCCGTTAGGAACACGTCTGGCTGCGCGTCGTACTCGTAAGCTTCCTCTGCAGGAAATCTAGGCCTATCATCATTACTATTGCGATAAGCTTCACGTTTCATCGCTTTTTGCCTTTCCCTGCCTTACCCGCCTTAGTTTGTGAAAGAGGCGCGGCATGTTTAGTTTTGTCAATATGCTTGAACAGCTGAGATTTTGAAGGAAACTCAACTTTGCACACGAGGCACTGAAACTCGCTGTCACCAACCGTGTGTTGCTGAGATACTTGTTGGGCAGCTTTCTTTGCTCGTTTCTGTTTGGCTTTGCCAATTTTGGGCTGCGATGAACCTTCCAGGTCGGAAGGGGTAGGGGTGGCCTCGAGACTGGCTTCTTCAAGCCTTGACGACAGTTGGTCGTTTACTACCGCTGTTAGACGCTGCTCAACATCTGACCTTGGAGCGTAGTCATCATCCCCAGAAGAAGATACTTCAGCCTCTTCAGCTGGCGTGCTTACTTTCCCATTCGTCTGCTTCTGGGGTTCGCTCGTCTCGGAGTCGTCTTCGGATAAGCTGAGGGCAGGACCGTTCTGTTGGGACAAAACATTCAATCGCTCGTCTCCAATGCTGTCATGGTCGTCAACGACTCGTTCGTGTTCTGGTGCATCCTTCGGAGTCTCGAGATGGAGATCTCTGCCTTCAGCACGCATTTCCCTTTGTAACTGCTTCAATAGCTTCACATGCTTTTTGCTCTTCTCATGGGCTTTGAATTGTGCTTCGCTTTTGAAGGTCTTATCACAAACAACACAATCGTATTCGTGCTCTTCCAAGTCTGATTCACTCGAAAACCCACCTTCGTGTTCATCTGTAGCATTTGACTTGGCCCAGTCTGGAAGCACTGCAGCATCTAGTTCTTCCAACTTAGCCTGCCGTGCCGCCCGGGACCTTGCAGCTTGAGCGGCCGTCGCTTCACGCAGGGCCTTCTGTCTTTCCGCCTCGGATTTTTGATTATTCTGAACTCTAGGGTCCCGTTTGCGAACGAAGGCAACAAGTGAGCGTACAGCTTCGTTATACTCCTGAGTAGCATCCTCTCGCAACTTTTTGTTCTCCTTCTCCATCAGTCGTCGGATCCGCCGATCGGGAGCGTCCGATAACCTGTACTGATCTTTCCATGAGTAGCTCTTTTTGGTGGCGAACCCGTTCCAGATGGCATAGAAAGGTCGAACCACATCGTCATATTTGTCATTGTCCGTCCCAAATTCAGGATATTCTATGCCCTCCTCGTTCTCCCACTGGCACGCGATATCTTCCTCCTTTGCGAGTTGTTTGAAGAAATCATTTAAGCCGCCGAAAAAGCCACTCGGAGAGTTGGTGAATTCCATGCGCCCGTTGAATTTCATCATCAGCTTCATGACTTCTTCGGCAGTTGTCATACGGATGTTGTACGAGAACTCATCCGCACCAGGTCCAGTCGGTTGGTCTCCCCGAAGGAGGATATCCCTGTGTGAATCGTACCATGCTCGCTCTTGGGGATCGGAAAGGACTTCGTAGGCAGACTGAATTTCGGCGAACAGTCTCGTGGTGTTCTCGACATTGCCATAGTTCCGATCGGGATGTAACTCGAGAGCTTTTCGACGGTATGCTTTCTTGATGTCATCATCACTTGCGGTCCTTTCAACGCCGAGTAACTCGTAGTAATCTGTCTTCGCAGGTGCTTCTTGCTGCTCCGCATTGCTTGTGGACTGTCGTTGACCCATTTCAGATGTGGGCAATTCGAGTCGAGCTCAGCCAAAGTCGGTCGGGAACGGAAGGAAGGTCATCTCAAGCGACAGGATCGCATCGCATTCAACCCGAGTCAGCCGTATGACTGAACCATTGTACGACGATACACTTGCCATGCACTACAAATAATATCGAAATATTGAAAGACGGAAATATGTTTATTGGTTATTGGTGACTGACAAGCGCAGGTGCGTCAGGATTTGATCACGTGGAATCGCCTTGATCACGTGGCAAGGAATATTAGTCATCGAGTGGCTTGAAAATCTCGAACAATCTTAGTTTGCAATAAATTTGCCCGTGGAGTGTGGAGGCAATTTGATTCGCGCTCCAGAACATGCCCATCGCTGAAAGTACGATGTCCATGTGGTAAGGTTCGGAAAGACGGTCCACAAAGGGTAGGCCTGGAAGTCACTCCCGTCTCGTTGCCAACCCCTGTGAGCAGAGCAGACGCAAGCTCTGCAGAAAACCTCAAAAGCCGGCCGTCCTCACCTGTCGCGAGGCAAATGGCCACATGACTCTTTCCTTGGAGCACATAAGCGCCGCACAGCAGTCCAATTCTCCTCCCTGCTCGTTTTGCTTTCCTTGATACGTGACAGTTATCAACATCATGCTTCTACGGGTAACATGAAATTCGGACAAGATTTCCAAGCAGCCCTCAATAGGGATGAATATCCGCGACAGTGGATCGATTCCGCGATATCCTACAAAAAGCTCAAAAAATGTATCAAGCGCGTTCAGCAAGAGCTCGAAAGCCTTGGTTTGGATAAAGATACCCTCAACGAGCTCTGGCAGCATGTCGGGTCCAGTTCCAACGATAAAGAAGGGGTATCCGCTGACATGAGGCTTCAATATTCCTTGAACGTAACTGGGAATGTTAAATTTACCCCGAGGCTGACCATTGCAATTGATCCAATTGACGGATCACCTATTGATGCCTGGCTAAGTAAGGATACCAAAAGGGTCCTTCAGCGTCTAGCGAAATCATCGACAACCGTCGACAATTCCTCAGGCGTCAGGAACAATTCTGTAGCTGGTCAATCGGATAATCTGGGCTCCGCTGGTGAGAATGACCAGTCGCGGTCCGATGGAGATCATGGCACGAACATAGACGACCCAGGCCATGACAACTCAAATGGCAGAGGCGATCATTTGGAGACCATCGAAATTCCTTTGACTTCCGACTCCGAATTCTTTCAGATCCTACGGCGAGAGCTCGCAGACCTAGACAGAGTTCAGCAATCCGAGCGACACCGCCTGGAACAGGAAATTGTCAAACTAGGCCACGAGCTTCGGGATTTGAAAGCAAGCAAGTCCAAAAAATCCAAGCAGGAAATTGAAGCATGGAGGCAGATTTTGGAGCTCTACTCCGATGCTGAAGTGTTCTTGTCTTCCCACGAAGCAGATGCTGGATCCCGTGATTACACACATGCCCAAGAGCATTTCCAAACCTTCAACAAGACATTAGCCACGCAGCGGAATGGGGTATTGAAGCTGAGCAAGCCAGCAGCAGACTCTTTGGGCCGGTTCCTCAATATCAATGTTAAGCTGCTTCGCTTGATGAAGTTCCAAGATATCAATCGGACAGCATTGTCCAAAATCATGAAAAAGTTCGATAAACGAACCGCGCTCCATGCGCAGTCTTCCATCCAGAGTTCACTCATTACTGCTCCTTATCTGGCGCAGGATCTCGCCCGAGCCACATGTTTCACTATCTCGGAAGAGATTCTGAACGTTATACCTGCGCTGAACGATTATCTCTGCCCGGTGTGTTTTACAATCTCCTGGAAGCCTGTCAGGCTGCGCTGCAATCACATTTTCTGCATTCGCTGCATCATCGTACTTCAAAGACGCGGGAAGACACATTGTCCTCTATGCCGTGAGTCGGTCGTCATGGAAGCCACTGCTGGTAAGCCAACTTTTGGTCACACTGAAGAATCAAGACTGACTGAGACAGATAACGTTGACCGGGAGCTCATGAAGTTCTTCAAAGACAACTTCAAAGCTGATGTCAAGCAGAAGCAGAGAGAGAATGAGCTTGCGGCGGGAATTGATAGATGGGGTGCGCAATACGAACAGTCGCAGAAGTGCGTCATCATGTAGTCTTTATGAAGACTTTGCTTGATATAATGATTTGATACCCACAACATCTTGGCTGCAGCAACAAGAGAAACTCGACTTCAGGACATGATACTGTTATCCTAGTTAATCAGTGCCACTTGGCGGACCTATCCACTTTCTGTGCAATCGAGAGTCATCTCCCATACTCTCTGCTCGGTCAATCGAATTAATCGTAGACTCGAACGCTCATAAAAGAGGTGATACAGTCTCCCTCCAACTCATGTTTTAGCATAGGCATACCGTGCCATGGAAACAATCCCGGAATTAGCTACATCCGCGGAGCAGTTCTTGCGCCTCGACACGACGTCGACTCAGACGTCTCCAACCTAGTGGGCCAATTTGGGGCTATACTTTAGTGCGTCCAGCCTTGATATCTCATAGGATCAAATGACATTAATTCCAGGGCCACAACTCAGCCCTAAGACCCTGCCCAGCGTTTAACCCCGAGACTAATAAACCCCGGCTCCGCGGAATGGTCCCAGGTCAATACGTGATTGGCTTTCCCCTACGCCGGTCGACTATGGTTTGAGGTAGTTGTAGGTTAGAGCCTGTGTTCAGCATCAGAAACAATGACCTCTGCGCTGGTCCTGGCAAGGCAAAGTGATCAGGCTGCAATCATTCGAGATATTGACACGGTGATATCATGGACTATCCCTATCCTGCACGCATGACCATAGCTCAAATTGACGAAGCATTCCATCGGGATATAAACCACTGTGCACCCACCTTTGGCCGTTAACTTTCTACCAACATTACAACAGCCGGAGACCAGATCTTAAATTGTCCACTCAAACGTCTATTACGCGAAAATGACGAGACCAGACGGTTTCCAAGTTTCCGAAATTCCAAATCTCAATGGCTGTGTGGCCATCGTGACCGGAGGTGAGCTTCACCTTGTAGCCTTGCTCAACTGCTCATTCAACGTTTGATTCTTTGATCGGATAGACTTTTGTGCTGACACATGAGTGCGAACACAGGACACGCAGGCATCGGGCTCGAGACAACTCGACATCTTGCAGCAAATGGTGCTCGGGTATACATCGCAGGTCGGTCCGAAGCTCGAGTGAACGAAGCCATCTCCAAGATGCAGTCACTTCAATCTTCGTTAGACGTCCGCTTCCTGAAAATGGACCTGCAAGACCTTAAAACCATCAAGGAGGCTGCAGCAGAATTCATGCAGAAAGAGACGAGGCTGGACATCCTGGTCAACAATGCAGGGGTATGACAGCCAAAGTTTTCCAGACCGAATAAACCTAACAAAGTCCATTTGCAGATCATGGCTAGCCCTTTCGAATTGACGAAAGACGGTTATGAGAACCAGTGGCAGACCAATTTCCTAGCACACCATGCCCTATCTCTCTCCTTGATACCTCTATTCCAACAGACTGCCCGGCTTAATAATGGCAGGAAAGCAAGCGTGAGAATCGTGAGCGTGGCCAGCGACATGGCTTTTCTGGTGGGCCCCAAGAATATAAACTACAAGGATCCTAATCTGATGGACCTGACGGGAAGGCTCGCCCCATGGTAAGTCGGAGTTGCATCTGATCGGCCTGTCCGGGCGATACCAGTGCTCATAAAGAAGATCATTGAAGCTGATTTGATATTCTCTGGGACTTTGTAGGAAACGCTACAGCCACAGCAAGCAGGCAAACATCATAGGTGCCAAAGCGATCAATGACCACTACCAACACCTGGGAATTACGGCATATTCACTCCATCCAGGCATCATCAAGACGAATTTGCAGAGCCATGACACGACTATACTTGGGTCGATCACGAGGGTCGCCATGAATGTTGGGCCAACGTTTTCCACACTAGATGGCTCCCGTAATTCCTTGTATTGCGCGACCAGTCCAAAAGCTGCAAGCGAAGGCGGTTGCTACTTCGTTCCATTTGGGAAGGTAGATCACAAGGCGGACAAGTGGCTAAATGACCCAGACGCGGTGAAGCAGTTGTGGGACTTGGCCATCCGACAGCTGACAAAGAGTGGTTTTGAGTTTCAGCTGTGAGGCTTGCTCAACCATGCTCTAGTTGGCATGATTGTCAATTTGAGTCCTTAGCAAGCATCGGCCCGCCAGGTTATTTTCAATACGTTCGTTTTCATTTTTGATACCACTGTCAGTAATATGCGCACCTGCTATCAATATGAATCCTTTCATTTGCTCTAGCTGTTTCTGAAACCCGCGAGTGGCATTAAGCTCGGAATTTTGTAAAGAGGCTAATCAAAGTAGGTCGGCTACTTGCATCCTAACGATGAAGAGTATGTTACTGCTGACCATGGCGCTCGGTCTTTGCTATGCTTGGACACCTAACCTCCCTCAGTTACCTCACTTAAGCTCTGTGCCCTAGAGGTGTTGCATCTACACCGTGAGCAAGCATTGGATGACCTCAGATGCAAATATCGTCTAGTTACCTTCGCCCAGAGGCTACACGGCCCGGCCTGACGAAACATTGCGCATGTGGGCTTCCCAGAGATCCTACAGATGTGTCAGAATAGGAACTGAAATACTTTGCTTGAGGGTTTCGCGGTAGAAGGAGCAGCCGCTCCATTGGGTGACGCGTCTACCTAACAAGTGGCGACCGCCCTTAGAAGTAGAACTCACCCAGTCAATTAGTCCCGGTGAATCGATCATCTCCTCGATGGAGAAGGAATTCGCTCCAGAATTTCCGATTATGGTATCTCCTGGGGTGAGTAGCCCTCCCTCCGAAAAGTGGTGCATCTGATCCGAAAAGCAAGACAAGTTGGATGTAGAGCCGGAGCCTTTGAAAATGTTAGCAAGAATTCCTAGAGAGAAGCCACCCTGCTATAGAGCTAGGGCCGTAGACTTGCCTAGCTGGGGACCTTTCTGTCTCTCTAAGTCAACTCCGGCAAAGGTCTGTGTGGGTTTGGGCAAATGCTCAGAGTCCGCTTTGCGCAGCATAATGGACAAGATCCGAGCGGCCTGAGTAGGGACCTTTGACAGAACCTTCCACTCATTCCAGATGTCATACGAGCTGTGAAGTGCTTGTATCAGTGTCTGGTTCTCGTATTTAGCACGGCCGAGCTCATCAACAAGCCGCGGCTGGCGAGGTCCACCCTCTAGTCGAAAATTGAGCTCCAAGCACACGATCATCGCCGCAAGGATGAAATCAGTATGGTGCAAGGAGTTCAGGAACCAGCGCTCTCTTGAGAGCACACAACCTTTCTGGATTTGTTGGTGGATGGTCATTTGCTCTCCCAGGAGTGTCATCGCGGCATCGACGCAAGCTGACCTCGAATACATAACTGTACTATCGTGTGCGGCTTTAATCATATACTCACGGTGTAATATACACCTCGACTTTTGATATAGGAGCTCAAGGAGGTGCCGTCGAACAAGGATCGCCGCAGAAGCCGCCACGTACTCTTCTGCGTGTTTGATTTGAAGATGTTCCGGGATTGCTGCATATGCTTCATTGAGCCGTTGGTCAAATTCTAAGTATTGGCGATACTCTCGAGGTTGAACCGAAGAAGATTTATCCGCAATGTCAGCGAAAACAGCTAAGAGTCGTCCTTTTGCTCTCGTGTAGGCGGCTGGAGTGTAGTCCGTATCCGGTCGAGATTGCGGCAATTCCTTGGTATCTATGCTGAAGTCGCTGTCTAGAAGGTTTCTGGGAGGCAGCGTGTCACATTGGTCCATGGCAATCATCCGTGGCAGGCCCAGCTGAAAGGAAAAGAATATGTCAAGTTGAACAATGCCCGCCCAGACTCGACGCCTCATCTCGCCATGGAAGCAGGAAATTTGGGGATACTGTGCTGGATCACGATGGTATCCCATGCTCATGGCTAACCGGGTTACTGTACCAGCTAGAGCCCACACACCAAGCTCGGAGTCTTGACTTCGAATAAACTCGCTTTGGAGGTTCATGAGTAGAGATTCTATAGTGTAGGGCTTTGGTTTCCAATAGTAAGAAAGCAGGAGGCACTCGGTTGATCGCTGATGATAATTGGCCATTGTTGACATTGGGTCACTCGGCAGACCTGTTAAGGTGTCCCCAGCGCGTAAGGACAGAAACACTCCGATGGACAATATACTGAAGAGAAGGCTGACCCATGGCAATGGAGCAGCATTCGGGTCTAACCAGAAGTTCTTGTACTGCGTGACCAATGGATTAGCATAGAACATCTCCAACGAATGAACAGCCTACCTCATCTTCGAAAGTCGGAACATGAATGATGACTATGCTCCTCGTCAGTTTTTGCTTTAAGTCGTTCAGGAGAGTTGTCCCAACTTGCCAGCGGAATGGTCTTTGGCAGAAAAATACGCATGTACGAGCCGGTCAGTCAATTGCCTTGAAGGGACCGCTCGGAGCACGTCTTCTACCCTCAAGGGTCTTGTGAGCCCGCGCAGTAAAAGCGGTCCGCCAGAGTTTTCTTTGTCAAGAACCTCGCTATCTGCATCAGACAGATCGCCCCCCATGGAGTCTTTGATTGTCGAGATCTATAAATGACAGTCTTAGTGTTAGTAATGTCTCTCCTTTTAGGTGAGGTCGACGAGTGGTTGTTTGACGACGCCTTACTTCATCACATATCGTAGCCCAGTGGGTAGCGGATAGGTAAACCATTCGGCCATTATTCACCTCGAGCCGCCCGAATTTATCGGCTAATGGCGCTGTGGATGATTTTTCGGGTAATGATGAATTCCCTTCGGAGCCAACAGCCGGTGCCAGCTTTGATGCACTGGAGCATGCTGGGTTTTCTCCTCCTGCTGAGCCATCGGAGGATTCTCTGGAGAATGTTTGTCGCTCAGCAGTCAAAGAGGCGACAAGTTCCTCTAAGCGACGAACGCGGTCGTACGGGTTGATGACTTTCTTGCGCGCCTTCAGCGATGTTCGTGGCTGCGCGTTCAGTGTGTACGAGCACGAGATAGCCCGTGTGGTGCAGTTGCTGCATGGGTCATTTCGATCACACCGCAACCTGAAAGGGATAAGGTTATAACGACGGAGAATGGAACATGATTTCTACCCACTTTCGATGTCGACATGAATCACACGACACAATGCCATGAGGACGTGGGGTGGGTGCTTTGGATCCGTTTTGCTTTAAGCCATGCGCAGCTGGTCGGCTTGGTCCATTCTCCATTGCGCTGTATCAATGTAGACTCGCGGGACTGTATTGAAAAGCCGAGGATCCTAAAATCAAGAAATGAACGTTTCTCCCGCAAGTAGAATTGCGACAGCATTGCCTGTGGAAAAGATGAATTGATACAGGATTGCAGGTCAATAAGTAAGAATCGTTGAGCCCTACGGGCCTTTAAAGGCTGCCTGGCAAGGTATGATGACCTATGCCGAGGTCAGCGCCCAGCCTTGTCAGGGGCGAATGACCCCTGCAACGCACTAAAGTACGAGCAAGCCTTGAGCTAGGCGACTACTGACCAGTTAAAATGTGAGATGCTTTGATAAGTCCCGCTTCGAGTCCATTCGGCGCCCTGCAGGAAAGCCATATTATCACTTAATAATTTGAGGATCTTACCGAGTATTCTTAGAGCTATCTAAGACCATTAGTGTCGTGGCACCTTCCTCGACTCGATCGAGGGTCTATTAGTATGATTAGTTCTCAAAAACTTCGGACAACTCGTTGGCTCCCGGATCCCTCTATGCAAGACTGACACGAGGTAACCTACGGACAACCAACCGGCCGTGGGTAACTAGCCCCTCTGAAGCACTCTCTTACTTCAGTCCAATCGTCTCGCGGAGTGAGCGCCGTTCGATTCAAGTTCGATCCAGGTTCGATATCCGAAAATTAGTAATATATCAAGCTGCATGTCTATTGGCCACATGGCCACGGTACAGTTCATCTCCCACCCCTCCCACCCCCGCTCCCCTATCCCATCCCAAACTGGCAATCCCGCCCCCGCATTATCCCACCTCCACACAACAGAGGCGATGTGCATTCAGGTGCTTGAGGTGTCCAGGTCGAGAGATTAATACTATATAAAACTGACCACCGACTATCTGATTTCATTGTAAACAAGAATGACGCTGATCGAAGAAATCTACCATGGCACAGCTATACGTTCTTCTAGCTCTTGTCCTCGGAATAGTGGGAATTGTGCGGCTCCTTTTTATCGGCCGACGTCCCAAGAACTATCCTCCAGGTCCGCCTACACTACCTCTGCTAGGGAACTTACATCAGGTAGAAATGGCATTCGATAAGATAGGAGGTTGAACCGTTGACCGACTGGTGACAGATGCCTACTCGGGACGCCCATCTCCAGTTTGAGAAATGGGCACGAGAATATGGGCCAGTATACAGCCTTATTCTTGGCACAAAAGTGCTCATTGTCCTATCAAGCGATGCTGCCGTCAAAGAGCTCCTTGATCGAAGGAGTGGAATCTACTCGGATAGACAAGATATGTACATCGGGCAAACTTTGTGCAGCGGAGACTTGAGGCTCCTAATGATGGTAAGAGGAAAGCCATCTACCTGAGCTCCAATACTCCATCTATTGACAGCCTGTAGGGATATAACCCTAGATGGCGAGCGGTAAGTCTTGTCGAAATGGCCAAAATTCTGTGACTGATACCTCTCTTCTAGTTCCGAAAGATGGTCCACTCGCTCCTCAATATTACAGCTGCTAAATCCTATGTCCCTTATCAAATGCTGGAGAACAAGCAAATGCTTTATCAGTTCCTCGAGGAGCCACATGATTTTCTGAAGCACATCCGAAGATACTCAAATGCCCTTACGACGACAATGGTTTTTGGCTGGAGAACACCAACATACGAAGACCCTAACATGAAGCAACTCTTCGAAGGGTTTTCAGAATTCGCAGAGATCAATCAGACCGGGACTGCTGCACTTATAGACTTCTATCCCATCCTGCGCAGGCTGCCAGACTTTCTATTGTCGACACGGAAGAAGGCTAAACACCTCCATAGAGTTGAAAAAGATCTTTATCTCAAGCATTGGCTGGAAGCAAAGGCCGCGATCAAGAACGGAAAGATACGACCATGTTTCTGTGAGGGAATGGCAGAAGCACAGAAAGCAGACAACTTCTCAGATGATCAGGCTGCATATATCTCGGGTACACTTCTGGAAGCAGGCTCGGACACTACATCAAGTACCCTCTATGCCTTTGTTTTAGCAATGGTTCTCTACCCTGATGTTCAGAAGAAGGCCCAGGAGGAGATCCAAAAAGTCACTGGCGAACGCTTACCGACCATGGAAGACGCGCCGGGTCTACAGTACATCCGAGCGTGTATCAAGGAGACTCTTAGGTGGATGCCCACCACCATCTTGGGGGCAGTGCCACATGCAGTCACCAAGGATGACGAATATATGGGGTATTTGATCCCCAAAGGCGCTGGGGTCATGAACAATGTCTGGGCAATCCATATGGATCCAAAGCGCCATCCCGATCCTCGTCGTTTTGAACCGGAGCGTTATATCAATGATAAGTTGAGTCTCTACGACTCGGCAGTTAATCCTGACGGGGCTAAACGCGACGTGTTTACTTTCGGTGCAGGTCGACGCATCTGTCCTGGGATGCACGTTGCTGAGCGCAGCTTGTTCCTGGGCATGGCTCGGATATTATGGGCATTCAATATTAGACCAGCATTAGACGACGCAGGCGATGAGATCATCCCAGATCAGGACAAACTTACGCAAGGCTTTGTTTGTATGCCTGAAGAATTTCAAGCTACGATCACTCCAAGGTCGGAAGAAAGAGCTGAGATCATCAGGAGAGAGTGGCGAAATGCCGAAGCAGAATCTCTTGACGCGCACTCCAAGCAGTGGATTGGCTATGAAGCGAATAGTAAATATCTCTAAGACTGCTACTTTGTGTTTTGAAGTCTGTAGCGAAGTATTCAGTCGCAAGTCGTTGTTAGGCTGAGGCGAAGGCGATGGTAGAACTAACTATTCAGCTGCTCTGGTCGCGAGGCTCTACCCAGGCTCCGGGAGGGGCCCCGAGGGACTCGTTTGATAGCCAGGAAATTCTCTGCTTGCCTAGCCGCCGCTATATCGAGATTCCCACAACTTAACTTAACTCTGGGGGGCGCTACCGTAGTTAGATTCCCACAACCCCGCATCAACTACACCAATATGTAGCTAAGCCATTACAAAACCGAGAGGAGATCATTTTCGACAGCCCGAAGATCCTTTCTCTTACATACTCAATATCCAGCACTTTGGGGATTTCGCTTCCCAGTCTTTCACTATTTATCCTGCAACAAATGGCTCATTAAGTGTTGGTCCAACGGCGGGGTCCCCACCCACTGGTCAGCATCATGAATGTTTGTAGCACTTGCTTCAAATCGTACAAGCGGCCTGAGCACTTGAGGCGACATCTCCTGTCTCATAGCACCTGGCGGCCTTACGTCTGCACAACTTGCAATAGCACTTTCCAGCGATCTGATGTCCTTCGGCGACATCAGCAGACCTGTGATGGCTCAATAGTAACCTCATCCAGTGATTTAGAGCCCCCCGCGAAGAGACAAATCTTGTCTAGGCCGGCTGTGTCATGGGTCGCGGGGGCTCAGCCCATAGATACCGGGATGAATCTCGCGAGTCCGACGATTTTCGATGAATTGCCACTTCCAGACCAACACTCCAGCCTTAGCTTGGAACAGATTACCCGCTGGTCATCCTCAGCGGACATTAATCAAGATAATTATCTGGCAGTCGATTTGTGGCGAGACTTTTTGAACTCCAGTCCTGAGTTTGAAGAGCACAGGACAGTGAGTAGGTCCTATGGGAAACCTCCATGCTCTTTGGGATTCTTAGACAATTTCACCGCCAAGTCAGGTTTGGCTCATTCGTTCGATTGTGGCACTTTTGAACAGCGCCAGAAGGTACTCTCCCTGTATTCTTCCAAGCCCATAGTAGACGACCCTTCCATTTCTTCAATCGCATTCCCAGCTGGGACTTCGACAACTTCAGGCAAGGCTGGACCATCTGTGGGCATTCAAGTCACCTCTTCCGCTGCAATGAGTGTGCCGCAGTGGCTATCTGACCCTATGTCACTCAAATCTCATGAGATCCTTGCTTGCATCAAGGACATTGTACTTCACAAGACGGGCCACAGGACGGTCTCACTAACCTGGTCGTCGACAGTACAAGACTCCTGTGCACACTTCTTCTCACCGTCAAACATTCGACGATATCTTTGGCTGTACTGGACTTTGTGGCATCCTAATGTCAATATCATGCATAAGCCGACCTTTGATCCTTTCTCATCTAAGGCATACCTCCTTGCCGCGATGTGTTTGATAGGAGCTTGCATGTCACCAGACTCTGCAGATTCAAGCCAGGCCAGGCTTTGGTTTAACTGCGTGGAAGAACTCGTTTTCAACAGCGATGATTTCTGTGACGATGCACAGCCCCCAACTTGCCGCGATACAGGTGAGGTCAAATGGCGACATGAGAAGCTAAGGGCACTTCAAGCCGCATACATGGTGCTGCTTTACCAGACCTGGGAAGGAACTGACTCGAGTAAACGTCGAGTTCGCAGGATGCGCTTCAGCATGGTGATCGCAGCGATCCGAGACGTTGGAATACCCAACGCCAGGCATCCGAATTATGCTGGCTTAAGCCTGGAAGAATTCTCTTTCAGCCAGTTCGCGGCAATGGAAGAGCTAATTCGTGTTATTCTATGGGTATTTCTGATTGATACGGCGTTTGTCATTTTCAACAACCTCCCGCCCCGAATGGTGATAAAAGAGTTGAAAATGAGCCCCGCTTGGCCTGAGGTATGTTTCCAGGCGACGACACCAGAGGAATGTCTGAAAGCTTTGCAAGTCGAGAGTACAAACCACCTGTTCCGTCGTGGCCAAACACCACAATTCGGTACAGCTTTCGAGCTGCTTTACCAGAATCCAATAGACGAGACAACGACGACACTGCTTGCTGACCTCGGGCCTCTCAATCTTTTTGCGATGACATCTACACTCCATGCCCTAGTATTCCATCACCAAAGCACATTCAGCTGCCATGGATCTCTAGACAGTATCAAAACGGTCCTGGACAGCTGGAGCAGCGTGTGGCAGACGTACATCCAGAAGTTCTCGGTTGATCAACGCCACTCGCCCATACCACTGGGGTCACAGGACCTTGAACCTGAGGAAATGTGGAAGCGGGTCGGTTTCATGCGCCATGCCGAGGAATACTGGCTGCTTGCGAAGCTCATGGTTGACAATCTTTCATGCAGTGAGGAATCCCCGGTTACCGAAAAGCACATTGTTTCGGACCATGGCAGAGTCTCTTTCGATGCTACGGAATGCCGATCAGTCGATCCATTACTGAATGAATACGACGAAACGAGCATGGAGCAGATTAATGCCTTGATTTCCGACTTTCGAAAAATCGGCCTTTGAGACTATTCTCCTAATGTCATGCGCGACTGCAAGGTTTGCATGCCTCATATATCAACTGAAGTGGCACAAAAAGCATGATCTGGTACGAGAGCAGTATGGGCCAGTGGCTCAATCACGACAATGTGTTTGCAGTTGTACGGCAATACCACAACGCGTATTTTACTCTGAATGGACTCACTACTAAGACTCCCTGGAGCGCGAAGGCCACTATGATTGAAAACAGGCTTAGTGGTACTGGATATGTCATTTAGTAACTATATTGTGGTTTGCAAACTAACAATCAATCAAGACACCAGGGTGACCACCCTTCCTTCCTACCTCTCAATTCTCAACAGCATCACGGATCTCTTGAATATTGATCTTTTTCATGGCCGAGAATGACTTCATGCATTTTGCAGCCTTCTCAGGGTCACCAGTTTCGAAGATCGCCGGTAGGAGCTTGGGCACCACCTGCCAGCTCACACCAAATTTGTCCTTCAACCAGCCACACATCTGCGCATTTGGGTCACCCCCTTCACTCAATTTGTCCCAGTAGTGGTTGACTTCGTCTTGTGTATCGCACATGATTTGGAAGCTGACAGCTTCGGTGAATTGAATGGTGGAAGGCCGGGAGTTCAATGCGGTGAACGGCCTGCCATTCAATGTGAAGCTGACCGTGAGGACGGATCCTGGCTTGTGAGACGGGGCTGGATTATCATTGCCCAAGTCTGGGAAGCGTGCAATGAAACCGATCTTGGAGTTTGGAAATACTGAAACATAGAAGTTCGCTGCTTCTTCGGCATCGTTGCCAAAGAAGAGACAGGTGTGTATTTCGTTTGACGATGAGCCCATTGTGTTCTGATGGGAACAATGTAAATGAGATGAGGGAAGACGAAGAGTTCTGAAAAATACAGAGATCGTTTGCTTCTGGGTTGCTTGGTATTCTTGCTCCAATATCAGATCATTCTCAGTCCTCTCTACCCCTTTTTATACCGTCGAATGGCCCCATGATGCGATTAGGGCCGGGGTGGCTTTACGTCCGTGGGTGTTCAACTCCCAGGCAGCAACGGCGCCAAGCATGACGTTCATACGGCGCACGCCTATTCTAAGTTTTACTTAAACATGGGCGTACTGTGATCAGCGGCGCCTCAATGTCAACTATTGGCTCGAACCCCAGGTTCTGCCTGATAAAAGTATAAGATGTTCGTATTCAATGATTCTAATCGGAGGAACTCATGTCTCCTTTATTTTTTTGACGCCGTCACTGTCGAACCATCGGGAGTTCCTCTCTTCAGCTCCAACCCAGCTCTCTTCTCCCAACTTTTGAGCAATTCAGTGTGATCCGCGTCGGGCTCTACGATCGTGGCAGCTTCCTTAAAGTACCTCAGAATCAGATCAGGCATGTCGGTGTCGAATCCCAGCTTCTCAAAAACCTCCTTGGATATCCCCACGTCCTTGATCAACAAGGCAAGTTGAAATCCCGATGCGTATTTTCTTGGTAAAGCGTCTGTAGCATAGCTATCCGACGTCGAGAAGTTTCGGCCGGTACCGACATTGAGCACGTCGATCATTTGCACTGGGTCGAGGCCGAACTTTTGCCCCGTCACAAGTGCGTCGGAAAGTGCGATAATTGAGGCTGCACTGGTGTAGTTGTTGAGCGTCTTCATCACATGCCCAGATCCAAGCTTTCCCATATGGAAGACATATTTCGCCATGGCTTGAAGTACAGGCAAAACTTTATCAATGGCTTCCTGAGAGTTCGAACCTACCATGAGTGTCGCATCGCCGGTGTCTGTGTCGTGGAGATGTGCTTGCGTGACGGGCGAGTCAACTAATAGAAATCCTTGGGCTTCCAGGTCCTTTCCAAGGCTTTGCGTGTCAAACGGCGAAGAGGATGAGGTATCGACAATTATGGTACCTGAGAGAAGGTCAGAACTATGCAACTTATCTACTGGGTGCCATTCCTCACCGGGCTTGAGACCCTTAGCAATTCCCTTCTCGCCCAAGATAACGTCCCTCACGACCTTCCCTTGTGGTAACATTGTCACCACGACATCGCAGTCTATAAACCCCGACACTCCTTCCTCGGCCACTGTGGTATTGGGGTTCTCTACGGCGAATTTCTTCTCGCGAGCAGAGTCGGCGTCACGCACGACCAGCTTGAACCCTGCTCGTGGTATATTGGCGGCCATCGACGCCCCAGCCTTCCCAAGGCCGATATAGCCTACGGTCTTGACGGACATGATTGGCTTACGAGTGTTATCTGTGAGAAGAGTAATGGGATGTAGTCAAACTCAAAATGAAAATCGTCTTGACTGTTGAGTTGCGATCTGAAAGAAATCAGGTATTATGCACGGTCTCAAATTGATAGAGTTCAGAATTGGGTGAAGGCCCCTTTTCTACTGTTCCCAAACCTTCCTAGACAACAAAAGTGCCTCAGGGTGGTCACCAACTTAGTAGAATTTGGTGAGTACTCCACATGCTCATCATTGCGATATGGTAAAAGGCGGGGAAGGGAAGATTGTGGGATAACCATGAACATTGCCTTCGGCAATTGTTTGGAGAAACCGTCCGACGCAAGCTGGTATTCATCGATGACTTAACAGGCTTCTAGCATGCAGAGGACATCGATGCACATCATTAAGAGCACGTCAGCAGTGTTGACGCAGTGTCGACGCTCCGTTATGTTTGACCAAAGTCATCGTGTCTTTAGCGATAGAATTAATACTTTTGACACGGTGAAACGGTGGGACTCAGGTCCTCTACACCTGGGTGTGTCGGGGGGACAAAGCCCACAATATCCCCTTTTAACCTTCGCTGAACCAGATGTACCCAGTGATGGGGTCATCCCGTTACCCCCAGCGACCCCAAGGAAATGGGTTTCTCCGGGTGCCAGCACCTGGTTAATACCCACGCAGCCTCGGCTGGCCGGCAGATGTTTTGGGTTGCGAATTAGGCCCTGAAACCCACCGTTCGCGGAATGAATGAATTGCCCATGTCCAGACCATGTGGCTGAATGGGTTTTTGGATCACTGGCAGGAGCTGAGCGCCGAACCAGTGTTATAGTGCAGCACCTGAACAGGTGGGGATTTTCCACTCCATTTGCCAGAGAAGGCTGTGAATATCTTACAAACACGACTGCCCGTCCACTCTGCTGGCCTAATCGAGAGGAGCAGTGCACCAGATCATCTTCGATCAGTCGGAATCAATCAATATGGGTTCTGTGGGAGTCGAGGCTCCTTTGAAAGGTTAGTTGCAGCGCCGTTTTGACAAACAATCAGACTTACGGCAAATAGTCATCATCGTCGGCGCAGGACTTGGAGGATGTGCGACGGCACTGGCGATGCACAGCGCTGGGTTCGAAGTAGTTGTTTTTGAGAAAGTGAGGAATTTCCTCAGGTTGGGAGACTCCTTAGGATTGGGTGAGAATGCACTCAAGCTCCTGGATCGATGGTCGCCGAGCCTACGAGAGCGACTTGTTGAGATTGGCAATAAATCCGAAATGATGCAGATTCGTCGATGGCATGATGGCAAGATCCTGGCTCAACAGCCTCTGATGGATATGGCCGGCTTCATTGGCCATCGTGGCGACTATCACACTGGATTCTTGAATGCTGTTGCTGAAAAAGGCATACCCGTCCACATGGGGACTGATGTATGTGTTGAACATCGACCTTGGTCTCGAAGCAAAGACACTGACTTGACCAGGTGGTGGATTATAATGACAGCAATCCCTCGGTGACATTGGCTAACGGCGAGGAGCACTACGCCGACATTGTTATTGCTGCCGACGGTCTGTGAATGCGTTCTCCACTGCATTTCTCATCGCGTGCTGAATTATCTGAATAGGTATCAAGTCGCGTGCCAGAGAACTGGTACTTGGATTTGACGATAAGCCCAAATCATCGGGGTATGCGTGCTTCAGAGCCTTTTTCAAAGGTTCCCATCTCAAGGGCGATCCATTGACCGCCGAGTTCGTAGAGAAAGAATGCGTCAACATATGGATCGGGAAGGACCGACATTTGGTTCAAAACACGCTTCGAAATGGTGAAGAGTTTAATTGGATCATCACCCACAAGGACACCGAGGATATCAAGGAATCTTGGTTTCAACCTGGTGACATGAACGCAGTACGGGAACTCGTTGCCGACTGTGACCCTAGGATCTCAGCTGTGGTCTCCAAAACGGAGGAGTGTTTAGATTGGAAGATTTGCTACCGAGACCCCATTCCAACGTGGGTGAGTCGAAACCACAAGGTGGCTTTGGTGGGAGACTGTTGCCATCCACACCTGCCAACAAGTGCCCAAGGGGCAAGCCAAGCGACAGAAAGCGCAGCGGTGCTCGCACAGTGCTTATTGCTGGCAGGGAAGGATAACGTTCCACTGGCAGTAAGTGGGACCCGTTGAAACCTCTGGCTGACACTAATATCCGATGTGCTAGACTCGAGTCTATGAGAAGATTCGATTCCCGCGAGTCCGCCGGGCCCAGACAAATGGAGAGGATGTTCGAGATCGATGGCATTCTGCTCTTGACAAAGTTGCAGATGGCGAGGAGATCGACCCTTACAGCATCCATATCAGAGTTAGCCACATCCTTTGCCATCCATATTATTTCGTCGCGCACTAACTCGCTCCCAGAACAATGTACTCTACGATTATGATGCTGAGGCCGAGACTCGCAAGCAATGGCCGCAACTTTCGCTAACCGTCGCGGAGGAGTTGAGGACGGGCAACATCACACCCTTATGCTGATCCGGAGCACCCATACATTTGTTTCTGTTTATATACTCAAATAAATACTTCGTTTCAAAGTTGAGATCAGAAGCCAGGACTCCGTAATTCGTACACTTGTGACGATAGTGCATTTTTCTCCTTAGCTCATGTGTTTGTGTCTTTTCATCTTTGGAAAGTGATATCGACCTTGCTAGGCTGAACTTGGTCCTTGGTCAATATGTAATAATGTGATTTGTCTTAGACTAAAGTTTAGGTGACACTCCGTCTCTCAGCATATCTCTCTTATCGCCCTCCAGAATCTCCCATCCTTTACACCTGAATTTCTGGCCCCAGATGCCGTTTCTCCCTGGTGCCAATATGCTGTTGGGATCCAACGCATCTTTGATGGTCTCGTTGAACTTTCGCAGCGCACCGTTGTTCCAGCTATAGGACTCAGCCACCTGGTCTGCAAACAATAGATGTGTCCGATACTCGCCGAATCCCAGCTTCCTAGCCTCGTTGATCATTTCTCGCATCAGCCCAGTTGCACGACGTTTCTCGTCCGCGTCTGAGCGGTCATAGACGATGTTGGAAATGTAATGGCCTTCTCGCGCCGCTATGCAGATCGTTGGTAGGACGTCGAACCCCCATTTTTCATGTAGCTCAGAGATGACACTGTGTATCTCCTTGGCATCTTTACCCTTGGTCGGAGTGATGGGAGAGAAGAATAGATGGGCTGCATTTGGCCTCCAGTTCAGCCAGTCTAGCTCTCGGAGAACTGGTACTCCACTGCATACTTGGACCCGTGAATGAAGGTAGTGCTCCGGTGGAAGGTCGGATGGTAGCAGGAATTTGGAGCCTTCGATCTTGCCAAATGCTGATTTGATGATCCTCAATTGCGAATCAATGGAAGCTTGGTCTCCATATTGTGTTCCATAGAACACCCAAGAGATGTCACCGCATGGCAACTTCGATGCAGCTTCTCTGATCACTTCTCTCGGCATTTTCCCCTTTCCGTTGTACCAGAAGGATCGCGGTTTGCCTGTTACCGCCAGTTCTTGGATGACGTGTCGTAACTGCGGTACGTTGCCCAATATCCTCTTCTGAGCCAGGGGCCGAATTGCCTCAACGATGTGCTCGAAATCTTCTTCATGCTTGAATGTGACCATATAGGACTGGTGGCCAGTTTCGGGCATCAACCAAAATCCCATTTGGGTGACAATGCCGTAATTGCTCTGGCTGAAAATTCCGTCGACATATGGCCCGTAAGCTGCCTGGAAAGATTGCCAAGTTGGATTGTCAGTCCCATCTTTCCCTGGCATTGCTCCCATTCCTGTTCGGAGAAGTTCTCCAGTTGGAAGAACGAGTTCCATTCCACAGTGGTTGGCAAAATGGTCTCCATAGGGGGTATATCTGAGAATAATGAGAATTATTGCAGCTGAATTGGACTGTCAATCTTACCCAACTCCGCGATCGATAGCATTACCGAGGACACTACCCCCTCCCAGATCTGGACAATCTATCCACAAGGGTAGCTTCCGTTTCTGGATCTCTTCGTAAAGTGCGAAGTATGAGACACCGGGTTCGACAAGACATGACGCATTGTCGGCGTCGATATTCAAGATTTTGTTCATTCTCCTTCCGAGGTCGACCACGACGGAACCTTTCACTCGGCAAGCAGCACCGCCGTATCTAAGCCCAATTCCAATTAGCAAACAGCCGACTGCAAGCAAAGAATGATTTACCCTAGATTCCTTCCCATACTAATTGGATAAATTGGGATTTTATGCTTATTCGCCCAGCGGACTATCACCTGAACCTCAGCCGTACCTGAAGGATACACTGCCGCGCTTGAAGTTAAGTCATCCTGGTCGGCGATGTGGAATGCATCATGGGTGTTCCTAGAGTACGGTTTAGTCCAAGAATGGGACAAGAAGGGACTGGATGGCATTCACTGACGGATGCTGCATATACCAGCCATCAACAAGTGGTTTTTCATTGACCTCAACATTATCACTGCCGAGTGAGGCTTTCAATTCCTTGATGGCATTCTCAAATTGCTCCTTGTCCATTCCCGGAGGCAATGAAATGGTTTTTCGCGACGTGCTTTCCCGGACGGTTCGTTGGGAATCTAGCCGTGACCTGGTAGCCACAGCTATTTGAGCCAATCGACTTGGTACTCCGCTGTAGTCGCTGTCAAGGTCCGGGATGGCAGCCTCAGCCTTCATTGCTGGTGTCGACATGGCTGTAACACTAGAATACAAGATCACCGATGTGAAGTGAAGTGCGAAACCGTGACTCTGTTCTGTTAGTAATCGATAGAGAAATTTTGCTTCCACTGCTTAGGTTGACAATCCATTTCGCTTTATGACAAGTACTAATAGTATGGGTTATGGCAGTCGTATATTTTCTCGAGGCCGCTAGGACCCCAGTGCCTTTTCCGAGATGCTCCTCAGACAACATGCGTGACCAATCCACATCCAACCGAGAGATGGGTATTCTCCTCTGGAGCTTGTACCCCTCGGTACTTGATCAGTTCGGGGTTGCGTGGGGTCAGAAATGAGGGGCTTCGATTCTGAAGGTTTATCTCCCACCAACTTCGGGAGGCAACCAGGGAAGCGTCCGCGGGATAAGTATAGGAGAAGGCAAAAATAGAGTGGTCATAATTATTAACAGTGTAAAGTTTTGACCTCGTCCACCGGGAGCAAGTGAGGCTAATGCTGCCTGACACGTGTAAGTTCGTCAAAGTCTGCCGTACCTGTCGAATATTTTTGTTCCAGTCGCCGCAACTTGGTAGGTTCAATTGATGGGACGGTTCAAGATCGCTCCCTCAAGCCATACTAAAATTGATATTGTGTTTTTGCATAACCAGGTGGAGGCCAAAAGGGCCAAAAGCCCGCTTGTCAGTGTCCTCCCAGAGAAGCCGCAGTAGTTTCGCCGCTTGAGCAACTTGCATCAGGTCCACTGAACTTGTATCAAGCATTGCCATCAAGTCAGCCCGGCCCCGGGGCGAGACAAGGCATGATCCCATAATCATTAGAGGCCAAAGCATGACGGTAACGAACGGGGAGATGCGTAACACCGGCATTGCATCCTGCATGACCTCAATATGTCCCTGAATTTCAGTTATGACTTTGGGATTGTCAACAACAGATCCGCACATTGCACTCTTAACAAACATCAGTAGCGACTGGCGGTATGCTTCACCGGCAGAGATATGTGCGCTCTCGAATTCCACCATCTCCAAGTCCACTGGTGGGGATTTCCATCCGAGCAGGATCGATACAAGCTCATTATATGTCCGTTGACTTTTTGCACTGCAACTGCTCGACTCTTCTTCCTCTGCGAGCCGGTTCATGGCGAAGACGCAGATCTTTGGTATGGTCTCGAAAAGGCCAAAGCCACAACTGAAGAAAAGGCCACATGTCTCATATTCTTTTAGCATTTCAAATGAAGTGATGAACGGATCGAGTGGAAGAGTTCGAGCCTCGTTGCGACCATAGGGGGTTATATTATTTGCCAGCACAAGATAAGTGTATACCTCTAGGACAAAGCCTTTCATTCTTCTGGAGTCGCCATCCATGTCGACATCAGACTTCTGCAAGAGGCTGAGGATCAGTTGCCGGCTTGCCCGTAGATGCGGGAAAATGCCACCGTGAGGCTCACCCGCAACCGCCTGATCGCCAAGTAAGGATGGACTTATAGAGATGAATAAGGACTGGGTGGTTTGCTTACCTCAACATGGCAGAGAACTACAAGAATGACTAAAAGCCTCAAGCTTCGTTTAGTGCATGGCTGTCTCGCTTCCTCCGCGAACGCCAACCGAAGTCCTTTGAGGAGTAACGAGTAATGATTCCGGGTAGCAAGTTGGACGTCAAGATTGTCTTTCTGCTGATAACTAAGGTGGGTTCCACTCAGCGCCATTACAGCATGCATGAGGAGGTCGTCAGAATATGCTAGTGGTAGCACATGGGTGATGAAAGGATTTCTTCTTCGAACCTTGGGGACGAGAAAACAAGCAGTGTCCTCCATGTAATGCTGGAGCAGGAGGAAAGAATGACGAGTTAGTAATATCGGTCGATCATCGCTCATAAAAGATGATGTTATACCGCGCCAAAAAGTCATGGATCCGTCAGGGATCCCATCAATGCTACTAGTGTGGTTGTCAAACGTCTGGCGGACGGTTGTCTGGAGGGCTTTTGCTGGCTTGTGCTTCACTGGTGCTCGATGACTGCAATCCAAAATAAAGACTGTGTGTTGGGTATGAGCTCTGCCGGTTTCCGATGTGGGCCGATTGATATGGGGACTGTTTCCACGCGATGGTTTGCGATTCCCATCCTTATCAGCCACATAGTCAGGCCAGCTGCACTCGAGGAAGTTTCTGGTGCACCCAGTGCATACTGGTTTGCGTTCATCGCATTTTTTGCGTCGCTGGCGACAGGTTAGACATCCTGTCTTGACGCGAAACGAGGTGGTCATGTTGGCTCTTCGATTCAGAACGGCCAGAAATGGTGGGCAGCGTCAAGCTCCTATTCCCCACGAATTCGAGGCGTCATGAATTCCACTTTGAAGCAACTGATTGACACTACGTGGCGGTTGTGGTCAGCAGGGGAAAGATCTTACGAGCGCGCAGGCAGCAAGGATGTCGAGCTTAAGTGCACCGCGAAACGCGCCCGTCTTCCTTGGCCTGTATGCAGGTAAGAATGGTCCAGACTTGGGGTTTTCACGCCGTACATAATAATTAGTACTGAGTACCTCGTATCTCGTTCTGGCTAAGTAGCTTCCTATCGCGACGCCTGAGACCCATGACCCGCATATTGGCACGGATAGCGGTAGGCCTTGTCAGGGATCGCCTCGTTCAGCCCCTTGCTCAGGTCCCCCGTACAACCTCGTACTCTCACCAAGTCTGAAGGAATTCAACCGGCATCTAGTTGCTCCTCATTGCAATGCGGAACTTTATGTGAATGAAGTGAGATTACATGATTGACCCCGCAAGGGGTATGTAAATCGTATCGCCCGGCTTCCAAAACCTCAATTATGCCCCGAAGATTTTGCAAGTGTGGCCTTGGACTCATCCGATATAAATATGAGCCCGTGGTTTACCAGATTCTCGAACTTGATAACTCGATTTCATCTCGACTTGTATTATTCGACATCTCCTCGACGAACGAGCATATCCAAAAGTTGACGAGACGTTCTTTGTCAGACTCGTAGCATAATATTTGTCACAGCTGCCAATAATGGCACCCCGTGACGACAAACCATTGATCAGTTATCACGATGGGTCATCCATGCCCGACCCAATGTTCTATTCTCATTCGGTGAGCCTCAGTCAGGCCAGTCGACTTGTCTTTACGTCCGGGATCATTGCCCAGCGACCGGATGGCACGTTTCCAGAGACGCTCGAGGAACAGACAAAAGCTGTGTATGATAACCTGAAGAATGTTCTGAAGAACTCGGGTGCAACCCCTCGAGATCTGATCAAAGTCACATTCTACCCGGTGGATTGGTCTTTTACACAAGCAGAAACTTTGTTCAAGCTTTTCTTCGAATTCGTCACAGATGATTATGGCATCCAGTATCGACCAATTACTACCTTAATTCCCGTCACCCAGCTCGCTTTTCCAGGACCGAAGCTGGAGATTGAAGTTGTTGCAGCCACAGGAGGTCACGCTACCGCTTATGTCAATCCTTCCATTCAGTCATTCAAGAGACCTGTGCCTCCATTAAAGGTGGACGTGGTGGTGGTAGGTGGTGGGTTCAGTGGCGTCCAAGCAGCCTGGGATTTGCACAAGGCTGGGCTAAGTACCATACTTCTTGAAGCAAAGCATCGCCTTGGAGGCCGAAGCCGCACACACCAACTTCAGAGCGGGCCTGGATTGGTCGAGCTAGGAGCGACATGGATCAACGAGAAGACACAACCAAAGGCTTTTGCCACAGCCAAACGACTCAACCTGGAGTTGGTAGGCCAGTATGTCGAGGGAGACGAAATCTGGCAATTGCGAGACGGTAGTGTTTTGAGAACCACTCCTGGAAGTGTAAGTCACAGTGCCCGCCTCTATATCTTCCCTGACCCGTCGTAGGAAGCTGCAGAGTTGGTGACAAATCTCAATGGAGCATTGTACCAGGCCTTCCAAAGTGACATGGACTCGGTCAACATTCACAAACCAACCAAGATCGCGGCAAACCTCGACACTTCGTTAGAAAAGTGGGGAGAAAGCAAGGGACTCGTCGATGAGACGGCCAGAGACGCATTGAAGTTCTTCAGTACTGCTGTTGTTGGTCGAGCCCCCCACGAGATTGGCAGTCATTACTTCCTCGATTACATTAAATCAGGTGGCGGATTTATCAGCATTGCAAGTGAAGGTCTAGATGGTGCGCAATCTTTGAAGGTTAAGCAAGGTGGGTACTATGCATCTTCAATTTGAGACTGGATTAGTGCTGACAATATCAGGGACTTCGGCCATCGCGACTGGTCTTGCAGATGAGCTTCCTCCTGGCTCGGTGTTCGTCAATAGCCCCGTGGATAGCATCCATCAGACTGTAGATGGTGCTTTCGTGGAGACTGCAATGGGGAACAGGATATTTGCGCGGAAAGTCGTCGTCGCAATCCCGACCAACACGTATGAACAAATTCGCTTCTCTCCACCCTTACCCTCGGCAAAGCGCGCTTTGGTATCCCGAACCAAGCCTGGGGTATATGCGAAAATGATTGTAACCTACTCCAAGGCATGGTGGAAGGACCTGGGCCTGCAGGGCAAGTTCACCAGCATGAAAGGCCCAATCTGTTTCTCATGGGAGATCTCGGACGACTCCAAGAAGCAGTATTCATTGGCATTGTTCATCGCCGGCGGGGTTGCTGCAAAATGGAGCGAACTAAACGAACTCCAGCGAGAAGAATCCGTGATCAATCACCTCGCAGAACTTGTCGGGCCCGAAAATGCTAGCCTTGCACGCGATATCCTTGAGGTCAACTACGTCAATTGGACGGAAGAACCTTATCTGGGAGGAGCACCAACCTCGTCGATGGGTCCGGGCTTACTGTCAAAGTACGGAGACTCCTTAAGGCAGCCTTTCCAACACATCCACTTCGCAGGCAGCGAGACTGCCTACGAGTGGAAGGGCTACCTGGAGGGAGCACTGTTAGCAGGGTCACGAGCTGCTGCTGAGGTCATTTCATTGACAAAACGGGTGGAAAAGCAAGGTACGCTCAAGGGAAAATTGTAATTAAACCATTGGAAGCACCAAAGATGATCAGGATGGAGGCTTGTGCTTGGCTTTGCAGGCCGTGATAGAACGTTAATTATCAAACGTCAACACAAAACATATGCACCTAGACAGCTAAAAAATCGCTAGCATACCTACTCAGACAAGCCCTATCCCCTTGCCGTGCTAGTTGCCTGTTAATCCAAGTTTATCTCCCACGGGCCACGTATGCAGCTTGCTGCAAGGATGGAAATCAGGCATTTTCTGTCTGTCGTTATCATTATCGTATCGAAAAGACAGCACCAATATGTACCGAACACCCGAGGGGCCATCGATGTGGTCAGGTGGAAAAACTGCAACAATCGGAGTTTGCAACTTGCAGGGTCGTTTTCCATCTTTAAACGCGGTGCGATTTAGCGTATGCGTGGTCCAAACTCCATTCGTTCAAGACCTCGTATCGTGGGTTTTTCCTCTGCTCTCTCCCCCTGTTCAAGTTAATTAGTAATGATGTAGGACGCCACATCGACTAAGTTAACTACACGACCCGCTATGGATTTCGTGGGCCCATCTTCCGGCAGGCTTCCGAGTCTCAAGGCGGTTTGAAGGTACGCAGCGCAACGGCTGGAGGCACTCTTCCCGTCGGGCTAGAGACTGCTGTTCACCATTTGATGGCTGAGCACCAAATCCTTCGCCTAGCTGGGATAGAAGCATGAGGGAAATGTTGAGAATCAACCCATGCGGAAGAATCAATGTTTTCGCCCTTCTCCCCAGTGTCCGTAAGGAGCGGGAGCCTGAGTGATACAAACAACAGAACACACGAGGCGTTCCCTCGAGGCGCGAAGAGATGGCTCGTGCAGATCCAACCATATTCGAAACTGTCAACTAGCTTTCTTGTGGTCATGTGCGGGGCCAACCTCCCAAAGGCCCCGTCCTGGTGTTCGTAAGTGTTGATACTTCGTTCAGTCAGAGTCGTTGTTGTCGGTTGGCCGCAGTAATGCTTTTCATACCAGAGAAGACAATCTTCTCTAGGGGAAGGCCGACTTTTGCTGAGATTCACCGAATATTAAGACCAGAGAGGGCATTCCATTCCCATACCCGCAGAAGTGGAGGGTTGATTTATCCTTGCCGAAGCGGGGGACTACGTGGATATTGATCTTGTGGTCATTCCTCATATCGTATCCTGCACTCATACACTCTGTGGTCGGACAAGTTGCTTTGACTCGTCAAGGATGGCATGGTCGTACAGGGCCGCACTGCTATAATGAGGGATCTCGCATTTAGTGACGATGGCAGATACCTGTCTATCAAGAGCTTCTGCTACTATTACAGAGACTTCCGAGGCGAACGGTAATGTCTGCGAAAGACCATTGGTCTGTAGTGCCAGGATAGAACACGCAGGTTTGCTTCCTATCTCGGACTATCTTGGATATCTGGGGTAAAATTGAACTAAAATGCGGAGGCGAAGCGCGGTTTCGGCCTGGGGTGTCTTCCCATATCCGATACGCTTTATGCAGTTCAATTGGACCAGAGTCTAAAGAGTCTGGATAAGACGGCCCTCTCACCCGGCCAAGCCACCCATTTCGTGATAAGCGCGCTTACAGTGGCCCTTGGGCGATATCGACGATTTGGGCTTCCGGAAGTGGATGGGTCTTGCTACCAATAGGATTATCCCTTGGACACTGGTAGATGATAGAGACAGATATGGCCTTGTTGGTCGTAGTCGATATAATGTTGCCTGTTTCGCCTGCTCTGGTGTCCTGTATGCACAACTCAGAAGACCTGATCCGACACCTAGGATTCGTTACATGATGTCTGGATTGGAGACTCGAGAGAAACAAAAGGCATATTCATCCGGTAAGTTCTGTTCCCCACCATGGGTTGCAGTGTGATGGGATCCAGAACAAGCGCCCATTCACCTTGGTTGGAAGTCGATCCTAACATGCTGTTCAGAATCGGCCGTAATGGCGGATACTATCGCAAAGAATGAACACGGCGAAATTGAGCAGACAACATCCGTGGCCGACGGAGACATTGCGGCGATTCATCTGTCCAAGGCTCCTGTCAAAGCCAACATTGGTCCCCTTTCCATCGTGGCGCTCGGGTTCAACATTTGTAACAGCTGGGCCGGTCTCTCAGCATCTCTCCAGATCGCCCTCTTGCAAGGCGGCCCCGCTGGGCTTCTGTATGGCATGTTCGTCAGCACCTTTGCCACATTTGCGGACGCCTTAACGCTCGCGGAGCTGGCTTCGGTCTATCCGACTGCCGGCGGCCAATACCACTTCGTGTCGATCCTCTGTCCGGACAAGATAAACTTGTTCACGTCATACTTCTGTGGAATCTTCAGCATTTTCAGCTGGATCGCCATCGGGTCTGCAGTCCTGATCATCCCAGCCGAGCAAATCAGTGCATTGGCAAGCGCGCACTACCCGGAGTACGAACCGCAAGACTGGCATAAGTTCCTCATGTACCAGGCAATGCTGCTGCTTGTCTTGGTCTCCAATACTTTTGTCCTGAAGCGGTCGCCGAGATTTCATGATGTTGGATTCGCGTTCACAATTACGCTGTTTTTTGCCACGGCCATCACACTGCTGGCCCGGTCTACCCCTAAAGCGTCCAGCACATTTGTCTGGACATCTTTTATCAACCAGACTGGCTGGAGCGACGGGTTATGTTTCTTCAGTGGCCTGTTGACAACCTGTTTTCAGTATGCAGGACTGGATGGTGCTCTGCATCTTGCTGAAGAGTGTAAGGATCCGCAGAAGACAGTGCCCAGAGCCATGATCGCCGCAGTCACCATTGGATTCTGCACCGCATTTCCCTTTGCCATCATCGTGCTTTATAGCGTGGCAGACATTGATGCGATCCTCAATACAACCGGGTAGGCACAGTGGATAAAATGCTGGTTCCCAAGGATTCTCACTGACCGTCAACCCCCCCCCAACAGATACCTGACACTCGAAGTCTACACGCAGGGCATGCGCTCTCAAGCTGCTGCCACTGTTTTCACAGCAGTTGGAGTTCTGATCGCATGGTTCGTCTTGAATGCCGTACTGCAGACCTCATCCAGAATTACGTGGTCGTTTGCGAGAGACAACGCGCTTACGTTCTCGAAACACCTGGTGAAAATCCACCCCAAACTCGAGGTGCCTGTCTTCTCGTTGCTTCTGAACTACGCAATCTTGGTTGTCTGCGGGTGCATCTTTCTCGCATCACGGACTGGTAAGCACCTGTTAGCCGCTCAAATGCTGTTTGTTAATCCTCGCTGGACACTAACACAATGGGAAATCATAGCATTCAACGCAATCCTGAGCTCTTGCGTGGTTCTGCAACAGATCTCCTTCATCATGCCGGCGGCGCTGCTTATCTACCGCCGTCGGTCCTCTGCATTCCTCCCTGAGAATCGAGCCTTCCGCCTTCCGTCCATTGTGGGCTGGACCGCAAATATCGTAGTTGTGGTGCTCGGTCTCATCTTTACCGTCGTTTTCTGTATCCCACCGTTTAGGCCAGTTACCCCGAGCTCTATGAGTAAGTCCTTTCCCTAGCTACAGAGTCTCTGACTTCGGCGTCTCTCTCTTGCCCGCGACGTGTCTAACAGCTCCGTGTGCTCAGATTACTCGTCCGTGATGATTGGTATCGCTTTTTTTCTAGTGCTGATCAACTGGTTTGTGCACGGAAAGAAACACTACCACGGTCCGCGCATCGAGTTTCATGGTCCCACGCATCACATTCAAAGGTAGACAGGGGGCGTTTAAGAGAAGATGAGAGCTACAAGAAGGTGGTGGTCAATGAGGTGTGAACTTTGATGTGATTCTTGAGCCTAGTACGAGACTATGACCAATGATGACTTGTTGGCAGAATGCCGAACTAGTAAAGGACTCCATGCAAAACGGCCAAAATGCTCCATTGAATAGTTCGGTCCATCGGAGGATTCAGATATGTTGTGTATCTGAGATCTCACATTGTTGAACCCATACAGACCCTGCTTAACACCATGTCTGTTGAACGTAGGGTATCTATTTTCTTGTTGAAAAATGCATGAATATCATTCAAATCATCTTTAAAGGCAGACAGAGCCGTCTAGAAAAGGCCATCAATCTCCCCAGTCTCGGGATCGACATCGACATTCAGGTATCCCGGTGCCGTTGGGAGACCCGGAATGGTTTGAATATCTGCAGCGAGTGCGTAGAGATAACCTGCTCCAACAGCCAGTCTCACATCCCTGATCGGGACAGTGAAGCCAGTCGGTGCACCCTTCAATGCAGGGTCGTGACTTAAAGAGTATTGGGTCTTTGCAATGCATATCGGCAGATTACCGAAGCCTTGCTTGGTGTACATGTCGACCTTCTTTTGTGCAAGTTCGCTAAACTCGACCTTTTCAGCACCGTACATTTCCTTGCCGATTTTCTCGATTCGTTCTTGAGCGGTACCCTCGAGATCATAGAGAAACTTGAAACTCTTTGGCTTGATCGAAGCCTCCATCACTGCCTTCGCTAGGTTAACTGCCCCAGCACCACCTTCTGCCCAGTGATTCGCCGGTACAGCTGCTTCTGCTCCTGCAGACAGAGCTTCCTCTTCAATAACTTTCATTTCCGCCTCAGTATCGGTTTCGAACTGGTTGATGGCAACTACCACTGGCACACCATAGGTTCTGGCATTGGCGATGTGTTTCTTCAAGTTCACGCAACCCGCACGTAGCATCTCGACATTCTCAGTGCGGTAGGCCGCAGGGAGCGGAGCACCAACATTTATTTCAGGGCCTCCACCGTGGACCTTCAAGGCACGAATAGTGGCAACGACCACGACCACATCAGGAACAAGCCCCGAGGCACGACATTTGATATTGAAGAATCGTTCCCCACCCATGGTGAAGTCGAATCCGGCTTCTGTTACCACAAAGCCTGCCTTTGCATCATGGTCCTCATCTGCCTCGGTTCCAGCAAGCTTCAAAGCCAACTTATCGGCCAAAACCGAGCTATTACCAATACTGATATTGGCAAAAGGTCCAGCGTGGACAAAGACTGGAGTTCCTTCTAAACTCTGCATCAGGTTGGGTTTAATGGCGTCCTTCATCAAGGCGGTAAGAGCACCACCGGCACCGATATCGTCACAGGTCACTGGGTCTCCTGATCTAGATGACCCGATGACCATGCGGCCGAGACGTTCACGCAGGTCCTTGAGACCACTGCTGAGGGCAAGGATAGCCATACACTCACTGGCGACGGAAATATCGAAGCCAGTCTCTCGAGTATGACCCTTTTCTGTAGGAGCTTGGCCAATTGTGATGCCTCTCAAGTGTCGGTCGTTCACGTCTAGGACTCGCCTCCAGGTGATGGTTTCAGGGTCAATGTCAAGTCTAGCAAATCGCCGAATCTCGTCATCGGTCAGATCATCAGGATTGGTCTTATCAATCCCAAGCTTTTTGAGTCTGCGGAACATAATGGGAGCAAATTCACGCTTTCCCTTTTTGGAGGGAACTAAGCGCTTGTACAAGGGGCCGTCTTTTTGGGTAGACTCGTGAAACATCCGTGTATCGATCGCAGCAGCCAGAAGATTGTTCGCTGCGGTAACGGCATGGACATCTCCAGTGAGATGGAGGTTGAACTCATCCATCGGAATAACCTGGCTGTAACCACCCCCAGCTGCACCCCCTTTAATCCCAAAAGTCGGACCCATACTAGGCTGCCTGACGTTGGCAAATGTCACTCTGCCAAGGTGTGCGCCCAGTGCTTGTGTTAAGCCCATGGTAGTGGTGGACTTTCCTTCACCTAAAGGTGTTGGGGTAATACCACTGACTAGGACATACTTGCCGTCCCTCCGGTGTTCTAATCTGGACAGTAATGAAAGGTCGACTTTTGCTTTGTACGCACCATGTGACTCTAATTCGTGGGGTGCAATCCCGACATCGCTTGCAACATGGGTGATCTGCCTGGGACGTTGGGCGCGTGCCACGGCAATATCGGATGGTACTGGGGATTGTAATTTGAGGGGCAAGGGTGTAATACGCCGGGATTTCAATCGCTCAAAGTATGATGAAGCTGAATCGACAACATTCTGCATCAGCATGGCCACAGTCATAGGGCCGACTCCACCAGGAACAGGTGTAATTTGGGAAGCGACTTCAGCAGCTGTCTCAAATTCCACGTCGCCGACCAGTCGTTGACCCGAGGCTTTTGTGGTATCGGCAATGAAGTTTGTGCCCACATCAATAACGACTGCACCGGGTTTCAACCAATCTCCCTTCACAAAGCAGGGTTGCCCAATTGCAGCAACCAAGATATCTGCCTGTCTGACGACATCAGGCAAATTGTTTGTCTTGGAATGGCAGACGGTAACTGTAGCGTCGGCATTTTTTAGAAGGTAGCTGACTGGACTTCCAACGATATCACTCCGGCCGAGAACAACAGCAGTTTTACCTTTGACTTCGACACCGCTCTCTTGGAGGAGGACCATGACGCCTTTGGGTGTACACGGAACGAAGAATGGCTTCCCACCTCTTTTGGCAAGCTCGCCGATGTTGGTTGCTCCGAAACCATCGACGTCTTTCTCATCGAGGACAGCAGACGTAATTGTATGTTCAGAAAGGTGCTCGGACAGTGGCAGTTGGATGAGGATGCCATGGACAGACGGATCATTGTTGAATTCTGTGATCTGTTGCAAGAGCTCCGGCTCCGAGATCGAAGAAGGAAGATGTATAAGAGCACAATCAATGCCAGCCTCTTGTGCTGCCTTCAATTTCATGCGGACGTATGTAGTTGAGTCTGGCCGATCACCAACCTGTATGATCTTCAGGGACGGCCGATAACGTGGATTTGCACTTTGCTTTTGCGCAATCTCGGCGGCTAACCTCTCCCTTATCTTCTGTGCAATGGCCTTGCCATCGATCTTGATAGCCGTCATGGTTGTTGTGGCTTTGGTGGACAGGCCCCGAGGCACTAGACTGGCTGCGAAAGTACCAAGACAGGGCGTAAGGGATACCTGGATTGACAAGCTGGAGAAGGATGATCTGGAGGAACGACACAGAGAGCACTGGGCCCCAACGAAGTGATTCCGGGGTAGGCTACGCGTTGAGCGAGCTCTTATGGGTTGTGGAGGACGCGCCAAAGGAAGAGAAGAGTCGAAGGGTAATATCGGAGCTGGGGAAAAGGTTTTGGAGAAAAATCGCACATGAGGTGCATGTGCACTTGCACTGCAAGCCTGGATTGATTTGCTGAGCATTCCTACGGCCAGTCACTCCGGAGATCAAGGGGAATAGCACACAATCCACGCCTCGGTGAAGGAATCATTGTATACAGATCGGTTAAAGGTTGAAACGGAGGTTCGTGCCCTTTCTTCTTCCCCTCTACCAAAGCTGGCAACGCATTGTCATAGAAACTACCCGCGAGTCATGCCATACGATGTGGGCAGAATCATGACTCATGAGCCCATTTGGAGAGCGCAGCCTTGGCATGAATTTTCCCACATCGCCGCCTTGGTCAGTCCTTGTGACGAAGAGGCCACTGACTCACACACACTCATCCTTCAGGAAAATAGACAAAAGGACAGAACCCTTCTCCCGGATACATTCTACGACGCTCAAGTTGATTTCTCTCCCAGGCGCCACAGAATTTGACGATGAGACCCATCCTCCTTCAAGGCCATGTAAGCCACCCGGTGAAAAAAATTACATTGTCACAGGACTAACGACGAGTCGTAGGAACGGTCTCTTAATCAAATCAAATTCAACCGAGAGGGTGATCTCCTATTTTCAGTAGCTAAAGACAAGGTCGTATGTGCTTGGTTCACCAGTAATGGAGAAAGACTAGGGACATACATTGGACATCAGGGCGCGATCTGGACGGTGGATATCTCCCCTGACAGCATACTCCTGGCCACCGGAGCGGCAGATAACGTCATCAAGCTGTGGAATGTTCAAACAGGAGAGAATGTCAAGACTTGGGAGTTTCCCACTGCTGTCAAGAGGGTGCAGTTTAGTGAGGATGGAAGACAGTTACTGGCTGTCACGGAAAAGCGAATGGGATATCTGGGCACCATCGTGGTGTATGACATTCGATATGGCGATGATCTGACCGACCAAGCCAACGAACACAGTGTGAAAATCACCTGCGAGGACAGCAAGGCCACAGTAGCTGGATGGAGTTACCTCGACAAATACATCATCTCTGCGCACGAGGACGGGACGGTAACACAGTGGGATGCAAAGGTACAGTAGATCCTGCTGGCTGGTAACATTGACGCTGATTCTTTTTGCCAGACTGGAGAATACCTGATGAGCATCGAAGCTCACGAGTTTGACACTACCATCAACGACCTGCAACTCTCACCCGACCGCACATACTTTATCACTGCTGGCAAGGACAAAACTGCTAGGGTAAATTGCCCTCGGATACTTGTGTATATGTATACTGACTCTCTGGCAGCTCATCTCATCGCGGGACTTGAGTATCATGAAGACATATGTCGCCGATACGCCGTTGAACACCGCTTCCATCACGCCCAAGAAGGACTTTGTCATTCTCGGTGGTGGGCAAGCCGCCATGGATGTCACTACAACCTCAGCTCGTCAAGGTAAATTTGAAGCTCGATTCTACCACAAGATTTTTGAAGATGAGATTGGCCGCGTCCGTGGTCATTTTGGTCCCCTGAACACCATCGCTGTTCATCCACTAGGCACTGCATATGCCAGTGGCGGTGAAGATGGATATGTGAGGATGCACCACTTTGACAAGCCCTATTTCGACTTCATGTACGAAGTCGAGCGAGAGCAAGCACGGAAATGATTTCTGCCATTCTACGATACCCCGCTGACGATGAGGAAATGAGATATTATGTATTAAGTGTATTCGCAGTTGTAGCTGCACCAAGTAGGGCAGCAAGGGGATCATCTATCCGCACTCACGACGTTCGGCGATCCAACTTTGAGCATCGGAGTCCAACAGTATTTCCACCCCTTATCCGCACAAACAAAAAGATTAGAGTCCCGCCAAGTTGTATCAACTTTGCTCCATAACAGGTTCTCAACAGAAAGCGATAGAAACCAGGGAGTGTAATGGATCTGAATATTCACGAACACAAAGTTGGGATATCACAGGCAGTTGATGTCGACATTGAATGAGGCAGTTCACCGCAAGCATCAATTCTATCGATCTAAGCTATCTCTTTTTACCAGAGGCAGTCCATCAAGATGATGACATACACTACTCACACAATCCTATTTCTTCTTCTCGCCGTTGTCCTCGCTGCCGGATCGTCCTTGATAAAACTTGGCGTCGACATTGCGCGACACCCTGCTCACGACGCTGGACATTACTTTCTTCATCAACTCCCCGTCCGTTGCTAGATTTGCAAAATGATTGACTTCAAGGGAGAGGCGCTGTCAAGCACCGGTCGAAACATAGGCAGAATCAAGGCCATGATTGTGCGTTTCGGCAGGCCTGCACGTTGGGATCTTAGCTTGCCAATGTATACACAGACTGGGACGCAGACACCCCATGTCCTCCACGATTGGCAAGGCCCAAGTTTGCAACTTCTTGCCGTTCCATATGACATCCATCGCATGATCTATCTCCGACGTGTCGAGCCCGTCATCAGCCTTGACTGTTCACTGATATGGACATTCCGAGCAAACGACGACTTCCTGTCGATCACGTCACTTTTCCGTGTATGTCGTCAGACTCGCGAGGAGTTTCTGCCGATCTTCTACAACAACGTCCTGGTCTCGATATATCCTAGGGCGCCTTTCTACAGATTCTATCGACACCTGCAGTGGCCTGCGATCCGTGGACTGCGGGAAATCCACTTGAGCTTTGATAGCACATCGGCCATGGTTGAGTGCTGTTGGAGGGATTTGCAAAAAGGCACCAATGCCCGGAGATCTATATCACATTCAGGTACATCCAAGTCTATCATGCTTGTGTTCCTTATCTCAACATGCTGTTATTGGAGGCACGAACTCAGCATGTTCTGCCAAATCTCCGTCTCTTCCAGGTGATAGAAACGTTACCGTCGTCGCTATCTTTCAACAATACTCAAGTCAACAATCCCATACGCACGGCAGCCACCGCGCACATGCGCTCGGCCAGGTTTTGGCCGGGACGAACCTCGAACAGCCTCCATTTCAAGGGAAATGAGGTGTGCACTAGAGTGATGAAGACGGGCTGCGAACCAGGCCTAGACAGACGATGCAAAGCAGCGGGCGTCGAGAACCCAATCTGGAAGTTTTAGTCCATGGTGATGGACTGGTTGTGGGCGTTGGATGAATTCGGTGGATTTTGTCGACAGCGTGCGGCGACTTAGGAAATAGGCTGCTGAGTCAGAAAATGCTCGCCTGCAACTTCTCTGTTTTGTTCGATTGATTCCGACTGTGTCGCTCCTTCTTCGTATCCCGCACTTTGGTCTGTTTGTGGTTAGTCATCCGCTCTTCCCCCACATTCTGGTCAACGCCCTTCGCATCGCCATTTTTCAGCGATCGAAGCTCTTTATCCGTCACCACTCTCTTCTCGAGTGTCGTAGAGTCTTGGAGCCCATGGGATTTGGACAGCATCTCGACCAGCTGATCTTCTCAGACTCTTGCTCTTCGATTCGTCTGACTTCCATTTCTATCGAAATCTCATCCTTCTCGAGCTTTTCTTGGCTAAGGCGTGACATAGGCCATGTGGACCTTTGTGTGACTCAACGCATCGTCGTATGTGCATCTTTTACGCTGCGCTGCGGAGAACTCGAGCAGCCTGTCCCAGCGAGCCTATCACAACGCGTATCACCGAGCAGCTAGGCAGCTAGACAGCTGTAGCTAGACCGCTGCGTCTCACCCAGAATACTTTGAATCCCCTCGTCAATTTCTCTGCCCTTCTTGTGGCAGGCAATTACAGCAACGGTTTCTGGCCGACTCTCAATCTCTCCGAGCTTGTCTAAGACGAGAATAATCCACAGCACGAGTCGGCCCATCGTTTTACGGCATATTGCATGGCACCAATTTCTTTGAATTGAATACAATTCTTCCCCTGTTCCGCTGATGTCTCAGAGCAGCCTCATTGTAGATGAACAGACTTGCTGAATGGGAGCTCGAGAATTGGTGCACGAAGCCAAAGTTACATGAGCCCAATATAGGAGCGCCATACGAATGTAACAGGTCACTAGTTGTGGTTTTGACGCACATTTTCAACAATATTGCCCTAGCCTTGTAGCCAAGCTGCCGAATTTCACAAACCCCAGAGTCGCAGAGGTCCACCAACAAGATGGCAACGACAAAGACCGATTTTTCGACACCAGACATTCCCATGTCGGAGGCGGTGTGGCATGTATCGGCCTGCACCACGATCAACGCTCCAGCTTCGTTAGTCTTCCGCACCCTTCGCAATACCGAGACTTGGAAGGACTGGAATCGGTGGATTCCGCGTGTCACGATTACCGATCAGCCGGATGACGAGGATGACGCCACTCTTGCGGAGATTGAAGAACTCGTCCGCAATACCTCTATTGCGGTCAACTTTGACTCGGATCTCACTGATGGTGCCGCCATGCCTGACCCTGAGCCGCCACGCCGGGGCAGTCTGGGATGGGGTGCTCATTTGGCGCATTCTGGCGTTCCGAGTCTGAGCCCCCCACCAGAGCAGATTCGTACATCGCGAGAACGCCCGCGCAGTTCAGAGGGTATGGTATTGCCCCCGGTGACACGGCAACGGCTGGCTTCCAATGCAAGTAAAGTGTCTAAACAGTCGGAAAATGAAACATCACGCAACAACTCCACCAATGGAGGACTACCTCGTGTCCAGAAGTTCCAAGCAGCTCAAGACGCCAGAAAAGCCTCAGTGGCATCAGGGATGAACGATTCAACGCCAAACAGTACCGGTGTCATGCTTGACTTGCCAGGAAACACATCCGTACTTCTCCCAGCACCTCGCAATACCGGTGCTACAGCACTTGCGCTTGCGCAGCAAGATGGCCGCCGCAAAAGCAGCGCCAGCGGATTCGCAGAAAAGAAACGCTTGCACGTGAATGCGCTGTATGGGGAACCCAGCGTGCGAATCCAAGATGGCACGAAAATGACATTCCACGTCAAGATCAAGATACCATCCAGCGCGGAAATACGCGATCAAAATGTCTCGGTGATTGAGGTATCACGACCGGACGATCCTCTGGACAATTCGGGCCCTCGGGATCTCAAGCGCATCCAGACACATACTGTTAGCAAGTCCGGAGTCTATCGGCTCGTTTGGTCGATGGATACCAAGTACAATCCGCCAAAGTCATACCCTAAATTCCTGCTACAGGCACAGAGGGTGCACGAGATCCGACCGATCGTGGCGGGAGATGGGAAGGAGATGTGTGAGTATTGGCAATGGGAGGCTCAAAAAGGTCTTCTGGCGAAGCGAGGCAGGAAAGATCACTTTACGTATTACGAGCAGAGAATGGTGGAATGGGGGAAAAGGCTAGGTGATTTCTGCGAGAGTATGGGTGGTGCTGTCGAGAGGAGGGACTTTGTCTCATGAAGACAGACCCAAGGATGCTGGGAGGAGGTGAAACATGAGCTGGACGACCGAATGAACAATATTGGGGGTTGGCGGGATTTTACACGACTGTCTTAATTCAGGGTGGAGTTTCAGTGAGAGTGGGGAGCGAAAAGGGGGTTGGAGGTTCGTTCGCAAGGCTGAGCCTCTATGATGATTATCGTTCCGCCAAATCGACATACAGCTCCCTTTGCCCCACAAGGTCTAGCGCAGCTCAGGCGCCACAATACTCGCGGCCAGGTAAGATTCAGCTCTGCATGGCCAGAAGAGCAGCAGATGCGCCTTCGACGGAGCAAGGCGTTTGCATAATCCGGCAAAAAGAATTACCGTGGCTCAAAGGACCAAACTTGACCACGAAAACTAACGCCTGCATCCTAAGATACGAATCCGCGGAAAGTGCGGGGTTTGCGGACTGGGATGCGTACAGAGTTCTCGGGCCTGTAAGGGAACGCGGAATCTCACGGATGTGAGTGTCATGTTGAACAGGTGACCTTGACAAAGAGACAAGGTCGGGCAAGGTCGGGGCGAGGCTCAGGCGATGCTATCGTGGAACCGTGAGCAATGAGAGCCAGCCGTTACCTTGGACAATGAGGGAAGACTTGAGATCATCGGACCAGAGTCAAAGGATGCAACACACAGACAACTCGAGCACGCCCTGAACTCTCGCCGGGTTGGACTTGAGATATCACCGAGGTTGAGCTGGAGTTATGCACATCGACGGAACAGAAACATAGACGAGATACGACTGACGGGCCCAGGTACAATAGTTCGAGTAATTAGGGGCAAGGCACAGCGGAACACTTCATCAGGTAGCGCAAATTAATTCCTCAAGTTTCTATCATGTCCATCACCAGCACAACGATTCCTCACTTCAAACACAATTGACGATGCTACCGAGGCACCACTGACGTCTACCAATTCCGGTTTCCTGTCAGCACTCCCTTGGTTTCCTCACTCGATTGACACCAACAAACCAACTGGGGCATCAATCCTCGCTGAATCATGCGGCCGCACAACCTCCTCGACCCGTTCCCGACTCAAACCCAGTTGCACGCTCCCTGGACCCCTCTGTTTGTGCGAGTGATGTAGTTGTCGCGGATCGCGGATTCTGTGATATGCTGCTCGGTGACGTGCAGTAATCCCCTGACCCACAGGCACTGTCGGCGTTGGTCTTGTTGTTTGTGGTGTTGTTGTCGATGCTTCTGATGATGTTGCTCCCACGCCGTGACCTTCCATTCCATGATCTCCGCGCCCATGTAAAGCTTACTATGCTTTCCGTTCCCTTACTCCGTTGGTCTCGCTGTCGTCCTCGGGCAAAGCCTGGATAGCTCGGTCATACACGCAGTGGCGAAGTTAGGGAGCAGGTGGCGCTCCCTCGTTCTCAAATCTCGGGGTCTCAGCATTCTTCCTGCGGACTTTCGAACCTTTGCCGGCGGAGCGTCTGGCACATTTACATGGTCACCGAGGGCTCTTATGCGAGTGAGAACATCTTCTTAAGTTTTAGGGGGATAAGTCTCGCAATTCAGTGGGCTCAGGGTGGTGCCCTGGCTCTCTGTCACGCCACGGGAGCTCGTCTTCATAAATTTGAGAGGTTCCTCTGAATGCGCATCTGTCCCTATTCTGAATTCGAAAGCTGTTGGCGAATATCCCCAGGTACGAATTTCCTGTCCTCAAGGTGATCCCTATTCTTAGCTCCCAGTGTCGCTCGGCCTCTAGTTATTTTTGGGCATCGAACGTGCTTTGAGAGCCTAGTCTTACCGTGTAGACATAACTGGCTGCCTCGTAGGTGGCTGCAAGGGTCAGCGCCTGGCCTGGCTAGTGTAAAAATTAATGGAAGAGGCTACCATGCCCTTTTCCTAGCCATCAATGTCTTGGAACAGTAGTAAAAATAGTGGTGACGGATGTGCTACTAAACTTTTAAGTGGTTAGGTCTAGATGCTGTACAAGTTTTCCATTCTCAGGCTTCTTAATTTCTAGATCAGCTATCCTACCATTTACCCATATGGACATTGTGAAGTAGGTGACAACCTTTGTGAATGAATCCGTTTCCCGGATTGAAGCAACATGTCTCGAAACTCGTTGACACCCGAAACTTTTGCAGATGTAGCAATCCTCCAGCATATGCACATCTCACCGTGTGGAAACCAAGTCGTTTGCGTATTGAAACCCGCATCGCGATCAAATGAACATGCACTATCGTCGATATGGATTGCCGCGGTTGGAGTGAGGTATTCTGGAGACAAGTAACGTCCGGGATTTTGCAGGACACACAAGTAGAATGGACACCTGATGGCCGCATTTCTTTCCTCTCTGACCGACAATGTCGCGGCAAATTGTCGACTCTCTTTCTCCTCAACCGGGAGGGGGACGAAGAGCCGCAAGCAATATTGTCCACCACACCCATCGTAAGAGATCTCGGCGTGGTCGTGGAGCCCGAACGGTCAGCATATTGCATATATCAGTCGCGACGAGATCGTGCAAGAAAGCGATGTCAAGCTGCATGAGGAAAGTGATGCAAAGGTTTACGGGAAAGATTGGCCATTTGCCAGGTTGCGATGTCTCGATATCTCGACAGGGGTGGTCAGAACAGTCGTGGAAAAGGCTGCCCATGTAACAGGATATGTGTAAAATCAAGATTCCTCACGGATCTTATACGTAACGCATGAGAACATTGAGCCTGATTCGACTGGTTACAATGGGTCGAAGTTCGAACAAGTTGAGCTCTCCACAGGACAAATGTCATCATATCGCGGACATTCCTGGGCTCACGGCGGATCTGGAATGCGAGGGATCAAACGTCTACTTTCGAGCTGGAGTAGTACCCGAGCATGCAAGTACATCTTGGATGGCCTATGTCATTCAATTCACCAGGGTCAATGGTCAAAGCATGCCTATGGTGATGATGATTGCGCAGCCCAGATCCGCCGGAGTGGGTGTCAGTCGACGGCCACACTAGTGCGATCGGGTTTGAATGATCATTTGCACCTCAACAACAAGGAAATCCTATAAAGTGATTTGCACGAGTAAAGACAGGTCCGAATGAGTGTCATTTTGGGACGACAGGTCTGTGAACAATTTCAACAATGGCTCGCTGTGCTCCGCCAGTTGATGTCTCAAATGCTTTGTTCTACTGGCCCTGACCGCCCCAGTTTTCAGTAAAGTCCATCGACCCAGATTGAGAATTCGCTGCCTGACACGCACAATATCAACTTAGCAACTCCTTCTTCCATGTCTGTACGTTCTGATGACGGTGCGGTGGCTCGACGGTGGAGTCATTGGGGATCACGAAGAACTGTCGATAGTCTTCCCCACGAACCCAGATCCCGCAGTGACCGATCGACAGAAGATCCCAGTTGTCGCTGCAAGGAGAAGGCGGCACCTCATGTTCGGAGTGCCCAGGACGTACCAGGACCCTCGGGCGAAATAAACCAACCGTTGTCTGAGAGTGACGTTCCGATCCTCATTTTCAGCCATACTGTATGGTCCCCGTCGAAAAGACGTACCGCCCCAAGAAAACGTCCTACGGCAGCCTCATCTTCCTGGCCAAGCGATAAGTGGCCAGATCTCGGCGATTTTACCCTGCGTGAACTGGAAGAACACGTGTTCGTAGAAGACCGTACGGCGTCCCAGCGCTTGTTCGCTTTGAGACTCATGGCTTAATCTGAACCTTGCTGACACCATGCCGTTTAGATCGGTCAACACGCCGATAGGCTCCACCACCAGCATCTCAACGTCGAGACGGAAGTCGACCAAGTCACGAATTATATCATTTATCATTCTGCCATATGCTTTGGCGGTCATCGGTGGCTTTGAGTTGTAGATGACATTGTCGTGGACGAATTCTGGCAGTTGTGCGAATTGCTGCTTGCTCATACAAACTGCGTATGCGGAACATATCGCACGAAGGTCCATTGAGTCCAGTGCAGATCTATACCACGGATGCTGCACTCCGTGCGTAGGAAAAATCGAAACGTGGCCAGAAGCATGAGTTCAGGGTCTCAGACTATTTGATTAAATCATCTGGACTTGAGGTCGCTCTGCGCCTCTCATGATCGACCATTTGATCGGGCCCCAACCCGAAAGGCTAGTCCGAGATCAAATTCGGCGAAATAAGCACATGTGCGTTGCAGAGATGGGCGGCAGAAGTGCAGAGGTAGAGCTCCTCCTAATCTGCCAAGTACGCTGGACTAAATATACGTTGAAGACACAAGTGCTGCACAACCGTCTTGCGCATTTCAATGAGTTTCCTAACAACCATGGCAGCAACAGTAACTACTCTAGCTCCGAGACTCGCCATTTGAAGTCAAATCTCAACTTCGGCTTCTGGAATTCTAAGGCATCCACTCCTATCCGGTTTCACCGGAATAGCAAGGCCGTAGCCAGCTAGAGCTTGACAGATCTGTTGTCCACTCTTCCGTCTGAACTTTGTAGACATATGTTAGGCGGACTCACGCCCCTCGACCCCATTCTACTTGATTACAGTTAACAATGGTAGCGTGTCTAGTCAGTCAAATTATATAGGTAATCCAGATTTGGTTCCTGAGTGCTGAGTACTTTGGGATTCGTCGAATTGACGAACTGCACCATCCTTGAGGTATCTCGCAACCATCCTACATTCCCTTCAAGTAAGCACGTATCGATTTTATACATACTTCGACTACATGGTATGTATGCCATTTGCCGATCTCACATCTTTCCTCGAGACTAGGTCAGCATTGACCATCATAATGGAGAAGATATTCTATTTCAGGTTGTGCTAGTATATCTTTACTTCCAATTACTCAGGGCAGGTTAAAGTCTACCAATATTCGTCTGTACATGTCAGAGGTTGCGACAGTAATTCACGTGTAACATCACTTACCCTGCCACTTGCCCGTTCTTCAATTTTTGTACAGCCTCATTGAACTTTCCCATCCCAACCACAGTCGGCTCAAGGTGGAGCTTTCCTACCATCAATGATTAGTACCGTCATTTTGTACGTGACCTCTCAGCCCTCTCACCACGTCTCGCAAAGTCTAAAGTCTTTGCTATATCTATTCTGCTGCTCGATAAGGTGCCCTTGATTGACTGATTCCTCAAACAAAGTCGAGTAGGGTCAGTGTCAATGTGATATTTCCCCTTGGGTGGCAGTCCAATGCTGTGTCCAAGTTCGTAAGTTGATTCTCCTCAACATCTGCAAGTCGCAGCAGGTGTTACCTACCACATAATCACACCGCCGGCACGGGAACCAAGATAATCAAGTGAGACAGGATAAGACTGGACCGCTGCTAAAGTCAGTCTCATTTGCCAGAGCTATCCTGGCCTTGACAAACACTTACCAGTGACAAATACACCATGAGCACCACCACCGGTGATTTCCAGGACCCGCTTGACGGGGTCTCGCTCCTTCAGAAAGTCGATAAAATCCTCCGCCCCGAGACTCAGTGCAAGCTTTCGGCGATCATCCCCAGTATCTACCACCACTGGTCTGATGCCCAGGGCGCAAGCCAACTGCACACCTTGAATACCTGTACCGCCGCCTCCTCCCGGGAAAACTGCCCAGTCGCTGGCCCGGAGCCCCGATTCTTTAAGGGAAGAATACATAGTGCTAGCAGAGCACATTGCAGGCCCGGCCACATAGTCGGAAACCCCCTAAATGTCGTCTTAGTCATGGTCGATCAATATAAGCTGTCGCAAGATACCTCTGGGATCAGCTGTTTCGCGACCAGTCTGTCAGTTTCTGATCGGCAAGGACAAGAACGTGTACTTATGGACTCACATGTGCAAAGCTTTCCGGAACGGCGCAATACTGCATGTAAGTTCCTGTAAGTATCAACATATTTTCTTTCAATTTGTGGACAGTCTTGGTGTACCGTCTACTGTGCCACCTGTATAGATGGCTTGTTGGCAATAATTCTCCCTCCCCAACTTACAGTACTCGCAAAGATTGCAGGTATTGTGGATGGGACCATATGCAGCACGTTGACCAACCTTGCAGCTCCTAACACTCTCGCCAATCTTCACAATTACCCCAGCACCTTCGTGGCCGGCACAAGACAGGCCCATCTCCGACATTTTGGGAAAGGCCCAGTCGTTCATCATAAAATGAACATCGGTAAGGCATAACCCTGTCACGTTGAGCTTAATGAGAACTTCAAATGGGCCTGGCAACACCGTGGTCAGCCATTGAAACGCAAGATAAGCGAAGGTAGTCCGACCGATTTTAGGCACGGGAAGTTTTTCCACCGCCACGAAGAAATCTGGACCTTCATTTTTCTGTCATTTTGTAAGTCCTAGGTCTACTATGCCAGATTGTCGAAAGCCACGCACGACAACAGCCCCCCAACAGTGCGTTGGGATCTCCATAACTGCTTCGGTCGCTTCTTTAAACACAACTGCTAAGTTATTCAAAGCTGTCAGACACCGACTGAAGTGCCTTAAATTGAGTAGAGGTGTAGTGCTTGCTACAAAAACCTAGTTGAAATACGACGACGGCCGCAGGGCTGGAAAGGCCTAGAAAACTCTAGAGAAACGTCTAGCAAATCATTGGAGTCCCAGTCAATGATCAAGCTGGTCAAAATTGCATGAATCAATACAATTACTAGGTAGCATTGCTTCGCCGCTAACCAAGCGGGGAAATCCCTTGTTATCATACTCTTTCGCCGAATGGGACCAAGACAAGGTTCATGCTAAAAAAAACAACATATACGTATGATAGACTTGACTTGACGCCTGTACGTTGGGCTAAAACGACATCCGTCTTACTAAGGTGAAAAAGAGGCAGTCAGAACACGCCCGCTGGTTGAAACTTCACGGGAACGAAGGTGGGAACGAAGATTTTTCGAGATTTCAACACAGATCATGTGGATTCATACTTCTGCTCGCCATACTTTATGCTTGGGCACAACATTGACTTTGAAGTGATGTCAGTAGTCTTATTGATCTCCTCTTTCTCTACCCAATCGTGCTCTGTCGTTCCACGGTGTTGAGTGTCTCATGCGTGGTAGGGACTGTGTACCAACATCACCCGACCATGCTTACTGGCTTGAAATTCAATAATGAACATGAGTTTTGCGACTTCCCTCCAGAAACTACATCGTGTTCTCAGGTAGTTGAGCCATTGGCACAGTGGATCTCAAATGGTGTGCGTGAGCTCCGATACATCTGTATGAAAACCAAGAGCGCGTTTCTTCTCACTGAACTCGCGTTCCATCTTGTATGCCAGACGGCTGTCACTCGCAAATAGAATATCAAGCTCCTCCAAGTGCCGCTTGGCTGTCTCGACATAAAACAGCCACACAGGGATGATTTGCAGGAAGTTCATGACCGCAAACATGATGAAAACCCACCATCCCACGGCACTAATGACGTACGGGATAACCTCATTGATGACTGCGCCCCAAAAGGCAAACGACACCATCGACAAAGAAACCCCTTTTGCTCGTGTTGCGAGGGGGAAGACCTCTGTAGGATAAACCCAGCTGTGATGGACACAAGTCAGGGGATTCATCGTAAGGAAAGGGGCGGCTGGGGGGTTGCAGTATGGCCTGAAGAGGAAAACTTACCAGCATGTGATCCACGTACTGCCGAAGCCGCAGGTGTATAAGAAGACAAAGACCACTACCGCAGCACCATATGCTTTCTTCTTGGTCAGTTGAGTCTCCGGCGTATTGATGGCTACCCTTGCCAGAGGTCCTGCGATAAGTAAAGAGGTACCCATGACCAATAAACCGGCCAACATTAGCTTTCTTCTCCCAGCCCGCTCCACGAAGTACATGCCGATTGGTACACTGCATGTATAGGATATAAAGTTGAAACCAGCCAGCATTGCGGGCAAATTGCCAGTGACTAGAGGGAATGGTTACGATCAGTCATCTGATCGTCCAAGTTGGAGGTTTGAACAAAAGCACTTACATCCACTGAGACCGAAGATGATTGGCCCATAGGCGGCGATAGCATCAGGACCACATAGTTTCTCCATGGCCTGGATACCGATCGCAAGGCCGACGCGACGGCGGGTATGTAGAGCATCCTTCTTCCATAACATGGAAATAAAACCATGAGCCGAGGATTTCGCCTCGATACGAATAGCCTCCTGGATTTCAGCTAACTCTTGCTCAATCGCCTGATCCGAAGGCCGAAGTCGACAACGACCGAGGATCTCTCTAGCCTCTTCTAGTCGGCCCGTTTTGGCTAAGTGACGGGGTGTCTCGGGGAAAAAGTTGGCGGCAACAATGATGAAAAGTAGAAATACCATCTGGAAAGCCTGTGGAAAGCGCCAGGCAAATTGTGGAGATCGAGTCTTGAGACAAGCATACTCCATCCAGTAAGTCCTTTTTGGCGTTAGTACAGGGGTAATACTGGGCAAGCGATCTGAGTGTCTTACATGGTTGCCCCAGCCACACACATGGTGAACTGCACGGAAACATACGCGCCGCGAAGATTGTAGTCGGCGATTTCTGACGTCCAAATTGGTGCTATGGTGTTGAGGTGGCCGCAACCTATACCGCTGATTATACGTGCACAGACCATCCAGGAGAAATTCTGGGCCGAAGTCAAAAGACAGGCTCCCAAAATTCCCCAGACGCATCCGAGTTGAATAGATTTGAGCCGTCCGATTTGGTCAGCATAACTGCCGGCCATGAGAGCACCTGTGCAAACACGCTCGTCAGTGATTTCACTTCATGTGATTGAGATTGCCCCATGTCTGGCAAGGTATTGGAAGATAGACATGAGTGGCAGTAATACCTATGAGAAAGCCCAGAAACCAAAAGCTCACGATGCCGCCCACTCGCGCGGCGTCCCTATTCGTTCCACCAGCGGAATCCATGTGCTCCAGATAGTCTGGGTTGATGTTCACAAGACTCATCACGGCAGCATCATAGCCGAAAAAAAATAGACAGGTTCCTGCAAGGGACAGGATGCATGCCACCATGGGCATGCCTGACAGCTTCAAGCATCTTGACCGTGAATAGCCCCCGGGTATGTATTTTGACCAGGTAGGCTCAGCTGAATGTTTGAAACATTAGTAAAGACATCTCATGACGCAAGACGAAGATTGCATTATACCTTGAAAGTATTGTTCGGTGACGTTGATGTTGGGCTGGACGTCATCCGTATGCCTAGCTTCCACCTTTTCGTCGGCCATCTTGCGAGATCAGCAAGTTCTCAGATTGGAAGAATGTGGTCCAAGGTTGACGAATAATGTTGAGGATTAAGCAGTAAAATCGTGAATAACCCAAGATCTTAGCACAACAATATTTCTGTCGTGTCAAGATCGAGCCTTCGAGGAAATTTAGAGAGTAATGTAGTCTCTGGCAAGATGTGTGCTCAATCCCTTGTGTTGAGATCGTTTCCGGTCAGGGTAAACAGGCTTGCCAAGTCCGTGCGTATTGAAATCTGGGGAGCGGGGAAAGCGGATGGAGAAAGGTCACACCAAATTTCGGCAAAGATTCATCGTTTTGGGTCTCGGTCCAGTCCGAGCAGTATCTGAGCTCCTGGCTGAAGCCCAACACGTAGAGAAATGGGCAGGAGAGGCAGGGAGCGGGATACTGAGCCCCGCGAGCGCTGCCATAATGGTACGTCAATATTCGCCGAAATGTCTCCACCGGGTACCTGACAGGGAAATTCTTGAATCCAGATTCAGCCGGCCGGGTTTTGCAAAGAGCCGTAAGCCGGTGGTCAGTGAGACCGCCACGCCAATCATCGTCACAAGCGTCAGCCCAACACAAATCTACAACGCGTGGCACGGAGAACACGTTAATTGAGTGGAGAGACAGTGGTGCCGTGGCGCATGACTGGGTTCTCACTTTTCTATCTTGTGGACTCGTGTACACAGTAAAGAATCTCGAAACCCACTGCGCGCGGAAACGTATTCGGCGAAGATTCCTCTGGATCGTTTCCGGCCAAAGTATAGCATCACGACTTGGACACGAGTGTAGCCTTAGAGTCAGACCTTGACCGCCATGACAGCTTTCGACGGCGTTAATTCGAGGCAAAACAAAGAATTGCCCGGAAAATGGGCGAGTGCCATGTGTAATCCATAGTTTGATACATACGAGGAGATAATTACCACTAGATGGTCAATGGTTATTCTTCTGTACTTCCGATAGGGCCAGATTGCGAAGCAGCTGCTCACAGCAGATCGAGCTACGAGGATCCCACATCCAGATCACCCACAGCACCGATACACCAGGCTATGTCAGCTCAGATGACCGACCTCCAGATCTATGGGACAGAGTTACCATTCAGGTTAGAGGCGCGACGCCGACCCAAAGACGCACATCGAAGCTCAGATAAGAAGCCAAAGAATGTGATATATAGCTTGACCTTGGCGCTAGCGTTGTATACCAGGTTTGCAGCAGAGAAGCTGTCAAGTTCCTGTGATATTACTCGACAAGTCCTTTTAGTGTCTTAGGCACTTCCAACGTCCTGCTCTAGGATGATCAATGTGGGTTCCAAGCAAGACGCCTAGACTTCAACGCTACAAATGGAACCCCAGCAGTGAGTTCACCGTGTCCACGACGGTGTCTGACAGCTGTTTCCATTCAACGCCCAATTCCCTAACAACTTTGCGATTATCGACCTTGTAGAGCCCGCCCTCTGGATAGCCGCCGCCGTCGCCACCCTCGGAGGGCAAGCGATCCCGGAATTGATCGTGATGCTTTCGAACGATATCCACCAGCTCCTTGTTACAGAAATAGCCTGCCGTGACGAGAAAGCGCTCGTTTGCTGCTTGAGGCTTTTCAAGCGCCAAGACGTGACAAAGGGCGAGATCACGCACATCGACCCAGGTGAATGTGGCGTTGGGCGGGACCATTTCTTTGAATTTCCCCTGGATCAAATCACGGATGACTTGGTTGCTGGTGTTGAGGTTGTCGAGGCTGCTGAGATGGCTTATAACAGGTCCCAATACTTGTGGTGGGCACAGGGTCGTGAGTGAGAATGACGGCTTTTTTCGCTCTATGAATTCCCAAGCAGCTTTCTCGGCAAAGGTCTTACTGGCCCGGTAGCCGTTGGCGACGTCCTCTGAGGCTTGCTCGAGAGTGATAGGATTCCAGTCTTGTTCAGTGTATGTGTGTTCTGGCCACGAGCCCATGAAAGGGTTCACAACCGAGGCAAAGGACGAGGTGATGACAACGTGTTTGACGGCTGGCGCTTTTTTCACGATGGATTCTAGAATCCCGGTGGTGCCTTTGATTGCAGGATCTAAAAGATCTTGTTGAACATTGGTTACGTTGAAGTGGAACGGGCTGGCAGTATGGATGACCGCTTCGAAGGGCGGGTTGGAAACGAGAGCGTCGTCAAAAGCATTATCTTCTGCAATTTCCTTCACGATTGCAAAGTCTAGCCTTTCTTTACCGATCATCGGATATGCTGCTCTGATCTTGTCGGCCTTGTCCGTAGAACGCACGGTCGTCAACACGCTGTAGCCCCGGTGGATGAGATGATCTAGAACATGCGCCGCAATGAACCCAGACCCGCCGGTTAGGAGAACGCGCGTCATGACGTCCTGAGATACAATCTTGATTTGGTTCAAAGATTGTTTGTTCGTGCCAGCTACTCATTGCCCTTTTGCACTGGTCCGGCAATGGATTAGAGTGGTGTCAGGCGAGTTGAAACGACGTCGGAAGAGTCAAATATTAGTTGAAAAAGGGTCAATTGAGGTTTTGCGGCGAGAGCCACTAATTTTCCTTTTGAAATACATGTGTGCGTATTGAAGCTGATTGTTGTAAGATTTGCCAGCCAACGTAGCTCATCAGTCGTGCTTAGAAAGGGTTCGGCGAAGTTCGAGCACCCGGCGAAAGTGAATGGACTCGCCAACGCTTTCTCGCACATTTTCTGTCATGTGGCATGGCATGGGCGTCCTGCACAGCTTATCTGCAAAGCACAGGCACTCCACCAAACTCTCTCCTCTGCTCTTAGAAAATCCAGATTAGAATCAAGTACTATTCAAGAAATTCGTTACTGTAGCAGCAAGCCCCCTCTTCTACCTCCTTTTCCTCCTCTACGTTGCTAGCAATACGTGACATTTTCGCTATCGTGGACCGAGAGCGAAGATTCTTAACTAAAATTAGAAATGGATGCAGTTGTAGATACCAATCTTCTCTAGGATCTGCGATCAATCCATCGTTCTGCATTTACTGGCAGCTCTGAGTACGGACTCCAGAGCAGTGTGTCATACCAAGATCCGTAGTTACAACGTTGTGATACAAGTTCAAGATCGCTCTCAGATTCTGCCTCTTGATAAAATGGAGAGGTTCATACGAAGCTGTCCAAATAGCTCAACAACTCGAGCTGCTTAGGCGACAAAGAACACAACTTCAGAAAGGAGGGATCATTTTCATCTCTGCAAACTTCTCGAACACTGCGCGCATAGACTCGATAGAGTCAACATACCCATGCCAACCAAATTTACGAGCTTTGTTCATGCTATAATCACCGTTGAGCATTACTCTCTCGCCGCAAAACTTGCAGAGATTGCTTACCTGGTTTGCCAGGACCATGTGAGCTCGAGTGCGAATTGCAGGAAAGCGAAGGTGCTCTTAGGGTCCCGCAATGGGTTGGTGGTCAGTCGGTGTTCTTTTTTCAACTCCTCCCACGCTTGTCGAGTCGCCGGCTCCTTTGCCCATTCAATGAAACTGAAAGTTGACCGAAGTTTGCCTTTTGGTCCGTATCTTTGGTGGATTTATCAGTGCAGCCTAACGGAGTCTGAGGAAGGACGTACCCTCGTGGCACAAATGGAAGCTCTACCTCGCGGTAGCTGGCTTTCTCTTGCGGAGGGTGCCATTCCAACCCAAACCACGATGCCAGGATTGGCCAAAGCTTGCCAAAAGTGAATTCCGATCCGTCCGTTATGTTGAATGACTCCCCAGCGGTGCCTTCAGTCAAGACCAGCCACTCGTAAAATGTACCGAGAATAGGTCCACTAGATATGGGATGATTATTGTCCCAAGATGTTAGATCGCCAGGATATTCGAGGGGATGCTTTAGCTTTCGCTGAATGGAAGCATAGACTGCCAGCGGGTAGAAGATGGTCATGTCTGTGCCTGCGACTGCCGCCAAGATCCACTGCGGCATGGTGACATTGTAGCTCGCCCGAGGGTGTGTTGTAATGTACTTCGCCAGTAAATCTTCTTGAGTGTAGTAAAAGTTTGGTTCTAGTTTCACCCTCGGTACGCCCTCAGTTAGGGGCACATTGACGTGGCCTTGATGAACCCCGTAATTCTTGCCTCCGGTTTGCAGTACGATCCGTTTAGGTCGAACATTTGCTTGGTCCAAGGCGATGAGGAAATTCTCGAAGAGGCGCCCTTCATGAGATCAGAGTGGTTGTTACTTTTATCGAGTCGGGTTCTCTCACCGTTGGTTTCGGCCAAATGGGCGGCATCCCCGAACACCTCAGAGTCAGTATCTGGCCTCGCAACCTGTACATAGCCAAAGTAGAAAATGTAATCCCTGCATGGACGAAAATATCAGAAAATTGTTTCGATGAGCGCTCACGAGTTCGAGGCAGCTTACGCTTGGACTTTGTGTTCTTGTAGAAGGCTTGCGATCTTCTCAGGCTCCCATAGAAGATCTACTGCTACATGCTCGACGCTTTTCGCAATTGATGTTGGCGGCCTCCTTGACAATGCGTAGACCTTCTCCCATCGATCCGGGTTTACACTCAGCACATCAACTACGGGCTGGCCGGATTGGCCGCTCGCGCCAACGACCATGGCTCGCAGGTTCTTCGAGGAGGCAGGTAAAACAGGCAATCCATGGAAAATCCCGTCCGAGCGTAAGTGGTATGTCCTGCTTGCTGTAGTGGTCATGATGTCCACTAAATTTGACAAATGAATAATAATGTTGATTTCTGCGAAGAATTATGAATATCATAAATAATGTAGATATAACGAAAATTCCTAGGGCCTTCGCGACCAAGACCGACCCTCTGCTGCCCCGTCAGCTGGAGAGGTGTCGGATTTGTAAGTGCGGAGTAGACAGACCATGGCATCATTTCTAGGGTAGTTCAATGTCATTCGGCGAAGTTGAAACCATGCGCTACGATGGATGAGCTCCGTCTGATTGCTTGTTGAATCCGATGTGCACGAGAAGAAAGTGTTGTTCCAATCTCCTTCCAGGTAGGGTATTTTATGATGCGAGAGAAGTTTTCATCGCATCAGACTATCACATTTCCAGAACAATTGGTGGTAGTTTCTGATCCGTCTAAGGCTTCGACATTACAGTAGTACTGAGCTGAGGGATACCGTGTGTCACATCACTGTGCTCATAATACAGACAACGATACCTGAACTAGCTATATGCTTCCAGCTATGCCGCATCACCAACCACTTCGAATACTGGAGGTAGTACCTCCTTAGGTGCCACCTATGTACTTACACCAATTTGGACTAGGATTGCGAGCAATCCATCCACCGTCCACGACGAATGCTGTATGTCGTCAGCGAGCAATTCAATCAGACAAATTGCCGATGGTTTTCTTACGATGTCCAGTAATATAAGACGCTTCTTCTGAAGCCAGGAAGAGCACCAACTGGGCCACTTCTTTGGGGTGCCCTCCGCGATTCATGGGTATGCTCTCGAACAATTCATCCCTGAGCTTTTCATTTCTCAATGTTCCTTCAGACAGAGGGGTATCCATGAACCCAGGGCACACCGTTACTGCACGGATGCCGTCTCTTGCATGGTCTATGGCAATTGTCCGTGTGAGATTGATTAGTCCTCCTTTCGCAGCGTTGTAGGAAGAGAGACCATAATCTCCTCCAATTCCCGAAACACTTGCAGTATTTACGATCACTCCTTTTCCGTGTTTCTTCATATGAGGAATAACAGCCTTAGCAAGATAGAAAGCCCCACAAAGATTGGTCATGATGACTTTGTTGAAATCGTCAACATCGTGGTCGACCACTGTAACTATTGGACTCAGCCGTCCGGCATTGTGGAACAGGACGTCAATCCTTCCCAGTTTTTCGATGCATGTTTCGACAGCGGTGAAGCAGGACTTGGGGTCTGAAGGTGTTTTGTACGTCAGTGTGGGTTTGATGATCAATGCGTACCAATACAGCTGCATGCGCACAGAGATCCCAGAAAGAAATGAGAAGAACAGACTACGCATTTACTTACCTGAAACGTCACATAGGTAGAAATGAGCATTTCGACCAAAGCGCTGTAGTGCATTCCGTTCCTGTTCGGCCAAGTGACGTTAGCAGCGTCCAGGCAAGCGCAGTCTGCTCCCATACTGAAGCGTCGCAGGCCAAGGCCGCGTCCAGAGAGTGTACCAACAGATCAAATGGCGTCAAAACATTACCTCTAGGTCCGCGACGAAGACTTTGGCGCCTTCGTCTAAGAAGAGTTCGCACGTCTGTGCTCCAAGTCCAGAGGTGCCTCCTGTGATGAAAATCACTTTATCTCGAAAGCGCCCTGCCATGATACCAGTTACTAAAATGTCGATTCAAGTCGAAGGTTTGCTCCGCTGCGGTGCGCCACGGCCTTCAGACAGCTCAGTTCAAGGTGGGAGAACAGGAGCCTCACTTTGAGTCCGCTCCTGTACTAGCTAGATCCATGGATGGGTATGGGTTCAATAAGCTGACTTCAAGGCTCTGTTGAAGACTGTCTTGCAGCTCAACGTGTGGCGGACTACATGGTGATCCATCGCCCACACTCGTACGCAGCAGCAAGAATGAGTCATCGCTTCACCTGAATGGTATGTGATATTCGCCGAGTATCCGTGTAGGCCCGCGAGCACTATAGAAAATCACATTGGACACCAGAATACTTGAGCACCACACGAATTGGCTTACCCGCTAATTCGTACCCAATACGGATCTTCGGCGAAAAGTTGCCACCAAAGGAACTTATCCGTCCACACCTTGGCTGCATTTCTCCAACATCTCCGCAATCCACTCCCCCAATTCGCCGAGCTGCGGGGGAACGATCGGCACTAGAAGACGTGAGACGGCCCCGATAGTCAATCCTTCCTGACGAAATATTTCCTCCTTCGCAGTGGTCATTGGGGGTTGGACCTCTTTGGCTTAACTGGCAATGTTGAACCTCCGGCATAATTCGGCGAAACAATCTTCAGACGCCGTCCCACACTCCAGTGCCCCTCGTGAAATGCTGACCCAGTATTTCGCGGAACTCCCGATATGATGCACCTCCTATTATTCATACTACTACAGTGGCTTTGGTTGTCAAAGTCACCTCGAAGCAGAATATAAACGTGGAATTCGGAAAGTGCGAACACTCATGCATGCAAGTCACGACCAAGAGTGAGGACAATCACCCGTTGTCCGTCTTGCACCTGTCAATTCCTATATCAGATCAATACTTTTCTCGTGACGATGGCACCCTTACTCATGAAAGGGTGAGTAGATGATATCCGAAGACGGAGAAACTTGCGCTGAATAAACCAAAAGCGTCGGCCTCGTCACAGGAGCCGGTTCTGGGATCGGGCGAGCCTGTGCTAAGATTCTTGTCGAAGAAGGATGCACGAGACTCGTCCTCTCGGATTTGGCCCAGGCCAGCCTGGAGCAGGTCTCACGAGAGCTGAACGACATCGACCCTACCGTAGAAACTGTTTTGTTCATCGGTGACATGTCCAAAGAGGCCGATGTCAATCGAATGGTAGAAGAGGGCGTTTCCAAATTTGGAGCTATTCACTATTGCATTAACAGTGCTGGTGTGACAAGCAAACCAAGGCAGCGAACGCACGAATTGGAGACGGCAGCCTTCGACCGAGTCATGAACATCAACCTAAGAGGCCTATGGCTATGCGAACGTGCGCAGATCCGCCAATTTCTCAAGCAACCAGCCACGCTCAAAACTCGCAATCACCCTGAGACGATTGCTTTCCAGCGAGGAGCCATTGTGAACATCAGTAGCATCTTTGGCATAACGGCTCATGCGACCGCCGGAGCTTATCCCGCCTCGAAAGCCGGGGTGTTGGGGCTTACAAGGACGGATGCTGTAGCTTATGCGGAGGACGGAATTAGAGTCAACGCCATATGTCCTGGCTTTATCAACACCCCCTTGGTGGAACAGGCTAGAGCAGCAGGCGTAGAGTACAACAGGCTCGTTAGTCTCATCCCTTTTCGACGGATGGGTGCTGCAGAGGAGCTAGCAGAAGCGGCAGTGTGGTTAGCCAGTGAACGGGCAAGTTATGTTAGCGGTGTAGAACTGCCGGTGGATGGTGCTTGGGTTAGAGCGTGCAATACATGAATAGTGCTTAAGAACTGGAGAGAGTTAGGAGTGTTGGCAATAATCTATAGTCTTGCTTGACATTCGAACATCTTGGATCAAAAAGAAAACTATTGTTTGACCATGTCGTAAGGAGATGGTCCTCAACATGTCACCACGGTTGAGCACGTATCTAGCCGCCGGACTGCACCTTCGTTGACACCAGGCGACGAGGTAAATTGACCAGGACAGAGGTGGATCCAGACGAGCTAATTGTCAAGCAAATGCTTACTCTACTCCCTTGCTCACTAGGACGCCCTCAGTCCAACGATCCAGCCCTGGTAATTCTTATCCAAAGTCTCATTAAGCATCCGCATGTATGACGGCAGCCCCCCCGCCCAACTGAGAGGCTGTACTTTCTTGCCCGGAATATTGGCACCAGTCCACCAGCTGTGCAATACCGTGAGCAAAGGACCCACCTTTAGGACGGGGTGTACTTATCTTGCCCTGAGGGAGAAGCGTTGCCTCCCAGCTCTCGCGAATCTTTGCACACCAGCCCTCAGCGGTTTCTTCTTTGGCCTCCATGGTTTCTACCCCCTCAGCGAGCATTTTTTTGAGCATTTTTTCGAACCATTGACCCTGGACTTGAATACAAGATGGGCCATTGCTGAAAGAAAAATATTAGCTAGCGTCGATACTGCCACGGATGGTTCACTTACGAAAATGTCGATGGTGCTTGCGGTCCGAAGAGGAAAAACATGTTGGGAAATCCTGGCACGGCTACCCCCATGGAAGTCTTGACTCCGTCGCTCCAATGTTGTTTCAAAGTCCGCTTATCAACGCCTCGAAGGTCGATATCCATGAAACCGCCAGTCAGGCCATCGAAGCCCGTTGCAAGTACGATCAAGTCCACGTCGACCTGTCCTGCGGCAGTGCGGATGCCCGAGGCGTTGATTTCCTCTATTGAGAACTCATTCAAGTCGATAATGTCTACGTTCTGCTGGCTGAGAACCTCGAAATAGGTCTGTTCAAGAGACGGGCGCTTTGCCCCGAAGGGATGCGGTGGGATCTCAGGTGCTAACAGCCTGGCTTTCTTGGGGTCTTGGATGCGTTTGAGCACCATGCGCCGCCAAAAGTCATAAGCAGCGTCGTTGGCTTTCTGATCGATGATCATGTCACTGTAACCAGCCACCCAGAATTTAAAGCCGCCATCTTGTATGAGGCCGGACCACAAGGCTTCGCGCTCTTCACTCGTGTCGTCGAAGGTCTTGCGGCCGTTGTTTCCGTACGGAACACCGGAATCGGTCTTCTCACAAGCTTTGAAAGCTGCCTCGTAGATGCCACTGTCTTTTTTTCTCTGCTCTTCTGCGGGATCTAATTTCCGCTGCTGCATCGGTAAGCTGAAGATGGTCAGATTGCGTGTCACAGTGGATGAGTAGATGAGGAATTACTCACCAGAAATTAGGCGTGCGTTGATACACAGTGAGATGCTTGCAGACCTTTCCAGCCTCTTGAATCACCTGAATACCACTTGCCCCCGTGCCGATGACGGCAATACGTTTGTCATTCAGATCGATATCATGGTGCGGCCAGTGTGCTGTGTGATACATCTCGCCACGAAAGTCGGCAGCGCCTTTGAGATGTGGAACATACCTATGTCATGCTCAGTCGCGCTCCTGGGATAAGACTCAAGAAACCCAGGTCCATATACTTACTCCTTGGCTGCAAATCCGACGTTCGCGAACAACCATTTGCATATTGTTTCTGTCCCGTCGGAACAACCCACTCTCCATCGTCGATGGTCTGAATCCCAGTGCGCATATGTCACGTTTTTATGATATTCAATGTCTTTTTGAAGATCCCACTTTCGCTCCACGTGTTGGAAGTACTTTTGCAGCTCGCGGAATCCAGGAAACCTTTCGGAGAAGGTAAAGTCTTCCCAAATCTCTTTGTCGAAGAACTGGTAAGCTGGCGAGTCGCTGTCGACACGAGCACCCGGGTCTGAATGATCAGCTGGATGTCAGATCTGATATAGAATCCACCTACATCGGTTCCAATGCCTGCAAAAAGTGGTAAGTCAAGACTCATGTCGACTTCAATTCGGTCCAAGACACTTACCAAACACCCCCGGAGCCCGATCCTCGCTCAAAAATCTTTGCGCGAAGACCTAGGTTGCGCAGTTTGGGAAGCATGGTGTAGCCTCCAAAACCGGCTCCAATAAGGACGGCATCATATTCTAGAGTTTCGCTCATGGAACCCATGGTTTGCTAAAGCTATGCTTGAAAGCTGGTGCGCCTTCTTGTTTTGAGAACCGTTGCCAACGGAGAGATCGAAACATAAAAGAATAGGCCAGCAACAAATCAAGCGAATTGATAAACCGCAACAAGTAATCTCAAGGCCAATATCTCCATTCGACTGTCCCACTAGCATGGGAATTTCCATATACCTGGGGTAATTCTATCGAAGTGTCCAGATCAAAGCCTGGGAGAAGTATTTCGGCGATGAAGCCTGTCAGGCCACATCAACTTCAAGGTTGTTCCAGACTTGTCCCTTCGCGTATCCTACAGTCCAAGCATATCGATGTGTTTGAGTTGTTGGTCAGGCTCTTTCGCCGAAATGCAACCCTACCCAATTGGAAAAGAGTCGGACTGGGCTCGAACACTAATTTTACCCGCCCTCGCCACAGAGCGCCACCACTTTCGAGTCCGTGTCTCTGGATGGTCAGGATCGACGGACTTGATCCCGCATCGCATCGCTGGGACATTCCGCCGATGAGGCTGTACTCGGCAGAAGTTCTGACCTTGAGCAGTGTTTGTTGTGGTTTATCTCTCGCTTGGACACCGCTTTCTCTGTGACCGAGTGCTGCCATTGTCGCTGCACATTTGAACTATCTCCAGAAGACTGACTATTACTAAGAAGAAATGGCTTGCTCCAGTGAAGTGAACGGTACTGCGACGCATGCTAACAAAGCCACTCTCAATGGCACCACCAATGGAATCGATATCTCGGCCGATAGAACTCCTGATCTAGGCGCCCATGCCGGCGACAGGCAACGCCTGAGAGACGCGAAAACCTCCTTGAAAGCCTTGCCAGCCTATACGCCCCGAAAACTTCGTGTTGTAACGATCGGTGCTGGGTATTCGGGTCTTACCTTGGCGCATAAGTTCCAGCATGAACACAGCGACCTGAGTGATATAATCGATCACACAATCTACGAAGTAAGGTCCGAACTTGGAGGGACCTGGCTGGTGAACACCTACCCAGGAGTGGTTTGCGATGTTCCGTCACATATCTACGTACGTCAAACAACAACTAGCTAGAAGGGGTGCATGCCTGGCACTAACAAGCAAAGGCGTTCCCATTCGACCCCAACCCTAGTTGGTCTCGGTTCTTCTCGACTGGACCTGAAATCTGGGCATACATGAAGAAAACCGCCCAGAAATGGAATCTCGAGCGTGATGTTAAATACAACCATCGTGTCAAGGGAGCTTACTGGCAAGGAGATCGTGGCCAATGGAAGGTCCTGGTCGAGCATGCCAACACGATTTTCGAAGACTATGCCGATATTCTGATCTCGGCGCAGGGGTTTTTGAAGTAAGCTGGCTCGATAAAAAGCTAGTCCAGTAGGCTTTTTTGACTCAGACAGCTAACGTGTCTCTAACAGCACCTGGAACTGGCCCTCGATTCCTGGGTTACAAAACTTCCAGGGCAAGAAGGTACATTCGGCAAACTGGGACCACGACTACGACTACAGCGAGAAAAGCATTGCGGTGATCGGCAATGGTTCGTCCGGCATCCAAATATTGCCTCAGATGGCGAAGCTACCAGGTACAAAGGTAACGAGTTTTCAACGTGGCGCAACCTGGGTGGTTAGCACCATGAGCCCTGCTTCTCTGCTTGGAAAAGACGACCCTGCGTACAATCCGGAGTACACAGATGAGGAGAAGGAAGCCTTCTTGAAGGAACCGCAAAAACATAATCAGTACCGGAAGAAGATCATTCACAGCATCAATGACAGTTTCAAGATGGTAAGTCAACGCCAGCAGCCGAGGCAAACGTCAAACTAACGGACAATACAGTTTGTGAAGAACTCGGAGCTCAATAAGCAGATCTTTGGCCTTGCCACTCGACAGATGACCGAAAAATTGAATAGCGATCCCGAATTATGCGAAAAACTCATTCCGAAGTGGGAGTTGGGCTGTCGACGGATCACCCCCGGAGAGGGATACCTCGAAGCCTTTTTACGTGACAATGTTGAGCTCACCCAGAGTCCCATCACCCATATTGATACGGATAGCGTCCATACATCTGATGGCAAGGCCTATAAGGTAGATGTCGGTATGTTTTGTTGAGCTGCATCATTGAGTCCTCATACATCTAGATCAACGAGCTGACATGATAAAATAGTCATCTGTGCCACCGGATTCGACGTCTCCTATCGCCCTCATTATCCAATCGTTGGCCGAGGGAATGTGAATCTTGCAAACAAATGGGCTAAGGAACCCTCGTCGTACTTGTCACTCGCTTCAGCCGACATGCCGAATTACTTCATGTTTACCGGGCCTAACGCGTTGATCGGCCACGGTTCCCTGATGGAAAGCCTGGGTTGGTCTGCCGAGTACATGATCAAATGGATCCGGAAAATCGCCTCGGAGGACCTCAAAGCCGTGGTTCCCAAGCAGGACGCTGTGGATGATTTCCTCGCCTATTCGGATCAGATCCACCAGACACTGACATGGACAGGAGCATGTCGGAGCTGGTACAAGAACAATACGATAGACGGCCGAGTGACCGCGACGTTTGCGGGTAGTGCGTTGCTATTCAAACGACTCATTGAGGATCTGCGACCGGAAGACTTCGATCTTGAGTCGAGAGACGAGAATCGCTTCCGGTTTCTAGGGAATGGATTTTTAGCATACGAGTTGAACAAGGGGAATGATTTGGCTTGGTACGTGAAAATGTGAAATAGCAATATGGTGAAATACTGGGGAGCAGCTTTTGTAAGCCGGAGGTGATATATGTACAGAAGTCTTGCAATCCTCATGAAGATTTCTATCCCGCAAACATCCAAAAATCCCCGGAGCCGATTGGACCCGATGCGAACCCTTTCAGAGAACGTTGCCTAGTGATTGTACACTGTAAAGACATTTCCGACGCCTTGCATTTTCGACCACAAACCCATGGAATGTATTCATCAAAGGAAGAAGGGCCATCTTACTATTCCAAACTCATCATTATTAGCGTCAGAACAGGGCCATTTTCCAGAACATTCGGCGAATTCTCCAATTCGGGTGTAAAAAGGGAAGATGATAAAGTTGCGAACGCGTAAAGTGTTCCTGAATTACATCTGGCATCGACTCTTCTATACGCCATCTGCCTGTGGCAATCTGAGGCGGCGCCCAAAATTATGGACAACACGACTTTATCCATCGGAATTGAGCCGGATCGGCAGAGTCAGCCAGTGCACGTCGATCAAAGTCAATACTCAAGATGGCCCAAATAAGCCAACACCCCAAAATCTTCTCATCGTTATCAGGGCAACAAGCATCCATGCATCGCTGAGATTCTTCGGCCACGAGTCCAGAGCCTCGTCTTAATACTTTCGTCTACGCGGCGTTACCCGATATCCATCCTCCGAAACGTCCCGAAGTTTCTCACGTGCCGGTGTGGAAATGGCCGTGGAAACCTGGACGACGTAACTTCTCTGCATCATGCATTCCAAGGAGCAACGCAAAACTTCGCCAATAGGGACTCGAACCGGTTAATGTCCAATGCAATGAAATCCCCCGAGATATTGGCCCGCGTCCAGTCACCAGCTGAGTATGCGGCAGTCATTGAGAAACGCTATGGTAGGGGTATTGTTGAAGCCGCCGCCGCTACTGCGACGCTATGATGCATCGTACATGGCGGGCTCACAAGTCCTCTAAAATGGAGCCGGGGACGATACACCAAGGTTGCTATGTTTGATGCCAGGGAAGTTTAGCGTCATGATGGAAGGATTTTACGCCGCCGATGGGGTACTGATGCCGGAAGTATTTGCGCCGAAGAGACTCTCAGATGGCCGTTAAGAATTGGCAATGCATAAGGCCGGCGATGTCTCAGTCCCCATTGCTAATGTAGAAGCAGATCTGGGCAATTTGGTGGCCGCATTATTTCAGGCAGAACCTGGCATCGTCCTCGTCGGTGCGGGTGAGTGTTCGACTTGGCAGCAATGGCTACAACAATGGAGAGAACACAATTAGGTTAAGACAGCGTACCGCAAGGGCCTGCGCTGACGAAGTCGCGCCGGGTATCGAGGGCCTCCATGAAGCTTTCCTCGAAGAGTTCGAGTCCGTCGAGCAATTGGAGTTTGTTAATGGAGCCAAGGAAGTGCTACTACACCTTTACGCAGCGAATAAGGAGTGAGCGGCAGGCATGACTTGAAATGAACTCGTCTTCGCCAATCAACAACCAGACCAATCATTCTTCTCCGTGTCAAGTCCAATCGATCCGCTTCGATCCCGTTCTGGTTGTATCGTTGAAGATTGAATACAATGGACCCCTACCAGGCAAAGCGCGAGCCAGAAGTTGAGAGTCACGAAGCTGAGTACTCAGACCGCGATACATTCCAACAATACTTCTACCGTAAGGAGAAGTCTCAGCCACTTACTCCCCTTTTGACCTTGGTGGCTGAGGCGACCGAAAGCGGACCCACCGTAGGTCAGATATGTCCCCGGAGGATACTCTCGCTCTCGCTGCACCAACCTTCAAGGAAGGCCCATGTTGATGGCCATCTTGTGCCTCGCTGGACTGTGTACCTTGTTCTTCGGCTATGATTTTGCCGTCATGCCCCGGGCCAACATCAACCCTGATTACTGCAAGTACATGCAATCCGACAGTGATAGTCACGAGGCTGCAGCAAGAATTGGCAGCTTTGTTAGTTTCTGGTTCGCAGGATTTCTTGTTGGTAAGCCTACTGCACTTCGATCGTGGCCCAGTTTGTATCTCATTGGTCCGATCTTGTCTGGATCATACGCAGACTCTATCAGGCGCGTCCAGACCCTTCAGCTCAGTTGTGTCTAGGGCATCCTTGGGTAAGCTCTCCTGGCCGGTGCCAACAGTTCCACATGGATGGGCGTCGCTCGAATCATCAGTGGAGTTGGGTGCGGATATCTCAACACTATTTCGTCCATCTGAACCTCTGAGTTGACAAATTATAACCAACAAAGAGCCTTTGTTGCCATTCAATATGCGCTTGCCGTCTTTGGCGCTCAAGTGTGAGTCGCGAGTACTGCCATTTTGACATTTGACATCCTATAACCAATGGATTCATAGAGTTTATTGGATGGAATTTGGCTGCCTCAAAATCGTTAGCCTACTCTTCCCCTGGCGCTTTCCTCTACGATTTCAGGTTGTCTTCCTCCTGATGGTCGTCGTTCTGGCGTTTTTCTTCCCGGAAACACCTCGTCATTTAGCCCAAACTGGTCGCCTTAAGGAGGCGAAAGAGATGCTTTCCCGTTGCCGCCTACAACCGACTGAAGAATCCGTCACGAGGCAACTAGAGGAAATTAAGAAAGCTATCCAAGATCGAGGCTATCCAAGCATCTTATGAGTTCGTTCCCACGATCTGGAAAAGAAAAGCGTTGCACACACGCAGACGGGTGGTGCTGGCGATAGGTATACAATTTTTGAGAGAACTGACTGAACCAGACGTGATCGCCGCGTTGGCCTGCAGGTATTTGCACTAAGTGGCTGTAGGTCTCTCAGCTTGTCCTTTCAAGCGATGTGTGACTAATGCAACCTCCATTGTCTAGTCTCGGAAGACTAGCTATCAACCCTAGCAGTTTCTAAATTTCATACCATATACGACCTCAACTATTATTGCTTCATATACCGTTGAACGCTTCGGCAGAAGAAAGCTCTCACTCAAGGGGCTAGTCGTCATGTGTAGCCTGTTGATGATCACCGGTGGTTTGGCGTACAAGGTATGCAAGCGCTACGACAACGGGAGTCGCCGCTTGCGTGTTTCTTTACACAGTGACATTCGGAGGCATGTGGATTGCTGCAGCATAAGAGTGCCGGCCTCAATTTTCCCCCTCTGTTTTGGGTACTGACAACTTCGAGTTTTGTGTACGCCACCGAGACCTTTCCACTGGCCACACGAGCCAAGGGCGGAACGCTCTGGATGGTCTCATTTGCAATTTCTGGCAGTGTCTGCAACAAAATCATTCCTTATATTATCAGCGCGGCCGATTTCTGGGTGTTTATCATCCTCGCCCTGTTCAACTTCATTCAAATCGTAGACGTGTGGTGTTTTATTGTGGATACTGCGCATCAACACCTAGAGGATCTAGATATCTTCTGTGCCACCGACAGTCCTCGCCTACAAGGCTGAGCGACAGTACAACAAGAAGAAGGATGCGCTGGGTTTGACACAACAGCTCAGGCCGTCTTAGCCGCTTGAAAACCTTGAAAGAACTGTTTGGTGACAAAATTGTGGATGATGGAGCCCTGCCAGATCCTGGTTTGCAATGCCGGCTGGGCGAAGAGAGATGTCGATCTGATGCTTCCACCAATACGCCATAACGATCAAAGCTCTGTAAATGAGAACCCCAATTGAACACAGTAACTTGCATCAGGATTTCCAGGCATCCACGGCCACATCACTCTCGAATGGCATGTCATGGCGTTCTGGTCTGCTACCCGCACTTGAAAGTACGCCATACCTTTTGAGGTACTCTGGCTTGACTCAGTTGGTACATGAGCCCAAATATGATATGTGGTATAACGGCTCTTCAAGGCAGGGACGTCCCACCTGCCAGTAAGGATCGAGAGCCAGTTTATAGCATGGCATTTCCACCAAGGTAGGTCGAATTGGCCATGGTGGGGTCGTACCAATCCAGACAATCAAGAGGCATGAAAGGGTCCAAAAAGTTTTCGGAGGTAAGCATGCCGGGCATGACCTGGTGGCGTGTGCCGAATTCCGGTTGGAACCCGATGGTCGAGCTTGCGTCCTGCTCGAAGAGTGGTAAAGACGAGGTCGTCTCGTTACCATCAGTAGCCTTTGTGGTGCTGTCCATTAGATTATGTTGTAAAGCCGTATTTTCAGCGCGAACTTGGTCGCTCCACAACTCCTGGTTGCGAACCACGGATGAGTCGTGTTCAGCCTCCGCTTGGTGCAGCATTTTGCTGAACAGGCGATACATCCAATCCACGAAGGGCCAATGGTCACGAAACTCGGCAAGGCCCAACAGACAAAGCTGGGCTTTGTGTTGCAGTACTCGTCTGCGCGGTCCGTGGCTCTGTTCCATGGAAACAACGTGAATTGTAAACGATGCAAATATGACTGCTATTCTAAAGTCATGTCAGCAGATCGAGCAAGACACAATGCACAGAACATGTTCCGCTTACAAATGTACTTGTGTACGTGGTAGTAAGCCCTCGGTGAGTAGTTCTTCAACGATACGTGTCACGGCATTCGCAGAGGCCGGCGCCATTGAGTTAGACTCGGCTTTTGCTTTGGCGTCCAAGAAGATTTTGCGGTGCAGTAGGATCCTACAAAAGCTGCTATTCGTTAGTGACAGGCGATTTCAATATACTATATGATTTCCACATACTGCTGGCCAAACATAAGCATAGATGCAAACAACTTCACCTGTGGACTGCGCTCTTCCTCATGGTACCGAAAGTGCTCCGGTAGCTGCTTTTCCCATGCTGAAAGATCTTCATCTATGCTTTCCCAAGAGCCGTTGAAGTTCTTGTTGTTTCGTCCGGCGCGGACGGCTCGTCCAACTGCTCAGGTCAGCCCAAATGGCTTGCATTTAGTGTAAGAGAAGCGGCGACATACTAAGAGTGGCTAGTTTCGCCATTTCAATGCAGTAGCCAGCCCCTGATAGTGGCTTGCCGTCCGTTCCAAGTTCGAAATCGGTCTCTCGCAACGGTTCGATATCACAGTCGTCGTCGTTGATCATCATAGGCCGCCCAACTGACGCAGCGTCGAAATGATCCCGAACCTGCGCTGGTCAGCATGGTGGTCCATGAACAGCGTTGGAGCGCTTAAATTCGGACCTACATATAAAGTCCACCAGATGCGTTTCCACAGTTTCCTGTCTTTGATGGACAAGTGAGAGTGCTTCGTGCTATGGGATGTCAGTATACACTTCGTCAACCCGTGGATCTGATCATACGATCGGTGCATGCCCATCATTTGCGCTAGATGTATAGATGCCGCCAGCCAGTGGCTGAAGTCTTTGTTGTCCGTAGGACTGCCCCACCAGAAGCACATCAGAAAGAGAACTTGAACTATAGTAACACGGTTTTGTTCATGATCCGCATCATAAAGAGCCCTGACCCGCTTATGCAAAGCTGCTTGAGCAGATCGGCGACTTGGCCAATATTCTAAGATAACACTCTCGTCGCAGCAGGTCGTGGCGGCAAACAGCAGTGCTTGAAGAAGAATGATAGGTACTTGACCAGATCGAAAATCGCAAAGAAACTGTTCCTTATCGAGGATAGGCTGTAATGGATACAACCATGAAAAATATGCGTCGAGGAGTTTCTTTTGAATGTTGAGAGGTGGCAGACAGAAAGCCCCTTTCTTTTGCAGTAAATGATTCTCCTCCTGCGTCAAACCGAGATCGTCCTCTGGAACATCTTGAGGCTGAGATTCCAGTGTCTCAGGCACTTTGTAGTGGATATTGCTGTCCACCGATTGTGCGCTGAGAGACTGTGGACTTGCAGGACATCTTGACTTGGTGTTCCGAGCGTTTTGGAGGCTATAAGACCAAATCGAATTATCTCCAAAATACACAACCTTTTTTGTCATCCTGGCAGGTTTGCTGCCTTCATCGTGGTCCCGCATATCCATCAGCTGCACCAGAAGCATCTCGGAGCCTTCTTGAGGCGTGATTGTCTTGTTTGTCTTAAGCCAAGGCGCATAAGCGCATTCCGCGGCCACCATTGGCAGCCCAAGGGTATTTTTCTGAGGACGAGTGTCCGTTTGTGTTTCCATTGGTTGCGCAGGAGGTTCTTGGGGAATCGTGGAAGACTGTTGTCGGTCCGAGGACCAGGTGTCCCCTATGCGGGTCTTGGGCACTTTCGAAGGTCTTCACAAAGGTCTTAGCAGTCACACATTGCTTGATCACCATAGAGTAAGGAATGCTCATACACTGTATTTGCGGGGTTTTCCAGCTCGCATTCTTCGTTGGCGTCTGAGCAAGCCTGACATCGACGCCGGCGGGATCCTCCACCGGACCCATCGGTCTTGTCGGACGGCTCCGGAGTCTTGCATCGTATATGGCGGGTGTTGCAATACCTGCAGGCAAGCTTACGCTTCTGTCGACGATACGCTCGAGCGGAGGCATGCTCCATCGTGGAATCTGGTGATCTTGATCGGAACTTCACGCGATGATAATTCCCGGGAGCACAGGAAGGTGGTTTGGAGTGTGTGCAGAATGAAACATGGATCCAGGCGATGATCGAGTTCAAGTGCTTAAAGGAAAAATCCATTTTGCGGGGTCACGACTGCTTTACTAATGTCCGGGGTTGCACTTACCCCCACACGGGCGGGTCGCAGGGCTGAGTTCCTGTTACTCAGCCTGTGAGTTGCTGAGAATAATAATCAGGGTACTTAGAGGCACGACCTATAGTAGCATCGCTAGGCGCCTGGGAAATCTACGAGTTAGGTGGCGGAATGTTGTCCCGAATCTATTCGCGGGCTTCAACAGTGCTGTGGCTCCACGTACACTTTTCGGAACTTTACCCCAGCTTGAGTCTCGAACGACATCTTCTAAGTTATATGCTCGGCAACTTTTGCTAGCATGGCTTCCTGCCTTAATGAGACGAAGATACAAAAAAGACGCTGATGTATCTTCCCGATGACAGGCACGGACAGTTGATTATCTGTGGTCAAGGAGGAGTCAAATATCCGTCCAGACGCGGCCCCATTGCTTGAGCAAGAATTCGAAGAGAGAGTGGACGTGAGTAATGAAACTCCTATTGAGGTTACTCACCCTGAATTACCTGTGCCGGATGGACTGAGAATGATATAAAGGTATGGGAACCCATGTCGTTCATCCATTGACGTGCCGGTAGAATCCACGTCGGCCAGAGTAAGTAGCACAATTCATTGCAGCAAAGAATTAAGGATTTAAGGAAAACCGGGTTGTCCCTGTCCCATAAGAAATACGACAGCAACTTGCGGTCTCCTCAACGGCCAAAAGAGTTGCTGGCGTTCGGTCTCGGACCACAACGCGTAGGATGGCTGAGCACTTATTCCCTGTTTGATGAGCTTTCATCATTGCACTTAACTTCGAGGCTCTCGTTCGAATTTGCTCAGTCTTCGCCGGATGCAACTATCTTCAGCTTGATGGGAGAGCCCATCCTGCAGGACACCAACGTGCATGGCAGTGAGGACGCGGGGACTATCGACGTGGCCTGAACAGCCGCACCCGGACAACCTCGTGCCCAAGCGTTAAAAGCTGTTGAAATTTAAAGCCTGTCCAGACGCTTGTTCCTGTTGGCGGCTACCATAATCATGATTCGTCTGCGTCGCCATCAAGCCTCATGATTTCGGCAAAATATATGGAGCCGGTCACCTGTTGCCATTCAACCTTGATATTCGGCGAAATGGTGCTTACTGTGCGGAAAACACCCCCTCTTTTCGGAGTGGGACCGGATCCGAGCCGTTTCGGCGGGATCTCCGCTGATCGCTTACTAGCAGGTTATCTCGACTTGAGCTGGGCTCATCAACCCGAAACAACCTGCTTGGAAGGGGCGGACGTCGAGCTCCCACCTCCACGTGGTTTCCGCTGGGAACTCTCAGAGAAACAGTCGAGCCGTCTCTAAGTGCCAGGAGGAGCTCAACAACGCAGTGGGACATCTCACGAACGACGCGTCGATGCCCCGAAAATTACTCTCTGCACCTCACGAAACACCTGATAACGAAAGAGATCCCCTAACGGGGTTTACCCGAGCACGTAAGTAAGCCCTGACGAGCACCAAGACCCGCCAAATGTCGGGTTTATTGTAACCTGGACGAATGCATGTCATTCTACTGGTGCCGAGGCACTAGGTCAAGGCTGAGCATGCAGGGGTCGTAAGCATTCATATATGATAAGCATCATAGACAAGCAAGGAGGTAGAGAATGACAAGACAACAGCACACTCTACACTCTCTCATTGAGCGCACCGTGGTGTTCATGAGATGGGTAACGGCCCACAGCACAGAGAATGAGTGTATGAGTATAGTTGCGAAGCCATACCCCAGCGAGGGATATGCGCCCTAGGGCCTTGCGATAGGGTTGACTTAGTTGATTGTTGAGTGCGAATGCAGGTGCCATTACCCATCTCGATCCGATCCCTTTTGCTTCCGACCTGTTCCGACCTGGTTTCGGTGGCCTCCTACATCGATTTCCAGGTCCTGGGCTACAAGGTCTGATCGTCGCTGTAGGAGATCGCAATGCCGCGGTGCACTAGGATGGACAGAATGCCCAGAACTAGTGCCTACGGAGTGCGTGCACGATTATCCGTAGCGGTATATCGGCATTGCTCCCACTCCCCCGGAATTTTAAACCTCCGTTCCCCGCTTCCGGAACTAAGCCTTTTGTGGTCGCCGCTTCCGATCCAGTCCATACAGCCCATGTTGAAACACGACTAAATATCATCATGGTTGACTTCTTCCAGATTCTATTTATCTGCCTGACTTCACGTCAATGCCACTCCTGGGATAAACTTACTCTAGCAGGGGTCTAAACTTAGACTGGATGTTCAGATCAAACACCATGCATGGCAAATCTCCCCATGCTCTCCTGATTGGATAGCTCGCAATTATCATCCTTCGACTGTTCGTCCAGACAGAACCACTCCCCACAGTTATCATTGCACAAAATGGAACAATGTTTCTGCCTCTGATAAAGATGCTGCCTGCCGGCAACAGAATCTTATAAATGTTGAGGAGTCGAACTCGCAAGCAGTGTTTCCATTAGATCTCGAACTTTTGATAACCAGCGAAAATTCTATCGTCATCCGTTCAATTCATCTATCTTCATCAAAATGGGACGAACGTTATTACCATTTCGTTTGTGGTCTTGCGCAGCCTTTTTATGCATGGCTTCCATTACAGCGGCTAACCCGGAAATCGTGTGGGTTGATTGTCGAGATCATGTGCCGCCCAGTGATGTCTTTGACCCTACTGGCATCGACCTCGAACGTCTACCGTCGACGCTCAAATGTGGCCAAATTGTTGTGCCCATGGACTACTCGCGTCCCCTGGATGCTGGCAACAACATCACTCTAGGTCTCGCTATGCACCGACCGCCCAATCCAAAAGGAGTTATCTTCTTGTTGGCATCATATTTCCCTTACCTTTATTCTATGGACTAATCATCACCAAGCTCCCCCGGCGGCTCAGATAATGGCGTGGTACACGCATGGAATTTTGCACTTGGCACCAATTCTCCGTTTACTCCCAATTTCTCCGGCCTAGGAGAGTACGATTTGATGAGTATTGAAGAGCCAATTCCTCTCCGTGAGCCAAACTGACTTTCTATTTCAGTGATGGACGTTCGTGGTACTTATAGTTCCAATCCCCTAGACGTTTCATTAGACACAGTCATCCCATTGTTCGGGCCATAGTGAGTGTTTCTTTTAGGCACTTCTATTCTCTAACAACTCTCTAGCCCAGCATCACAAGATGAGTTCGATGATAGAAAAGCGGTCTCTGCTGCTGCCATACAGTCATGGATCGACTCTAGCTCACCTCCTGGGATTATCCAACATATTGGGACTAGGGAGGTTGTTCAGGATTTTAACCAGATTCGTGAGGCCCTTAGATATGAGCAAATCCATTACTTAGGCGGTTCTTAGTAAGTTTCCTTGGTATCACAGGAAGGGGAAGCGTCTAAACACAAGTGATTCCGCAGTGGAACCTATCGAGGTTTGCAGTACGCAACTACTTACCCAGATACCGTGGGTCGCGTTGTACTTGACGCAGTGGTCCCCCACGGGATTGTGAGTGTGGCATTTAGGGAGCCAATCCTGACAGCTAATAGGAGTCTTCAGAGCCGAAGCCAGCAATCTAAAGCCGGGATAATTGCAGCCAATCGGGCTCTGGTAAGAGCAGATGCATTTTGCCAGAATAACTCGACATGTCCCTTGAGGGATCAAGGCAAAGGAAGTGTTCTCCAAGTGAATACCGCAAAATCCAAATCCTACCGTGAACGACCCTAACGAATCTTAGACTTACCAAGAGGTCCTTGAAGCCGCAAGCAACTCATCAGCAGGTACTCTATGGGCAATTCAGTCGACAATATCTGGGCTGCTCCAGGGTCTGCCAGACTTCCCTTTGATCACTAATATAATCTACCAATTGTCGTTAGACATCAATTTCCTGGACACATTGCCGCAATCATCTGTAACGGTCGAAGACGTTGTTGCCTATATTTTGCAGTGCGCAGACTTTCGTGCGTACCAACTTCCTGTTCAGTTAGACTTGCTCTGACGGTAGCGCAGCAACTACCGCAACCTTCTCTGAATTTCAGCAATCGCTTGCCAATGCTTTGGCTGTGAGTGTTCCACGGCGCAGTAGAACGTCAGCAAGTACATGTGCTGACTTGTCCGAAACAGCACGACACTAACAACTTAGGTCGAACCTCGGGGCTCCTCATAGAGGTGCATAGTTTTCTTGATACTTCCTAGGGACTACCTGCTTACACGATTTAGCTCGCATGCTCGGCTTGGCCTTTCGACAGGGCACCATTACAGCGACTCCATACAGAGATCCCCATCCTCCTCGTCACGTCTGACTTTGACGACTTGTAAGTAAACCCGTTTGTGGGTCGACGAGTGGATGGTCTCTCTTTTCTTTCCCAGCGCGTGCCGGTGTTCGTTCTGACCGAGCTCTCCGGACATTTAGATCCGCGACCGAATGGACGACCGAGGCGTTCGAGGACCTCCCCGACGCCCATCTTCTGGTCCGGCACGGCGACGGCCATGTCTCTTTCACCTGTCAGTGCTCAGATCCGTCTGATTCTCATCCAAGCTCCGCCGCCAATGTCATTGATGTATGCTAACCCGCTCACGTGTCATCGCCACCTAGTGCCCGACCAGTATTCGACCCAACTGACGAAAGCTTTTCTGCAGACGGGGATCCTGCCGCAGCAGTCGACGAATGAGAGCGTGACTGTTTACACACCCGGCATGGAGAGGGCCCCTGTCCCGGATGCGTACTCCGTCCCGACAGGATTCGTGGCCGGGGATGTCAATTCGGAATAAGGGAAGGAAGAAGCTGATCACCGTCACCACAACGCTGATGCGGAGTTTTGTGGATCCACACGCGAGCACAGGGTCCATATTGTTCGGCGCTCATGGGGTTGGTGGTGCGCTGGCTGTCAGCTGACGGACACACCGCAACTGTTGTGCGAGGTTTCTGAGGAAAGAGCGAAAGTTCTATGTAGTATTCTATTCAATCCGATGACTTTACTTCCGCAGGAGACGAGGCTATGGGAGAGTATTTGTATGATGACAACTCTCTCGAGTAAATTTTCATTTGCCTTTTCCCCTTTCCTCAAATTCCATTCTCACCTGCCCGTGCCCCCCTGGATTACTTATCCAAGACCGCCTTCCCCCCCTCTTCCCCCAAAACCCCAACGCCCTCCCTTTTTCAAAGACTCCGGGAAGCAATAGCTAACTAACTAGCGCTCCACATCCTGCGTTTTCGTACTAATACTGATGTTGGTGCTGGTGCTGGTGCTGGTGCTACAGAGTAAAATACAATGTACAATTAAGCATAAAGTGAACCGATTTCGAGTGTGGTGATGCCTACTGGGCTAAGGGCCCGGTCCGAGCATCAGTACATATAACACACTCTCACAAAACTGGTGATGATTCTCGTTGTTCCTTGTTCCCCTGCCGGTTCCTGCAGGGAGTGAGAACCGTTTTGGTTGTTTCCTCTCCCCCCCCCGCCCCCCATTTGGAGGCCCAATTTCACAGTGTTTGTTGTTGATACATTGCACAGATTTGAGGGCGTTGGGTTTCCTCGCGACGACGGGGTGGTCGAGGGAGAAAGAGAGACAGGAACGATGGAAGCATGCGATTCGTTCAGAGTCTCCCGGTGCCGTCTTCCTGGGCCATCGCCTCCTCCACGAGCGACACCCACGCCCGCACGCCGATCCTTGCAGCCGGGTCCTTCTTGACCGCGCCTTCGCAGACCCGCTCCACAACGCCCGCGCGGGGCACCCTCATTCCACCCTCACCGTTCCTCACGAAGCCGAGCACGCCCCAGCCCTGGGTCGCCATGGCCTGCCGCTGGAAGACACTGCCGGGGTATACCAATAGCTGGCCCGTGGCGGCGACGAGCAGTGTGACAGCGAGGGAGAAGACATCTGTGGCGCGCGTGGCGGCCGAATTTGGGTCACGCAGCACGGCGGACGAGAGGAGTTCCGGCGCGGTGAATTCGCGGGTTACCGCGGAGAGAGTGTTCGGTGTCAGTGGCGGGTTTGGGGCGGTAGCAGTCGAGAGGAGTTGGCTGGAGGAGAAATCGGCGAGGATGGGCGTGTAAGGGAAGGAGGTTGAAGGTGGGTTGGGCGAGAGGAGGATGTTGCCTGGTTTGATGTCGCCGTGTACGACTCCTGCTTCCATGTGGAGCCAGGCCAGGGCGGTGGTGAGTTTCTGGGCCAGGGTCAGCCATGAGCTTGTTGAGCCGATGATGGGTTCGGTGGATGTCGAAGTTAGGCCCTGTTGTGTGATGGAGAGAAAGGCGCAGCGCCGGATGTGCTCCTCCAGTGAGTAGGGAATGGCGCCTAGGATGAGCGTTGATGTGTTGATGACGCCGTAGAAGGGCACGATGAACCGCTCGCTCTCGGCGACCGTATGTAAGTAGCGCAGGGTGTTGGCCTCACTTTTGAGGATGTCCGCCGCATCGCGACGGGTGGGTTTCTTGACAGCAACCAGAACGGGAGTCATCAGCATTGGCGAATGTGGTGGTGTGATGGTACGGCTGCTTCGGCTTGTTGGTGGTGTATGTCGTTGTTTGGCGTGTGTCGTGGCCTTGTACACGATACTCCAGGCGCCGGTGCCGAAGTAGGCATCACGGCCTCGCTCATCTTTCAGGATCTCGATGTTGAAGGGGCATTCCAAGGCTCGGGGAGTGGATGAGTGCTGTGTAGCGGTGGTACAGGTGAGCATGTCTGTTTGGATTGGTTGGAGATGGCCATATCGGGATTTTAGATCGACTGGGTGAGTTTGAAGCTGCGAAGCGACTGGAGGCGGAGAGGTCGTGATGTCTGAGAGATGTGACGAGGATCGAAGGTGTCGCGGCGATGTTGGGGGGGTCAGACGTGAAGGCGCAGGGTCGATCTGTTGCTTGGAGGGTGTGTTCACAGCAGTCGAACGGGGTGAATTTGGGCTCATTGGAGGCGTGCTCAAGGCACGATTGAGCACGGACGGTCGACGTGGAGTGGACATTGTAGAAGGAGAATATGTCTCCGTCGAGGCAGTGCTGTAGTGGTATGAAGCGCGTAGTCTCCCCGCCAGCTTGAATGGTGCGTCTAAAGTCGGGCGAGTTTGGTACAGGGCGGCAGGCAGCGCGCTAGATATTGTCATGAAGAGGCGTAGAAGCTGTTGTGTAGGATGGGGATTCGTGTCAAATCCATTCTGAGATTCGTGAGAGCAAGAATGTCATGGTTGTGTGTGGGTGGTGGGCATCAAGCTGCACTATACCCTGGAACCGGGACTGGCGAAACGACTCGGTTGGTGGGAATAAGAGTGAGTCAGAGATTTGTTTGTTCAACATGTGAAAATCTCAAGACTGGACCACAGCACAGGTATAGGAAGCACCACTAGAGGTCACTTGATCTTCTGCCTGGTGGAATGGATGGGTGTCGTGACCAGGCTGGGAAACCACCACAACGTGGCAAATGGCGCAGCACCCGAGAAGTCCACGCTCTAGGCTTTTGTGTACGTGACAGAGTCCAAAACTTCACCGGGAAAGTAGGTGGAAATAGAGAACGACAGTACTTTTGGAACGGAAGGATCGAACAGATCAAACTCGGGGGGATGAATGGTCGAAGTACAACGGGTGGACTGGAGGCGACCGGAAGGGAAAGGAAGTGGATGAGGGGGTGGAGGAGCCACTGGGAAAGGGGAACTGGACCTTTTGCAAGCAGAGAGGAAGGATAGGAAGAATGGAAGGATCGCAAACCGGAAAGGAAGTGAATGCTAGATGGCCATGATGAGAAGCGGCACAGGTTGGGAGTGCAAGTGATAGTAGCATCCACGGGAGCAAAGGTGGCAACGGTACGGATGGGAGTCGATCGTTCTGTCGTAGTCAGCAAAGGTAACAGTATCAGCGACCCGACGTGACATCAAGAATGGGTGAGAGGAGAAGCCGGGCCACTGGGCCACTAGGGCGACCAGGGCAGGCAAAAGGCCAAAAAGGCCAAAAGGCTGATAAATTAGACACCCAAAGACGAACTTAATATTACTCAGTAGATGAGACTTATTACGGAGAACGCGAAGTTGGACCAGGTTTAGCATTTCAAGCGACCGCGACGAATGACTCCAACCGGTGGCAGTTCGGAAGAGGCTGATTGGACCACGCGTGGGCGGCAGGGGAAAACGACGCCGCATACGTGAGTTACAGGCTTGCAACATGGGAGTTGATCTAGTGCAGCTACCGGGTAGAAGTGGGAGGGGAGGATGGGAAGAGGGGCGGCGCGATAGATTCATTTATTGGACGCGGGTTGGCTCATTAGCGGCGTGGCTGGTGCGCGGGTAGATGGCGGGCAATAGCTTTATCTCAAGTTCAATCGGCAAGGCTCAATAAACAGTGATAGGGAGATGGCGAGATAAGCCTCGTAGCTACGACAGCTATAGAGCAGCGCGTGCTCAAGATACGAGGGGAGTTGAGCCTCCTCTCGACGACCGCCCTGTTCGTTGGACTTGGACCAAAAGCGGGAGGTAATGGCAGGATGCACGGGCCTGATAACGGCGCGCAGTAGCCGGACTATCTTCGACACCCATGGGCCATCATATCTCGGCAAGTGAGATAGACTTTGATAGTGCCACACACTTAACTTGACTGGATCCAGCCCCCTGATATAAGGGAAGACTGCTCAGTCACTCGGAAGACTCATTTTCACTCGCTGGCGCACGCAATCATTGGAATTCTCAGAGAGTTCCAGAACATCAGCCTCCATCCTCAATCTCAGTCTCAAACATGAATCGTTATTTATACACGAAGCACGGGCACGACTCCAGTCCATTCTCCTCGTGCCCGTTCCTCCCAGTACCCGTCCTTCCCGACCTTTAGTCTCCAGATGACTTCATCTTCCATCTCCACCTTGGTAAACCATCTCGCTTTCCAGGACTCCCCAGCTGCTTCCATCTCTCTCCGTCGTGCTCGCTGCCCTTCTTCCAGTTGATTCTTCAGTGACTCAGCCTCGTCATGTTGCCCCCGTTCCAGAGCTTGCTGGTCAGGTCGTAGCCGACTGTCCGTCACCGGGATTCGATCTCTCTCAATCTGAGTAATCTCATTTAATTCGGCCGCAAACAATGGCATCCCGTAGTGTTTCGGTGCTTGATCCACAAGAGCCCCCGCGCTCCATATCGTCGAGTGCCCAATCTTGCCGGGCTCTTTCAGCTGGAGCGCATTCGTCCACGTTCCGTGAAGACTAATCGCCAATTCTTCGCCTTGCGGGTCGATGGTTTGCACCTCCACATCTTCACTTCGACCCGAGAACATTCCCTTGGCTTTGAACGATGCTATCGCCTTGGATCCAGCAGTCTCGTTGAAAACCGTCACGCTTCCCACCGGCTCCACGTACTTTTCTCCTGCAATGATGTTGCGCAGGAAGCAAGTCGCCGCCGACCATGAGTACACTTCTCCTGTCTGATGTAGAACAAGCCGTGCTTTGCCCTCGGTAATAATCTCAGACGACTTCCCCCAGAACTTTTGTGACGGCATCGGTGATTGGGTGAACGTCCATTCCTTCGACTCCGCATGGAACGCGAGCTGAACCGGTCGATGTGATACCTTCTCCGCAATAAATCGGAATCCCCGGTCTTCCCGCACGAGTTCGTACGTCTCACCCAACATCGGGTTGAACGGCTTTCGAATCGACCTCTCTTTGACACGCGCATTGGATAAAGAAGACAGCGCGAAAGCCGTCACATACATCAACCGCTCGAATGCATCCGTGCACTTGACGGCATGGTCCAGAAGTGCTGAATACTCCAGTTGTTCAGCTGCCCTTTGAAGAAGCGATAGTGGCTCATTCGCCGAAACCGGCATCGAGATGGTCGACAGATCTTTGCCCACATTCTTCCTCAAAAACCCAATCAGACTTGGAGGCATGACCGTGGGAGGAGCGACATTCTTCCTCCGTACGACGGCACTCAGTGGCAATGGTGACAAGGTCTTGGAGCGCGGCGGTAAATACGAAGAAACACTGCCGGATCTCCTCTTGCTCACGTCAAGCGCGTCTTCTCCAATATCGCTGCTTGTCGCCGAATCTTCATCCCCACCAGCTGCCTCATCATACTCCTCTTCACGATCTGAATCGCTGTGTATGTCGAGCATTTGATTGTTATCTTCAGCATCAAAGTATTCTTGCGAGTCCACAGACTGCAAGCTCAATCTCGATACCGCAGATCTGGGAGGGGCCGTTCGCCGGATCTTGTTCTCAGCCACCAAGCTCGAGAACTCCGACACTACCGAGTCAAGGTCATGCAACACCGCCTTGCAATGATCATGCATGCCTTCTTCATGGTGGAGGTGAGGGCGACCTGTTCCCGCCGAAGATCCGACCCCGTTTCTGAGGAGATTTTCCACGCCCGGAATGGGAACTGCCAATTGGGCTGACACACTACGCTTGAAGATGCTGGTCTGGCTGGCATTCGTGCTCGGCTTTCGTTTCCAAAAGGGCCGCTTGTCGTCCTGTCTGAAATAGTCTTCCGAAGGCCCGTCGGTGGGAGTGGTACTCTGGGAACTCGATCCCAACCTCGGTGGAGCACTGGGAGGCGGCAGAGGCGCAGTTTCGAGGCACAGGCGACGCACAGCATCTCGGGTCCCTGATATCCTACTCAACAAGGTCTCAAGCCGAGCCCACTCTTGCTCATTGATAGCTGAAGGCCGGTCTGTAGCTCCAACATCAATGTGCAGACCATCGGCAGGGGTAGTTGCCTCCAGCATCAGACGTGTTGCGGTCGCTAGGGCTTCTTTCCAAGCCTCGAAGTCTGCTACATTGTTTGCCTTGAGATGCCATATCTCGGCCCCCGAGTCAATCGAAATTTCACGAGATTTGGCATTGGCAGCGATTGCGGCCAGAGAGAGAGGGATGGCACCCCGCAGAGCAGAAGAATTACGATCGTGGTAGTATGACAGCGTGGAAGATGTATAGTCCAAGCAGAAGAATCGCCGCGCATAGCCTTGGTGTTTCTTCCTCCTTCGCTTCTGTAGAACACCCGTGTGGATCGAGGCCGAATCGTCGGGAGCCTTGGTTCCTTCAGAGGCGGCACCAATGCTTCCCGGGATGGAATGGCTTATGGAGGCCTGCCTCAAGGAGTCAACCGATTCTTTGTCTCGGGCCTTGAGCTTAGGGCTTCTCTTTAACATGGGCGCCGCTCCCGCTGCTATGGCCATGGCGGAAGCCATGGCTTGGGAGTGGTGCATCTGCGCCCCCAACTGGATCTGCGGCTGACATGCTGTAGGATAGGTGAAGAGGAAGACGGTGGCAGTCTTGGAGATGTTCTTGGAGAAGGTGTTGTCGAACACCAATGCATAATTCCCGCCCTGTCCCAGAGGGATGTCGTAAATACCTTGAGAGACCTTGTCGGCCTCACACTTGCCCACCCAGCGAACTTGTTTCAGACCAATCCCAGTCAGCTTCTCAATGGCAGTGGAATTGGCCTCGCTCTTTTCCTCTTCAGAAGCCGCGGGGTTGGGTGAGGGTGGTGGGAGGAGGGACATCTGCGAGCCATGGAGGGTTGACTGCGGCCCTGGGTGCTTGAAGAGGCCGAAGTTAATGGACTTTTTGTGAGGCTGGACAGTCCAGGAGATGGTGTGTTCTTGTTTGACATTGACCCATCGCACCAGGTAGTTCTGCAGACGGCGGGTAGTGGTCAGCTTATAACGACTTGTAAAGGACAGATAACAGATGCAACGTACCCTTGAGTGTACCTCGATCTGCTCGAGGCCAGCCATGAGGAGAGAAAATGAGGGAGGTGGGGGGTGTCAACACATAATAATAGGAGGAATTGAGACGTTAGGTTTAGTAGGGACTTGATTATGGGACGAGAGATGGATATTGTTGCATGTGGAAGTGGGAGGAGAGTATCGAGAGTGAGCACGGAGGCCGCGCAGTACTCGGGATGTGGGAGCGGAGGTATGCGGATTGAGGCTGAGAAACAAGTTATTTCAGACTGACGGTGTCTTGTATGGATGACGCGTTCGGTACTCCGTGCAAAATAAGGCACTTCCTTGTACTCAGTGCCTAGCAGAGGCCAGCGTCTCCCGCCCTGGGAAATTTGAACAGAAGGGGATGCCTTCATCAACTAAATGGCTACTTGGTACGGAGTATATGGAGTCCCGTGTAAATGGGCTCCTAGCATTCCTACCTCGCGAACTTAAGATGGGGGCGGAAACGGAGATCCATCACGTCCATCTTTGGCTTCACCTCCCCTGACTTCTGACATGGCACCCAGCAGGGTGGCATGTGGGTGGCATGTGGGTGGCATGGGATCTAATCCCGCTGACTAACGAGGAGATACATATTGTGTGTGCTCCCATTCTACTGACTTTCTTTTGATGTTGGTAGTGGTGGTGGTATTGCGTAGTATACATTCTTCCACACTGGTGAGCCTCCTAATGACAAAGAATACTTTGCTGCACACTTCTGCCATTAGAAGCAATACTCTGGTGGTCAAATGATTAATTATACATCTCCAAGGAATCTGAGAACCTAGCTTGCAAAGCATCCATCTATCTTGCATCGAGCGATGACCTTTTTGACCGCTTAGTCCGCCCAGTCTCTTCCTTGGTCTCCTTTCTGCGTTTCGCGCCTCGTGAACTTCCCCCTTTGGGTCTGTAGCCCCCATCATTGTCTCGCTTCCGTTTCCCCCTCAAAGAAGCTCCATGTTCTACGGCAATCCCATCATCATCGTACAACTCCGGTTCTCGTCTCAAGGCCTCTTTGCCCGCAGATTTACGTGCCGAACTTCTCGAACCCGTCGCTCGGGATGGCTTCTCAGGTTCGTTGTCCTGCAAGAAGACCTGAGGCTGGTGCCTTCGCAGCCAATTGTACACCGACACCGAGTTCTTCAGCTGCATCTCACGCTCTCGCTCGATGGTTCGCTCGGTGTTGCGACTCCCCAGATTGCCAGCCGCGTGAAGCCTGGGATTGGTCGTGGTTCCGTCCAAGAACGCATCAATAGACTGGAGATACTGCTCCTCTTCCTTGATGGTCAGGTACCCAATAGGTCGTTCCTTGCCTGGCTCGGGGTTTTCCACTGGCCGTATCAAAGGGTTGGCAGTGGTAAGAAGTGACGCGTACGAATTACTGGGCGTAAATTCCTCAGACTGTAATAGTGTGTTTTCGAGAGCCCGGTACTCGCCAGGACTAATTTGTTTACTTTGAAGCTGGTGTCTCGCCTTCACTAGTCTCAGGTGGCTTTCTTCCGCGTCTGTTCTTTTTTCCGAGCTATACTGCGTAGCCGTAACATGGCCTGGGGGTTTCAAATCGTAGCGCAAGGATTTCGGTACCTGTGGCTGGGAGTTGAGGTCCAGAAGCAGTTGAAGCAATTGACTGGCGGATTGATTAGCATTCTGCAGATGGTGTCCTGAAACAGAGATCAACCTACTCTGTGTTTTCAGCAAGGCGTTGTGCAATGTCATGTATCCGTTGCTCTTCCTTGAATAACGTGTTGCTTTCTCGCATCTTCTCCTCGAAACTGACCATAATCTTGCGATATTTGCGCCTGTCCACAAAGTGAGCAAGCCTCCAATGGATTAGATGACAACCACAAAGCTACCTATAAGATTTTCTGGAGGAAGAAGGCTGGTCTGCAAGTGCAGGCGGCTCTATCGCAGGGGCTTCGGAGGGATCTGTGGTAGACATGGCGCAGATTGCGCTGTAAAAGTGTGTCAAGTGGAGGGACTTGGAAAAAGCGTGTTGGCAGCGGATGAAGAAAGACACCCTCCAAAGCGGCTGCGCGTCTGGACAAAGGCTTATTGATTTGCGGGTGAGTTGCAACTTGCAACTTGCGAGTTTTGAGTCGTGACAGGTGGAATCTGGACGTGATTCTGGGTTTGAGCCTCGACGCTTTGAGTCTCCAATTCTGCGCCGCCCGTGACTTCAGATCCCGGGAGGGCCGCATTCTCGGATTTCATTTCCGGTCCTGCCTCCCAAAACAAAATAAGTCAAAAAGACTTCCAAATTTTATTCACAAGACCCAAAAGCAGCATACAACCAGACTTGGGTTTCTAGAGGCCAAAGTGGAAGAGAAGTCTGTTGTTTACGAGCTCTTCAAGTATATCAAGTAAAGAAGAAGCAGGAACAGGTCTTTTACCACCAATATGAGTCTTGCAGAAATCTCGGCTGATCAAGAGCCAAAGTCGAGGAAACGAAATCTGGAGGCTGCGGAGATCGAGATCGATGTCGATGCTCCAGAACCACCTTCCAAGAAGTCTTTACGAAAGGCAAAAAAGGCTGCCACCGGCCATCCTTCAGAACCCAGCCCCGGAGATCAAAAGCCAGCATCCACCCAGTCCAAGGACTCCAATGCCGACTCTAAACGTTCGGACTATGGCATCTGGATCGGAAATTTGTCTTTCGGTACTACTAAAGAAGACCTGGTAAAGTTTTTCACCAGCAACTCGACATATCCCATCGCCCAGAGTCAGATTACGAGGACACATCTTCCTCTGGGGCAGCCCAAGTTTGGGAAGCCCTCCAACAAAGGCTTTGCCTACCTCGACTTCAGAGACGCTAGCGCACTGAAATCGGCTCTAGAATTCAGCGAAGCTCTACTGGACGGGCGAAGGGTCCTTATCAAGGATGCTAAGAATTTCGAAGGGAGGCCAGAACCAAAGAAGGACGATAAAGACTCGCAGCACAGGGCACCCAGCAAGCGGGTGTTTATTGGCAACCTGGACTTTGATACTACTGTCGATGCCCTTGAGGCGCATTTCAATCCATGTGGACCGATCTTGCATACTCACATGGCTACATTTGAAGATAGTGGGAAATGTAAAGGTTTCGCATGGATCGAATTTGAACAACTCCCTTCAGCAGAGGCAGCAATGCGAGGCTGGGTGGAGTCTCGAGGAGGAGATCAGGCCCAGTCGAAAAGGCAGAACTCTGGTCGGCGAAGAGTCTGGCTACACAGCCTTAAGGGAAGGAAGTTAAGATTGGAATTCGCCGAGGACAAAGCAACTCGATATCAGAAACGATTCGGCAAGGGAAGCAGTGCGAGTGAATCGACGGGCGAAGGAAGAAACGCCGTTCATGAGCAACAGGAAGCCGTTGAAGAAGTTGAAGTCAACACTCAGCGTGTGGCACCGAAGAAGCATACTAGGCAGAAGCCATATGGAACGAAATATGCAGACGAAACAGTTCAGAGACTGACAGGGGCAATTGTAGAAGGAAAGGGCCAACGAGTGGTATTTGATTAACGGATCCACTGCTAGTTGCGAATCTAGGAGAAAGGCGTCGGGAAGTGGCAATAAGACAGGCACCCAACAGGTCAGAGTAGACAATGATTATTTCTCTCATACTCATAACGATGATGTCTCCGCTGTTGCTGTCTGTCTGCGTGCATTAGAGTGGCGTGAATGAAAGAGTTTCAAGTAGGAGTGGTGGTGTGTTCGCTTGGCACGACCCCGTGACCGTGACCCCGTGATCTGTGATCCGTGATGCCAAAATCTGGGGCAGTTCCCATCCTTCGATTCGTTTCGCATCAACTCGACTGTATTCCCAAGACTCGGACTGGCAAACTTCATTAGCACAGTCTCATCCTCCACACACTTCTATGCCATTCCCTGAATCGCTGAAGCCTTTCTCCTGTTCCTGTTGCTGATTCTCCCGCTTTGTCATGACATGACCATCTAGCTACCAGGCCCTTCTCGATCCCCAACACCCAAGCCCTTCGGTCCTTCATCGAGTGGAGACTCGGTCCTTGACCGTCGAGAATGGTTCCGTCCTCTCCCGCTTAAATCTCTCTCTCATACGCGGCTCACAAAAGTCCTTTGGTCATCAGAACCATGCCTGCGCCTCGAAGAAAAGCCCTGATTGCTAGCAGACGCAGACGACAAGATGATGGCGAAGAAGAAGACTCCTTGGTTGGTGATTTCGACGATGACTCACTAAGTGAAGCCTCTGCCATAAGCAATGGCGATGGAATAGATGCTGCAGGAAGCGATTCCAGTGATGATGGGCAGGACTCGGTGACTCAGCACCCACACCCCAAAGGAAAAGCTGTTGAACAAAATAACCAATCCAAGCATGATGCCCTTTCGCCCTTTCGCCCTGCACGTGTAAACGGCACATTCAATTCCACAGCTGACAACAAGGCTCTGCTTTACGAAGTCAGAAATACAGAGGCCTCGCAACCCAGCCAAGAGATTCATTTGGATAATATCCCCGACTCGAATGAAGCCGTCCCTGTCAACAGCCATGTTGCTGTGCCCACTGCACCACGGAATGAGACGTTCGCCCAGCGTGCTCGCCGGGAACATCAAGAGTACATCCAACAGCGAAATACAAATCCAGCTTTTGTTCCCAACCGGGGTGGCTTTTTCCTCCACGACGATCGAAGCACAGGTGCAAATGGGCCCTCGAGGCCTGTCCTCCGCGGGCGTGGGCGTGGATACAACTCGGTAGCACAAGCAGGGTATGTATATGCCATGAGCAGCAAACACGGTTACTGGTTACTGACGTCCTGCAGACGAGGTTTTGGGTTGAATGAGCCCACAGAGAAGCCCTGGGCACATGATCTACATGAACGACATGAAGCCGCACCAAAGACTGACCAAAGCACGGCAAGGAATCCAGCCGACTCACAAGAGGGCAAGAATGAGAAGTCGCTTGCGCCTAGTGCTCCAAACAGGTCCTTTTCGTTTGTCACAGTCCGGGGAAATGTTACAGTCCAAGTCTCACTGCCAGGAATGGAACACAAGAAGTTGGTTTCCAACGTTGTGAAAAGACAACATACTCTCCTACCGCAGCACCGCCCACCCTTGAGACGAGATAAGCCTGTGAGGGTCTCCATACCCGACGAGGCGCCACGCTACATATTTCCAAGCACTGAGAGATCGTTCATCTTCATCCCTCGAGCGCTGCGCCCTAACCAGCAGTACGGTCGTGGCCGGGGAAGGGGCAGTTTCCACGGGAGCCGTCGACCGAGCATGTATGGCAGTGCGTACACTCCTAGCGTTGCAATGAGTCGAAAATCATCACTGGGTGGCTCGACCATGCGAGATGGACTCCGATCTCCAGCCGAGTCCGTCATGTCTCGCATGGGAATGCCAGGTGTGGAAGCCCCCCGACCGATTGTTAGAATGCCATCAGCTGTACCTACACCGTCATTGTCACGCTCGGGCCTTCCCCTGATGAATGGCAACGCCAGCTTGGGTATGGCACCAAATCACATGATCGCTCCTACTGCGTATGGCAGTCATTCTACGTCGATCCCCATGCATCAGCCCCGACCCCAAAAGACGGTCTCGGTGGCAGATATCGAGTCGCCAACCTCATTTCCATTCAAGGCTCCCCTCCAACAACTTGAGCAGCCGTTCCATCAGCAGGTCCCGCCACACATGGAAGAAAGACACGGTCAGCCGCAAGCTATGGTCACCGCGGCCGGGCATACACCACTCTCGCAGATCCCCGAGGGCGCGATATATGCTCCAGGATTTCAGCCCTATCTCGAGTTGGGGCAACCCGCATATTTTGGACCAGGCTACAATAATGGGCCAGTCTTTTATCCGCCGGTTACTGATGGTGCGCCGTACGGTGTGCCTATGGGCGGCCCAGCTCTCCCACCAAGTTTCGTTCCTGGCTCCCAAGCCCATCATGTGGGCTACCTGCCCAACTCAACACCTTTGGAGAGCGGGATTCCAGCGAACATGGTGGCACACGAATCGAACGGCATGGTCTACTACTACAACCCACCTATGTTCACGCCTGGATCTCAAGGAGCCTTTCCACTCACTCCTAACCCTCACATGGTTCCCATGGGCAATGGCATGCCTGGGCAACAGCCATATCACTACTCTCCTATGCCTGCCGGCATGTTCTATCAAGGGCAAACAGGCTGACTAGTATCTCTTCCGACAATATTTTCATAATAAAGTTTTCTCTGTGTAGGTTTGATTAGCGGGGTATGGCGCTTATGCATTCTTGTGGAGCGAACCGGTCTTGTCGAATTTCTTATGGTGTTCAGGTGAAATTCATTGTTTGCTGTTGCTTTTTCCCCATGGCTTCGAGATATCCTTGATCATATTCTTCATGTACATTATCTCGCAGTCTTGCAACAGGAAAAAGCTGTTGGTAACTGTTAGATTGAAAGGCCAAAAGTCGTCCCCTACAAGGAGACAAATATCAGGCTGTGTGAGAATGGAAGGAAGGGGATGAGGACGCGTCAGGGGTGGCAGTAAGGAACGTTCGTGGACGAGGCTGATTTCTGGATTCGCGAGTCGCCAGTCATAGGTGCGAGACGGGCAGGTTGATGAGAGCTGGACACGAGGCTGTTGTTTGGCAGAGGATGGATAGACCCGAGTTGGCTTGTAAGGCAATAAAAAGAAGACAAAGCTGTCCCATCCCGTTTCCCACAACAGTACGAGCTACTCCATATCCCATACCTTCTGTGGAGTTACACTGCAAGTCCTACTACGAGCGGTTGAGGCTACCATGACAAGGACACGCTACACTACCTGGCTGTCTTGCTATATTATTTTCAGCAGTCCACGATTTTGATGAATTGAACCGGTGAGGATGACCTCTTAGTGGGCGGGTTGTGGGTTGTCCGCCAGTTGATCAGGACATTATTGAAGTGAGGACGAGGCGGGTGCGAGGGGGACGAGCTTCTGGTTGCCTGCCTCTGGTACCCGACTAGCTGTGCTGCGACTCGATGAGTGGCCGCCACCGCCTCTCTTGCCCAACCGAGGCCACTCGTGACGGGTGACCCAGAAGTCACGTGCGCGAATCTGTCCCCGCCCCACCCAAACTGGAACCTGGATTCGTCATTATCATTCGTGCCTTTGCACCTGCCATTCCGTAACTCATCCGGTGTGGTGACTGCCTAAACCTCCTCTTCCAACCTCACTTCTCCATCTCCACCTCCACCCTCTCCCATCACCAATCTTGCTTCCATCTTCCCTTATCATCACTGCTGGTTCATAGTGATCTTCGGTGAGGTGCCTGTGGTGCTCGCTACCTCCATGAGTTTGCATTCTTGACTTCTTCTTGCCTACAAATCCTTTCTTTGCATCCTGCCCGCAGGTCGTACTACCACCTGTCTCGACACCGCCTAACTACTTGATCACTAGTCATGGCCACACCTCATCCTCATCCTGGCCCTGTCGGCCCTGATACTCTGATCACCGTCAAAATCATCATCGACGGTACCAACCGCCGATTCAAACTTGCACTTCGTGATCTTGGTGCCAACACGCTTCCTCAGAAGGTAAAATGATAACCGGCAGCCTAGCCGCTTCTCCAACTCCAGCTACCACTAAACCCAACCCTCCATCCCAACGAGATCAAACTAATGCTCATTGATACAGCTCCGACTCCTGCTTGCCATCCCTCCTGAACACGAAGTTCGATTCGACCGCTTCTCCGATTCGGCCGGTACCTATGTTACTCTCGACAGCAACAATCCTGCCATATACAAGCAGTTGTACCGGGCGGCAAAGGCCAAACTGAAGCTGCGTCTGAAGGCCACCATCACCAAACCCGCCAAGGTGGAAGGGATTGATGACAAGACTGCCCACATCACCAAAACTATTCCAGACACTTCGTTCGATGCCTTGTCAGCAACCTGTTCGACTAAGCCGATGCACAGCTTCCTTGACACCGTTCTGTCACAGCCCTCGGGCAATGGAACCGCACCATCGTTCAAGACATTCCAGCAAACATGCTCCTATTCTCCAAGATGTGCTATCCCCGGTGCTTTTCATCCAGCTGCAAGCACCGACGCCACTGGCGAAGTACCCCAAACTCCTGTGACTGACCTGTTCAGCCTTCCGACTCTACCCTCCTTGAACGATTTCCCATTGACCACCTACAGTATTGATTGCAATCACTGCGGGAAGTCCGTCCCAGACGAGCACTATCACTGTAGCATCTGTGAAAAAGGAGACTTTGATCTCTGCAAGTCGTGCGTTGACAACGGCGTTTACTGTCATGGAGATGAACACTGGCTCATCAAGAGAACCATCAAGAATGGCGTGGTGGTTCCGAGCTTCACAGAAACACATCCACCAAAGAAGATGGCAAAGGCTGATACCCCCGCCGTGGATGAAGTATCAACCCCCCTCAGTCCAGAACAGGATGAAGATGAACGCACTTGCAATTGTTGCATCAACCGTAAGCACCAATTGGCAAACCCAGTCGCTGCCACTAACAAACACAACAGAGCTCCACTCGCGTGAATTCGTCACCTGTGATGACTGCCCCGATTTTGACCTTTGCTTGAACTGCTTCGCGGAGGGCGAACACGGACACGATCCTTCCCATGGCTTCCATGAGACCATTGAGCACTCCATTGGCAGCGAGATCAAAGCTCTCTGTGCCCCTGGACGTGGTGTCCAGCATGCGGCTGTCTGTGATGGCTGCGACAAGGTTAGTGATGCCCTCAACTGCTGGTACTTCCTATCATTAACAGTACACCTAGGCCATTCGTGGAGTTCGCCACAAGTGTTTGTCCTGCCCCGACTTTGACTACTGCTCAGACTGCGTGATCTCCGCTGAGGAGAAGCATCCGGGTCACCGCCTCGCCCCTCTGTATACTCCGCTGCCCAACATGCGAGTTCACAGGGAGATTCACCGTGGTATCTATTGTGATGGGCCTCTGTGCACAACATACAAGCGCTACATCACCGGAGATCGTTACAAGTGTGCCATCTGTAATGACACTGATTTCTGTGCCAACTGCGAGGCCCTCCCCATCAATGGTCACAATGCCACTCATCCATTGATCAAGATCAAGACGCCCATTCGCCACGTCCAGATCACTACGCAACAGGAAACTGAAGCGGGCCACAAAGTGTCGACTCTTGGAGATAAACCTCTTGCCAAACATGCCGCAACTGAGACCACCAGATCTACTTCGACCAACGCTGCTACTCAAGTACAAACTGTAGCTGAGGTCAAGCCCGCTGAGAGTGCATTTGTTGTGACTGAATCTCCCAGGGCCGAGGAAACCACTTCCAACAAGGTCCAGGTGGCTGACTTGCAAGCTTGGTATGTTTCGGACTCGACTCCAGATGGCACGAAGATTCCACCCAACCATCTCGTTTCGCAATCGTGGACCCTCCGTAACCCTGGACCAGAGGCATGGCCAGTTGGCTGCGCCGTTCACTACATCGGCGGGGACGATATGCGCAATCTCGATAATCATCACCCGTCCAGTGTCAGCAATATGATTGCAGCGAATCGGAGCAATGCTCTTGGCCATACCCTTGAACCAGGGCAGACTGCAGTTTTCACAGTGATGGTCAAGTCGGGTCCTCGTGATGGTCGTTCGATCTCTTACTGGCGTCTCAAGACCCCTGGTGGTCTTCCCTTCGGACATAAGCTTTGGATTGATGTACAAGTCCAGAGCGTTCCGGTTGAGCTTCCAATTCGCTCGGCTCTGCTGCCTCCTCCACCTGCCAGCATGGAGACTGAGGCGGAAGTCAAGGAAGACGACCACTCTGCGTCGAGCTCGACTATGATTTTCCCCAAGCTTGACAAGGAATCTCCAGTCTCGAGCATCCATAACATCAATGCAGACCATGCCGAGTCAGCCCCTGCAGCTGTGATGGAGCCAACGGTGAAGACGGAGGAAGAAGAGCTACTGGAAGATGTCGAAAGCCTTGAGTTGGAGGAGTCGGAAAGTGAGGATGAAGGATTTCTCACTGATGAAGAGTACGACATTCTCGATGCTGACGACGAAGACCTTGCGGTAGGCGGTAAATGAGAGAAAGCGGGCCCTTTTACGACCCTCTGTATCGAGTATTGCAAGCCATGCCGATGGCCACTATCTTCAGACACTGGCCTTGACAGGCACATGTAGGTGAAGAGGCAAGCCTCAGGTGGGGAAATCTTGGATCAGTCTGATATTATGCGCGCAAAGGGGATTTAGGAAAGGAACAGGAACTGGTACTTATTTCCTATTATTGCAATCCAAACGACATTAACATGAAAAGGATGCGTTGTTTCGATGTGGTGTCTCAGTGCGGGCCGAGTCAATCTCATCTGCTGACACGATGCTCGTGACATACTCTATCGCGGTGCCCTCGGAGAGCAACGGTGGCAGCGGTGGCAGTGATGGCAGTCATATAGTCGGCCGTGAACACCCATTAGCAGATGCTTGTGATGGTGTATCGTTGACTGTGCTCGTCCTCCGTCCCCAGGTAGCGAGCAATGCCCGTGGTCGGCAGTGGTAACACTAATTACCACCGTGCTTGCTGGCCAAGTACCAAAGCCTTGACATTGACGACTCTAACTCCGGGCGCGTCTCCAGTTTCTCCAGATCTGGTTCGGGATGGCTTCTCAAGTTCGACGATGACTGAGTTCAACTAACTGATTTAACTTATAGTGGCGCCCTCGGCCCAACTCTCAGAGCACCAAGAAGCATGTGCGCTGGCAAGGGAATCTGGTTCAGCCACTGACGAGGCACGATGATCTCCATAGGTCCTGAGGAATGAGGCCCTCGTCGGTGCCCCCCACCATTCTTCGGAGTTAGTTACAGCGCCTAAGCTGCCTAGTCAATACCCACGGTCCCCGCCCAACGAGGACCTCTTCATTTATTCCACGCATTCGCGCATCCACGCTTCTGCCCGCACTTGCCATCCCTCCACACAAACAATTGGTGCCTGCAGGCGAATCGAACCGAATCAATTGTGCTATCCATTCACTCATTCATCCCATTCATCCTTTACTTCACCGCTCCATCGCTTCCCATTCCATCGGATCTCATTCAATTTTTCCTTCAAAAGGTTCTTTTCTGCCCACCTGCCCAAGAGGTCCTCACGTCGCCTCTCCACAGCCTCAGGACTAGTTGAAGAGCCCCTCTCACCCAAACCAATACACATGGAATTTCGAAGTACCTCATCTCATCGAGCCTCACTGCCCAAAGGGTGACCCCACAATCAACTGCGTCGGACCACTTTCGACGCCCCAAATCTGCAGAACACCCATTTTAACACAAGAGGAATTGAAGATTTCCAACACCCACCGTCCTCTACGCGAAAGACGTTGAAGATCAGCATTCACCATGCATGAAGATTTACGTCGACGCGCCCTGGAAAGCGGCAAGACCGTGTCCAACAAGGCCAAATCAAAACCCACTTCTCGTGGCAGCTCAAAGGCAAATTCTGCAGCGAACTCACGCGCAGCTTCTCGCATCCAGAGCAGAGATGCCTCCGACGATGAAGATCCAGGCAATGGAAATCTCAGTGATGAGACCACCCAAAGGCATGTTTGCATTCGGCTCCTTCAGCCGCTTCTGATTATGACTGACACCCAATCCTTATCTGCAGCATCAACTCGATCGATCAGCTTCTCGAAAGTGATGATTTCAATGAGCAATCCACCGAAGTCCTTCGACAAGAACTCCAAGACACAATCGCACTCATCTTGGATCGCAAGGGCACTAGTAGTGGCAGTCGCGAATCTTCTTTGGCCATATATGTCAAGTGTCTCACATCCCACTATCTAGCTGAAGGACTCTATGGCCGAGTCAGCGAGCTATTAGCTGCATTCAGTCGCAGTGTCAAGGCAGAAGCCACTGAGAAGGAAGCCACACTTGCCTTGCGAGCCATTGCTCTCACAGCAATCACATACGAAGACGACTCTCTGTACGATTCGGTTTCCTCTCTGCTCAAACGCACTATCTCCGACTCACAGTCGCTACCCATCAAAGCAGCTGCTGTCTATTCTCTCGCAATCTGCATCTCCTTTGGAGGAGCTGGCGAAGAAGAAATCCTAGATGTACTGACTTTTCTCCTCGAGATTGCATCTAGTGACGGGTCCTTCATCGGAGCTGATGACAACGCGGAAGTAGTTGCCGCGGCTCTGCATACGTACGGGTTTCTGGCCACTCAAGTCGAAGATGTTGAGCACGAATCCGAAGATGCAGTGGCAGCATTTCTCGATCAACTTGATTCCAATGACGTCAGAGTTCAGGTGGCGGCGGGGGAGAACATCGCACTTCTATACGAGAAAAGCTACACCCCTAGAGAAGACGATGACACCCCCTCAGAAGACGAGGATGGAAATGAATCTTCAGATGAAGAAGGTGGACATCGGGATGATAGTGGACTCGTCAAACGCTACAATGCGTATCACAACACCAACGAGGTTTCGGAGAAGGTCAATGCTCTGGCTTCGTTGAGCACCAAATCGATGGGTCGCCGGGACAAACGGCTACTGCACCAGTCATTCGCCACCATTGCACATACGATCGACAATCCCAAGAACGGTCTACAATCCAACAACGCGTCGAAACTGGTGGTCCGGATTCACCATGAAGGTGAGATGCGAGTGGACAAATGGTGGAAGTTTATGAGACTCAACGCCATTCGACGACTTCTGGCTTCAGGGTTCGTCAACCATTACTTTGAGGGAAATAAGCAAGTTTTGGATGCTTTGCCCATGATCATGCGCGCCACAGGAGAATCGGGTATCAAAAGTCCCAGGAAGGGCGTGGCCAGCAAAGCGACCAAGGGCAAATACCGCGACAGTCGAAGATTCGTGTCGTGAGATGCCCCTCGGCTTGAGTGGCATGCATGATACCGGGAAGGCCGGCAAAATGGGATGAGCATGATGATGTCCTATATTAGCATTTTACAGCAAGACTATCGGCTTGCCTGCATCATTATCCACGGAGAGTCATTTGGATTGACGGCGTTATGGGTGGGTCCGATCGCATCGGGGGTTCTTACTCAAGAAACATAGCGCAAGAACGAAGAAGACATCAGAACTAAGAGTGATTATCTAGGGCGCAGAGTGAGTGGGCAGAGTCACTTGCATCTTTATACGTTATTGAGCTTGGGCCAGCAATAAGGTTCCAGTCATGTTTAGATAGATTTATTTTGCACCTCATTCCAAGACCTCCGGACTATGTGATGGTCGATGGTAGGCTTCTTTCGTTTCCAAGTCCCGACGCAGTACGGTGTAGTAACCGCAGCACTATGCTGCACTACTTACGTACACACCTTAGATGCCTGCTTACAACAGCTAGGAGTAAGCTGCAAAACTGCGCTGACTGAGCTGAGTGCTGATCTAGACTGGCAGTGGGGCCAAATAGCATCTTCTTGTGGCATGCTGTGAAGGCCCCAAGAAATGATATCAGCCACATACACTGCATGTATGCAAAGACTGCGTATGGACGCGTTCACCCTCACACGATTCGGCAGGGGCTGAATGGAATGGGAGCGACTGACTTATTGCATGAAACCACGAGCAGAACTCCCCGGGGGCCCTAGGCAGTGCCTTTTCAAAACTCTGGACTGGGCCACAAGTAGTCTTCATAGTGACGGGGCCCTCCATACAGCACCTCGAATGTTAGGACTTTGTTACTCGGAGTGCTTACTCCGTACATGTACAAGTACGGTAACTAGTGCTTCCTTTTGCTTGCGTTGGTCGGCTTTTGACTCAGCGGGTCTCGCGGACGGTTGGCTCCAGCCTGTTTGCGCAAGAAGAAGCTGCGGGCGTGATTACATCCATACGCTCAGGAGCAGCTCGGCCTATATACAGGACGCGCAGTCATCTAGCGGGAGGCACATGGTCCATACTCGGGGGGTGAGCAGGTCCCTGAAAGGAGATCCTGCATGTCGCCAGTAGTAACTACCTAGGTTTGTACTACAATGCAGTCAAGAAGGTGATCTTGGCGGTGACGATGCTCTTGTATATTAGTATTCTGGACGTGGAGTGTGCATACATTGCCCGGATTCGATCCGGTGCCGAAATTTGACAGATACGCGGCATCCTCCCCTCCTTCTGTTGGTCACGCTCTTCTTTTGCTTTCCCCAGGCACGCACACCATGGGACGACGGCGTTTCAGCGAATGTCCCTACTCTCTTCGAACTTGCGAACATCAAAGGATTACCTGGTTGGGAACCTAGGTGGCCTCCCACCTGCGGTACATACTCGTACATCACCACTTCTTGTGGTGCTCCTTACGAGGTACGGGTCGCTAAGTATTCTGTACCTGCACTTTCGCACTATCGTTAGGCAGCACCGGCAATTGGATGTCTGTGCCCCCTTCGAGAAAGTATTACGTGGGAGGCGTGGGTAAAAGGCAAGACTGTTGTACCGTTTCCGGGCATCCATTCGTGGGCCAGCTTGACTCCGAAGGAGCGTTGAGGTTATTTAAAAGCCAGTTGAGTTTCGTGGTGAGTCTGACGGGTGGCAGTAGCCGCGAGCTTAACATATCCGGGAGTACCGAAGCTTGGACTCCTGGAGAGCTCTCTGGATCAGATGAGGGTTGCATGGGAAAGAGAAAAGCGCTTCTGATGTCTTGTATTCATTTGAATGACCATGATGGGTATGTCGCGAGTCGCGAGTTGTGACTCACTCGGGAGACGGAGCTGGAAAGTGCCATGGCGATGGTGGATTGAGGCTGTTGGATAAGATAGGAGAGGTGGGCGGCATTGTGATGGAGAATGTGTGCATAAAACGGCGTGCCGCGGAACTACTGTACGTGTTGAGGAGAGACAATGTACAAGGTACTCGGTGCTCGGTAGAAATCAACAGGATGCAGGCATGCACAATTGCCAGAATCCCCCTGGATGGAGATGCGATTCTCTCGTGGGGCTAGACTGCAAAATCATCACATAGTGAGAAAAACAACAGCGTAAGCAGGGCCTGAGATCTTTTGTGCGGTGTGGACAGTGGACACGGAGCAATCCAGTATCCGTATTTTCTCGCAACAAGAGGCCCAAGGGGAAATAGGCTGGGGGCCAGGATAATTCAGGAGGCCGAGTCCTGTGCTTAGGCCAACCACCGACCAGGTGGCTTGTCTACTTCCCCTTATCCCCCTTCCCGAGGCCTCCGTAAGTGGTGTAGATCTTGGTGTCAGCTGGTGAAACTGCCCAGAAGAGAGATCTCCATCTCGTGTCATGTTAATGCCGAAATGGAAGTGAACAACAGTGCTCGAGTGCTAGGGCGTGCTCTTGTATTTCCCAACGGCCGAAAGAGCACTCCCCTTAGGTGCTCGTAGACAACAGTCGCGTGCAGAGTTACGAGGCTTGGACTGATGCGGTGATCTCGTGGCAGCAATTGCTTGATGGCGGCTGCTAATACGGACGCCCCAGGCACCAAGTTTTAACTAAGAGACAAGCTAATTGCATCCCGGCTTGAGTAATAAGGAGGCCAATTGCTTACCTGAGCAGCCAAGGTTGGGCCACTTAGACCCGCCTAGAGCTTAGTGCCCTTAGCCCTGGCGGCGGCTGTGGACTGTGCAGAACAGCCACAATGCTACTGCTAATCAACCCCGGTAAAGCCTAACGCCCGGTACCGCCAAACATTCCCAACATTGGAGTACTGAAAGGCCCCTCGGCCCCATAGGGACTGGCGTCGGGGCTGATGGGTCTCGGTCCCCTCTCGAATCTCCAGACGGCCGTAGGGGGGAGTCCAGAGGCCATGATCAAAGAAGGCTACACGCGGCGGCCGCACAGCCCTGTAACAGGAGTCCGTAGGCTCTCGTCCATAGGCAGAACCTCGTAGGAGTGGCACCTGTACCGCCTGACCATGGAACCAGGCTTCGGAGGCTCATCTCTTCGCGGGCCTCTGTACCCCGTACAGAGAAGTACGATGAACTCGCTGGGTAATAACCAGGGTGATCAATTCACTAATCAACTAGTCAGTACTAAGTTAGTAACTGACTCTGCACTTCACCAGTTTCTCTTTTCACGCTCAACTGTCTTTCACTTACGCACTCTCTTTTCTCACTCATCATCACCACCAATCCTACTCTCCTTGGAAGCATTGCCTTACCATCGTTCACTTTCCTTCCAACTTTTCACCTCTTCTTCCCTATTTCCCTCATTCCTTTCCCACCTTTTTTTCCATCTTGTCATTCATCCCCTCCTCCCTCCCCAAGACTCCTGCCAACCTGGTCCTGGTCCTGGGTTTCCTTCGACCGCTGCCCACTTTACACTCGATACTCATTGGCCCTATTTCGACATTAGAAAGTTCGGTGCCTTTTCACTCATTTGACGCCTGCCACCCAGGGGAGAAACGTTTCCGCGCCCAAAACACAAACATTTCCCACCGCACGTGACCATTCAACAACAGGACACGCGACACCTCTCTTCGATCATTAACGCACCATTTCACCCAACAATTCACGTAAATGATACATCAAACTCGATAATATACCCCTCTCGCCAATATGGATACCTCGCCCTTCAATGTCTCCGACCCTGCCACCCCCTCCAAGCCCGACATGGGTGGCGCCCAATTCGCCTCCCATGTTTGGATGGAGCCTATTGTGAGTGACAGGAATTTCCTCTTCTCTTTATGCGTACCGCGGTTCTAATCTCAACAGATTGTTATCTCAATAATGATCGCATCTCTCACCTTCAATAGACGCCATGGCTACCGAATATTCGAGTCGTCGCGAGGCCGTTCCCAAACCCGCTCCCTCCTGTCACGTGATAATTCTCAAGAATCCTCCCCTTCAGGATCCTTCATCGACTCCGATTCTCCTAATGCCACCGCAGAGCTGGATTCTGTGACTGGTGCCATCAAGTACCCGCCCAAGCAGCGCAACTGCTGTGGCATGCTTGTCACCACCCCGAATTCTTCTCGTTTCGCCGATCACTGGCACAGTCGCGTTTTGCAAAAGTTTCCCTTTTTAATCGAGATGTTCTATTGGGTCCTCAACCTGGCCTTTTACGCAGTCACGAAGGCCGTCGCGCAGTTGTTGTTCTCGAAAAACGATGGTTTGTGGCAGCTGGCCCAAGACCATGGCGTTCTGATTCTCGACATCGAACACAAATCCTGGTTGAGCTTTGTCTTTTTCATCCGCGAGGTCGACTTCCAGCAATTCTTCTTGAATGGCCATTTAACTGCCATGACCTTTCTGAATCGCATCTACTCGCTGGTTCATATCCCAGGAACTGTCGCGTATGTTTCCCCACAGCCTTGCATTTCCACGCCTCTGAGACTGACATGTTCACCCCCACTAGCTTCCTCTCATGGTATTATTATGCCGCCCCCAACCACGCCACCTTCGCTGTCGCCCGTCGTACCATGACACTGGGCAACTTCGCCGCCTTCTTCATCTTTACCTTTTTCCCTTGCATGCCACCACGATTACTCCCCAAGGAGTACGGTTTCCACGATACCGTGCGCCAATCCAACTCAGAATCCGTCTGGGTCGGTGGAAACTACGTCAATCAGCTGGCTGCCATGCCCAGCCTTCACTTCACATACGCCTTTTGCATAGGATCCACCTTTTTGTATCACTCCGGATTTGGACGACGCTTGCAACGAAACGAGAACAGGAAATCGGCGTTTACTCAGATTGCATTCCTCATTGCTGGTGTTTGTTACCCATTGTTAGTTCTATCGGTTATTGTGGCAACGGCGAACCATTATTGGCTGGATGCCGTTGTTGCCATGTGCACGACAACGCTCTCATTTTTCGGTAACAGGGTTTGGATGTTCTTGTTGCCTGCAGAGGATGTTCTTTGCTGGGTCCTCCGTGTCGAGAAGCCGATCCCTACCACGGGTGATCGCCTGCTCAGACAAAAAGGCAATGCTTATCGACCTGTGAAAGATTCCGACGAACCCTAATCCTTTTCGGCGCCACCTTGAACAATTGCATTTCTTTCCCTTTGGACTTTGGAGTATTTCCATTTGAGGAAAACGGCGAGGAACCTCGACCTTTGATTTAGTTTTTAGGGAGCGGATATGGACGGTTCCATAACCGTGGATAGAATGAGAAGGCTTCGAAATTACGTATCAGGACCAGATGGCCTGGAAGAGGGGGAGCCGCACAGCGGCGATCACACAGCCGGAGGAGTCCAGGTCGAGGCAGAATTGTGTTTGTCAACCAGTGTGAACAGCGCACATCGCTTTTGCATGTCATTTCGATGGGCTTTCGGTTCTGCAAGAACATGTAGAACACGGGAGCTGCATATCCCGATCGTTCAGGATGAACAATAAATACACCGTCTAGGATTCAACGCTTCACCTTTTTGCAACCTGATACTTCCCAACCTTCCGGAGCTTGAAATACATCTCAGCATCCCTTGTGACTCACCTGGAAACACGTCCTTCCGGGAATCAAATCAGGCTCTCCTCTCCTCTCTCCTCTCTACTCTCGTCGCCACTTGCCCCGTTTCCCGGCACGCTCCTCCTGCGCGATAGCCAGATTGGGCCACCGAACTCGGTTACGACGTCCCTACAGTAACCCAGCACCACACTAGCGGCTTGCCTCGAAGGTACGAGAGATGACCTCCAGACATGGCAGACAGATTTGGCGCGGCATATCTCACTAGATCCTTCAGCAAAACCGCCGCGTACACTATACCCCAGTGCGAGTCTAGAGGTTCAAGACACATCCACCGGCTACATCAACCGACATGCTTTGAGAACGATCAACTCGCGCCCCAGAAGACGGCTGGATATATATACCACGCAACCAACCCGCCTTGCTCGGTCTCGAGATTGGGCAAATTCTCACCCGAGTCCAGCCCAGTGACTGGAGCCGAGCCTACCGCGCATGGACGGGTGTAGAATCAGACAGCTGCATATATTAATGAGAGAATACACAGATAAACAACTCTCTTTTTCAGTTCTTGGAAGACTGCGCCCAATCTAGCTCACTGATAAATAATATATAATGTCTATCTCCCAAGGTGGAGATGGGTATGATGTCGATGCTAGGAACGAGTTCAACGCTTTTCATGCAAACCCTGGCGAGCCAGCGCTAGGCCGGACACGAGTACAAATACCTCTGCATGATCGCTCTCTTGAAATCTTTGCATCGCCGAGCCTTGAATATATGTATACATACCTGACGTGATCCTATCCGTTGCCAAGCAAGCTCACTATGCCTCGCCCAGTTACCTTCGGAGAAAAGAAGACCCGAAGGCCAACTAAGCACTGTAGATGCCTTTCGCTCTTCTCCGTCAAGTGGGACGGAGGGTTGGCACGGCGCGTGGGCGGGGGTTGCTTAGAGGAAGCCCGAAGGGACAATCAACTTTTGGAGTTTAGTCGGTTGGTTTACCAGTGCTTTCCCTGACTCGCATTTGGTACAACTCACGACGAGAAGGAGTGGAGAAGATCGCATGCAGATGCCCGCCCACGGCTCGCGCGGTTGACCTCTCGGTATCTTTATCATTGGGCGTTGTCCGAGGGAAGGTTGGCGTGAAGGGCGTGTTGATTGACCGAGACACACACATACACACACGCATATATATGTATATATATAGATACCCCGAACTACACTTTTCCACGATATTTCCGCTGACTTATCCGTAGCCGCTTTACTCCCGCGCTAGTAACTATTTAACCTCCTCGCTCCCCCGTCTACACTCCTCCAGGGTAACTTTCGTTAGCACGGTTTTAACCCTATTAGGGACTTCTAACCACTATAGGACTAGCTCGTAAACAAACTACGCCTATACCCTCTAAATTGTAATCTATTACGCTCTCTAGTCTCTACTACGCTCTCTATCCTCTACCACGCTCTTAACAATGACAACTATCACGGGTTGAACCCGTAGGATGTCTTGGTAAGAACCAGCGACGTCTAGATTCGACCGTACAGTTGTACAGCCGATCGATGTCACGTGATATGATGGATGTCTTGGCGAGCGACGCTAAGACTAAACTAGCGATGCCTAGACTCGACCGTACAGTTATACAGCCGGACGATATCACGTAACACTAATGGTTACCTAGGATACCGGGCGACCCACCCCAGGAGATTATATCTCCCTATTGGATAGCGGCAGGACTTCTTTCTCTCTTCCCTTTAGCTTAACGTCCTCGTTAGACAGGTCCTATAGTAGTTAAACAAGCTCCTATTGAAACCTTCACATAGAGGAAGGTAAGAATAGTATTACTAATTAAAATTATTAGGAGAGTAAGCTATTTTATAGTCTATAGATAGGCTAGACTTAGAAATATACGTCGAGGCGGATCGATCGAAATTCTAGTAGATAATATTCGAAAGGCCTATAAAGAAATTAATATATACGAGAGATAAGAGTATATCGCTTACCTAAAGTGTCGAGATGAAACTATTCGGAGACGATGATGTCCCACCATACGCTATCCTGTCACATACTTGGGATGAGGAGGAGATTACCATTCAGGATATGGAAGGAACCCACCCAGCGAACAAGAAGGGATATGAAAAGGTCAAGGGTTGCTGCTTCAAAGCTAGGGATTACGATTTCAATACGTGTGGACGTGACAACAGAGCCGCCGGAGCGATGTCTCATTGTAGTCTATGGTCTGGATAGATTTACATGTGTAATACTTCCAAGGTCGTCTGAACATTACTCTCGTGCGTTCCGTGTGCTCCCCTCTCCTGCCCATGATTTACTCCAATGCAACCCCTGGAGTAGTCATATCACCCGAAATATGCCAAACCCCAGGTCCTCACTTGTTCCCGAAAGTATTCAAAGGACCACTCTCAAAAAGCCAGCCAGCACGCAGATCAACTTCCTGCCGGGAAGTCGAAGCAGAAGTTATCTCCCTTGAACTGCTTGATGAGACTATTGTGGCAGTCGTTGAAATGATCATTGCCAATACTACCGTGAGCGAAGCTGATTTCCATGAGATAGCCGTTGCCCTCCTGCACGCATCTCCGATTAGAGCCGAAAACGCAGCGTCGCCCGTCGTGGAGATAGGGGCAGATCTGACCGACGTCGATGCCGTGGCCCTCGATGCGCATCCTGTAGCGGGCGAGGCCGCTGTCGTTGAAGCTGCCGTCGTTGTACATCTTGAGCTCGCAGCGCTGATAGTTCGGCACCTCCCTCCATCTACCATTGCAGTTGTTGTCCTTCTCGTCGTAGATGTAGGAGGGAAGCTTGTCGAGCCCGCGGAACTTGGACCCGCATTGGAAGCCGTTGGCTGTGTTGGGTTTATATCGGTCCACGAGTGTATCGCTGACGCGCGTCGCAATCTTGAGCCCGAACCAGCACTTGCCGTATTCGCCGGTGCCGGTGAACTCGTTGTTAGCTTCGCCGTTGTTGCAGTCCCTGGCGCTTCGGATGAGAGTGTGGAGGTCGACGCCGTATTCACTGAGTTTCTGCAGGTACTGGTCCTCCAAGCGGAAGGGCGCTTCGCCACTGAAGGGCTTTCGCTTGATGGTGTAGCATTGGTTGTCGATCAGCAATTCACCGAGGGCGGTGCAGAGTTCGGGCCCAGACTCTGGTGCATTTTCCTGACGCTCGACATAAACCTGCAGTCCCGTGAGAAGGTTGCCAATGAGGGCTCCTTGCTGTTTGTGATGGTCAGCTTGTGTACTCATTACGTGGTCATGAGATGTTTGTGCACGTACCATTCCCTTGAAACCCTTGTTGAAAGCTTGTACGAAGTCATTCTTCTGGATGGGAACCAGAAATTCACCACCCTTGAAAATCTCGGCAATGGGGAACTCGGCGTCCTTGTTAAGCTCGCGGACACCCAACTTGCCCATGCGTTCGATCATCTGGCGTAGTAGTGGATCATCACTTCCTTTGCCGTTGACTTCGCCAAACAATGCTTGGAGCATTCGGTCCATCTCGTCTCTGGTCTTGGTGAAGAATGTGGCCAGATACTTGTTCATACCCGCTTCGATCTCGTCGTATTTGGGTTCTTTAGGTTCCTCATCTTTCATATTTTCCGCGCCTGCATTGAGGCCGATGCCCACCAAGGCCAGGAAGCTGGCAGCAACGTTGCCTCCTGGAATCAAGCCAACTGCTTGCTCAGCGACACCAACACCTGAAGCCCTTGAGTTAGCACAATCCTGACCAAGCCAGAGAATATGGAGTTCTCTCACCGAAGGCCACATTTTTGATAGCCAACGGAACATTATATGCTTCGGGGATATCTGGAAGTTTGAAATCCTCCAGAATTGACTTCATGTTCAGAGCTCCCGTGATGCCAACATCTTGGAGAGTCTCGCCGATCACATCGAAAGTTGACTTTACACTCGCGGCTAGGAAGCGTGTGATATAGAAATTCAGGGTGTTGCAGTCCGTCGGTACCGGTGCGAGGGGGCATAAAGCCGAGTTTCTTTGGCCACAAGCGAGGCCCTCGTTGCGATTAGTGACTTTTCTGGTGAGACCGTTGACCCATGCCTCTGAATATTATTAGAGACTTGTTCCAAGAAGGATGAGAGTTGTACCAACCAGGGCCGTTAGCCTTCAAGTAATCGTTGAGCAGCAGCTCTGCACCGCTGGCGGCCCATGTCTTGGGGTCTCGAGGATCGAGATCGCAAGCAGCTTCCATGGCAGCTGCCACGGAATTTGTCAACGCGAGGTCGAGGGGCTGGTCTAGCGGAATTCCATCCTGTAACTCAGGAGTATCAGATTGAGCGCTGGTATCAACCAGAGAATCTGCAAGTGTAAGGGGATCAACAGAATTTTCTGCAGGCGGTGGTCCTGTGAGTGTGAGGGTTGCATCGGTGGCAGTTTCTTCAGGCGGTGTTGCAAAATCTGTCAAGGTGATTGTTGCATCAGTAGCAGTTCCTTCAGGCGGTATTGAAAGATCCTCGCTTTGAGGCAACGGACTGCTATAGGTGGTCATGGCTAGCACAAGGCCGCCCATCAGAGTCGACACGCGAACCATTATGG